CCCCCTTCCTAGGCCGCCCCTACCCGCCTTCCTTCCCAAAGACTGATACACTCTTGAAGTCATTCTGTTTCGCTCCATTTCTTACATGTCCGAACCACCTCAACAACCCCCAGCCCTTGGGCAAATTTTGGTAATCCCGCACCCCTCCAACTTCCAAAATAGAATTCTCTGTTATTTCACCCACACCTTTCCCTCAGAAAGCCCTCCCCTGCCCCCCCTTTCTCCCCCGTGCAAATTCTCCCCACGCTTTACACCCCTAAAAGGGGGCGTTGGTAAAACTATACTCTCTACTTCCCCCCTTTGGGGTCCAAGGACAAAGTTCTTTGTCTCCCCAGACCCCAGTGCACCACTCATCTTTTTCCCTCAAACAATTTATGATTCACCTCATCTTTTATAGACCCCAAAACCCCTGACACGTCCACCCCCCAAAAAATCTGAAAAAATTTTCCTTTTCCCCCTTGAATTAACTTTCCCCCTTTTTTTTTATCCTCCCCCTCTTTTCCCTTTTCACCTTTTTTTTTTTTTCCCCTACCAAAACTTTACAAACCTGAATTCTCTTAGTTCCCCGGGGAAATGCACAGCAAAACATTTTACAAACCCCTTTGGGTATTTTTTTTTTAAACTCCAGGGCCCTTTTCCAGACCCCTGCAATTTTTTACAACCCCCTTTTTAAAATTTTAAACCCAAATGCACCCTCTTGCAAAGCCCTATTTTTTCTGGGGAAAAAACCCCTTTTAAACCAAATTACCTCCTATCTCGTTTTTTAAAAACTCTTCCTGCTTTCAGAATACCTCCCACACCCTAACTTGCAACATCTGCACTTGCCCCCCCATCCACCCCGCTCGCCTTTTCCCAAAACCATAAATGCCACAAAGACCCTTTGCCTTTTCTAAATCTGTTCACTTTTGTTTCCTGAAAACCTGGTCCCCACCCCCCTACCTTTCCCCAAAACCTCCTTGTTCATCTGTATCCTATTCTCCGTCTTACTTTAATTCTTTAAATTTTAACTCACCTACACTTTACAGGTCATCAACAGACTTATCCCCCCTAATTTTTGCACTCTCTTTTTTCCCCTTTGCCTTTATACAAAGGAACTATGCATGCTCTCTGCCAATCCTAGGTACCTTACCCTCTTCCATACATTTATTAAATAATTGCACCAACCACTCCAAAACTATATCCCCACCTGCTTTTAACATTTCTATCTTTATCCCATCAATCCGGCTGCCTTACCCCCTTTCATTTTACCTACTGCCTCACGAACTTCCCCCACACTCACAAACTGGCTCTTCCTCACTCCTACAAGATGTTATCCTCCTTGCCCTATACACGAAATCACAGCTTCCCTATCTTCATCAACATTTAACATTCCTCAAAATATTCCTTCCATCTTCCACAATACTCTAACTCTCCATTTAATAACTCTCCTCTCCTATTTTTAACTGACAAATCCATTTGTTCTCTAGGCTTTCTTAACTTGTTAATCTCACTCCAAAACTTTTTCTTATTTTCAACAAAATTTGTTGATAACATCTCACCCACTCTCTCATTTGCTCTCTTTTTACATTGCTCACCACTCTCTTAACTCCTCTTTTTCTCCATATACTCTTCCCTCCTTTCTCCATATACTCTTCCCTCCTTGCATCACTTCTACTTTGTAAAAACTTCTCATATGCTAACTTTTTCTCCCTTACTACTCTCTTTACATCATCATTCCACCAATCGCTCCTCTTCCCTCCTGCACCCACTTTCCTGTAACCACAAACTTCTGCTGAACACTCTAACACTACATTTTTAAACCTACCCCATACCTCTTCGACCCCATTGCCTATGCTCTCATTAGCCCATCTATCCTCCAATAGCTGTTTATATCTTACCCTAACTGCCTCCTCTTTTAGTTTATAAACCTTCACCTCTCTCTTCCCTGATGCTTCTATTCTCCTTGTATCCCATCTACCTTTTACTCTCAGTGTAGCTACAACTAGAAAGTGATCTGATATATCTGTGGCCCCTCTATAAACATGTACATCCTGAAGTCTACTCAACAGTCTTTTATCTACCAATACATAATCCAACAAACTATTTTATTATTATTATTATTATTATTATTAATCTCAAAGGGGGGTTATGTTTGAGTAGCTGCATTAATTTTTTTCTGCAAGGTTTTTTTTCTTATAACTTAAGGAACACTTCATCCAATCAGCCTCAAATTTTGAAAGTAGATGGACTATAACAAAGGTTTATGCAGATATTGACACATGCAAGTGCCCTCTGGTCAAGTTTATATAAACTATTCTTGAATTTGGTTTTCGTATGATAAGGAAGCCTTTTTTTAATCACCGTTTTTGTTCACCACCGATGTATCTTACTTGGAAGGAATATGGGAATACCAATGTAAGATCACTCATTGATTGACACATCTAATTATTGGACCTATTATTATTAATATTATTATTATTATTATTATTATTATTATTATTTATGGGGCAGTGCTTAACCCATAGGGATCATACAGTGACTGAAGAATAAAAGTCACTTAAGTTTTATCCAAGGAAGGAGAGGGTAGCTCCAATACCTCGTATCAAGAGCTCTTGGCCTGTATCAAGTTTTCCCCCTTTGAAAGGTCAGACACAAAATACACACATGGATGACAATAAATCAAAATTGGGCACCTGGCATAGCAACAAGTTAACATTCACTAACTGGAGTTGACCTTTGTTAAAGCACAGACATGCGTAGTCTAAACATAAAATTCTGTCCTACACCCTGAGCTAGATACTTTAACATGATGGGTATGTTGTGGCAGCATCCCTGCTGCCACAACATAACCATCATGTTAAAGTATCTAGATGAGCCACACTCCCACATCTTGCCCCATAGATATGGTAAACATGAGGAAATTAAATCTTCATCAGAGTACAAAACAAATTCTGGCCACAAAATAGAGCGAAACACCAACGTCAAAGACCTGGGAGTGATTATGTTGGAGGATCTCACCTTCAAGGACCATAACATTGTATCAATCGCATCTGCTAGAAAAATGACAGGATGGATAATGAGAACCTTCAAAACTAGGGAGGCCAAGCCCATGATGACACTCTTCAGGTCACTTGTTCTATCTAGGCTGGAATATTGCTGCACACTAACAGCACCTTTCAAGGCAGGTGAAATTGCCGACCTAGAAAATGTACAGAGAACTTTCACGGCGCGCATAACGGAGATAAAACACCTCAATTACTGGGAGCGCTTGAGGTTCCTAAACCTGTATTCCCTGGAACGCAGGAGGGAGAGATACATGATTATATACACCTGGAAAATCCTAGAGGGACTAGTACCGAACTTGCACACGAAAATCACTCACTACGAAAGCAAAAGACTTGGCAGACGATGCACCATCCCCCAATGAAAAGCAGGGGTGTCACTAGCACGTTAAGAGACCATACAATAAGTGTCAGGGGCCCGAGACTGTTCAACTGCCTCCCAGCATACATAAGGGGGATTACCAACAGACCCCTGGCAGTCTTCAAGCTGGCACTGGACAAGCACCTAAAGTCAGTTCCGGATCAGCCGGGCTGTGGCTCGTACGTTGGTTTGCGTGCAGCCAGCAGCAACAGCCTGGTTGATCAGGCTCTGATCCACCAGGAGGCCTGGTCACAGACCGGGCCGCGGGGGCGTTGACCCCCGGAACTCTCTCCAGGTAAACTCCAGGTAATAGCTCAATTGCTAGTACACTTAGCTCACACAACGAGGTCTGTGGTTCGATCCCTGGTGCAGGTGGAAACAGGACCTGTTCCTTTAAGGCACCTGCTGTCCATGTTCACCTAACAGTAAAATAGGTACTCGGGTGTTAGTCAACTGGTGTGGGTCGCCTCTTGGAGACAGAATTCACTTATTGCCCAGAATGCTCTGCATAACAAATGGCTTTCTCTATACTGTAGTAGTATGTCATTGATATCAGCTAGACCTGTATACCTTGTACATGTAGAAATAATAATTATTAATATTATTATTATTTTTATTAATGCATCAGCCATTTCCCACCAAGGCAGGGTGGCCTGAAAAAGAAAACTTTCATCATTCACTCCATCACTGTAGTGAGGGCATGCCTCTGGCAAGAGTGATTATTATTATTATTTATTATTATTATTATTATTATTATTATGCTGTGTAAAACAAGGGGGCTTTCCAGTAAAAATGTGTATGTTCTGGAATCCCAGAGCTGAATCAGTACCCTGTATTTTTTAAATAAAATTTTATTTTGAGAAAGCCTTTGTACTTTCCTGAGTCATTATAGTATTGTATAGTATTTTGTATTAAAAAAGTGCTTTACCCATAGGGATCACATAGCCTCTGGGGAATGGGTGATAACCAGAATTGATCTATGGAAAAAAAGGGTATCCCCAGTTCCTTGGATCAAGAGCTCCTCACTGTTTTTAGGGCAGCTTCTCCTCCCCCACAGATGAGGCTAGTTTGTGTGAGTGCTAGGTTACACTACAAGTATGGTAGTGTATTTTTTATTATAATAAAACAAGTAGTTTTTTGTAAAAATAATTTGAACAATTGTATTGCAATGAATTGTTTAGTTAAGAGTCCATGACACTTCAGGAATCTTGAGTATGTTCCAAAGGCTGATTTCTCTAGCCAGCAGAATGTTATTCTTCTGACACGGCACTGCCATGCTTGCATGTATACGTACATGCATATGTACATTTAAAGATTATTAAATAACCCTCACCTTGGAGAGATTTTTATGAAGATATTTTGTTACTTCCTGGACTTAATAATAATATTTGATGAACCGAAACATTGTCTAAAGGATCCTCTCCAATTGTGAGTTATTTGTGAAGTATTTCAAACACGCTATAATGGTTTTTGTGTTTTCTTGACAAGTTATTATCTTTTACACGAACATATCTTTTAATACGAGCTTTGCAGCTGTGGGCTGTCTAGCCTACACACACAGGACAGTGTAATCAAGTCTTAAACTCTATATTTTCCAGAATGTGTTGCAAACTCAACATGTGAGCCTGGTTAATGGCAGATGTGGCAGTGGAAAATGGGTGGAGGGTCTGCCTCCACTCTACATTATCACGCCCACCTACCCGAGGGCTGAGCAGGTGCCTGAGCTCACACGTACTGCTCAGACGCTTATGAATGTACCAAATGTGGTATGGATTGTGTCTGAGGACTCTACTGTTGCATCTACATCAGTAGTTCAGTATCTCAATGAATCAGGTCTCAACACTGTGTATCTCCATGGTAAGTACAATATTCTTTAAGAGTGACTGTGTGCAGTTAGTGTAATTGAACATAAATCATCTAATGGTGTTCACAAATGACCCTCACTTTAAAGAAGAAACTTTACTCAACATTTTGGTAAGTCATTAACCATTATTAAGTCACACCTGACTTGATAATGGTCATCTGATGTTTTCCCCACCAAGGGTAGACTTTTTGAGGCAGTTGTTCCAGTCATGGTATTATTACTTTTAATCATATTAATATATTTGTATACATTTTTTCATTATTGTTAGTTTATATTGTGAATCTCTGTTTCATGTAAAGTTTTGTGTATAGCCTGAAGTAAGTATCAAGTGAAATATGATGCCAGAAAGTACTGTTTAGATTCCTAACTAAACAAATTGCAATCAAAAGATAGTTCCATGACTTACTGAAGGCATACTTTGATCTACTAACTAAAACCAAATAAAATATAGTATAAGGTGTATACATCTGAAGATATGGAAATTATTATTATTATTATAATAAAAAGGAAGCACTAAACCACAAGGGCTATACAGGAAGGTATGGAAAGCATTTAAGTTTGATCCAAGGAAGAGACAAGTAGTTCCAATTCCTTGGATCAGAAGCCCTTCATCAGCATCAAATCATCCCTGTGAAGGAGGATGAAAGATGGAGGCCTCTAGTTTGCAGTCTTCTGGGATTCTTTGTTTTATATATATGAGTACATTATTTTTTATCTGCTTGGGAAATATAGATTTTTATAAATTGTGGGTATAATGACACAATTTGCAGCAGCTTTTATTAGGACTGTTTTGCACAGGGTTGAGTGAAACCCTGAGCAAAATGTAATCCCAGTAAAAGCTTGTTCTTCATATTGTGTCTTCATACCCATACTTGTCTGCATTTTGCTTTTTTATCCACTCTAATAGGTTATATTATGTATGGACTATACTTTTTTTATCCTCAGTTCAGATGCCATCAAGATACAAAAAAGTAGGCAACAAGCCCAGAGGCGTGGCTAACCGTATGGCAGGATTAAATTGGGTTCGTGAAAATGCCAAAGATGGCGTCTTGTACTTTGCTGATGACGACAACACATATGACATACGTATTTTTGAACAGGTTGGTTCATGCCTAATTAGTATAATAATGGTAAACTAATATTTTGTAAAAAATATAATTTAGTGCTTTATTTATTTATTTATTTATTTATTTAATAATTTGAACATGCATACAGAGGTACAAAAAAAAAAAAATACAGTTAAGAGTAGCATGCCAAAGCCACTTGTATGCATAGCATTACGGGCAGGCTTAAAATTAACTTAAGATTAACTAAGCAATGTTGTAATCAGTGATAAAACATTATTGTAAACAGATAACAATAAAGCACAAATGAGTATTACAAAGACAGGTCATATGGTTGCATGCATTGCTGTACATTCAGTAGAGTGGAGTATTCTGTTAGGTAGTGTATTTAAAAGATAACAAAGTTAGATTGGGTCTTAGGTTTAACATTTATGTGATATAATTGTGAGAAACATTTAAGATAAACAATTTATAAGGTTCAGTTATTCAGTATTTATTTGGTTTTGGGTGAGTAAGTGATCTTTTAGAAGAGACTTGAATTTATAAACAGGTAGTGTTTCTTTTATATTCACAGGTAATGAATTCCAGATTTTAGGGCCTTTTATGTGCATTGAGTTTTTGCATAGCGTGAGATGGACATGAGGAACATCAAAGAGTGATCTGTGCCTTGTGTTATGGTCATGTGTTCTGTTGAGGTTGGCAAGGAGATGTTTGAGGGGAGGGTTTATATCAGAGTTAAGTGTTCTATGTATGTAATAGGTGCAGTAATAAGTATGGGTGTTTTGTATGGTGAGTAGGTTTAGTGTTTTGAATATTGGTGGAGTGTGCTGCCTGTAGTGGGAATTTGTTATCATTCTGACTACTACTACACTTAGTGGTCAAATTGTGTCATTACAAATTTCTGATACTGTATCTCTTCTTAACTTAGTCTGTGTTTCGACATACTTGTCTGTGATCACCTGCTGAGTTGTGTGCTTCTCTATAATATTCTTATTATCTGACTTTTCCCTTAATGACCTATGGGTTTACCTCACTATATGAATATTGTAAATATTGTACGTATAAGCTTTATCACCAAACTCCATTTAAGCTATAATAAAACAATTTCTATTGTTCTTATCAGATATAGTATTATTATTTTATTCATGGGGAGCACTAAACCCCTAAGGGTCATACAGCATTCAGGTTTGATCCAAGGAAAGGGTGTTCAGATCTAATTCCCTAGATCAACTACTCCTCATCAGCATCAAGGAACCTCCCTTAAGTCATAGAAATACCCTCACTTATTGCTAAATAGCTGTTCTGTCTGTCAGACTTGCCTGATTGTGAGTTATTAGCTCAGACTACTAACCAGTAACTCCAGTAAGTTGATATCACACTGTCTGTAACTTTCTTGCTGCAACATCCAAAGCCCATGCTTCACACCCATATAAAAGTGTCGATCCCACTATACTCTGATATATTTCTATTTTTGCATCCATAAACTTCTTTGTTCTACTGATGCCTCAGTACACCACCTACCTTTTTCCCCCTTCATCTATTTTATGGTTCTCTTTGTCTTTCAATAGACTCATTTTCCTCCATATTCCCTCCAGTCTAAAATCTAACCTTTCAATGTCTATACAGTGGAACCTCAAAAATCGAACTTAATCTGTTCCAAGAGCTAGTTCTAAATTTGAAAAGTCTGAAATTCGAAGCAATATTTCCCATAAGAAATAATGGAAATACAATTAATCCGTTCCAGAAACCCAAAAATATTCACACAAAAATACATTTTATAGAGATTAATTACAGTTTTACATACAACAAATACTCTAGTTTTTAATTATGTATAGTAATACATATAAAATAACATTTTTACTTACCTTTATTGAAGATTGGTGATGGCATCTGGAAGATAGGGAGGAGGAGAGAGGGAGTTGGGATTAGTGTTTAGAAGGAGAATCCCCCTCCATGAGGACTTCAGGTAAAGCCCTCTCTGGAGTTACTTTCCTTCTCTGTCTTTTAATGTCACTAGGACCAGCTTGAGAGTCACTGGACCCCTGTCTCACAAAATAACTGTCCACAGTCCTCTGTTTCTGGCACCTCTTTAACATTTCCCTAAAATGGGACATGGTTCTGTCACTGAACTTGTTGCAAAGATGGCTTATTTCAGCTTGCTCGGGGTGGTACTTCTGCACAAACATTTGGACATCATTCCACTTGGCACAAATCTCTTTAATCTTTGAAGAAGGCACCTCATCCACTCCCTATATTAACACTTCGCAACATCAGCTTCCTTGATTTGTTCTTTCTTTGACAGGATAGAACCGATGGTCGACTTGTTTTTCCCATACATCCTTGCAAGCTCAACAAGTCTCACACCACTCTCATACTTCTGTATTATTTCCTTCTTCACATCTATGGTGTTTCTCAATTTCTTTACCACAGGGGTACCACTAGCAAGTTTCTTTGGGCCCATGGCAGCTTATTTCACAGTCCCACAAGCACTAAACACAACGAAATAATCGTAAAATGCGTGAATGAGAGCGCAGGTTAGTGTTCACTCAAGCATAAACAAAGTTAGACTGCTCATGGCGCCTGCGCGGGGACGCGGACAGAGCGGGCGGCAGACAGGTCCCGTACCCGGCGGTCCGAAAATAGGGGCGCATTCGATAATAGGGACACAGTTTGTCCGAAAAAATGGTCCTATTTTCGAAACATTCGATATGTGATACGTTCGATTTTTGAGGTTCCACTGTACTTTTTGTTACTTTTGTTACCTTACTCTTTTCTATGTTTATTATTATTATTGCATTAATATTATTATTATTATTATTATGGTATTATTATTATTAATGTTGTATTTGTGGGGAAGTATACTACACTAGAAGGGGTTGTGAGGTACAGTAATCAGGTTTCATCCAAGAAGGGTAACTCATTTCTTGGATCAAGAGCTCTTTATTAAAATTGAGGCACTTTCCTTTGAAGGAAGGCAGGTCTTTGTAAAAATTTCAAAATTACTTTTTTTCATGAGTAACAGTATATATACTGGGGTATGGTACAGGTGTTATTTTAGGGCTGAGATATCCTGCAGTCACTTTTTTTTTTTAGTGTTTATGTACTGTGTATGTTTTTTTATCAATATTTTGCATGATAATCTTACTTTTTTTTCTTAATAGATTAGGTGGACTCGCAAGGTGTCGATGTTTCCTGTGGGACTGGTGACCAAACTTGGAGTATCTACACCCATTGTTAAGGAGGGAAAAGTGGTTGGTTTCTATGATGGCTGGATTGCTAAACGCACGTTCCCAGTGGACATGGCTGGGTTTGCAGTTAATGTGCAGTACCTTTTAGAGCGACCATTAGCGTCAATGCCATACAAGGTTGGCTATGAAGAAGATGGTTTCATAAAGAGTCTAGGAATAAAAGCATCAGAGATAGAACCACTTGCATTCAATTGCACAAAGGTGAGACTTTTCTCTGTTATAGTTAGCAATTCTGTTGCCAGTTTTCTGGTGTAGTGTTACATAATGGAAATTGGGATGTTTAGCATTAACATTATCATGGGGAAGCATTAAACTCGTATGGAGCATACATCGTCTGGGAAATGGGAGTAATCAGGTTTGATCCAAAGATGGGGAGGGTAGCTTCAATTCCTTGACTCTAGAGCCCTTCAGTAATGTTTATTGATTCTAACAAGTCATTGATGTCTATATCTATATTATATATTGTTCTTTCTACAAATAATATTGTTAGCAAGGCTTGCAGTATAATATTTGGAATCATGGTTAGCAAGTGCTGCTTTAGATATACTATTAAATAGATTTAATTTTGGTTCAGTGTTGTTGTACTTACATACATTTCAGAAACTGCAATTTAAAGATAAATACTGTATTATTCATCTTTATTATAGTATGTACTGTTAAGCTTTTAAATTAAATTATTGACATGCCAATTAAATTAAAAAATGTGCATTCCCAAAACTTCACCTCTTCTGTTTTGAATATGTATGCATTCACAAATGCATGTATAATTTTAGGTACATGTATAAACATAGACTTGTGCTTTATCTCATCTGTTTTGACTCACGAAATCATAATGACATGATTGCAAACAAACCATACCTCAGGCAAGGATTGAATTTATGGCAAGTGAGTTATGAAACTCACTCTCCACAACTTCAATCCTTGTCCGTGGTATGGTTGCTTGTCTGTTATGTTTGTACACGTGTACACCAAAGCATGTACACTTTTCTCTACATTATATAAACAAACTTATTTTTTTACAGATATGGGTGTGGCATACACAAACGAAGAAGAATGAACCTGCAAAACCAATCAACCATACTATTGCCACTTTGGGAACTAATCTAAAAATAATTAGTGAACAGTTATGGAAGGGACCTGCAATTAAAACTAAAAGTTAAAAAATATTTTTTGTATAGGAAATTAAAAAGAAACAGCAATAAATACAAATAAATGAGAGGTTAAAATCTAACAAAAAAAGCTGTTTAATATTGTATATAACTTATTGCCTGTATGATTAGTTATTTAGTAGGTGTACCATGAATAAATTTATTTCAGAATAAAATTTATTCATAACATATTTATCAATGTACAGAACACATACACAGTACTCCCTAGAAATTTGAGAGAGATATGTTGCTAGAAGTCCCAGTGAGTAGAAACTGGAAATGCTGTAATAATTTGTTTCATATATGGGCTCATTTTGTGTTGCAGAGGCCATACTTTGTTACACAGTACAGTGGACCCCCGGTTTACGATATTTTTTCATTCCAGAAGTATGTTCAGGTGCCAGTACTGACCGAATTTGTTCCCATAAGGAATATTGTGAAGTAGATTAGTCCATTTCAGACCCCCAAACATACATGTACAAACGCACTTACATGATTGGTTGCATTGGGAGGTGATCGTTAAGCGGGGGTCCACTGTATTTTGTTCAACTTTCATGAATATTGACACTCTAAGAAAGATGCTCAGTAAGAGAGATTTGAGTATGAGGAATCAGTGAGCATGTTTTCATCTAAATATTATGGTTTAATTTAAATTTATGCATCATGTGCCAAGCCAAAGAAAAATGAGCATAAATGTGCATGTATTTAGAGTATTCATGAGAATCCCTATAGCAGAAATCATGAATAATAAAATAGTGAATTTAGATTACTGCAAATTTGTAGGGAGTACTGTACTATTTTTATATGAATTACACTCTTCTACAGTGCTTTTGTTCATTAGCTATTTTTTATATGTGTTATATAAAAGAATATAATGGTAGCAGAGCTAGCTAACTGCAGTTATGGAGTTTGAATTAGATTGTTATCTTGATTACCTATTATAGTGTGCTTGTGAGTTAATTACTCAGGAACTCAGTACTGGATCTCTAACTTAATTAATTTTTACAAAGGTGTTTTTAGTATAGAGTTTGTTTAGCTGTAAGCTTTATAAGTTTTCATGTTTGGACTTTAATGGGAATACTGTTCTGTATACAGTTAATGCATTGTCTCTGCTTTTATGATAATACAGCATCTTCTTTCAACAAACCGGCCGTATCCCACCGAGGCAGGGTGTTTACCTGGAGTTTACCTGGAGAGAGTTTTGGGGGTCAACGCCCCCGCGGCCCGGTCTGTGACCAGGCCTCCTGGTGGATCAGCGCCTGATCAACCAGGCTGTTGCTGCTGGCTGCACGCAAACCAACGTACGAGCCACAGCCCGGCTGATCAGGAACTGACTTTAGGTGCTTGTCCAGTGCCAGCTTGAAGACTGCCAGGGGTCTGTTGGTAATCCCCCTTATGTGTGCTGGGAGGCAGTTGAACAGTCTCGGGCCCCTGACACTTATTGTATGGTCTCTTAACGTGCTAGTGACACCCCTGCTTTCCATTGGGGGGATGGTGCATCGTCTGCCAAGTCTTTTGCTTTCGTAGTGAGTGATTTTCGTGTGCAAGTTCGGTACTAGTCCCTCTAGGATTTTCCAGGTGTATATAATCATGTATCTCTCCCTCCTGCGTTCCAGGGAATACAGGTTTAGAAACCTCAAGCGCTCCCAGTAATTGAGGTGTTTTATCTCCGTTATGCGCGCCGTGAAAGTTCTCTGTACATTTTCTAGGTCGGCAATTTCACCTGCCTTGAAAGGTGCTGTTAGAGTGCAGCAATATTCCAGCCTAGATAGAACAAGTGACCTGAAGAGTGTCATCATGGGCTTGGCCTCCCTAATTTTGAAGGTTCTCATTATCCATCCTGTCATTTTTCTAGCAGATGCGATTGATACAATGTTATGGTCCTTGAAGATGAGATCCTCCGACATAATCACTTCCAGGTCTTTGACGTTGGTGTTTCGCTCTATTTTGTGGCCAGAATTTGTTTTGTACTCTGATGAAGATTTAATTTCCTCATGTTTACCATATCTGAGTAATTGAAATTTCTCATCGTTGAACTTCATATTGTTTTCTGCAGCCCACTGAAAGATTTGGTTGATGTCCGCCTGGAGCCTTGCAGTGTCTGCAATGGAAGACACTGTCATGCAGATTCGGATGTCATCTGCAAAGGAAGACACGGTGCTGTGGCTGACATCCTTGTCTATGTCGGATATGAGGATGAGGAACAAGATGGGAGCTAGTACTGTGCCTTGTGGAACAGAGCTTTTCACCGTAGCTGCCTCGGACTTTACTCTGTTGACGACTACTCTCTGTGTTCTGTTAGTGAGGAAATTATAGATCCATCGACCGACTTTTCCTGTTATTCCTTTAGCGCGCATTTTGTGCGCTATTACGCCATGGTCACACTTGTCGAAGGCTTTTGCAAAGTCTGTATATATTACATCTGCATTCTTTTTGTCTTCTAGTGCATTTAGGACCTTGTCGTAGTGATCCAGTAGTTGAGACAGACAGGAGCGACCTGTTCTAAACCCATGTTGCCCTGGGTTGTGTAACTGATGGGTTTCTAGATGGGTGGTGATCTTGCTTCTTAGGACCCTTTCAAAGATTTTTATGATATGGGATGTTAGTGCTATTGGTCTGTAGTTCTTTGCTGTTGCTTTACTGCCCCCTTTGTGGAGTGGGGCTATGTCTGTTGTTTTTAGTAACTGAGGGACGACCCCCGTGTCCATGCTCCCTCTCCATAGGATGGAAAAGGCTCGTGATAGGGGCTTCTTGCAGTTCTTGATGAACACAGAGTTCCATGAGTCTGGCCCTGGGGCAGAGTGCATGGGCATGTCATTTATCGCCTGTTCGAAGTCATTTGGCGTCAGGATAACATCGGATAGGCTTGTGTTAATCAAATTTTGTGGCTCTCTCATAAAAAATTCATTTTGATCTTCGACTCTCAGTCTGGTTAGCGGCTTGCTAAAAACTGAGTCATATTGGGACTTGAGTAGCTCACTCATTTCCTTGCTGTCATCTGTGTAGGACCCATCTTGTTTAAGTAGGGGCCCAATACTGGACGTTGTTCTCGATTTTGATTTGGCATAGGAGAAGAAATACTTTGGGTTTCTTTCGATTTCATTTATGGCTTTTAGTTCTTCCCGCGATTCCTGACTCCTAAAGGATTCTTTTAGCTTAAGTTCGATGCTTGCTATTTCTCTGACCAGTGTCTCCCTGCGCATTTCAGATATATTGACCTCTTTTAGCCGCTCTGTTATTTTTTCCGTCGCCTGTAAAGGGAGCGCCTGTCTCTTTCTATTTTACATCTACTCCTTCTTTTTCTTAGAGGAATAAGCCTTGTGCATACATCGAGTGCCACCGAGTTAATCTGTTCTAGGCATAAGTTTGGGTCTTGTGTTGCTTAGTATATCTTCCCAGCTTATATCGGTTAGGACTTGGTTTACTTGGTCCCACTTTATGTTTTTGTTATTGAAGTTGAATTTGGTGAATGCTCCCTCGTGACTAGTCTCATTTTGTCGGTCTGGGGCTCCACGCATACATGTCTGAACCTCAATTATGTTGTGATCTGAGTATATTGTTTTTGATATGGTGACATTTCTTATCAGATCATCATTGTTAGTGAAGATGAGGTCTAGTGTATTCTCCAGTCTAGTAGGCTCTATTATTTGCTGGTTTAAATTGAATTTTGTGCAGAGATTTAAAAGCTCGTGTGAGTGTGAGTTTTCATCAGAGCTGCCTCCTGGTGTTATTACTGCAACAATATTATTTGCTATATTCCTCCATTTTAGGTGCCTTAAGTTGAAATCCCCCAGGAGCAAGATGTTGGGTGCAGGAGCTGGAAGATTTTCCAGACAGTGGTCAATTTTTAACAGCTGTTCCTGGAATTGCTGGGTTGCATCCGGAGGCTTGTAGACTACCACAATGACTAGGTTTTGGTTCTCGACCTTTACTGCTAAAACTTCCACTACGTCATTTGAGGCATTAAGCAGTTCTGTGCAAACAAGTGACTCTGCAATGTACAGGCCAACCCCCCCCCCCCCTTTTGCCTGTTCACTCTGTCACATCTGTATAGGTTGTAACCTGGGATCCATATTTCGTTGTCCAAGTGATCCTTTATGTGGGTCTCAGTGAAAGCCGCGAACATTGCCTTTGCCTCTGCAAGCAGTCCACGGATGAAAGGTATTTTGTTGTTTGTTGCTGGCTTTAGACCCTGTATATTTGCAAAGAAGAATGTTATCGGACTGGTGGTATTGTTGGTACTGGGGGGGGATTTTTTTTTTTTGGCATTAGTATCTGTATCTGTTGGTTTGGAGTGGAGGCCATCGACTGTGGTTCCACTCCAGGAATGACTGGATTTGGTGTACGATTTCTGCCATTTCCTGCCAGTTTTTTTTCCTTCCTGGCACTAAAAAACCTCTCCCTCTTGAGTGGCTGTGGCTACCCAGGTTTTCCCATGGCCTGGATGTTTTGTATCTTTTTGTCCCCTTTAGATGGTATGCCTGGCAATTTAAGTTATAGCACAGTCTTTCCTGTACTGAAGAGGTACACATTTCAGGGTGAAAAAGCTTACAGGAAGGGAGTTTGCATTTTCCTGTTGTCATATGGGCATGACATTTTCTAGGGTGGTCATAGTTGCATGTCCCATCTGTTTTTCCAGATTTCCCATGCCAGCAGATACCAAGTGCATAGTATGTGCACAGGCTTGGTTTCCGTTTGCCTTGGGTTTCTGTGACTGTATTCCCTGTTGGTGCATGTTTCCCTGTCTTACTCCTATCCTCCCTAGCACCAACAATGGAGCTCCCACCAGTTGTTTTTGGTAATTTATCCTCACTATTGCTATTGGAGTCCTCTTGTTTGCTATTTCCTGCGGTATTTCTAGTTTGCAATATATTGGTTTTATCTTATCTTTGACTACACTTGTTTCCCTACTATGGCTCCTGTCCTCTATGAGGTCATTTATATGTAGTCCTTCCTGCGTATAATTCCCGACTACCTGGACAAAATCTCCAGCTTCACCATTACTGTCTCCCAGGACAGTATCTCCAGCTTCACCATTTCTGTCTCCCAGGACAGCACCTCCAGCTTCACCATTACTGTCTCCCAGGACAGCACTATCAGCCCCACATTTACTGACTACCAGGACATCACCTCCAGCCTTACAGTTTGTGACTACATGGCCAGTATCAAGGGCAGTACCATTCAGCCCAGACTTTTTATGTTCCCATCTGTTGTAGAAAGCTTCCAGGTTTTCTATGAAAGCAGCTTTGATGTTATCCTCTTTTATTACCCTTGTAATTTTAGTCCACAGATTTTCCTCATTTGGGCATACCCAAAAACACTTCTCTGTTTTAATACTGCTTGTAGCTAGTTCTGGGATATCGCACAGGGGCGTGACACCAATTTCCACAAAATGACAATTTATCCATGTGGAAGCCCGTTTGTTTTTACTGACCACAGACTACACACAGCTTCATAATGATTTGAATGGTTGATTTACTGCAATTCTACTAGCAACCTCTTGAATATTATATTAATAACCTTAAATGAAACTCTAGCTATTTGTATTTCTGTTTCTAACTCTTTTTGTATATTGGACAGCTTACCGTCACGTTCCTGATTTTTAATGTTTGTGTTTATAAGGGCGCCTACAACCCCATCCGTTTACAGTCTGCTTTATTGTCCAACGAAACTGTTTGAAACCAGTCCCGGGTTCGGACCAGTCAAGGGTTCGGACCAGTCAAGGGTTCGGACCAGTCACGGGTTCGGACCAGTCGATCTGCTCTGATCAGTGGGTCACTTATTTAAAACATACTGGTCGGTGATTTGAGCTAACACATGAAGGATCTACTGGAAATTATCTACCCGAGTAATATGTGAATTTGACTGATACAAAAGTATAACTTGCGTGTTGAAGAGCCGGTGATATCTGGCAGCTCCTACAATGACGTACAGTCGACCTCTTTGTTTATCAATCGCTGTATCTGGCTTTTCTATTTTTGTTTTTTCCGTCTCCACCACAATAAATGCTATATTATCACTATAGTTGACTGGTGAAAATTTTGGAGGAAGGACGCTTTTTCTGTAGTAATAATTGCTTCTCGTTGTGTATATTGCGACCGCTGGTAACTACAGGTTATATGAAATTCACAGTAACGTCTCGTATTTCAAGAAAAAGAAACTAATGAAAGTCACTCCACTCCACTAAGTACCATTATAATACTGGTTAGATGCTACTACAACACTGTATTCTGCTATTCACTGGTATCACTAGATTATATGCGAGTACACTAGCAGGCCAGGAAGATTATTAAAAACAGCTGACCTGTGGTAAGTTTCTGGCGACTTCTTGCACCTGCCTCTATAGGCTTATCACTTCATTTACAAATTCGCCCAAAAAAGAAAAACAAAAGTTTCTCTTTTTAAATTTAGTAATTTATATGGGAGAAGGGGTTACTAGCCCCTTGCTCCCAGCATTTTAGTTGCCTCTTACAACACGCATGGCTAACGGAGGAAGAATTCTGTTCCACTTCCATGTGCTTGATATTGTTATCCAACATATTAAGCAACCATAGTCATTTTTTAATATCACATTAGACTTTTGTGCTATATTTATACCATACACTTCCCCCTCATGACAGTTCCTTTACATACATGGTAGTCGATTATGATCTTCGTTGTCATAAGAGTAGAGGAGCACTGCAGCAGAGCTAGTGACACATGCAAAGAAGGTCCTCATGTCTAAGTGAGCATCAGAGGGCAGGCACTGTTTTGGTCCTGTGGCTGCCACTGAGTCCTCAGTTGGTCACTTGCATATACTTATTAGCCCCGGGGTCATTTTAGTAAATATAAGTCTTAATTTTTGGACTTGATGGTGTGGGAATTGAGAGCTTAAGTTTATTTTGTTTTGAACTCATCAGCAGTCTCCTACCAAGGTAGAGTGACCTAAAACAGGAAACATTCACCATTATTCATTTAGTTACTTGCCAGCACACTTATGACAAGACATAATTCAGATGATGCTCTTAACTACATCATTCTCACCCTTCCTTCAAAGTGTAAGCATTGCCCTTTCCACCTCCAGGACTCTTGAGTCTGCTAACTGATTTCCCTGAATCCCTTCATACACACTAACAGTTCATCAAGTCAAAAAACAAAAAACTTGCTGCCACATCTGTCAGATATGCTAATACATACCTGCTGAATGTCCAAGCCCCTCACATACAAAACCTCCTTGACCCCCTTCCCTCCAACCTTTCCTAGGGCAACCCCTACCTCACCTTCCTCCACCACAGATTTATACACCCTCCAAGTCATCCTATTTTGGTACATCCTCTCTTAATGTCCAGACCACCTCAACAGCCCCTCCTCAGCAGTCTGGATAATACTTTTAGTAACCCCACACCTCCTGATCTCCAAACGACGAATTGCCCTCGGATACAATATCTCCACTGCCTCCATCCTCCTCCTTGATGCAACATTGGTATCTCGTGCTTCACACCCACATAAGAATGGATAATGTTCTTTGTCTCCACAAATGCCTCGATGCACCACCCACCTTTTTTCCCATCATCAATTCTGTGGTTTACCTCATCTTTCACAGAACCGTCCACTAACAAATCCACTCCTAAATATTGAACACATTGACTTCCTCCAAACTCCCTTCTTTCAGTCTGACATCCAGTCTTCCGTTACCTACATATTTTGTTACCCCTCATCAACTTGCTCTTTACATAACTTAAATACTGTATTGGATATTAAACTTAGCATTCGGACAATTACATTTAACTTGGTGTCAGTTTCAAAAATGTAACCTGCACAGTGGGTCTACTGTATTATACATGTAATTTGGTCAGACATTTTCTTACCTTAAAATATGGTACAGTCCACCTAATAAGTCATGGTCCTGTACATTTGGTACTACAGTATAATATTGCTGAGCACTCAGTGACCCTGGAGGGAATAGTGATGGTTTAGAGAGCACTACAAGTTGGGACAGTTAACTAGTTCTACATATATATGTGTGCACCCACACGTGTATGCTACATGTTTGCTCTTGAGCATTTCATGATGACATACCTTTTTTTTTTTATTATGAAATGCTCAAGAGCAAACATGTTAAATTTTATACATGTGTGAGACTTGCTTTGGTACATTTATCTGCCAGTCAAATCCTCTCATCCATTTTATCAGTTTTATTTAGTTTTTGAACAGTTTAGTGATTAAAATTACAATCAGGTCTCATTGAAAGAGCATTATTATTATTATAATTAGAGGGAAGTGCTAAATCCATAGTGATCATACAGCACTTGGGAAAATGGGAGTCTATCATTTTGATCCAAGGAATGGGAAGACATTCAGTTCCTTGAATCAAGAGTCCCTCACCACTCCAAGCCACCTAATTTGAGGTGTGTTGAAAGAGTGGCCAGTTTAATGAGTTGAGTCTAAAGGTTTCATTATTATTATTATAATCAAAAAGAAGCGCTAAGCCACAAGGGCTATACAGCAATCTAAAGGTTTCAAAAACAAAAGAACAAGCTCAAGTTCTCCATATAATTTAACTAGCAAGTTGAGAGGAACTGTTCTAATTGTTACTGGTTGAGTGAGATAGTCACAGTTAATCACTGATAGTGGCAAGCTGGCCTAATAGACTTCATTTTTTATATTAAGTGAATTACGTGGCAGGATAACCCAAAAGCCTAGAAAATTTTGTTTTATTTGTATTTAAGTTAGTTCTCATTCATTGTCTTTACTTGCATTATACTTATTTACATTATTAAATAAAAAATTTTACACTTCTGGATATTATAGGTTTTACTGTTTACAATGCATTGAAATGTGTAATATATATCAGAAACAGAAATTGGTATTTAAAAATCATTTATGGATTTGGAAAAGGCATATGACAGGGTGGATAGGGGGGCAATGTGGCAGATGTTGCAGGTGTATGGTGTAGGAGGTAGGTTACTGAAAGCAGTGAAGAGTTTTTACGAGGATAGTGAGGCTCAAGTTAGAGTGTGTAGGAAAGAGGGAAATTATTTCCCAGTAAAAGTAGGCCTTAGACAAGGATGTGTGATGTCACCGTGGTTGTTTAACATATTTATAGATGGGGTTGTAAGAGAAGTAAATGCGAGGGTCTTGGCAAGAGACATGGAGTTAAAAGATAAAGAATCACACATAAAGTGGGAGTTGTCACAGTTGCTCTTTGCTGATGACACTGTGCTCTTGGGAGATTCTGAAGAGAAGTTGCAGAGATTGGTGGATGAATTTGGTAGGGTGTGCAAAAGAAGAAAATTAAAAGTGAATACAGGAAAGAGTAAGGTTATGAGGATAACAAAAAGATTAGGTGATGAAAGATTGGATATCAGATTGGAGGGAGGGAGTATGGAGGAGGTGAATGTATTCAGATATTTGGGAGTGGACGTGTCAGCGGATGGGTCTATGAAAGATGAGGTGAATCATAGAATTGATGAGGGGAAAAGGGTGAGCGGTGCACTTTGGAGTCTGTGGAGACAAAGAGGGGAATGTATGAGAGTATAGTTTTACCAATGCTCTTATATGGGTGTGAAGCATGGGTGATGAATGTTGCAGCGAGGAGAAGGCTGGAGGCAGTGGAGCTGTCATGTCTGAGGGCAATGTGTGGTGTGAATATAATGCAGAGAATTCGTAGTTTGGAAGTTAGGAGGAGGTGCGGGATTACCAAAACTGTTGTCCAGAGGGCTGAGGAAGGGTTGTTGAGGTGGTTCAGACATGTAGAGAATGGAGCGAAACAGTGTAACTTCAAGAGTGTATCAGTCTGGAAGGAAGGCGGGGTAGGGGTCGGCCTAGGAAAGGTTGGAGGGAGGGGGTAAAGGAGGTTTTGTGTGCGAGGGGCTTGGACTTCCAGCAGGCATGCGTGAGCGTGTTTGATAGGAGTGAATGGAGACAAGTGGTTTTTAATACTTGACGTGCTGTTGGAGTGTGAGCAAAGTAACATTTATGAAGGGGTTCAGGGAAACCGGCAGGCCGGACTTGAGTCCTGGAGATGGGAAGTACAGTGCCTGCACTCTGAAAGAGGGATGTTAATGTTGCAGTTTAAAAACTGTAGTGTAAAGCACCCTTCTGGCAAGACAGTGATGGAGTGAATGATGGTGAAAGTTTTTCTTTTTCGAACCACCCTGCCTTGGTGGGAATCGGCCAGTGTGATAATAAAAAAAAATCATTTCCTCTAATGTCACTATTTTTATTACATTGTACCTTGCATGTACAGCTTAAATCCATTCTTCAGGTATCATAACATTATTGACACAGCAACACCATGGAATCTTGGTACATTGGATATTTTCTATATCCAGCTTTCTAAACTCTGGTCCAAGTCTTGGGCATGACCTACTTCCACTAGTGGGTTCTGCCCACCAGTGATAGTGCCTTCAACTACTGCACCTCATTTGATTCCAGTATATAAGAATTATTCATCTTGTTTATGCTTTAGATTCATAAAGACTATGATAGTGAACACTTTCAAGGCTGAGGACCATATTACCTCATCTGTTGTCTCCTGTTATAATTATTATAATAATGGGGAAATGCTATATCTGTAGGATTATACAGCACCTGTGGGGGGGGGAATGGAAGGTATTCAGGCTTAATTCAGGGAACTGGAACACAGATCCAATTCCCTTGATCAAGGGCCCCTCACCAGCATCAAGGAATCCCCCTCGAGGGGACTGTCTCCTGTTACTTGTGCTGTATTAAATTGATAAGTCAGTGGTTGGTGAAGCATCTTTAAAATATAGGTACTCAGGTGTTGAACATATCTAATTCATCATTATGTTGGTATTGCTTACCAGTAATGTAATGATACTTGTCTGACACAACCATTATTATTATTATTATTATTATTACTATTATTATTATTATTACTATTATTATTATTATTATTATTATTATTATTCAGATGTGACATAGAATAGAACTCGTGGAAAGAGCTATGTTATACTGTAGAAATAGATACTCAAATCACTTCATTTTTAGGATGCATTACTGTATTACCTATTTGTAGCTACAGGAGCAGAGCTATACTCATGATATCCAGTCTTCTATCATATAGATTAATTTCTATGTGACGTACATGGTAATGTAATCATAGATCCAAATATGTGGCTAATTTACCTGTATGTCTGGTTAGCTGTTGCCAACTCTAGTGCTCTTGGGATGAACATGTGACTTGTGCAGGCTCCCCATGTAATTGTAATATACTGATGTATTCCAAATGTTATCTTGCATTTTTCTATAATGAATATTATTTGCCAGTCTGTTGCCCAATAGTGAAGTTGCATAGGCATGGTAGTAATGCCTTCTCTGCTGTTCACCATAAATCTCTGAAAAAAATTCTCATGGCATTCTATTCAAAAACAATGATTGTAGCTGCATTCTACTCTATTATAATACTTGATTTTAAAGTTCCAGCCATTGTTTTATACATTGTAAAGTATGTGATGTAGAAATGATGTTAATTGTACTTAAATTGTATTGTTGATCTCATGTAGCCATCTTTTAAAACATTTCAAATATACTGTATGAATGCAGTATTTTTAATGGAATAATATCATTATTGAAAAAGGACTTTTTTTTTTTTTCAATGAACTGGCCATATCCCACTGAGGCAGGGTGACCTAAAAACAAACTTAAAAGTTTTTCTTTTTACATTAATAATTTATACAGGAGAAGGGGTTACTAGCCCCTTGCCCCACCTCAAAAAGGAATGCAATTATATAGTGGTGCCTCGAGTTTTGAACTTAATTCGTTCCAGAAGGCTGTTCAAGTCCCAATACCGAACAAATTTGTTCCTATAAGGAATAATGTAAATTAGATTAGTCTGTTTGAGACCCCCAAAAATACACTTACAAAAATACACTTACATAATTGTTTGAGTTGGGAGCTGTTTGAAATTCGAGGTACCACTGTATATGTAAAACTTGCTAAGTTATACAGTATTATAATGATTGCTTCTTCATTTATTTAATATGTACAGTATTTTGAAAACTATTCAATGATTTTTGTTCTGTTACATTTGATATTTTGGCTGCAAGTGACTATCAACAAGATGCAGTTTTTGCTTCAAAATATTTCTGCTTGTTTAATTTTTTGTGGCAATATGTATAAAAATATTATCTCCTGTGTTACCCTAAGTACTTCCTTTTTAAGATGTTTTATAAACATGTACAGTACTATGCATTTTAGATCTGTATATAAATAAACAAAACCTGTGTAAAATGTATAGGTTTCACCTTATTTAAATTTGTGTCACTTTCAATTTAGATATTCAGCAGTTTAAGATATAGTCAAGTAAAACAAACACTTCATATCAACAAAATCCTGTGAAATTTTTCTAGATGTACCTGTTCTATTTAGGGCAGAAGCATTAAACCCATATGGGCCATACAATGCCTGAACAGTCATATTCAATCCAACTAAGAGGACACATCTTACCCATTGGATCAAGAGCCTTTACCAGCATTAAGGAACCTTCCTTGAGAGATGACAAGGGAAAACGGTGAGTATATGAGAATAGCTCTTAGCTAATCTTACCACAACCTTCTTTAACCCTTTCAGGGTCCGTCCCGTAGATCTACGGCTTTACGGTGAGTGTCCAAACCGTAGATCTACGCCATGAGCTCAGCTCACTCTGATAAACTGTGAGTGGTACATTTGGGCCTAGATATGAGAGAATACATCTATGTGGTATGTGTGCACCACATAAAACAGATCCTGCAGCACACTGTGTATAATGAGAGAAAAAAACTGAAATCATGATTTTTCGATTAAAACAGCGACTTTGCAGTGTTTTTTCGTATGTTTTTTATAGTTGTATTTGCGATTTCTTGGTCTCATTTGATAGAATGGAAGACATATTACAGAAATAGAGATGATTTTGATTGGTTTTAGCACTGGAAATGGCTTGAAACTGAGCTCAAAGTAGCGGAAATGTTAAATTTTTGCCGATATTCAAGAGTAAACAAACGACCTCACACATCTAATACACGTCAGCTGGTGGGTCTAATATACATTCACAAATATGGTGATGATATTTATACAATTATTACAGTATTGCATAACAGTAAATCTATTTTTTGGTGTGAATAAAAATTCATTATGTGAATAAAAAATCAAAGTGGAATTTATTTGTAAAGCCTCAAAATGTAACTAATGAACAGAGGAAATGTTAGTTTAGTTCCAGGAATACCTACATTGTTTATTCTGGAGCCTATTTTGAAATTGGAATATTTTGAACTTTGTGTTAAATTGGCCAAATTAACAATTTCCGATCACTTTATTTTGTAGTTGAAACAGTTGACTTGGCGATTTCTTGTGCTCAATCGATAGAATAGAAGTAATACTAGTGAAATAGCCAAGAATTTGGTTGATTGGAATAATGTAATTGGCCTAAAATGGGAGTCAAAGTCGGCAAAATCGCCGATTCGTAAATATCGCTGACACATCAAAATTCGCGAGAGCATAATTTCGTCAATTTTCCACCAAATTTCGTACTTTTTGTTTTATTACCTTCACAAAAAGATTCTCTATGATTTCATAAGAAAAAATAACAAATTTTTTTTTTGAAAATTCTTGGACACTGGTGCGTGACTTCAGATTTGGGCCTTGGACCCTGAAAGGGTTAAACTGTATAGCCCATACCAGAAAAAAGTGGCTGCCTATAAGAAATGGATAAAGAAGTGCAATGAGCTGATGACAAAACTAGTAACCAATGCCACTCAGGTGTTGATTATTTACATTCATGGGGAGGGTTAAGTCTATAGGGGTCACGTAATTTTAACCCTTTCAGGGTCCAAGGCCAAAATCTGAAGTGGTGCCCCAGTGTCCAAGAATTTTCAAAAAAAAAAATTTTTATTTTTTCTTATGAAATGGTAGAGAATCTTTTTGTGAATGTAATAAAACAAAAAGTACAAAATTTGAAGGAAAATTGACGAAATTATGCTCTCGTGAATTTTGATGTGTCAGCGATATTTACGAATCGGCGATTTTGCCGACTTTGACTCCCATTTTAGGCCAATTACATTATTTTCCCGTCGACCAAATTCTCAGCTATTTCACTAGTATTACTTCTATTCTATCGATTGAGCACAAGAAATCGCCAAGTCAACTGTTTCAACTACAAAATAAAGTGACCGGAAATTGGTAATTTGGCCAATTTAACACAAAGTTCAAAATATTCCAATTTCAAAATAGGGTCCAGAATAAACTATGTAGGTATTCCTGGCACTAAACTAACATTTCCTCTGCTCATTAGTTATGTTTTGAGGCTTTACAAATAAATTCCATTTTGATTGTTTATTCACATAATGAATTTTTATTCACACCAAAAAATAGAAGATTTACTGTTATGCAATATTGTAATAATTGTATAAATATCATCACCACATTTGTGAATGTATATTAGACCCACCAGCTGGCGTATATTAGACGTGTGAGGTCGTTTGTTTACTCTTGAACATCGGCAAAAATTTAACATTTCCGCCACTTTGAGCTCAATTTCAAGCCATTTCCAGTGCTAACACCAATCAAAATTATCTCTATTTCTGTAATATGTCTTCCATTCTATCAAATGAGACCAAGAAATCACAAATACAACTATAAAAACATACGAAAAAACACTGCAAAGTCGCTGTTTTAATCGAAAATCATGGTCTCAGTTTTTTTTCTCATTATACACAGTGTGCTGCAGGATTTGTTTTATGTGGTGCACACATACCACATAGATGTATTCTCTCATATCTAGGCCCAAATTTACCACTCACAGTTTATCAGAGTGAGCTGAGCTCATGACGTAGATCTACGGTTTGGACCCTGAACGTAAAGCCGTTGATCTATGGGACGGACCCTGAAAGGGTTAATGGGAAATGCTAAACCCATAGGGGCCATGTAATTTTATGGGGAAATACTAAACCCATAGGGGTCATACAACATCTGTGGAATAGGAGAGAGACAGGTTCAATCTGAGGAAAAGGATGACATATTCCATGGATTAAGAGCCCCTCAAAAACATCAAGGGACCCTTGATGAGGATAGGTGTCAAAGCACCAAGGAAATTGGAAGTAATCAGATTCAATCCAAGGAAATTATTATTATTATTATTATAATCAAAAAGAAGACAAGCCAAGGAAAGGGTGGGTAGTTCTGATCCTCTCCCCTTGTGGTTTAGCACTTCTTTTTGATTATAATCTGATTCTCTCAATTGAACCTTACACCAACATCAAGGCACCTCCCTTGAAGGGCATACAGGTGATAGTAATAATTCACCAAGTACTAAACCCATACAGGTGATGAAACAAGTACATGCAATATGCTAAGTTGTGCTAATTAACCTTTAAACGGTCCAAACATATATATACGTTCACCTGCGCAGTGCCCCGAATATTTTGTGAAAAAAGTTTTTTTTTTTTATAGGAAAAAAGAGCATGTGGTACCCAGACGTCCCCAATTTTTTTTCATGTGGCGCACACTTGAGTGCACACCCATTCTCTCATGTCTAGGCAACTCAGGCCTATCGTGCCAATGTTGAATGAATGACAATTGAAACGTATACATACATTTGGGGCGCTAAGTAAGAGAACGTGTATATACGTTTGGACCGCTTAAGGGTTAATTAAAGATAATTACACATACCCGCACATGGAGTCATATATCAAATGATTGGTTAAGGTTTGAAGTGCTGGAAGTGAAGCCTGAAAACACAAGACAAAACATATCAAATCCACAAGAAATATCTTTTTTTTTTTTTTCAACAAGTCGGCCATCTCCCACCAGGGCAGGGTGACCCAAAAAGAAATAAAATCCCCAAAAAGAAAATACTTTCATCATCATTCAACAGTTTCACCTCACTCATACATAATCACTGTTTTTGCAGAAGCACCCAGATAAACAGTTTAGAAGCATATATATATAAAGATAGATAACATATCCCTCAAAACTGCCAATATCCCAAACCCCTCCTTTAAAGTGCAGACATTGTACTTCCCATTTCCAGTACTCAAGTCCAGCTATATAAAAATATCATGTTTACCAGAATCCCTTCACTAAATATTACCTTGCTCACACTCCAACAGCTCATCAGATCACAAAAACCATTCGTCTCCATTCACTCCTATCTAACACGCTCACGTACACTTGCTGGAAGTAAGCCCCTTGCCCACAAAACCTTCCTCCCTCCAACCTTTTCAAGGGTGACCCCTACCCCGCCTTCCTTCCCCTACAGATTTATACGCTCTCCATGTCATTCTACTGCGATTCATTCTCTCTGAATGACCAAACCACCTCAGCAACCCCTCTTCAGCCCTCTTGACTAATACTTTTATTAACTTCACACCTCCTAATTTCCACACTCTGAATTTTCTGCATAATGTTTACACCACACATTGCCCTTAGACAGGACAATTCCACTGCCTTTTTGCTGCAGCATTTACAACCCAAGCTTCACACCCATTTAATAGAGTTGGTACCACTATACTTTCATACATTCCCTTCTTTGCCTCCATAGATAATATTTTTTGTCTACATGTACCTCAACACACCACTCGCCTTTTTTCCTTCATCAATTCTATTGTTAACCTCAGCCTTCATAAACCCATCCGCTGACACGTCAACTCCCAAATACCTGAAAACATTCAGTTCTCCAATGTGATATCCAATTTTTATCTAAATCACTTGATACCCTCATCACCTTACTCTTATCTGTGTTCACTTTCAACTTTCTACCTTTACACACCCTCCCAAACTCATCCACTAACTTTTGCAACTTTTCTTTAGAATCTCCCATAAGCACAGTATCATCAGCAAAAAAGTAGCTCTGTCAACTCCCATTTTGTATTTGATTCCCCAAAGTTTAATCCCACCCCTCTCCCCAACACCCTAGCATTTACTTCTTTTACAACCCCATTTTTTAAACCACCATGGTAACATTACACATCCCTGTCTAAGACCTACTTTTACTGGGTAGTAGTCTCCCTCTCCTACACACCCTAACCTGAGCCTCACTATCCTCATAAAAACTCTTTACAGCATTTAGTAACTTACTACCTATTCCATATACTTGCAACATCTGTTGCATTGCTCCCCTATCCACTCTATCATATGCCTTTTCTAAATCCATAAATGCAATGAAAACTTCCCTACCTTTATCTAAATACTGTTCACATATATGCTTCAATGTAAACACTTGATCTACACATCCCCTACCCATTCTAAAGCCTCCTTGCTCATCCGCAATCCTACTGTCTTGCCTCTAATTCTTCCAATAGTAACTATACCGTACACTTTTCATGGTATACTCGGTAAGCTTATTCCCCTATAATTTTTACAATCTCCTTTGTCCCCCTTCCCTTTATATAAAGGAAATATACAAGCTCTTTGCCAATCCCTCAGTACCTTCCCCTCTTTCATACATTTATTAAACAAAAAATACCAACCACTCCAACACTAACCCCCCCCCCCCCCTGCTTTTAACATTTCTGTCATGATCCAGTCATTCTACGTAATGCCTCACATAATTCCCCCACACTCACATCCTGCTCTTCTTCACTCCTAAAAGATGTTATACCTCCCTGACCAGTGCATGAAATTACTGCGTCCCTTACTTCATCGACATTTAAAAGTTCCTCAACATATTCCCACCATCTACCCAATACCTCCAGCTCCCCATCTACTAATTCCCTGTTTCTAACTGACAAATCCATTCATTCCCTAGGCTTCCTTAACTTGTTTATCTCACTCCAAATTTTTTTTATCTACAATAGATAGGAATAATAAAAATTTGAAAGTACTATAGTATTTAATGATTTTTTTTATTTTAATGAATGGTTAAACTGTAAATCATTGGAAATCTATAAAATACTAATTTGACTTGCTACCAAAATTTTCCTTGTGTGTGTGTGTGTGTATTACTAGTCACAAGTGACTAGAGGATGATGCAGCAAATAAGTTTAAATTTACAAAAAGCTTTAAACAAGAAAATTAGTGTATTTCCAGAAGAATTTACATTATTCAAAGCTGAAAAATGCTAACACTGCAAGATACTGATATGACAGCTAATTACAGTATTAATACATTTATCAATTACAAGAATAAATATTTACTAGTTTTCTAGTTTAGCTACATTAAATATTGCATTTCTGAATATGTTGGAGGCCTCATTCAGGTTAGCAGTTTCACGCCTATGACATCCTTTCCATTGTTAACAATGTATCTAACAATAAAGTGTAATCTCTGTGGGCAAAAATTATTTAAATGTTTAAAAGTTTCAAGTTTAATAATTAAACAAATTCAGTAATTGTGTTGTAGTATTATAATTGGTGTTTGATGTATGGGAGTGTTTGTTTATTTAGATATAGGTACTGTTTACATCCATAACAATAAGAACAAAATGAGCTATGATACGATGCATGGAAATGACATGAGCTTAAGATTATTTAACATACTGTGACATGAGTTACAGCAAATGAGTCAAGGGGCTTTTGTGCCATAGGTTATTCAAAATGAGATCAACATAAAACACACCAAAAGAAAAGCTGAAAATACTGTATATCCTGCTGACTTGACATGCAATATCAACTGATAGGTTTTCAACCTACTAGATAAGAAAATTTAATATTACATTGTACTGTCACAAATTTAACACTTAAGCTTTAGCAGACAAGGACTAACTGCTTTCTAAAATCCAAATGACTAACCATAAATTTCATATTACACACATGTTCAGTACTTAACTGAAGAAGACACAGTGGAGTGGAAAAATAAATTCTTTTGCTGACACTCATTCCTTGATGCCTATAACTTTAAACAAATGTTGTCAAAATTCTACATTTCTCATCAACCTATAATGACCGAGTATAAAATTTGCTAGGATACATTGCCTACAATAAAAAAAGTTTGTAAAGTCATTAAATTAGGAATTCTAATAGTTCACCATCATATTCTTATTCACTAACAGCATCATTGTTAGTATCCTCATTTTCTTCTATTTCTTCCTTATTATTTTCATCTTCATTTTCACCCTTTTCATCTTCCTTAGTCTGAGAAAAAAAAAAACATTTGTAAGAAGTGTGAGCCAATGATTATTACATACAAGTAAATGCACAAAGTGTAACGAACATAAAGAGCAGTTGAAAGATGCAAGTAAACATTAGACAGAAGTACAGTATCTATTTATCCATGTAATATCCAAATGTATTCATTTGGATCTATGAACCACAGAATAAAGGAAATAAAAGTAGATAGTGTACTGAGGCATCTGTGAAAAGAAAGGCATATATATGGAGGCAAAAGAGGGGAATGTACCAGAGTAAAGCTGATGAGACAGGCTTTAAAAGTTGCAGGCTGGAGGAAATGAGATGTCATTTTTGAAAGCAATGTGTGGTATGAATATTATGCATAGAATTCAGAGAATAGAAATTAGAAGACAGAGAGGGGGCTACCAAAAGTAAAATTCAGAGGGTTGAGCAGAGGTTGTTGAGGTGGTTAGGGCATTTCGAGAGGACAGAAGCAAAACAGGATGACAAGAGGGGTACACATATCCGGGGTGGAAGGAAGGAGGGGTAGTAGTTGTCCCAGGAAGAATTGGAGGGAGGTGGAAAAGAAGGTTTTGAAAGCTAGAGACTTGAGCATTCAACAGACTTGTGACAGTGAGTTAGACTGAAGCAAAGATGAATGATTTTCATTGCTTGACGTACTGCAAGAGTGTGAGGTAGCATTTATGAAGGGATTCAGGGAAACCAGTTAGCTGGATTTGAGTCCTGAAGGAAGGAAACAGTGCCTGCACTCTAAAGGAGGAATAGGGATGTTGCAGTCACCAGGGTCATTTGAACAGTGATATAAATTGATCTGAACAAACAGGGAAAGGGGCCAGACGACCAGACACAAATTACAAATTCAGGAGACAGAGGCTGCAGACCTCACTTGGGGAAAAAGACTAAGAGGTGAGCATAGTGCCTAGCATATCACCAGAGACTCGCAACAACCATATGACCTCTGCAGCCAATGCTCATCTGACAAATCTAAGAGTAGCCTTCAGGAACCTCAACAAAGAGCCCTTTGTACAACCTACATCATGCTCATCTTCAAGTGTGAAGCACTGTCATGGAACCCACAACTGAAAAAGCATATTAAGAAACTAGAGAATGCGTAGGCATATGTAACAAGACTAGTTATTGAGATACAAACAAAGGCTAACAGAATTGAATCTAATGACATTTGCAGAGGAATCAGGATATAACAACATTCAAAATATTCATGAGGAATTAATAGGGTACACAAGGATTAGTGGATAACAGATACTTCAGGACATAGCTGGAAATTAAAGACACAGATAAGCCACATCGATATCAAGAAGTGTTCTTTAGTCACAGGGTGCTCAGGAAGTGGAATAACTGAAAATTAAATACACAGATAAGCCACATGGATATCAGGAAGTGTTTCTTTAGTCATAGGGTGCTCAGGAAGTGGAATAACCTCAATGAAGGAGTAGTGGACTCCATACAGTTTACGATAAGGCGCAAGTGGCCAGGAGGAAGCTTATCTTCCATGCAGCAGGATGAGGAGGATCTAGGAGTAATAAATTGACCCCTGCAACCACATATAGGCAAGTATATACTGATGAGTACGTTGTGCAAGAAAGTGTATTCCAAATTTATTTTAAATTTTGGCAAAATTTTATGTATGTAAAGGCCATGATTTGAAAACTGGTGAATCACTCTTGCAAAATATGGTTCACTTACGGCCAAGAAAATATTGTAAATTATACATTAGTAAAAAGAGATGATTCACTTCATTCCTCACATTAAAGGAGATACTGATAATATATTAACAAGATCAAAAATAAAAAATGGATTAAGAAAACACATTATACAATTAATCTCTCTCAAAGCTGTCAGCTAAAATATATTTATAGATTTCTTGAACTACAAACCTGTTTTATAAATCAGAATATCTAAATGTATGAGCAATCTGAGGGCATTTTAATGTTCAAATAAAAAAACTGACAAATTTCTTATTGGAAATTTATGAATAAATTTCTTACTGGAAATTCATCCATAAATTTTTTCTATTATATACAACAATTTCATCTATGAGACTGATAAAAGGCTCACCTTTTTATTGGTGTGGGATTCTTCAATATCATCATCCACAACACGTTTTTCTTGTTTGACACCATCCCTAAAAAAACATCAAATGCATTATAAAACTTATTAGTCACAGTAAATCTAACCTTTACCTACTACTTACAAGCCACTCTAATTTTTCAACTCTCACTGCATCAAATTACTTATCTTTTAAATATTAATTATTTAGCAATCATACTTTCATTCCAACAGCAACAAAATAATATTATTATTATTACAATAATCATAACTAAGCACTAAACCCACAAGGGTCATACAGCAATAATAATTTTTTTTTTTAATACACCAGCTGTCTCTCACTAAGGTAAGATGACCATCACTTGCTCCATCAACATCTTGCTGTAGGCACACTGCAATATTCCCACCCCTCTTTCAGAATGCAGGCACTGTAATTCCCACCTCCAGGACTTAAGTCCAGCTAACCAGTTTCCACGATTCTCTTCATAAATGTTACGTTGCTCACAATTCAACAGCATCTCAAGTCATAAGAACCACTTGCCTCCACTCACTCCTAACTTACACACTCACACATACCTGTTGGATGTCAACCCTCCCATTACTTAAATTTTTTGCTATTCTCATCAACTTGCTCTTTCATATGTTCACTTTTAATTTCCTTCTTTTACATAATAATAATACTCCGGTAATAATACTCTAATGACAAATTATTCACCAAAAAATACAGTACAGTAGAACCCCTGTGTTCACAGATTCTGTTTCCATGGTTTCATTCATCCGCAGTTTACTGTGGCCCTTAAATATTAAATGGAAAATTCCAGAAATACACGATTCATGGGTTTCAAACTGCACGCCATTCTGAGTAACATGGTGAAACCTTCCTGCCCTGTTGTATTCAGTACATGACTCCTCTCTCTTTGTCCTATGTACCCACACTGGTCCTCTTTTAGGGGTATACAGCCTGCACGGTGCAGGCCATTTAGTGTTTGCCCAATTTCTTTTAATTTTTGGGGGGTTTGAATAAGCATATGTCATATTACTGTGTAAAAGTTTCATTAAGATCAGCCAACAAACAAATAAAAAAATATATACTGGCAGCAAGACCTCATGTACTGACACTGCCAAAAGAGTTCTGGGCACTCCCTACAGATAAAACAATGCTCAACCAATTTTATCATGAAATTAAATACTGTAATATACCTTATTTTCATTCCCACAAAAAATAAAGTTGGTAAGTTTTTGACATTTAGTATACCTGCCCTTTACCTTCCTCCTAATACAAAGAAATAAAAGCTACTGTGAAAATATCAACATTAGTTTGTAAAACACTCAGTGTTGAGTGCTTATTGTGAAAATGATTTCAATCCATGCATTATTAATGGATGGTTTTCAATAAGTCAACTTATTGCTGAGATCAAGAAAAAAACAGCCAAACATGTTACTTGGGAGCAAATTTTTTGCCCTATTTATGAGTCTTGGCATACAAAAGGAGTGTTCTTCTGCAGCTACCCCTATGATACACATTTTTTATCATGTTAGTGGACCAGTGAGAGTGTAAAATTATATTCTTATGGTTACACTGCTTTACCGCTCGCTGCCGACCACTCCTCAAATTATATCAGCTTTTCTTCATTTGGGCATCTGTATTATGTTTGTATGGTATTTATTGTATGTCTAATGTCATTCTGGAAGACTTGTGATAGATAAATACAATAGTCAATAATACAGTAAATAGGTAACATGGATGTCCTTTGAACCAAGATTCCATGATGTTGCAGTGTCTGACAAGTTGTACACGAATGGTATACAATACCGATAACTTGAAAAATTTAGACACGTGTAACATCTGGGTATCTTTACTGTAGACGTTCCGCCAACCAGTGGCTTTATCAATACAAATTCTAGGACATTATTAGAAGACAGTAGAACTATATACAAAAGATTAGGTAATCAGTCCCTCAGCCTCGAAGGTGGTGTTAAGAGCACCGTGGTCGTGAAGATTCTGGACCACAGGCAAGAAGGCTGCTGCTTTTATACTGGCGGAAGATGGAGGGCATAGTCACTGGTGGGCGGGAATCCCCAGTGGAAGTAGGTCACACCTGAGGCACAGGTTAGTGGTGGTAGTAGTAGTAGTAATCGTCGCAGTAGTAGTAGTCACAGTAGTAACAGCTAGAATTTGTACTGATAAAACCACTGGTTGGCGAAACATCTACAATCAAGATACCCAGATGATGCACATGCCTAAAGTTTTCAATACAGTAAATATACAATATACACCTACCATCTGACTTACAACCTGCTCGACTTACGACCACTCGACTTACGACCGTGTTTTTTATGCCAAATTTCTGGGAAATAAACAACTATTTGTGTTGTACACAGTGTTTATCCTAAACTTTACAGTATAAAATACAGTACTAACAACATAAAAAGTAAAGTAAAACATGAAATACCAAAATAAAACAATAAAGTCATTACAAAAATGTTTTGTTGATATTCAGTAGTAAAGTTCGACTTATGACCATTTCGACTTACGACCGGTTTCTCGGAACCGAACTCGGTCGTAAGTCAGATGGTAGGTGTACAACATTTTACAGCATCATGAGCGACATGCTACTTTTCGTCATGCCATCTTCATTGTCATTCCTGGCTTTTCCTTGGTCTGCCATAGCTATTCCCATTTTGTAACGATGCCAAATGGTGATTTTAATATATTAGGGGGGGAAAAATATAAAAATACAAAAATCAGAAAAAAAAAAAACTGAAAATTCACTTCATGTGCAGGGATGTACTAACTGTGGCATTACCACAAGAAATGTTGTAATGACTATAATTCATTGTAGAAATATTGTACAAAGATGAGACTTACACCAAAATGTTGAAGTATTTTTCTGTAAGTTTAATTTTTTTATCTTTTCAATTTTTTTTATACTGGCCTGCACCATACAGGCTATATACCCCTAAACTCGCATCCAGTTAGCCTCTAGCTTTCTCTCTGCCCGCATTCATTACTGTGTTTCACAATGTTGTTGTGAAGATAAAAATTAATTTTGCTTAATAATGGCCCCAAAGCACAAAAGTAGTGAGAGTGGCAATACTTCAAAGCCTAAGAGAAGTGTAATTTATCAATTAAACTTTATCAGATGTATGCATGTAAACAAAAACAACTTATATATAGGGTTCGCTATTGTCTACGGTTTCAGGCATCTGCATATCACCCACAGATACGGGGAGACTACTTTACTGTATATTGAACAAAAAAATACTGGAGATAATTCAGAAGGAATGAAAATATTGTTTTGTGAAACCTATGGTACAACAGTGACAGCATTTCAAGCAAAACAGTTGGGATAAATACATAAATAAGGATAAAGCATTAGGATGACACTAACACTATGCTATTTATACTGCAGGATGGATGGAGATGTTGCATTTCTGACGATATTTTGAATTAAGCTGTCTACGCACTTCTGGCAAGACAGCTATTGAAAGTGTGATGATCAATGTGTTTCCATTTGAGTCACCCCTACCTTGGTAGGAAACAGCCAGTGTAGTAAAAAAACAAAGAAAATACAATATTGTACCTGCTTCGATGTTTATATGCAGAGTCAACATGTGGCTTTAGTCCATCAAATTCCATTTCCATTAGTTGTTTTTTAATTTCTTCCGCCTCATCTTCTGTTGCAAAATTCATATGGCACATTCTGAAGTAAAAAGAAGATAATCAGTAACAATACTGCACAAAAAAAATGTTTCATTGAATAATTAAGACAGTTTTAGTGCTGAGTAGTTAATACAATACTCACTGTCCCATTTTAAGCAATGCAATGAAAGTGATATATCTTGAAGGTGAACATTAAATGTCAAAAGGAGTTAAAGTAAGCTGTCATCTGTAGCCCTTTATTTTGTACTATCTGCATTATATTTCTCATACAAAAATTTAAAAGTGCAATGTCTGCTGTCACTTGTCCCTCATCTTCAGTATGCTTTTTTAATTATACAGTAGATCAATATACACAATTTCTACATAAAAAGGACACTTCATGGTTTTGTGAGGACACACTTAACTGGTTCATAAGTTAAAGCATACATTTCCATTTACTTTAGATAAAGTACAATGGCTGATAACGAAAATATGAAAACACACAATACACAAATTTATATTGTGGGAGGTATTTCACATGGGGCTTGCTGAAAGTTCTTTTTAAGCAAAATGTTTACAATTAAGGAGTGTCCTTGTAAATTTTTCCTTCACATCCCTACATAGCCCTATCACGTCCAGGGATGGGAAAAACCACTCCTGCCTCTTCCAAGGAGGGGTGGGGGAGTCAGGTGGGACGGTATGATAGCCAGCAGTGTGCATAGCTGATCCTCAATAATATGAACCCACACTGCAATTACACATTCCAGTGCCTTTTAGGCTAATGTGTCTACTCTAGGCAGATCTTGATACTGCTGAGGTATGGTCAAGATCATCAACTGACTGCCCAAACACAGGCATAATCTAGTGATTCACCATACCCTGCTAAGTAGGGCAAATTAGTGCGTATCTGTGCCTCAAACTATATACAGTGGAACCCAGACTTATGAGTTTAATCCATTCTGTGACCTAGCTCGTAACTTAATTTACTCATATATCAATTTTCCTCATTTAAATTAACTGAAAAGCCATTAATCCGTTCCTGCACTCTGGAGACAAGACAAAATACTTGAATATGACACTAATATCAACTGTACAGCTTATTTATCTATCACAGTTTCTCTAATATGACATAATAAACAATATAGTTAACACAGAAACATGATATATACTCTAGAATTAATAAAATAGGCCATGATATGGTGGCAGAGGCAGTGGCGGAAGCGTCCGCCATTTCCTGTCTAACTTTGACTATACATGTATTATCTTACCATGCTCTATTGTAAGAGAAAACGGAGTACTTGTGAGGCTAACTGCAGAAATATCGTATATAAAAACATAATAAATCATAATACACTACAGAATGTAAAGAAATATTAAACTGTTTATATAAAGTGTACATGTACTTACACACTTGGAGCAGAGATGGTGGGGGAGGTTAGTGTGGGGGATGTTGAGGGGGGGGAGGTTGAGAGTGGGGGAGGTTGAGCTGTGGCGTATGATGTCAGTGGCCCTTTACACCTCCAACAACAACATTGTTTTGTTTGATCGCTGAACTTAGCTGATACAATTTGTTTTGTTTAATCACTGAACTTAACTGATACATTTGTTTTTTTAATCGCTGAACTTAATTAATACAATCTGTTTTGTTTAATCACTGAACATAACTGATGCAGCTTTAGTATCTACATATCATAGATGTACTAAGCTGGTATTGCCTGGCTAAGTCCATGGAAATCATCATCTTTTTCTTCACAGTAGAAAAAAGAAATTTAACCAAATGACTGTCAAAAAAAATGCAAGAAAGCACGAGAGTACTACTCCCACAGCGATGTAAACGTGTACTGCTTACCGGATGTTTTGGCATCAGCTGTGCCAACTAGCGGCAACATTCTGAATTATTACTTACGTACTAATATGTATTATTATTTTTTTTTTTTTTTCAACAAGTCGGCCGTCTCCCACCGAGGCAGGGTGACCCAAAAAAGAAAGAAAATCCCCAAAAAGAAAATACTTTCATCATCATTCAACACTTTCACCACACTCACACATTATCACTGTTTTTGCAGAGGTGCTCAGAATACAACAGTTTAGAAGCATACACATATAGAGATACACAACATATCCCTCCAAACTGCCAATATCCCAAACCCCTCCTTTAAAGTGCAGGCATTGTACTTCCCATTTCCAGGACTCAAGTCCGACTACACGAAAATAACCGGTTTCCCTGAATCCCTTCACTAAATATTACCCTGCTCACACTCCAACAGATCGTCAGGTCCCAAGTACCATTTGTCTCCATTCACTCCTATCTAACACGCTCATGCACGCTTGCTGGAAGTCCAAGCCCCTTGCCCACAAAACCTCTTTTACCCCCTCTCTCCAACCCTTTCGAGGACGACTCCTACCCCGCCTTCCTTCCCCTATAGATTTATATGCTTTTCATGTCATTCTACTTTGATGTGTAAGTGTAAAGGACAATGCTGAGAAGAAAAAGAGGATGATTTCCATGGAATTAAAGCATGAAATCATAGATAAACAAGCGAGGTGTCCAGGTTTTTGTGTTGATGGAGAAGCAGGAGCTGGCTCGTAACTCAGAGCAAAAAATCGACCCAGAGATGGCTTGTATCTCAAAAAACTTGTACATTGGGGCACTCGTAAGTCAAGGTTCCACTGGACATGTATAGAATTACTGATTCTTCTGTAAAGACAAAAAAAAAAAAAAAAAAAAAAAAAAGGTTCCATTTACTCACCTGCCAAATCTAATTTGAGTTGCACTTTTACCAACTACCAATAACTTTGCAGCCGGGCTTGATGTGATAATATTTTTGAAGAAGATGAAAATCCCACATGGATCTTTCTCCCTCTGTGTGAAATTTAAACACGTTAAAAGGATGGAAAAAATTTACCGATTTAATATAAGGGTTAAAATAAAATTAATCTTGCAATATGCTGTCATTAAGACTTTCTCATGTTCCTCTTCTAACTAATGACCTACCAAATGCCATTCAACAATTATGAGCCTAGTACCTCAGTGATCTAGGTGCAAATACAATATCCTACTCATTTATGTACTGTTGTTCAGTTGAGTCTTTATATTGGTTAATTTGAAACATTTTAATTCTAAAATTTCTGGAATATCTACAAGTATAGGTGATAAAGAAAGATGAGGCTCTGCAATCTTCACTAAAAAAAAACAGAGGAACACAACTAAAATTAAGAAAAATAAAACTGAATGATCCATTAGGGCTCAGGGTATTGCGAGGTAATTTTGTCATTTTTACTTCAATGAAATACTAGCTGGTTATCAAATAAACAGATCTCAAGAAGATTAATTATGTAATATCATGTCTAATTTATGTTACCGATAAAGACTTACCTCCTTATTCTTGGATGGTGCTGCCTCTGTCTCTTCATTGGAATTCTGTTTGTTAGAATCCCTAAAAATATAAGTAGTTAAAAAAATTATTTGCCACAATTGGTAAAGAAAAATAAGCTACAGCTATATACATTTTTTCATTATGTATATAGCAGAGGACATTTTGGAAAACATGTATACTGAACAAAAAAAATATTTTGGGGTTCAACCCAACTGGTACTCTTTCATTCATTTACAGTACTCAGCTACATCCATTTTCCACATTCCTTTATCTTTCTTCTTTCAACAAATCGACCATATCCCACCAAAGCAGGGTGGCCCAAAAAGAAAAACAAAAGTTTCTCTTTTTAACTTTAGTAATGTATACAGGAGAATGGGTTACTAGCCCCTTGCTCCTGGCATTTTAATCGCCTATATTATAATAACGTAAATAATTTTGGCCAGTCAATCATGAAAGCATTATCACTCTTGAGAACCTCAGTAACTGATCAAAAATCTCCATACTGAAACATTTCAAACAGAAATTTGATAATAATGCAGCTTAAATAACTATTCATTTCCCACTGAAGTATTATGACCCCCCACTTTCCCTTAAAAAGAAGAATCACTTTCACCATGATTCAATCACTATCTTCCCAGAAGCATACCGACATGACAGCTCCGATGAACCTCCTGAACTACAACATCCCCACCCTCTCTTCAGAGTGTAGGCACCAAACTTCCCACTTCCAGGACTCCAGCCGTTATAACCAGAAATGTTAGTAAAGATCAGTAAACATACCGCTGCTTGAAGGCAGAATCAATATGTGGCTTCACACCATCAAAGTCCATGTCTGACAATTCTTTCTTCTTCTTTGTGGCTTCATCTTCAGTTGCAAAATTCATGTAGCACATCCTGGGAATTAAAAACACCAGTACTGTGTATTATATGCCTACAGCAAATTATTTTTAGTTGAAATCTTCATTTTAAGTTATCATACAATCACTGTTTTAAATTAATTCATGGTAGTCCCATTTACATAAAAAAAAAATTTCAACATACTGTAAGGCAGTATGAGATATTGTAATATTTGTACTGTACATATGAAGGCAAAAATAAATAACATGTACATATACAGTACAAAAGCAACAATAACAACCAAAATCTGGACAAACTGCAAGACTGGTCAGGTAAGTGGTTGGTTGATATCAACTCCAGCAAATGCAAGGTTATGAAGATGTGAGAAGGGGCAAGAAGACAGGATAGAGGCTGTAGACCCCACCAAAAGAAAAAGGCCTAGGGATGGGCATAGTTCCTGGTATGTCACCAAAGGCTTGCATAGCTGAATAACCTCAGCAGCCAATGCTGTCTGGCAAATCTTACAGTAACCATCAAAAATCTCAACAATGAGACATTCTGGGCCCTTTATATAAACATATGTAAGGCCCATCTTGGAGTATGCAGCACCAGTATGGAACCCATTCCTGAAAAAGCATGTTAAGAACATAGAGAAACTGCAAGAGTATACAAAAGGGCTTGTTCAAAAGCTAAGAAAATGAGCAATGAGGAGAACTACCAAAACTGAATCTAGTGACATTGAAAGACAGAAGACCCAACGAAAGTATGAAAAAACATAAACATACTAAGAGGAACTTATAGGAGAGAAAGGGATACAGCTGAAACTTAAAGACATAGATGGGCCACAGGCATGTCAGGAAGTATTCCTTTATCCTCAGGGTGGTCGGGAAGTGGAATGATCTGATGAAGTGGTGGAGGATCTGGGAAGATTATAAAATAGTTATCACAAAACACCACATAAATATAGTATAACAATCTCAAATGCTATATGGACAGACAAATTCTAAACTAGCTTTCAGATACAGCATAAGGAGTGTTAAAATATATAAAAATTACAATATACATTAGACCAAAATCAGAATATACAGCGGTAAAATAGCAACCTTAACAAGAAAACAAATATATGGAAAAAACATTCAGATGTGCTACATATTGGATCAAGGTCTTAGCAAATATGAAGCCCCCAAAAGACACTGAAAATGACTGTGTTGAGGAAGAAAAGAGATGTACAAAGCACATAAAAGATGGAAATCCAGCCATGATGAAGTCATGGGAAAACAGCCCCAGTGACACTTAGAGCCTTACTCTTTTTTTTTCTTTTTTTTTTCAACAAGTTGGCCGTCTCCCACCGAGGCAGGGTGACCCAAAAAAGAAAGAGAATCCCCAAAAAGAAAATACTTTCATCATCATTCAACACTTTCACCACACTCACACATTATCACTGCTTTTGCAGAGGTGCTCAGAATACAACAGTTTAGAAGCATATACGTATAAAGATACACAACATATCCCTCCAAACTGCCAATATCCCAAACCCCTCCTTTAAAGTGCAGGCATTGTACTTCCCATTTCCAGGACTCAAGTCCGACTATATGAAAATAACCGGTTTCCCTGAATCCCTTCACTAAATATTACCCTGCTCACACTCCAACAGATCGTCAGGTCCCAAGTACCATTTGTCTCCATTCACTCCTATCTAACACGCTCATGCACGCTTGCTGGAAGTCCAAGCCCCTTGCCCACAAAACCTCCTTTACCCCCTCTTTCCAACCCTTTCGAGGACGACCCCTACCCCTCCTTCCTTCCCCTATAGATTTATATGCTTTCCATGTCATTCTACTTTGATCCATTCTCTCTAAATGACCAAACCACCTCAAAAACCCCTCTTCTGCCCTCTAACTAATGCTTTTATTAACTCCACATCTTTTCCAAATTTCCACACTCCGAATTTTCTGCATAATATTTACACCACACATTGCCCTTAGACAGGACATCTCCACTGCCTCCAACCGTCTCCTCGCTGCTGCATTTACCACCCAAGCTTCACATCCATATAAGAGTGTTGGTACTACTATACTTTCATACATTCCCTTCTTTGCCTCCATAGATAACGTTTTTTGACTCCACATATACCTCAACGCACCACTCACCTTTTTTCCCTCATCAATTCTATGATTAACCTCATCCTTCATAAATCCATCCGCCGACACATCAACTCCCAAGTATCTGAAAACATTCACTTCTTCCACACTCCTCCTCCCCAATTTGATATCCAATTTTTCTTTATCTATATCATTTGATACCCTCATCACCTTACTCTTTTCTATGTTCACTTTCAACTTTCTACCTTTACACACATTCTCAAACTCATCCACTAACCTTTGCAATTTTTCTTTAGACTCTCCCATAAGCACAGTATCATCAGCAAAAAGTAACTGTGTCAGTTCCCATTCTGAATTTGATTCCCCATAATTTAATCCCACCCCTCTCCCGAACACCCTAGCATTTACTTCTTTTACAACCCCATCTATAAATATATTAAACAACCATGGTGACATTACACATCCCTGTCTAAGACCTACTTTTACCCTAACCTGAGCCTCACTATCCTCATAAAAGCTCTTTACAGCATTTAGTAACTTACCACCTATTCCATATACTTGCAACATCTGCCACATTGCTCCTCTATCCACTCTATCATATGCCTTTTCTAAATCCATAAATGCAATAAAAACTTCCCTACCTTTATCTAAATACTGTTCACATATATGCTTCAATGTAAACACCTGATCTACACATCCCCTACCCACTCTGAAGCCTCCCTGCTCATCCGCAATCCTACATTCTGTCTTACCTCTAATTCTTTCAATTATAACCCTACCGTATACTTTTCCTGGTATACTCAGTAAACTTATTCCTCTATAATTTTTACAATCTCTTTTGTCCCCTTTCCCTTTATATAAAGGGACTATACATGCTCTCCGCCAATCCCTAGGTACCTTCCCCTCTTTCGTACATTTATTAAACAAAAGTACCAACCACTCCAACACTATATCCCCCCTTGCTTTTAACATTTCTGTCATGATCCCATCAGCTCCAGCTGCTTTAACCCCTTTCATTCTACGTAATGCCTCACGTACCTCCACCCCACTTACATTCTGCTCTTCTTCACTCCTAAAAGATGGTATACCTCCCTGGCCAGTGCATGAAATTACCGCCTCCCTTTCTTCCTCAACATTTAAAAGTTCCTCAAAATATTCTCGTCATCTACCTAATACCTCCCTCTCCCCATCTAGTAACTCCCCTACTCTGTTTTTAACTGACAAATCCATACTTTCCCTAGGCTTTCTTAACTTGTTTAACTCACTTCAAAATTTTTTCTTATTTTCATTAAAATTTCTTGACAGTGCCTCTCCCACTCTTTCATCTGCTCTCCTTTTGCACTCTCTCACCACTCTCTTCACCTTTCTTTTACTCTCCATATACTCTGCTCTTCTTATAGCACTTCTGCTTTGTAAAAACCTCTCATAAGCTAACTTTTTCTCTTTTATCACACCCTTAACTTCATCATTCCACCAATCACTCCTCTTTCCTCCTGCCCCCACCCTCCTATAACCACAAACTTCTGCCCCGCATTCTAATACTGCATTTTTAAAACTATTCCAACCCTCTTCAACCCCCCCCACTACTCATCTTTGCACTAGCCCACCTTTCTGCCAATAGTCGCTTATATCTCGCCCGAACTTCCTCCTCCCTTAGTTTATGCACTTTCACCTCCCTCTTACTTGTTGTTGCCACCTTCCTCTTTTCCCATCTACCTCTTACTCTAACTGTAGCTACAACTAAATAATGATCCGATATATCAGTTGCCCCTCTATAAACATGTACATCCTGGAGCCTACCCATCAACCTTTTATCCACCAATACATAATCTAACAAACTACTTTCATTACGTGCTACATCATACCTTGTATATTTATTTATCCTCTTTTTCATAAAATATGTATTACTTATTACCAAATTTCTTTCTACACATAGCTCAATTAAAGGCTCCCCATTTACATTTACCCCTGAATCCCTTCACTAAATATTACCCTGCTCACACTCCAACAGATCGTCAGGTCCCAAGTACCATTCGTCTCCATTCACTCCTATCTAACACGCTCACGCACGCTTGCTGGAAGTCCAAGCCCCTTGCCCACATAACCTCCTTTACCCCCTCTCTCCAACCCTTTCGAGGACGACCCCTACCACACCTTCCTTCCCCTATAGATTTATATGCTTTCCATGTCATTCTACTTTGATCCATTCTCTCTAAATGACCAAACCACCTCAACAACCCCTCTTCTGCCCTCTGACTAATACTTTTATTAACTCCACACCTTTTCCTAATTTCCACACTCCGAATTTTCTGCATAATATTTACACCACACATTGCCCTTAAACAGGACATCTCCACTGCCTCCAACCGTCTCCTCGCTGCTGCATTTACCACCCAAGCTTCACACCCATATAAAAGTGTTGGTACTACTATACTTTCATACATTCCCTTCTTTGCCTCCATAGATAACGTTTTTTGACTCCACATATACCTCAATGCACCACCTCACCTTTTTTCCCTCATCAATTCTATGATTAACCTCATCCTTCATAAATCCATCCGCCGACACGTCAGCTCCCAAGTATCTGAAAACATTCACTTCTTCCATACTCCTCCTCACCAATTTGATATCAAATTTTTCTTTATCTAAATCATTTGACACCCTCATCACCTTACTCTTTTCTATGTTCACTTTCAACTTTCTATCTTTACACACATTCCCAAACTCATCCACTAACCTTTGCAATTTTTCTTTAGAATCTCCCATAAGCACAGTATCATCAGCAAAAAGTAACTGTGTCAATTCCCATTTTGAATTTGATTCCCCAAAATTTAATCCCACCTCTCTCTCGAACACCCTAGCATTTACTTCCTTTACAACCCCATCTATAAATATATTAAACAACCATGGTGAAATTACACATCCCTGTCTAAGACCTACTTTTACCGGGAAGTAGTCTCCCTCTCTTCTACACACCCTAACCTAAGCCTCACTATCCTCATAAAAACTCTTTACAGCATTTAATAACTTACCACCTATTCCATATACTTGCAACATCTGCCACATTGCTCCTCTATCCACTCTATTTCTTTTTTTCTTTTTTTATCACACTGGCCGATTCCCACCAAGGCAGGGTGGCCCGAAAAAGAAAAACTTTCACCATCATTCACTCCATCACTGTCTTGCCAGAAGGGTGCTTTACACTACAGTTTTTAAACTGCAACATTAACACCCCTCCTTCAGAGTGCAGGCACTGTACTTCCCATCTCCAAGACTCAAGTCCGACCTGCTGGTTTCCCTGAACCCCTTCATAAATGTTACTTTGCTCACACTCCAACAGCACGTCAAGTATTAAAAACCATTTGTCTCCATTCACTCCTATCAAACACGCTCACGCATGCCTGCTGGAAGTCCAAGCCCCTCGCACACAAAACCTCCTTTACCCCCTCCCTCCAACCTTTCGTAGGCCAACCCCTACCCCGCCTTCCTTCCACAACAGACTGATACACTCTTGAAGTTATTCTGTTTCGCTCCATTCTCTCCACATGTCTGAACCACCTCAACGACCCTTCCTCAGCCCTCTGGACAACAGTTTTGGTAATCCCGCACCTCCTCCTAACTTCCAAACTACGAATTCTCTGCATTATATTCACACCACACATTGCTCTCAGACATGACATCTCCACTGCCTCCAGCCTGCTCCTCGCTGCAACATTCATCACCCATGCTTCACACCCATATAAGAGCGTTGGTAAAACTATACTCTCATACATTCCCCTCTTTGCCTCCAAGGACAAAGTTCTTTGTCTCCACAGACTCCTAAGTGCACCACTCAACCCTTTTCCCCCCATCAATTCTATGATTCACCTCATCTTTCATAGACCCATCCGCTGACACGTCCACTCCCAAATATCTGAATACATTCACCTCCTCCATACTCTCTCCCTCCAATCTGATATTCAATCTTTCATCACCTAATCTTTTTGTTATCCTCATAACCTTACTCTTTCCTGTATTCACTTTCAATTTTCTTCTTTTGCACACCCTACCAAATTCATCCACCAATCTCTGCAACTTCTCTTCAGAATCTCCCAAGAGCACAGTGTCATCAGCAAAGAGCAACTGTGACAACTCCCACTTTATGTGTGATTCTTTATCTTTTAACTCCACGCCTCTTGCCAAGACCCTCGCATTTACTTCTCTTACAACCCCATCTATAATTATATTAAACAACCACGGTGACATCACACATCCTTGTCTAAGGCCTACTTTTACTGGGAAATAATTTCCCTCTTTCCTACATACTCTAACTTGAGCCTCACTATCCTCGTAAAAACTCTTCACTGCTTTCAGTAACCTACCTCCTACACCATACACCTGCAACATCTGCCACATTGCCCCCCTATCCACCTTGTCATACGCCTTTTCCAAATCCATAAATGCCACAAAGACCTGTTTAGCCTTATCTAAATATTGTTCACTTATATGTTTCACTGTAAACACCTGGTCCACACACCCCTACCTTTCCTAAAGCCTCCTTGTTCATCTGCTATCCTATTCTCCGTCTTACTCTTAATTCTTTCAATAATAACTCTACTATACACTTTGCCAGGTATACTCAACAGACTTATCCCCCTATAATTTTTGCACTCTCTTTTATCTCCTTTGCCTTTATACAAAGGAACTATACATGCTCTCTGCCAATCCCTAGGTACCTTACCCTCTTCCATACATTTATTAAATAATTGCACAAACCACTCCAAAACTATATCCCCACCTGCTTTTAACATTTCTATCTTTATCCCATCAATCCCGGCTGCCTTACCCCCTTTCATTTTACCTACTGCCTCACGAACTTCCCCCACACTCACAACTGGCTCTTCCTCACTCCTACAAGATGTTGTTCCTCCTTGCCCTATACACGAAATCACAGCTTCCCTATCTTCATCAACATTTAACAATTCCTCAAAATATTCCCTCCATCTTCCCAATACCTCTAACTCTCCATTTAATAACTCTCCTCTCTCTATCATATGCCTTTTCTAAATCCATAAATGCAATAAAAACTTCCCTACCTTTATCTAAATACTTTTCACATATATGCTTCAATGTAAACACTTGAACTACACATCCCCTACCCACTCTGAAACCTCCTTGCTCATCCGCAATCCTACATTCTGTCTTACCTCTAATTCTTTCAATTATAACCCTACCGTACACTTTTCCTGGTATACTCAGTAAACTTATTCCTCTATAATTTTTAGTCTCTTTTGTCCCCTTTCCCTTTATATAAAGGGACTATACATGCTCTCTACCAATCCCTAGGTACCTTCCCCTCTTTCATACATTTATTAAACAAAAGTACCAACCACTCCAACACTATATCCCCCCCTGCTTTTAACATTTCTGTCATGATCCCATCAGTTCCAGCCTTACTCTTGTAGATGAAAAATACACATGTACAACACTTGTTATATTTATTGTGAAGACATTTTTGCCATCTAAATGGCATAAAGGATAAAGGAGTTTCCCAGAGAGACAGCAAGAGATTGCATTTACTGTGTACTGCTATTATCTAATAGAAGTGAAACTGAAAGGTAAAGAAGAGAAAAAAAAAGATCTATGACCATACCAATATTCAGAATGAAATTAAAAAGAAACAAGACGATTTCTGACAAAAATATAAAGGAACACAGAACTTAAATGATAAACCACCCAAACAAATTACACCATCTCATTTGGAATGAAGGCAAATAAACAAGAGGTTTAAGAAACTTGTATTTACACTATGCATGTTAAAACTGAGCAACTCAAGGATTGTGAATTATATTTTCATAAGCTAAAATGGAAATACTGTACCCTATTACTTAGAATTTTTACTAATATTAGTAACTGATATTATCAACTATGTTTAAATATTTAGTAAATACCATTGTGTACTGTCTGAGAAGAATTCCCATGGAGATTTCAACTTTTCTAAAATATTAAATACATGATAAAGAATAATACCTAAACATTGAAAAAATATAATTAGTTACCAGTAATCTGAGTCAGGATAAAACTTACTTTCCTAATCTTATTTCAGTAGCAATTTTTCCAACCCTCAATAATTCTGAAGCTATGTCAGCAGTGATGACGCTAGGAAAGAAGAGGAATACACCACAGGGGTCCTTTTCTCTCTGTATTAAAAAGAGCACAATTCATGAATAACTATAAAAAACATAAAATTATCAATACACTAAGAGTACCTAAATTAAATCTTCAATCCTTTTTTGTTTTTAGATCATTCCTCCATTGTCTTCCCAAGACATCTCAAATATATACTACACAGGGCAAAGAAGGAACCCAAAATACTTCAGTCTGTTCAATTATTAAGTTAATTAAATTAATGGGGGAGTAATAAACCTATCAAATTCATACAGCACCACCTCTTCTTCAGGTGGTGATCTAAGAGGAGAGTAGTAGCTTTCATTCCTTGGATCAAGACACTTTCCTTTGAAGAATCACCATTTAAAAGATTTCCATCCACTTGTTTGGCCATTAAAAACTGTACATATAGTAATTATCCTTCACAAGTCAGAAAGTAACAGGGAAAGGTAGCAAGCATAAAAAAAAAAAAAATTTATTGAAAGACAAAATGGAAGTGGGAAAACATGTCAGACCACCAAAGGTTCTATGTTAGTGTGGCAAAAAACCCATCATCAATGGTATGGTTCCACCATAAAGGTGCTTCAATAAAAATGGTCAACATACCCATATGTAAATTATATCATTTTAGTGCATACAGACAGTAGATTAATAATATAACTCTCCAGGAGAATACTGAGATTGTGTAAATAAATCTCAGCAAACCTAAACATTTATGTTGACTGACTTCATCATGCATAACCACCAAGTAGCATAGTCTGAATTGGATATGATAATGCTGCAGTTCCTATAGCTTGTTGCCATGTGAGTGTTTTACTGTAGTGTGACTAACACTATAGAAAATGAATGAATCATTTAAGAGTTTATCATCAGATTACACACCAGGTCATCTGAATCAGATCTTCCTTTGAAGGTTCCTCTTCCTCTAGCCCCACCTCTTCCACCTCGAGAACCAGTACGTTTCTCTTTCTTTTCTTCTTTAGGAGATGCACCATTGGCGTCTGATACAACACTCGTAACCTCTCCATCTGCCATGTCTGTAGTTTAAGTATCTTCAATCCTTACTTAACTGAAAAGTAAAAAAGTAATTATTTTAAAAACATACAGTATTCTATAAATGTTTGAAAATTTAAAATACGTATAGTATTTTGGTTTTGAAACCTTAATTATGTAGATAGAACTCATTAAAACAACTTTGACAAGGTGCATGGAAGTGAAGAGGTGCAACAGAAAGACAAAAAAAGATGTAATAAAATACCCCAAAAAAAATGTTTGGTATTATCTGTACCACTGTTCACATAAGAAATTTACAACTGAATATCCAACTAGGTAACCCTTGGAAAATTCCAGCTTTTCCAAACCCATCCAATACTGTGAACAAAGTTTTAATTTTAAACAAAAATAAAAAACTCTGATGTGCTAACATTTAAAACTCACAAAACTAGTCTACAGTAAAATGCTGTTGCCACCAAACTACTTATTTGAATAAAATAAAAGGTACACAAAATTTGATAGAAACAAAAGACACGCCAGAATACCAGTCCTTATACGTACTCCAAGTTAAAGTTTAGATTTATGAAAATATAAATGCAACACAAAAACAAAATTAATTTTTTATACTGTAAGCCATAAAACAAGTACATACTGTACCAAGACGTGAAACAAGACAATACACTATTAACTAAAAATGATGGTACCACAATGCAGAAAAATACACACAATCACACATGAACTCCTTACTTACCAAGATATAAACTTATTCAATCACTAAGGAATGACAATTTGAATAAATGCATACCCATTTCCATCACATACTTTACTCTTCATTCCTATTTATTCATGTTTTCCATTTGAACACTTCATCCATATCCTCCCTCCAAATTCTATAAATTTTCTGGTTATAAATTCAATGTCTTTAACTTATCCTCACAGGAAACAGTTCTAACATTCTGATACTGGGATAAACTTTATTATCCTTCTCTGTAAATTTTCTGCACATTTATTCCATTCTGTAACATGGAGACCAAAAATGCATCTCATAATTTCAATAAAGCCTTACCAATAATAGGTATGTAATTGTGATATAAACCCTGGAACTTCTATTATACTAAGAAATTAAAGTGTACATATTACCTTTAATACTTATGATGATTGAGTTTCACTGTAGATTTCCAACCAGATCCCTTATGCTAATTATTATTATTACAATCAAAACTAAGAACTAAACCCACAAGGGCTATATAGCTTCCTTATGCTAAGTCTTTTTCACATTCCTTTTCCACAGTGAATGACTTAGTTTATAACTGCGGCAATTTTTTTTTCAGGATGAAGACCCTATACCTGTCAACACTAAGAGGCATCTTTAAACCTGTATAAAAAGACAAGTGCAACATACAGAGAGCTTTTATTTGGAAACATTTCACTCACCAGGAGCTTCCGTAATCCAACAGAATAAATACAATCAAAGAATCGTCAAAGGAGGATTATATGTGGTAAGGTCAGATGTACTATGATTGTCTAATGGCAGTGTTCTGTTAGTTACACTTGCCTAACAGTTTTGATGGACTAAAGCTTCCAATATTTTGCACAACTGTATTACTAATATATACTAAAACTGATTTTAGATAATGGTCGTTGTCATCGATGTCTCCCTCAACCAGACTTTGTCACAATCTCCATACAAAATAATGTAGACTCTTGAGTTGGCATCAACCAGTTAATGGTGGAGTTGTATAACAACAAAATGATAACCAACTGATTAACATTCATAATGTGAATAAATAGTTTAGAAAACTGACAAGTTGATAAATGAGACACTGTGCAACATTTGGCTATCTTTATTCTGGAAATGTTTCTCCAGCCAGTGGCTTCTTCAGTCCAATGCAGAGAAAGGTGGAAGATGAGGAGTTTGAGGTAATCAGTCCCTAGCCTGGAGTTGACGTGTTCTGTCCATCAGTATTGACACACAAGTGTGTCATTTATCAATAATCATCATAGAGTACACATGATGCAAAGTTCTATGCAATGGAAAGGAAAATAACCATAACACTTATAAACTAAATTTAGATCTTATGGTTGCAAAAGAGATTTAGGAGTTCTAGTTAGAAGTAATCTAAAACCAAGACAACAGTGCATAAGTGTTCGCAATAAAGCGAATAGAATTCTTGGGCTTTATATCAAAAAGTATAAATAACAGGATTTGTAGATGAATGGTTCAGAGAACCGACTTGTTGATAAATTAGACACATGTGCAACTCTTGGGTATCTTTATTGAGGAAACGTTTCGCCACACAGTGGCTTCATCAGTCCATACATAGGAGAAACTTGAAGAACAGGAGGAGAATGAGGTAATCAGTCCCTCAACCTTGAGTCGATGTGTTCAGTCCATCAATCTCCTATGTATGGACTGATGAAGCCACTGTGTGGCGAAACGTTTCCTCAATAAAGATACCCAAGAGTTGCACATGTGTCTAATTTATCATAAATAACAGGAGTTCTCAGGTTGTTCTTCAACTCCACCTATCACTGGTTAGGCCTAATTTAGATTACGCTGCACAATTCTAGATACCATATTACAGAATGGGTATAAATGCACTGGAAAACATACAAAGAAGGATGACAAAGTTGATCCCATGACTGAGGGGCCCTGAATCTGCATTCTCTAGAAAGCCATAAAATTAGGGGGGGGGGGAATATGACTGAGGAGTGTAAATGGAAAACAGGAATAAACAAAGGGGATGTAAATAACGTGCTACAAGTATCTAACCAAGACAGGACTCAAAGCAATGGCTTCAAGCTGGAAAAATTTAGACTAAGTAAGAACATAAGAACATAAGAAGGAATGAACACTGCAGCAGGCCTACTGGCCCATACGAGGCAGGTCCAAGTCTCCTGCCCCACCCTAGTCAGGTCAGGTCACATTCACTTAAGGAAGGAACACGGCAACTGACCTAGTAGCACAAGCTAGTTAGGTCCAACTCACACCCACTCATGTATTTATCTAACCTATTTTTAAAGCTACACAACTGTACTTGGGAGTTTGTTCCACTCATCCACAACTCTATTGTGGGTGAGTGGGACAAACTCTCGAGTACCTTCACTGAAGATAAAACGTTATAAAGTTTTAAAAATAAGTCAGACAAATATACTAGTGGGTGTGAGTTGAACCTGACTGGCATGGCCCAGTGGGTCAGATGCACTGCTCCTTCTTATGTTCTCATGATGGCAAGGACATGTGGGACGGTGCCTGACTAACCCAGCTTTCTGATGAACGAGTAGAAGAAAATGCATTTTAAAGAGCAGTGTGCACATAATTATTAAGCCTGAGTCGCAAAAATACAAAAAAAAAGATAAAAATAAAGGGGGTGATCACCATTAATATTTTGTGGTAGAGTTCACCTCCAGACGGCCGCCACAGCTCTCCTGCCACCATTACACTATAAATACATCACATAAAGCTATATATTAGGGTCAGAGAGAGAGGCAAGTGCATAAAGCACAGTCAGGTGACCTTCCAGGCATGTGGAAACATCCACACATGTCTTTATCTTGTATTAAATGTGCACTTGCCTGTATAAAAGCTGTGTGGTCTGGGTGAGTGTGTTTACAGTGTTGCTCAAGTGAGGCGCCACAAGCGCAACACCATTATAACTTCATAGTAAGTAAGTAAGTAAGTAAGTAAGTAAGTAAGTTTATTCGTGTATACACAAATACGGTTACATAGAATTATCATACATAGAAGCATATGTGTAGAGAACCTGGGATAACCCAAAAAAGTCAGAGACTTATTTCCATTGGGGTCCTTTTACCTTATTATTATAATATAAAGAAGTAAGTAAGTAAGTTTATTCAGGTATACACAAATACAATTACATAGAATTATTATACATAGCAGCATATGTGTAGAGAACCTGGGATAACACAAAAAAGTCAGACAGAGTGACTTATTTCCATTGGGGTCCTTTTACCTTATTATAATATAAAGGTTATAATATTTTCTTATTATTCTATAATGAAGATAACATCTTATTATCATACTAAAAAGACTGTCTACTACACGAGGGTCATTAAGACTATCTACAATACGAGGGTCATTACTAGGAATAAGGTAAAATTTACACGTATGTTAGCTAAAAAATAAAAAATCATTCCTCTCCATCATCCTCATTAAGACACATGTGCAACACCTGACTCTCTACCTGTACCGAAACTCAAGAAAGAATGAAAAAGACACAATGCCGTGACTGGAATAAACCATAAATAACCCGCATGTAGGACACAAACGTATGACGCTTCATTCCGACTTGGACCTTGACCAGTCACCAGGGGGGGTTTTATCAACCTAATAACACCGATGTAAAAACAGAATTTTTTTTTAAAGTAGAGCCAGGGAAAGGAGTGGATTCATGAAGCAATACTGGATGCGGTCACATGTGATGCATTTATGCAGTAGTACTAGATGCGGTCACATGTGGACGGGGCCCACTAGTGGAAGAGAGGGGTCAGGCACATTGGGTGGGCAAGAGATTTAGAAATTGAGTGGAAGAGACTTTCACTGGTTTCATATAAGGAAGCTTATGGGTCTTTACCATGTTGTAATGGTAATTTGAGAAATAAGATACCTGCTGGTAGGCAACGCCTTCACTTCACATGCTGTGTGTCCTTGGTTCGATCCCCGGCAAGGGTGGAAACGTTGGGCGTTTCCTTACACCTGTTGTCCCCGTTCACCTAGCAAGTAGGCATCTGGGTGTTAGTCGACTGGTGTGGGTCGCATCCTGGGGGACAAGATTTGAGGACCACAGTGGAAATAAGACAAGACAGTCCTTGATGACTTCCTGACTTCCTTACCTGGAGTTTACCTGGGAGAGTTCCGGGGGTCAACGCCCCCGCAGCCCGGTCTGTGACCAGACCTCCTGGTGGATCAGAGCCTGATCAACCAGGCTGTTACTGTTAGCCCTCCGATACCTGGGTTAAAAATCCCAGCAAAATCTTATCTTCATTGCTGAAATTTTTGGCCTGCACAACTGGCTTCTTCAGTCAAATATAGAGGTGATTTTAATATGTACTGGATATGGTGGAAGTAACAGAGAGAATTTTAAGATGTTCACTCCCTCAGCATTGATAGGTGTCCACTCCTTTAATCTTGATTGATGGTGGCCAGTTCCTTAGCCTAAATTAAGTTAGTCTTAAGTTTGCCCGAAATGCTCTCCATATTAAGGGGCTTTCGGTATATATACCTAAATGTAATTCACCTTTGTACAAACATTGCATCATGGTGAAATAAAGCATCTTCAACTTTATGAGGACAAAGACTAATATGCCAAAAGTGATGTGCAGCAGTTGTAGATGGATTTAGATGAGCAGGACCCACCAGTGGAAGTAGGTTATACCAGTTCTTTAGCAATATAATTGCATAAAACTTCCCCTGTACCATGATACCATGGCAATATTAAAATGTCAAGTAATACCGAACATTTCGGCAATAAAGTTACCCCAGTGTTGCACATATATCTTAATCATCTACGTGTCAGTATTGTATACTGGCATAATATGATAACTGTCTACCCCAAGGTAAGGCAGCCCCCAAAGTACCCCAAATAAAAGTAACTAGGTGTATTTCTGTCACCGCAGGATCTGAGAACGGTATCCCCCATTTTGCAGAACTCGTCCTACAAAAGACATGGTGCAGAGCGAAGCCTCAGTTTGTACAGTTAAATATTAGCACTGGAGGTTTCAAGTGATAGGTAAGAGGCATTCACAAGTTACCACATGGAAACTAATATACCAGTTACATTAAAAAACTACAAATTAGGACATACACAGCCCAACGCAGATTCAAAGTTTCCACCAAGAAACATCAATTTTAAAAGTTAGGAGCCAAACTGAAGTCATTGTGTAATTATCTCACGTACATCAATATCCTATAATATACTAACGCTAAGTTTGAAGCCACTCAGAAGGTGCATTATTAGGTTGAAGGTTGAAAGTTTGAAGCCAGATGGGTGAGAGACTCTCAAATTATCTTATCACAACCAGTATTTCAATTTTCCAAATATCTTCAATAGAAAATAGCAGTTTAAGACCTACACAGACCAAAATCAATCCAAACTATTAAGGCTTATTAGCTTTTATTTACGCTTGTATGCATAACTACAAATTTGTTACAATGTCCTTGATGACACAGATGTCACGGGTGTAAAAAAATTACATAATGCAACTTAACCTAAGATAACTCAATAAAGTCAAACACTGACATCTAATTAGTAGACATTCCGGTTACTTCACGGAACAAAATTTGTTTAAAAAAAAAATGAGGCTTCCTTTTAGAAAACCACATCAACACTTTTTAAAGCTGACCGGAAACTGCATTCTTCAACTTTTACACATTTTCTCATCTAATAAATTAAGTTTTTGAAGCGTCATTTAATATATAATACCACAGAAATATGCGAAGTACAAAATGTTACTTGTCAATGCTTCAGGTTAGAACCAATAAATTCCGACAAGGAAGACCTGTATATACCCGGCTATATTGCCGGGTCAATTAATGAACATGATTTAACAATTTCAAGTTTGAGTTGGGTCAGGCGTCCCTCTCAGAGTAGGACTTATGGCTGCCGGTGTTGAGGTTCTGAGATACTGGGTCAATGCATGAAGAACTGGGATCCCTCACGGCGACCCTACTTGACCTAAGAACGTCGTCCCTGACCTTGAAGGGAGTTGTGCCGCCTGATCAGCTAGTTAAGCCTTAAACTGTCCAAACGTAGATCTACGTTTGGAGCACTACGCATGTGAACATAGATCTGTTTGGACAGTTTAAGGGTTAATATGCACTTCCTGCTGATCCTGTGCGGGGTAGCGCAAAAAATAACAGGATTGCAGAGGTAACAATAGACCTTATCAGACCCTACTGGGCATAGTTACATTAAAAAGCATTACAGACACTTCATATATTACAATTACTTCATATAGCCAATGTACACACACCAATGTGAAGACAATCTCAAAAAAAATAAGTACCTTATTCCCACTAAAACAAAATATTAATGAAAAAGCAGTTACAGTACCTCAGACAAGATGATCCAAAATATGACATACAATGAGAATAGTTGATAATCTAATGGAGAGAAATTTTGTTAGTGAATAAAACTTCACAGAGAGTTTAAACACTGTTTTCTGAGTTGCAGTTTAATTTGTTTATAATTAATTAGACCTTTTCTTTTATTTCTTCAGGTAGACTATTCTTCATTTTATGCTCCTTAATTTGTATAGTATTTTTACATAGATTCAACAGTACACATGGAATATCAAACAGGAGTTTATTGCATACTGAAGTCCAAGCCAAGGCCGGGTCACCACTACTGAAAAGACCCGGGCCGGGAGAGTACCGGCAAATAAAAAAAAAAAATCCCGCATCGACATCATGCCCAGCCCTTCTAGAGCAGGGTAGGTACCTGAGCCAGAGCTTGCAACTCACAAGACTGCCATTCCCATTAGGCCCCTTGGGGTGGGGATGGCAGACCAAAGAGGTCTAGCTTTTCCTTGCGAGCCCCGTGAGGGCGGGGAATGTGGCTAGGCATGGGGACAGTTGGTCCCAACGATGAAGGGGTACTTGTGCCTCCTTCCATGGGAGACTTAGATCTCAGACACTCCCTAGACAGGGAGCCACCACTTGGAAAAGGTCCGGGCCGGGAGAATACCGGCGAATCAAGAAGTTAATCCCGGTACGGGTGGAAACATTAGGACGTGTTTCCTTAAGACACCTGCTGTCCATGTTCACCATCAATAAAACAGGTATCTGAGTATTAGTCGACTGGTGTGGGTCGCATTTTGGGACAAAATTGACCCAATTTGCCAGAAATGCTCTGCATAACAAGGTGCTTTATAATAATAATAATAATAATAATAATAAATAATAATAATAATAATAATAATAATAATAACAATGTTTATTCCTTTGTAAAGGTTACAAGGTGTAATTACAATTTTGATTTGCTAAGTACAAAGATAGCCACTATCATGCCAAGGCATGATAGTGGCATGTCATTGATGTCAATTAGGCCTGTATACACTGTAGATGTACTTGTAGAAATAAAGATTACTTTTATTATTATTATTAATTATTCTTTTATCGTCATTTATTCCCAGCAATATTCGTTTTTGGTGTTGCGGTTGTTAAAGGCCACCTAAGCTGATGCTTTTTAGTCCTACCTCCACGTGTTCTGGAAAAAGATGTTCCCTAATATGGAGGGAAAACAGAAAAGAAACAAAGATGACTTCGGTAAAAGAAAAGGGACCATGAAAATCCCACTTTAGTCAGGTGGACCCAGGCCTAAACACAGCCAGGCACTGAAGTCCTGGTAATTTAGCTGTGCCGCCGGGCGACGAGTTCAAAAACTGATTACAATGGTCACAATAGGTCTTTGTCTAATCCCTAGAACAATATTACCGGTCATCGAAAGATTGAGATCCATGCAGGACACGTGTCCTGGAGAATTATTATTATTAAAGATTCGCCGGCATTCTCCCGGCCCGGGCCTTTTCCAAGTGGTGGCCCGGCCTTGGCTCCCTCTTTAGGGAGTGTCTGAGACCTAAGTCTCCCATGGGAGGAGGCACAAGTACCTCCTCATCTTTGGGACCAACTGTCCCCAGGCCTAGCCACAAGCTAGGCCTCTCTGGTCTGCCATCCCCGCCCCAAGGGGGCTAATGGGAATGACAGTCTTATGAGCTAAAAGCTCCGGCTCAGGCACCTACCCTACCCTAGAAGGGCTGGGCATGGTGTCGATGTGTCCTGGAGAATATAACTGTTACATCATACACAAAAAATAGTTTTTTTTAGTATACTACAATTTATTTATATAGCCATTGAACACAATACAATCTCATAAACATTTAGGTATCTTATTACCACTAAAGCATCAGTCATTATACAAATATTAATAAAAACACAAGTCTTTATTTCAAAATTACTGTATAAAACAATAATCTGAAGGTCCATAGGATGATTACCTTATCGGGCAATAAAAATTAGTCTATACTTAAAATTAACATAGTTTTATTTTTATTTAAATGGGTCTATTACAGGGTACTATTATGAACTTAAAATATGCATAAGTTTATCCATAAAATGACGAATAAAAATAAAAATATGATCTTGTCAGTATAACAGCTATGTCGGTATTTTATACTTTTTATCTCCATACTGTCATCTTGCTATTGACTCACGAAATCGTAATGACACGATTGCAAACAAACCATACCACGGGAGGGGATAGAACTCGCGACAGTCTGGAGTTTTGAGACTGATCGCGGGTTCTATTCCCGCCCGTGGTATGGTTTATCTTGCTATTGTTCTTCCTTGGCCACCAGTACTTATGTACCAAAACTGGTGGTGTTTGATAGGTATGTGGTTTAGCACTGGGTACCAGGTAACTGTAATGGCTTCTTTTGCATCCTGGGCAGAAGGATTCTTATGGTAATAATAATAATAATAATAATAATAATAATAATAATAATAATAATAATAATAATAATAATAATAATAATAATAATTTTAATTACTACAAGTACATGTACAAGGTATACAGACCATAGCTGACATCAATGACATACTACTATATAGAAAGCCGCTTGTTATGCTCAGCATTTCCCGCAAATTAGATCGGTTTTGTCCCAGGATGCGACCCACACCAGTCCACTAACACCCAGGATGCGACCCACACCAGTCCACTAACACCAGGATGCCACCCACACCAGTCCACTAACACCCAGGATGCGACCACACCAGTCCACTAAACACCCAGGATGCCACCCACACCAGTCCACTAACACCCAGGATGCGACCCACACCAGTCCACTAACACCCAGGATGCGACCCACACCAGTCCACTAACACCCAGGATGCGACCCACACCAGTCCACTAACACCCAGGATGCCACCCACACCAGTCCACTAACACCCAGGATGCGACCCACACCAGTCCACTAACACCCAGGATGCCACCCACACCAGTCCACTAACACCCAGGATGCGACCCACACCAGTCCACTAACACCCAGATGCCACCCACACCAGTCCACTAACACCCAGGATGCGACCACACCAGTCCACTAACACCCAGGATGCCACCCACACCAGTCCACTAACACCCAGGATGCGACCCACACCAGTCCACTAACACCCAGGATGCCACCCACACCAGTCCACTAACACCCAGGATGCGACCCACACCAGTCCACTAACACCCAGGATGCGACCCACACCAGTCCACTAACACCCAGGATGCGACCCACACCAGTCCACTAACACCCAGGATGCGGCCCACGCCAGTCGACTAACACCCAGGATGCGACCCACACCAGTCCACTAACACCCAGGATGCCACCCACACCAGTCCACTAACACCCAGGATGCCACCCACACCAGTCCACTAACACCCAGGATGCCACCCACACCAGTCCACTAACACCCAGGATGCCACCCACACCAGTCCACTAACACCCAGGATGCCACCCACACCAGTCCACTAACACCCAGGATGCCACCCACACCAGCCCACTAACACCCAGGATGCGACCCACACCAGTCCACTAACACCCAGGATGCCACCCACACCAGTCCACTAACACCCAGGATGCCACCCACACCAGTCCACTAACACCCAGGATGCCACCCACACCAGTCCACTAACATCCAGGATGCCACCCACACCAGTCCACTAACACCCAGGATGCCACCCACACCAGTCCACTAACACCCAGGATGCCACCCACACCACTCCACTAACACCCAGGTACCCATTTTACACTGATGGGTGAACAGGGACAGGGACAGCAGGTGTCTTATGGAAACACGTCCCTAATATTTTCCAACCGTACTGGAGGAGATTCGAACCCCGGACCTCAGTGTGTGAGCTGAGTGCCACATGTTCTTGGTCAGGATTGCTACTGCAGAGAACAAAATAAACTGAAGGCCCATATGAATGCATAGCATCTTGAGGGCAACGCTTATACTAAATTTAAAATTTATTCTGTTAATTCAAAATAAAATTCACACTAAGTTTATTACGCACTCCATAATGTGGGGGGAAGTCAAAGAATTACAAAGAGGTACATAATAGGTCCAGGGACTGGACCCCAAAGTTTTGACAGCTGAACAAGTTAGTGATAATATAGTTTTTACATGGTTTTAGCTGGTTACAACCGTAGTGGATTATTTATGCTGACATAAAGTAGGTCAGGGGCCCGAGACTGTTCAACTGCCTCCCAGCATACATAAGGGGGATTACCAATAGACCCCTGACTGTCTTCAAGCTGGCACTGGACAAGCACCTAAAGTTGGTACCTGACCAGCCGGGCTGTGGCTCGTACGTTGGTTTGCGTGCAGCCAGCAGTAACAGCCTGGTTGATCAGGCTCTGATCCACCATGAGGCCTGGTCACAGACCGGGCCGCGGGGGCGTTGACCCCCGGAACTCTCTCCAGGTAAACTCCAGGTATACACACACGTTTGTGGTGAAGCGTTATTTACAGTACTTGTAGAAATAATAATAATAATAATAATAATAATAATAATAATAATAATAATAATAATAATAATAATAATAATAATAATAATAATAATATATTGCAAGATCCCAACATTATTATTATTATTATAATCAAGGGGGAAGCGCTAAACCCAGAGGATTATACAGCGCCTGGGGGGGGGGATGTGGAAGGCATTCAGGCTTAATTCGGGGAACTGGAGCACAGATCCAATTCCCTAAATCAAGAGCCCCTGACCAACATCAAGGAACCTTCCTTGAGGGGAAGATCCCAACAGAAATAAGTCACTTCGTCAGGCTTCTTTGGGTTATCCTAGTTACTTTACACATATTACTATATCTCCCAGCCCAAATAATTTCACATGTTTGTGAATCGTTTTAAGCATATATTACTATGTATGATAATTTGTTTAACTATATTTATGTGTATCTGTACCTAAATAAAGTTAATGTATATGTGTCCAGAGGTGGTTACTGAGGTAGTTGTTACTGACCCTTACAAACCCAACTACAACAATCTTTCTCATTTATTGTCCAGTATTTTCTCTGGTAAATTATTGCCTCAATAACAGGTAACTAAACATTTTCAAGTGTAAAGTCACATTTAAAGAATCCTTAAAATTTAGTTATTGTTATTTATTAGTTTTCTGGGTGTGATCATAGCAACTACTGTATCTTAAAGTGCTGTATGACCCTTGTTGGTTTAGCGCTTCTTTTTTATTATAATAATCTTAAAGTTAGGCTGTAAATAATAATTAATATTACGATTTAGATTAGATTTTGCCACCGAAGTGGCTAATTTATTGTGCACCCCTTAATATTACGAGGACTCCAGTGGAAATAAGTAATTTTTTTTTGAGGGGGGGGGGAGGTTATCAGACTAATTTACACACGTTACTACGTATGATAATTGTATTTGTGTACTTATACCAAAAAATAAGTAATTCTGTTACTACATAAGTCATACTACAAGACATTAACAACCTGTAGTATAACTGTATAGGCTTACACGTGAATTTACAAAGAATTTATTACATTTCGAAATTTCTGTAGGAAGTTTTGTCACTTATGTAGTAAGGCAGATTGTGATTTATTGATTTAATTAAATTTGATGCCTTTATTATACATCCTTTGACTATCACCCACAGGATGAGTAAGTTTATTTAAGCACAGATACACATAAGTACAATTATCATACGTAATTTACACCATTTATTATAATTGCATGTACTTATGTGTACCTGTGCCTAAGTAAACTTACCCCATGCTATCCTGTGATTACAGAAGCTCTATTGTTATTCCAGGTTAATCATCTACATAATATATATGTCCATAATATCTATGTGACCTCTGAACCATTCGGGGTGACCCAGTGGCCTGGTGGCTAAAGCTCTCGCTTCACACACATGGGCCGGGTTCGATTCCCGGCAGGTGGAAACATTTCGACACGTTTCCTTACACCTGTTGTTCTGTTCACCTAGCAGCAAATAGGTACCTGGGTGTTAGTCGACTGGTGTGGGTCGCATCCTGGGGAACAAGATTGAGGACCCCAATGGAAATAAGTTAGACAGTCCTCGATGACGCACTGACTTTCTTGGGTTATCCTGGGTGGCTAACCCTCCAGGGTTAAAAATCCGAACGAAATCTTATCTTACAAATTTATACTGCTAGGTAAAAAGACACATGTGCATCTAATGTGGCATTTTATTGTGGCAACATTTTTCTCTCTAGGAACTTTGTCACATAAGTTGCACATTTGTCTTTTTACTTAACATATTGTTGGTAATGCTGCCAACATTATTTCTGTTCTGCGTATATTGCCCTAAATACAATTTTATGCCCATTGTCTCTCCGGCTCAAGTCTGTTGATAGAGAGCCTAGCATGTTTTAATTCAAATGAAGATATTACCTATGCAAATGTTTCAAGTGTGTGTTCTCTCAGCAACCTGGTAATGAACACTTTATTAAACACTTTTTACCCTGCAGTCAATAGCTACCAGTTTATGAGTTAGGTTATATAAACCTATAAGAATTCATATTTAACCACAAATAAGTAAATTGAAAATGAATGTGACATGCTTGGTCAAGTGGTCCAATATTCATTTGTGTGTGGGTACCCAGCTATTGGTCAAATGACCTTGGCCTAAAACTTTAGTGTTGCATAATTCCAAAGGATTGAAATGCAACTAATTTCATATTTTAGAATTTTAAGGTTAAAGTTATTTGTTATTTCTTGGCTAGATTCAATTCAATTCAGTTCAAGTTTATTCTCTATAATGGTTACAATGTGGGGTTTACAGGTTTTGGGTATTTTGTGGTTTACATGTTATAAAATACTAATTACAGAGGGGGCCACTAGGACACCTAGCATGGCTAGGCATTTCGAGCAGACTTAGATTAATTCTTAACATTAAGTCTTACAGATTATAGTATTAAGGCTAAGTGACTACATCATAATTTTGAGTTATATGGGCTTAATCTCCTAACGTCGACTACCCATTACCTAGCAATAAGCAAATATATCTGGAAGTTAGTCAGCTGATGGAAAAGACCTCAAAAGGGCCTAATGAAAATAAGCCACACTGCTTGACTTTCTTGGGTTATCCAGGATTAACCCTCCAGGATTACTAATCCAAATAATATTTTCCCCCCTTTCCTGATAACAGCTAATAATGTGTAGATATAAATATAGCAGCCACCTTTTGGAACTTAGTGTTCTGCCATTATCTATCCACAACCATAGGGATACTATTACCAAGGGAATAACAGCCTCAGCTTGCATCATAGCTACTGTGGAAATTTACCACCAGTGTATCACCTTAACAATTATGTGCTTATTTCAACCTGACCAGTCAAGAGAGTAGACCGCATGCAGCAAGAAAACAATTGATGATAAATGTTTCTATTTTTTGGGTCACATTGCCTAGGTGGATGGGAAGTAGCTGACATACAGTAATTCAAAATTACATTCTGTATTAATGCAGTACATGATAAATATTTTGTGAGAATGGAAAGGAGATATTTTGGAATTTATGATATAAGTACCTCTCCATTATTTTCTCTGGTATTTGTGTTGAAATTTTACTTAGTTTTTTGGGAAGTTGAAAGGCTTAAGTTTAGAGTATTGTATTCTCTATACATTTTAGAGTTGACCTGAACAGTGGTTTATCTTACAGTAGTTTCTGTCCTGTACTTGCAGACGTGTCTAGTGGTTTTACTGACAGATTCTAGCAGACTTGTTATACGTAGCAGCATGCACCCAGATCTCTCTCCACATTTACACTCAGAAGAATGCAATGAGCTTATTTCTAAACTTCACAACTGCCACAAAGAGGTACTATTCTTAAACTTTATGTAAGTTTTTAAACTGAAATCATCAGTGCTGAAAGAGTTTTAAGGGAAATGAGAGGGCAGCAGTCCTTTTAAGGGTCAGTTTTACATAACTTGCCATATATAATTAATTGCATAATATGGAAATGAGTGCAATTTTAAAATGAAAATCAAATGATTTATGACTATTATACAAGCAACTGGAAAGAATAAATGTGAGAGAGTATGTAAAATTAAATTTGTTACCTTTCATCTTGCAAAAAATACTAATTATATGCAAGGGGTCAAACAAAATGTCCAACGCTAAATTTGTATTTTATTTGTGCACCATACTTAAATTTCATGTAACAGTATAGAAAGAGAAAAAAGAAAAAGGCATAGAGAAGTGCCACATTTGTGAGTTTTATGAAGACCATAGAAATAAGAAAGAAAGGGACAGATAGCATGGAAACTTCTAAGAAACTCAGAGTCATCTGAGATCATTTATCCCCAGGATGACTCGAGTATGGAACACATTCGTACAGCATTATGATGTCATCGAGATAGTCAGTTGATCAGATGAAAATGCTGGCCCACAGATGGCTCCAACTTCATCATGTTCCCTACTTGTATGTTTCATAACAATAAAAATGCTTTCAAATGAGCTGATGTAGGTAACAGCTCTTAACTTGTCAATAAAGTTAGGAATCCTCAACCTGTTAATAGCTTGTCAATAAAGCTAGGGATCCTTAACCTAACCTTGTCAAACCCTGTGTAAAAGAAAAAAAAGAAAAAGATTAGAGAGAAAGTATGAAGTTCATGGTTGAAAGTTCTCTGGGAAACAAATGTGTAAGTGTGCAAATCTCATCATCTTGCTTTCTGGCTGGCCAAACCTCTCACTTCTTTCCTTGACTCTTTGTGAAGAATGCGCAGTTGTAGCAATTTATGTGGTGCATTATAGAAATTTGCCTTTCCAAATGGAATTTGTTTTATCACACTTGCAGAACTAGCTGGAAATGTTTTTTTTATTTTTAGATGCTGTGGTCAGTATTGCATCTATGCTTTTGTTGTAAATCTTTATATTTTTGGATCCTTTTCATTTATCAGTTGGTTGGCAGCTAATTTGTAGAAAAAATTGCAAATTATATTATATTTCTCACTCAGAAAAATTAATAAACAATACTGTATAAATTTCCTATAATTAAAGATTTTTTTGTCTTTCAGAATAAGTTCCTGAAATTTATTGGGGTTTGCAATGATATAGATTCAGCTGTGTGGAAGTGCATGAAGGCAGAGGTAAGTTGTGGGGCACAAATTCAATCATTGTGTTAAAGCAAATATAATGGTTTTTATTTTGTGAGGGGTGTTGTTGTTTTTGCGGTTATTTTTATTTTGTATTACACTATATGCTGTATATACATACATAGAGTACTGTAGGAGTGGGATACCTTTCTTAATGATGCTGTTCCTTTGCTGTAGAGTAAGTTCTGTATTGCTCTATATATGCCTTGACCACATGAGGTATGTTATAATATTATTAGATGGTGCTTTGGTGTAAGAGCTGATAACTTATACTGTTGCTGTGTTTTGGAAATTACCCTAAGATATTGTGTGATATTACTTTTTAACTCTCTGGCAAACTCCATCCATCAAGGTAGAATGACTCATAAAGGAAATACATTTCACCATCAATCATTCAGCAGTAGTACTTCCCACCAGGTTTCCCTGAGTCACTTAATAAATATTCCCATGCTCATACTCCAGCACTACATTGTTACTTTTTGGCTTCAATCACTCTGATCTCACATGCTGACACAAGCCTGCTTAATGTTCAAACCCCTAGCACTCAAAACCACCTTTACCCCTCCCTCCAATCCTTTCTGGGATTACTTGTACCCCTCCTTTCCTCCTCTCCAGATTAATACAGTGTCTTTGCCCTATTCTACTCCATTCTGTCTAAATATCCAAAACACTTCAACAACCCCCTCCTCAATGCTCTGGATTATACCTTTGGTAACTCCACACTGTCTTCTAATTTCTGCTCTCCAAATTTTCTGCATAATATTCATACCACACACTGCTCTCAAAGACTGTATCTCACACCCATATGAAATGTTTGTACCATTATAATGTACTATGGTACATTTTCTTTATTGTCTCCAAAGTTTGCTTCATTCTTTCCATGTATCTTTTCTTTCACCTTTTTTTTTTTCATAGACCCATCTGCCAACACATCCATTCTCAAATACTGTATCAAAATACATTCACTTCTTCAATAATTCCTCTCTCAAATCTGGTATCCAGTCTTTTATTGCCTAGACTTTGTTACTTTCATCACCCTGCTCTTTTCTATGTTCATTTTTGGTTTTTCTTCTTTTTCATATCTTCTCAAAATTCATCCACTGACCTTTGCAATTTCTCTTCAGAATTTCCCAAAAACACTGTTAATGGTAGAGAGCAACTGTGACAACTCCTACATACTGTATTTGTAATTGTGTATCTATAATAAGAGCAGAGCAATGCTTGTCGTGCTCCATCTTAAGTACTTAATTTATCAAATAATTTTTTAAGTTTTCAGTGGTTGAAGCATTTAGTGTACTACATAACAAGCACAGTAAACCCTCAAATTTAAAATTAGAATCTTTGATTTTTATGCATTAATATTGCAAATTGGTAGTTTTTATCAGTTATAATTTTATTGATGGTTTACATCTGTGTTTTTTCTCTCGACAGCGCTTAGAGAAGCGTAAGAAGAACCAGATGGCTAGTGAGGAGCGAAGGAAGAAATTATTTGCCAAGCTTGAAGAAGGACACACTTGGCGAAACATGTAAAGTGTGAAAATATATAATCATTGGAGCAAATATTAAAGTACATACTTCGTTATTTGGAATTAAAACACTACGTACTGAATGTTTAATTTTCCTTAGGTTAGTTTAGCAGAAAGCATAAAAATTATCACCATGTCGAATGTTGTAGATCGTATAGAAGAAACAGTTGTGCTGGATCTCAAGTATCCAAGTGTAAGTGAGAGATACTTTACAAAATATTACTTCATACCAAAGGAGAGGAAGAAAGTGGAAAATGTCAGCAATTTGTCGAATGTTGATCAAGATTCACCTGATGAGCTCAGTAATACCGAGACTAATCCTTTAAATGTCAACAGTGAAGAAACCAGTTTCCAGAGCCATGAATATGGCTTTGCCAAACTCAATGAGGAACAAATTTCATCAAATCCAGACAGCAGTGGGCATACGTGTGTTATGGTACACACCAACAAGTTGTGCCTTATAACCCTCTCACATGTTCACCCCATATTGGCTGAAAAGAAGGAAATTACTGAGGTCTGATAAAATTTGTGTACTTTATTTTTATATATATTTTGTGTTGTGTTTTCCATGGTAAACCCACTATTGAATGGAATGGGGGAAGAGGGTGGTTGGTAATGGTGATTACAGTGGGTAGAGATAAAATTATTTTGCTATGATCATAACAATATCTGACATTTCTGTAAACAACAGAGTTTGTCCAATGTTTATAAATCATTTTACTAGGCAGATTTTGTCCCCTATTTCAGAAGTTCATTAATTCGAGGACTGTTAAATCAAAGGGTTTACTAGATCAGTATTATTTTAGTATTTTACATTTAATTTCTTTTAACACTGGCTGTGTTAAAAGAAATTAAATGTAAAATACCCAACAACGAAGAAAATGCTTTCACTGTCTTGACAGACACACCAACATCACAGTTCCAGTGACCTTCCAAACCACAATATCCCTGCCCCTCTTTTAGAGCGAAGGCACTGTACTTCTCACCTCCAGGACTCGAGTCCAGGTACATGTATATAGGGAAACCTTAGATCAGCCTGATAACAATTGATTCAGTATAAAGCTCATTATCTTAATGTTCTGCTGTTCTGTACATGGTAATGCATAGTGTTGCATACTAGTAATTTTTCTATTTTTTTCCTTTTACTAGCTCTACAGGCTATTAGTACAGTAAAACCCCTGTATCCACTGAATCTGTATCTGCTATTTCAGTTATCCACAGTTTACTGTGGCCCAAAAATATCTTTTAATTTTGCATAACAATGGTCCCAAAGTGCAAAAGTACAGAAGCTGGCAGTTCTTCAGAGCCTAAGAAAAACCGTAAAGTGTTTCTCATCAGTAAAAAAAATGATAATTCTCCACTTATTGTACATAATTTATCAATGAAACTTTATAATAGATATGTATAGGACTTATATATAGGGTTTGCTACTATCCACGGTTTCAGTATCCGCGGCATGTCCTTGAATGTACTCCCCGCCGATCTGGGGACCTTACTGTATTTGTATTACAACTGTGATGCGATGTCTTGTTTCATTTTTAGGTAAGCTATAATGTAGGCAAATTCAACCGATTAGAAAATCAAGTATCTGGAAAGGGAAAGCGAGGTGCTCAGCTGATGGGAGTGCAGTCGTCTGTGTGCATCATTACGTGTTCTGATGGTTCCAAATACAATATCTTAGCTGGAGTTCAAGGAAAACTAGTGGAGGTGAGTTCTTCCTAGCATTTAATTCTGATAACATTTTTCTTTTAGCTCTGTGACTATTCCTCGCTAGGCAAAGCAACCTAAGTAAGAAAACTACATTGGCCATCTCCCATCATGGTAGGGCGGGAGATTCACTCAATAGCTGTTTTGTCGAGATGTCCTGTAGACATCAAAATTCAAATGACCTTTCATAAGCGTGTAGGCATTATATTCAAGTTTGGCTAACCAGTTTCCTCTGACTTCCTTTGTAAGTGTTACCTTGATTACACTCCAACAGCATGTTAAGCCATAAAGACCAGTCTGTAGGAGGGATGGAGATATACTGCAGATTTTGAACTGTAGTATTGGCATGCCTCTGGCAAGACAGTAATGGAGTGAGTGATGATGAAAGTGTTTCTGTTTTGGGTCTCCCTACCTAGGTGGGAAACAACCGATGTGTTAAAAAAAAATATGCATTTTTGTTATTAGTGAATTTTCTTCTAAACCTTTTAAATTTTTTTTTTTTTTTTACTGTTTCTTTACCATCAATAGTGATGTTTTGAATTTTGCCTGCTTTCTTTTACATATAGGTAAATGAGCGATTAGTAACACAGCCCCAACTTGTGAGTGAGCATCCAGATGCAGAGGGCTACTTAGCTGTTGTTCTGCCTCCATTGAGAAATGGGGACTTCATGCGAAGCAAACTTCTGACCGAGGAGCAGTATAAGCAGTTGAACCACTGCACAAAAACTAAGAGCTCTAGTGAAGCAAGTAATTAGTAGTGAAAATTAAAACTAGTGCATCATTACTGTGTTATACTGAATTTTACAACTACAGTATATGTATACTGTAAATAGATTTGCCAAGTACATGTATTAAACTTTATGTTGGGCATTTGAAGAAAAATAAAATGTATTAGATTGCTTTTAGTGTTTTCTTTATTACCTGTATTTATCTTTTACTGAAAAAATGTGAATTGGTTTCATAATTATTACTGCTCTAATTCTTTTGGGCATTAAGATGTTGCTCTCTTTGGGGGTACCTGGATGCTGGTGAAAGGCTCTTGATCTAAAGATTTTGAGCTATCCTTCCTTTCCTTGGATGAAACCTGTTTACCTCTTATTCACCAGATGCTGTTTCCTGTTTGGATTTAGTGCTTGATAATGAATACACACTGAAATATTTAAGAGTTCATCTGAAGGCTTAAAATGTATAAGAATTCTCATTATGTAATGGGTTTAGTGCTCTCCCATGATTATAATAATCTCATTATGTAGAATGTAAGCAGTGAAGAGCAGTGGTGCCATGGTCACTACTGCAGAACACTCAACAATCATGATATATGATTTTAACTGTCTCTTAGCAAATATCTCCTCAGGGTTGATGCTTTGATTATGGTGAGGGGTTTTGATCCAAGGAGCCCCTCAAGGGAGGTTCTTTGATGTTGGTGAGGAGCTCTTGATCTAGGGAATTGGATCTGCTCCAGTTCCCTGAATTGAGCCTGAATACCTTCCACCCCCCCCCCCCCAATGTGAACTGTATAATCCTATGGGTTTACACTCCCCCTTAATAGTTTATTCAAGGAATTTGACCTATTCTTCCCTTGTATTGAACATGAATGCCTCTCATTCCTCAGGGGCTTTATAACCCCCATGGGTTTAGGTCCTCCCCAACTAATAATAATAATCATCATCTTTTTTTTTAACAAATTGGCTGTCTTCCCCTTAGACAGTGACCAAAGAGCAAGATATACCTCCATGATCACTAACTTGCCAGAGGCATGCCAGTACTACAGTTAGGATGCTCCTCCAAACTGCGAACATTCCAACACCAGAATGCAGGCACTGCACTTTCCACCTCCAGGACTCAAGTCTGGCTAACTGGTTCCCATGAATCTATAAATATTACCTTGCTCACACTCCAGCTCGGTTGGCAATGTTCTCGCCTCATACACTAAGCCTTATATGCCTTTATATTGATCTTTTATTGTTCTAAGAAGCAATATTGCCACCCACAACAACACATCATCATAAAAACCACATGCCTCCACTCCTATGTAACACGCTTATATGTGCCTGCTGGATGTCCAGGCCCCTTGCATACAAAAACCTTAACACCTTCCCTCCAACCTTTCCTAGGCAGCCCCTACCCTGCCTTCCCTCTAACACAGATTTATACACCTTCCAAGTCATCCTATTTTCCTATGTAGAATATAACTTTGGTATATCTGTGTCTAGCAATAAGAATAATATTAGGAGAGAAGTAAATAATGAAACTGATTGTTACAGGAATACAGTTAGAAGCCTGAGTAGATCTATAACCCACTAAGATAACATGGAGCAATTTGCAATGTGAACAGACTGATGTTGTAGTGGCCAGGCTTAGGCTTGGTTACAAGTACTTCTGGCAGTTTAGGAGATAAACAGATGATGATCAGACTAAATGCAAATTATGTGATCAGGCTTATGGTCACTGTCTTGAACACTGTGCTTAATTGTCCACTTATTGAGGAATACAGAGATAGACAGTATAATAACCTCTGTGACATGTCAAGATACAGTGGACCCCTGGTTTACGATCAGCTCCCAATGCGACCAATTATGTAAGTGTATTTATGTAAGTGCATTTGTATGTGTGTTCTGTATAGTCCTTGTGGCTTAGCGCTTCTTTTTGATTATAATAATAATAATAATTTGTATGTGTATGTTTGGGGGTCTGAAATAGACAAATCTAATTCACAATATTCCTTATGGGAACAAATTCGGTCAGTACTGGCACCTGAACATACTTCTGGAATGAAATAATATCGTAAACCGGGGTCCACTGTGTTTTATTAATGAAAATAAGATACCAGATATACTAAGCAATTTTCCTAAATTTGCTTGTAACAGGTAAGTGAACTGTAGATATGTAAATATAAATCCATATGTACACCTGTTAACCCTTTTGGGGCCTAGTTCCTAGGCCTCACGTGTATCCATATGCTCTTGTGCTACCGTCCAGGGGATGTATATGGGGTGCACAATAAACTAGCCACTTCGGTGGCAAAATCTAATCCTATTTTCCTCCATTCTCTGAATGTCCAACCACCTCAATAATCCCTCTCAGCCCTCTGGATAATACTTTTAGTGTTATCCAGAATTCTTTGCATAGCATTTGCACCACGCATTACCCTCAAACACGACATCTCTATTGCTTACAGCCTCCTCCTTGCTGCAACATTCACAACCTATCCATCCTATCATACATCTTTTTTAAATCCAATAATGCAACAAAATCTTTCTTACCCTTATCTAAATATGTATTGTTCACTTGTGTTTTAATGTAACTCTCTGTATACACATCCCCTACCTTTCCTAAAACCTTGTTCATCTGCGATCCTGCTCTCCATCATATCCTTAATTCTTTCAATAATAATAACTCTTCCATCCACTTCACCTGATATACTCAAGCTTATTTTCCTATAATTCTTACACCTTCTTGTATTACCATTTCCTTTATACAAAGGAACTAGTCATGCTCTCTGCCAGTCCCTAGGTACCCTCTCCTCTTTCATACATTTATTGAACAAAGGCACCAACCATTCCCTAACTATATCCCCACCTGCTGTTAACATTCCAAGTGGAACCATTAACTAGTCAATGGTCCAAGTGGGACCATTAACTAATCAATGTCAAGTGGGCCATTAATAGTCAGTGTCCAAGTGGGACATAATATAATACTCAAGAGACATTCAGGCATGGTCCAAGTGGGACCATTAACTAGTCAGTGGTCCAAGTGGGACCATTAACTAGTCAATACTCCAAGTGGGACCATTAACTAGGCAATGGTCCAAGTGGGACCATTAACTAGTCAATGCTCCAAGTAGGACCATTAACTAGTCATTGGTCAAAGTAGGACAAAAACTGGTCAATGGTCCAAGTGGGCTCTGGTGGCCTGGTGGCTAAAGCTCTTGCTTCGCACGGCGAGGGTCTGGGTACAATTCCCAGCGAGGGTAGAAACATTGGGCGTGTTTCTTTACACCAGTTATCTATGTTCCCCATCAGTAAAATGGGTACCTGGGTGTTAGTCGACTGGTGTGGGTCGCATCCTGGGACACTGACCTAATTTGTCCGAAATGCTCAGCATAACAAGGGGCTTTCTGTATAGTAGTATTATTATAATCAAAAAGAAGCACTAAATCATAAAGGATATACAGTTTTCTATATAGTAGTATGTCACTGATGTCAGCTAGGCCTGTATACCTTATATATATACTTGTAGTAAATAAATATATTATTATTATGGTCCAAGTGGGACCATTAACTACTCATTGGTCCAGTGGACGAAATGGTCCATAAAAGTTTCGTCTGCATGTGGGATATTTTATAATAAAAAAGCTAAATCATAAAGGTTAATTTTTTGATCATTTACCTCAAGGCTAGGCTCCTTATAACGCTGGTGAGGGCTTTGATCTAGGAATTGGATCTGTGACTCCAGTCCCTGGAATTAAGCTGAATGCTTCCATTGCCCCATGAGGCCATGTATACAATTCCTACGAGGTTTAGTGTTCCCCTTGATTATAATAATAATAATAATTTGATCATTTAAAAGTGGCGGCTGATGACGTCACAGTTGTAAACACTATATAAATCTTCCATATAAACTGTGTGTATAACATCTTGTGCAAGATTATATATTATTCCCCTTAAGCACCAATATACGACAAAATATATATATTAGTGGTGTGTTGAGTGTGTTAATATAAGTGAAGGTGTGACACTGACTCATTACTATCATCTTACTCATCAATATTAACTCACTCTTACACTCATCCTTCAAGTATCAACTCTTACAAGTTTCTTAAGTAAGTTAACTTAAGTAGACATGAGTACAGTTATCATAACTTGTAACATAAGGGTAAGTTACTTACTTAAGTTATCTACCAGAGTAAGACGGTAAAGTCAGTCATAAGTGACTTTATTTTCATTGTTGTCCTTGTAATATCTTATTATTTGAAGTTGTAAGATAGACAGTAACAACCTTCCCAGTCCAGTTATAATAGACAAGACTTTTTACAACGGCCACTTGAATATAAAAGCCAAGTTAAGGGAGTTTGTGCTGTGTGTGTTGAAATAATGTTAATTCTTACAGTTGCAGACAGACAGGTCTTCATACTGGTGGAAAAAGGTTCAACCCTTGTGGGTTTAGCGCGTAATTTTTGTGTATAATGGTGATAGGTTATTGATGAATGGATTGAACCATCCTCTCTTTAAGATTTTGTTGGGATTTTTAACCCGGAGGGTAAGCCACCCAGGATAACCCAAGAAAGTCACTGTCATCCAGGACTTTTTGTCTTATTTTCATTGGGATCCTCAATTTTGTACCCCCAAGATGCGACCCACACCAGTCCACTAACACCCAGGTACCCACTTTCTTCCTCGGAACATACCTTATAACACCCCCATTTTACCCCTCCCATTCCCCCCAGGTGTGTATGACTCCTACAGGTTTAGCACTTTCCTGTGAATATAGTAAATCACGGTGACCTGGTGATGAAAGCTCGAGCGTCACACAGTGAGGGTCCGGATTCGATTCCCAGCGAAGGGTTAGGAACATTGGGCGTGTGTCCTTACATCACTTGTCCATGTTCACCTATCATTGAAAAATAGGTACCTGGGTGTTAGTCAACTGGTGTGGGTCGCATCCTGGGATAAAATTGACCTAATTTGCCTGAAATGCTCTGCAATGCCTGGTCACAGACCGGGCCATGGGGGGCATTGTCCCCCTGAAACTCTCTCCAGGTATACCCCAGGTATAACAAAGGGCTTTCTATATAGTAGTATGCACAGCATTTCGGGCAAATTAGGTCAGTTTTGTCCCCAGGATGCAACCCATACCAGCCGACTAACTCCCGGGTACCTATTTTACTGACCTTAGTGTGTGAGTTGAGTGGGCTAGCAGTCGAGCTACATATTGTAAATTATCTAGGATAAACCCAACATAGTCAAAGTGGGTGTGGGCATATGAGAGTTGACCCGCCTAGCATGGGCCAGTACATAGATAATGATATATGAATACGCGGAATATACCTGGAGAGGGTTTTGGGGCTCAACGCCCCTACAGCTTGGTCTGTGACCAGGCCTCCTGGTGGATCAGGGTCCGATCAGCCAGGCTGTCACTGCTGGCAGCAAGCAAACCAATGTATGAGCCAGGCCCAGCTGATCAGGTACTGACTTTAGGTGCCTGTATTATTATTATTATTATTATTATTACAATCAAGGGAGAAGCGCTAAACCCGTAGGATTATACAGCGCCTGGGGGGATGTGTAAGGCATTCGGGCTTAATTTGGGGAACTGGAGAACAGATCCAATTCTGTAAATCAAGAGCCCCTCACCAACATCAAGGAACCTTCCGTGAGGGGTTAGATGCCTGTACCTTCTGGCTAAATGTTTCCTCAATTAAATGTCTTGAACTGTAACATGTGTCTTTATTTACATATGTCTGTATCACCATACCTCTCCAGTCATGGGCCAGGAGGCCTTCTGCAGTGTTCCTTCATGTAATCTCATGCACCACTCATTCTTAACTCTTGCCAAACCTGTATTTTACTGCATTCTTAGGAGATTTGGGGAAAACTTTTAATAAAACTAATTAACTACTTCACCAGTTTTGATGGCAAATTAAACCTTTTAGACTGTATTATGTATCAGAGTTTGTGAGAGACAAGAGGTTCTCATTGCATCATGTATATTTGGTTAATGCCTAAGGGGTTAATAATCCAAAGAAACTCCATGTAGCATTATATTGTTCTGGGAAAGTAGTCTTTATGTATACTAATTACATATTGATTTTGTTTTAATTTGTATAGTAATATTTATATCTAGTACATTATATAAGTAAAGAGTAAATCTCTATAAGTAAAGAGTAAACTCGCTCCAAAATTTTGTTTATATACATGCAGTACTTTGTTTTTATTATTACCTGGAGAGAGTTCTGGGGATCAACGCCCCCACGGCCCGATCTGTGACCAGGCCTCATGATGGATCAGGGCCTGATCAACCAGGCTGTTACTGCTGGCTGCACACAGTCCAGCAGTAACAGCCTGGTTGATCAGTCCCTGATCTACCATGAGGCCTGGTCACAGACCGGGCTGTGGGGGCGTTGACCCCCAGAACTCTCTCCAGATAAACACTTTCACCATCATTCACACTATCACTGTCTTTGCAGAGGCACACAGATACAATATTTCTTTTTTTTAGGGGATGGGGTCACCCTGCCTCTGTGGGAGCCAGTTAATTTTTAAAAAAAAAATATTATGAATGTTTGATCTTCTACAGTTCATCAAACATGCCGTTGGAATGGCTATTTGGGCGGAAAATGACACCAGAGGAAATGCTGAGAAAAAATCAGCGTGCCTTAACCAAAGCCATGCGAGATCTAGATCGAGAGAGATCAAAGATGGAGCAGCAGGAGAAGAAAATAATTGCTGATATCAAAAAGATGGCAAAGATGGGACAGATGGTTAGTAGAAGCTTGTTTTCTTTGATGGACATTGTACTACTGGTAAGCCTGTAGGTAAACTGATTTTAATTTTATTGAGCAGTAAGGTATACAGTAGACAACCAAGATCTGATAATCTGACTTGTGATGATCTGCACTAACAATATTGGCACTTTGATATCTATTAATTGCAGATACAGACTCTTCCTTCCTGACAGTGGGACTACTTACAGTCATGGAAATATCATTTCCAGTGAGCAAGACATTATCAGTATTCAATGTAAATACTGCACTGTGTATTTTATTGTAGCTCTGTGACATGTAATTAGTCTCTACACATTTATTAAGCATTATTTGCAGTTAAAAGGAACAGTCATCAATGCAAAATGAAGGATAGTCTAAATATTCTTAAATTAGATTCACAATATTATGGTTCAGGGATGCTCTGATTATAACATGGGTATTCATGGGAAAGTTAAGAGCTCCAGGCACTCAGGTTAACAAAATTTTGGGGAATCTGTTAACGGCATAAGTGGGGGACCTATAGAGCTTGTCATTAAAGTACTCCTTCCTACTCTAAAACCACAACCACAAGATAAGTCATCCTTCATGTTTTAAGATATTTTTCAACTGTCTAGGAAGTGATTAACATACATTCTTTAGGATTTCATACGGGATAAATCCCCGACAGCTCATAGATAGCATTCTAAAACTGTGAGAGTAGATTGATATCCTTTCCCTACAGATCTCTCTACTACAACCCAGATGGTCTCATTGAGGTTCAAGTCTTGTGGAATATTAGTCATCAAGGAAGGGTATGTCACAGGCACAAAGCCACTGAACAATAGATTTTGCAGCATGGCAAGAAGCATTGTCTTGCACCACATTGGGTAAAAGATTTGGGTAAACATAGCAAAGCAATTCTAGGTATTTTGTTACAGTTAACATATGTGGGGATGTTTTTCTAGTCTTCCCTGGATGTGCTTTTAGTGTGGACATGTCAGCAACACTGTCCTCAAGGAAACGATGCAAACAGGTTTTCACCAGACACTCACATACATTGGTGGCTTCTATTCCCTTTGTTTGATGGCCTGTCTTATGTAATCCAATGATCCTCACAGTTGTATCTTGTGTCAGCCACTTACTCCTGCCCATATTAATTCATCAGTAGCCAAAAATGTCTGACTAACTCTATTTTCAAGACCACACAGTGAAAGCATATCACATACACAAAATCATCCATCACACAAGCCAAGAAATCACTTAGGAGCAACCTTTGGGAAACCTGGGACATCCCTCTTCAAGTTGCAAGGCCAGCATAATTTTTGGTTTCTGACAAACCTGGCAGGATAAGGTATTATTTTGGACATTTAGGTACAGAGTGCCTTCCACCTGGTATACTTTAATGACAAATGCTGAACATTGTGTTATGTAATGTATACATTATTATGTTATTAAGCTACCTAAAAGAGATCAAATTCCCCCTCAACTGTGGCTGCATTTTCCTTGGGAGGGAAAGGTAGGACCTTCAGTTAACTTCCAGCTATTAGAGTTTGGGATTCAACCACCTGGATTCATCAGAAAAAACTAAGGATATGATAAATTTTCAGCTTTTATTAAGCAAGTGGTACACGCAAAGGGAAGTATTCAGTGTTCATGAATATCGAGAAACCGAGCTGCTTTCTTTTGAAATGTATAAGAAAAAACTTTCAACAGATTGCCATCAGTTCCTTGAAGGAACAGTATTGTAGTTGTACATACTATTTCAGATAGATGATGTTTGACTTTAATGTGAATTTATTGTCTCTGTAATTGCTTTTCTTCATAAAATATTTAGCTCTTTACTTTTTAGGATGCGGTGAAAGTGATGGCAAAGGACCTGGTGCGCACCCGACGCTACACCAAAAAATTCATCATGATGCGTGCCCAGATCCAAGCTGTATCCCTTAAAATTACCACACTAAAGAGCCAAAATGCCATGGCTCAGGCTATGAAAGGAGTCACAAAGGCCATGATGAATATGAACAAGTTAGTAAATGCCTCATTCTCTTCATTATTTGCCAATAATAATATTTTACTGTAATGTTCTAGATACCCTTTTAAAAAATTTTTCAAACCACAGTGGCTGTATAAGTACCTTTTATCCAAACCAGAAGAAACTGGAAGTAGATAAAGAGTCACATAATTCCTGTACATGGTAGTTTGAATGATGTCTGCTGATTTTTCTGAAAACAGTGTGGGTATGGTAGCATTATCTTTTCCATGAATTCTGGAGGTGGGAAGGGCAATGCCTGCAATCTGAAGGAAGGGTGGAGATGTTGTGGTCAGAGAGTACTCTGAATTGTGATATGGAAAGATGGTGATTAAATAAATGATGTGGAAAGATGGTGATTAAATAAATGATGGTGAATATGTTTTCTTTTTGAGTCACCCTGCCTTGACAGAAGATGACTGTTGAGATAAAAAAATATTAGTAGTAGTAGAATCATTGTTTTTATCAAATATTACTGCATAATACATGGTAAAAATACCGCAAAATTTTTGGGAAATTTTTATAGCTGATTCAGCAGAATATATTATTGTAAATACAGTACTGTACTGCATATTGATATATATTCAATATATTTGTTATTTTCATATAGTCAGACTTGAGTCCTGGAAATGGGAAGTACAATGCCTGCACTTTAAAGGAGTGGTTTGGGATATTGGCAGTTTGGAGGGATATGTTGTGTATCTTTATACGATATATGCTTCTAAACTGTTGTATTCTGAGCACCTCTGCAAAAACAGTGATAATGTGTGAGTGTGGTGAAAGTGTTGAATGATGATGAAAGTATTTTCTTTTTGGGGATTTTCTTTCTTTTTTGGGTCACCCTGCCTCGGTGGGAGACGGCCGACTTGTTGAAAAAAAAAAAAATGTTAAAAACATTTATTTCAACTCTGAATCGCTATTTCACCTTTCATTGTTGCTAGCAGGCATCCCCATGCAGTGCTGAATTACCCACACAGGTTTAATGCTTTTTCTACACAATTACCTCACAATTTAGTTTGCTGCATTTGATTTTTCATTCTAGTATTTTTACATTGCTTACATATTTCTTTCAGGCAACTAAAGCTTCCTCAGATCCAGCAAATTATGCAGGAATTTGAAAAGCAAACTGAAATTATGGATATGAAAGAAGAAATGATGAATGATGTGATTGATGATGCCATGGGTGATGAAGACGATGAAGAGGAGAGGTAACGTATTGCAATTAAAGGTTCTGTCTAAGTAGATGAGTGTGAAATGACCCACAGTCATAATTAGGGATTGCTGTCCCCACTGAACCATTTAACCATCATCACAGTTTCCATGTTGTTTTGTATAAGACATGTTTCATACTAATACTTAAAGAATAGAAACATTTTACTGTTATTGAGAAGTAGATATGTATATAATGGAAAATAACTAAGGTTTGTACATGTAATGAGGGAGTTTGCAATGGGAAGAGTGCAGCAAAATTTATGAAATTTCTTGGGAAGGACATTTGCTTCAATACAAGTTAATCTCTTTATTGTTCCTGCATCCAAATTCATGGTACAAATATCTGCATACTTTCTACATGAAGAATTGAAGAAATCCACTTGGTCTTCAGCAGAAAATTATAAATATGTATACCTTTATTTAACTTAGTGTAGCACTGTTGATCTTCACATGAAGTGGGGAAGAAATCCAGGAGATAGGCAGTCATCTTTATTTAATATTTTCCCTGATTGTAAATAAGATTTTTCTATTCATTTGAAAATTTTGGTCACTGACTTTTTGAATTCTTGACAGTGATGCTATTGTATCTCAAGTGTTGGACGAACTTGGCCTCCAAATGACAGAAGGTTTGAGTGAACTTCCATCAGCTGGTGGAACTCTTGGTACAACAACTGCTTCCAAGACACCTGTTGCTGTAGCAGATGCTGCTGATGATGACATTCAGGCAAGATTGGACAACCTCAGGAGAGAGTGAACATTCAAGGACAAGAAAATGAAGAACACTGTTTAACTTGAACTGTAGCCATTGTATTGTAACAGTTCAAGAGACAATATGATTGTGTTAAACACTATTACAGCAATGTAAATTTACAAACTATCTAGTTTTCCACACACACATTGTGTTATCATACTTAAGTGTTATCATTTGTCTACAGAGTTTGTAATATTATTGTCTAAAAACAGATCACAGCAACATATAAAGTAAAAAAAAAAAAAGGTAAACTCAGTCATTAAATATACTGTACATTCAGTCCTCCTGCATTTTCTTAACATTTATTGATCACATAAATTTCGTTTTTACAGAAGTTAAATTCCACCACTCCTTCCACCAAATGATCCATACAGGCTTAGCACTTCCAAAAAAAATGGCTCCTAGACTTACAATGGTGTTGTTCTAATAAACCCATCGTAAGTTAATAATATCATTAAGTTGAATATGGATATGATATGCTAAATAAATTAAGCAAGTAAGTAACTGTCACTGAGTAAGTAAACAGACAAATAATTACTGTAACTAAATACCAATATTAAAAAGTAAATGAATGAATACAAGTTATGGAATCATTGCCTTCATGCTGGGTAATTATCTTAAGTAAAGTCAAAATATCGTAAGTTGAACCATTGTAAGTTGAGGAGCACCTACCCATGAGAGAAAGACTCAAAAGTACTGTATTTTGAAATTAGACGTGGCTCAAATGTTTTGCCTTTTAGACGAATGAGTGGTAAACGATTTTTGTTACAGGTACTGTACTTAGGTATTTTATTTTATATGATCTCTCTCTTGTTGTCTTTGGGATGGAGGGTGCAAATGGGGATCACTTGTTAAGTGACACTGGTTGGTACTGTATGTGTAGACTCATCTCAGTGAAAAGGTCTTACCAAGGAGCTATCCCTTGTCATATAAATAATGTAATGTTTACAGGATGAGATTTATTATGACATTAATTTTTATATAGAGGTCTTCTGTGTCTGTAGGTAAAGGTAGCTAATCAGAAAATCTACAACATATACATACATACATATATCTTTCTACCTATCTATCTATTTAATCTCTGCACTATTAAATGTATCTAAAAACTATGTATATGTGTATGTACACAATGCACATAAATAATATCTAGACTCAACGCTACACTGGCAAACTATAAATAACCTTCAGATATATAGGTCACGAAATGCTCAAAAAAACCTTCATAACATATGCTAGGGCAAAATTAGAATAAGGAAAGGTGGTGTGGTGTCTGCATTTTGAAATGTGAAAAATGCAAAATGACTTTCAGAGAGAATTATGTAGAAATGCTGAAAACTTAAAAAGCCCTCATTGACCGAGAGGAAAAAAGGTGATGTGGTAATCACGTAGGATTATAAGAGAATATAAAATAATTGATGATGAATTCTTAGCACCATCTGCATGGAGAACACAAGGCTACAGTTATATATTAAAAGCAAGCAATGCTGAAAGGTAACCAGAAAGCTAATTCAAAGTGATAGAACAGTATAATGCCATACAAGAGGGGTGTAAGTGCTGCAGTTACAGAAATTTTTAAAAAATAACTTAAATGTTCAAGACAGCACCACAAGAATATCCTTGCTACTATAGCTACAGATAATCATAGTGACTGAAAGACAAAATCATTATCCATCTTTCATTCTCTAACTGTGTTTGTAGAAGCACCAAGACATCACAATTTAAATGACCTTCCCAACTGCAGCATCTCCACTTATCCTTCAGCATACAGGCACTGTAATTACCACCTCCACATTTCAAGCCTAGCTAAATGTAAATAAATATTGTACAGATATGTATTATGACAAAATTACCAACTTAAGATTTTTGTTTAATCTGTAGACCAAAAGTAATAACTATGGTAAACTATTGTCAACTTTGTGTGTCAGCCAATCTAGATTTTACATTTGCTAAAATTGATCACAAATGGTGATCAATTTTAGCAATGTGAATTGACTCCAAAAGGTCAAAATCATACCATCAGCATTCCTGTCATGAAATATGTGTATAATATATATTTTTTTTCAATTTTTCAGGCACAGTACTGTATACATGTATTAATATGACTTCATTTTTGAGACAAATGAAGGGAAATGTGAGGTACTGTGTTACATCTTTCTACAAGGAAAATCAGTTTGACTAAAAATTATTTTTTTTATTACTTAAAATTGTATCCGTATTTAAAAATGCATTGGGATGTAGTATAAAATACATAAGTTAAATTTCTTCCTGCTTTCCCTTTGCCTTACCCCAACTCCTCAGCCATACTTCCTTGACCCCCTCTTTCCCCATTATACAATTTCCCCTCCTTGTCTCTCCTTCCTGTCTCTCCATCTTCCACTTCCACATCACTCCAACTACCTTCCAATCTTTCCCTCTCATATCACCCCAGCCTCTTATCCACCTTTACCCTATCGCATCACCCCAACCTCTTACCCACCTTTTCCTCTTCAGATTTACCCCTCCCCTCTCTTAATCCCCACCCCAATTCTCCATTCAATCCACCTTTCCCATTTCCCTTGTAACTGTTGTCAACCCCATCTCCCCCTACTTCTAAAATTTTCCTCCCTTGAACACTCCCAAGTTTATACAAACACTCACCCCCCAGTTTCCACCCCTTCCCTCCCTTTCCTGTGCTAGTGCCTTGGGTTGATAATGCACCACCATGTTTGTTATGGCAGTACTGTTAAAATGCTCCTTTATTCAGTACATCACTAGGGAGCCTGGAGTGTGTAGGATCTACAAAAATACACAAGGCTCAAGGTTAAACATAGTTTCGTCAGCAATATGAGATCATTTTCGTGAATTGAAACTTTGTACCAGGTTGAAAATATTTTAAACCTAGTAGATGCTGCAGAAACAACAAAAACATATAAATGGTGCTTCAATTATACAGTTCCCAAGATATTGTAAAAATTAGTCTTTATAGGACTTGCCTGAATACCAATCCTGCCATGCATTGATAGCACTACAGTGATTACAGTAAGCTCACTTATAAAGTGTGATTGAAAAAGGACATGCAAAAATAAATAGCATGTGGAAAGGCAAAAATACACACATTGGCTTCGGATTCACTTTTTCAGTCGTATTTACAAAAATTCACACCATGTAGAGGAGCTTTATAAGAGAGCTGACCGTACAATAGAATGTTACAAACCTATTAATAATTTTTTAATAGTTTGTATTGTTAGAAATTTTGATTGTCATTATTTTGAAAATGTCAGGGAATGAACCTGTGTGATGCATGTGTAATTGAATCCAAATCACTAAAGTTATCTGCTCTGGAAAGAGTTTACTTTACATAATCATTTTCTATCTGTGGTCTTTTAGCAGACATTCTATTTCGTGTGAGATCAGATAACTGCACATAAGGGAGTTCACTATTTTTCATAAAGTTTTATTAACCCTTAAACGGTCCAAACATATATATACGTTTATTCAACATTTGAAAGTATGTAAAAAAATGTAGATCTTCTTTTTGTTTTACATTTGAAAATGTGTAAAAAAACTTTTATCTACATTTTTTTTTTTTTGTTATATTTGAAAATATGTAAAAAAAAGTAGATCTACTTTTGGAGCACTACGAATTTGAACGTCGATCTGTTTGGAGCATTTAAGGGTTAATGTGTATAATCATGTACTTAGAATGTTTGGAATGTATTAATGATTTATAAAGTGTCTTGCAGTAGTGACTACAGTGCATACTTAAAACACTTTTTGTTCAGATTTTAGTTAGATATACAGTAATTCATTTTTTCTCAAGTATAACAAAGTTTATATGTGCATATTTATCAATAATAGGTACAGTACATATACAAAAATCTAAAAATCTTTTCCGTCAAATGTATTGTTCATGATACATAACCAACAGTACCATATTTTTTTATATAAATTTGTCTTTTTCTGTAAATTTTAAAACTTGCCAAATGTTGAAGTAGCTTGTATCCAATATATTGTATATCTAACACCTTGTTCCTTCCATAAATTTCCCTTACTGGACGAGTTGACCTGGAGAACTATCATGATATTTTAAATGCCTTAAATACTGCAATGTGCACTTGAAATGTTTCCCGAGTCCATTTGACTTTTGCTAGTAATGAAAGAAAAGGCTATGAAAAGATCCAGCAGTCTCAGCTAGTATCTATATAGGAGAAAGGAAGAATAAAGCAGCACAGAATAGCATGATTACTGAGAAAAAAGTGAAATGGGGAAACTACAGTGCTTATTGACATAGTAATTTCAGGGTGGAGGAAATGCAACAAACTATTATTGCCAAGTGGTCATGAAATTTGTGTGTTGCAAAAGAAAATAATAATTGGCATGAAATTTATTCCTTTTCCTTTCTCAGTGGTAATACTAAAATTAGTAATCAAAATAACTCGTAGATATCTTACTATCTTTAACTGGTTCAACTTGTTTATCAACACTTGATGAATATTTCCTCAAAACAAGGATAATTGTTAATCTTCAATGGTGGTGCCTTGATGCCCATGAAGGGTTTTTGATCCAGTATTTTCACAGCAGTTATAAGTATATGGCAGTTCTCTCTGCTATCAAGCACATTGCAACTACCTTGTCATTTATAGTTGTTTCAGACTTCCAAAAGCACATTACAAGATATCTAGAAATTTGACTTCTCATATTCCATTTTCTACAGTAAACAAGTTTGGTTATGTCACATTTCTAGTAAACATGAAGAAGTCATTGTTTTTAGTGCTCTCTCAGCAACTCCACAACCATTGGCAACAATATTAGTCCACGTTGAACCATAACAAATTTTCTATCAAACCACATTTGGGATTCTTGCCATCTTCCCAGAAGTGTCGGGTTTGGGAAACTGCACTCTTGTACTTATGTATCGGACACACATGACTCACAGATGCCACATGGAGAAACAAATGGTATAGCTCTGTGGGGACTTGCAAGTCACACTGTCAGTCCACTACATCTTAATAGATTGTCGTGTCTACCAGCAGGTATGCACAATTAATTTCCAATGTCTACATCACCCTAACACATATATACCCTTAACTGATCACTCTAAGTCCCACCTTTGATATAGATCTCTCTCTGATTTTTTAACAGACACTAACCTATTGTGTTAACTGTGATTTAAATTTCACTCTTCTCCTACCCCACACTATCCACTACCCCTTGCACACCCCAACCCCTCACACATCCCTTCCCCTCACACACCCCCTACCCTGGCACATCCCTCACATACCCTTATTCCCCTACATGACAGTACCCCATGCTCACTCTTACCCTTCCCTTACTCGTAACCTTCACATTTGCCTACACTTGCATATTTCTACCTGCAGCGCTGTGTGACCCATATGACTTCCATTCGTCAAACTTGATTGCCTTCCATTCTCTAGGTGTTGTATGACCCCTATGGGTTTAGCACTTCCCCATAAATATAATAAAATACCTATTTATAAACAAGTGATGCATTGTATGAACCTTGAAGGTTTAGTGCTTCCTTTTGATTACATATAATAATATAAACAGGTAAACAAATATCATGTGTTAATTGTTCTCATGGCAGAGAATAATTTGCTGTAATGTTAAATGTAGCATCTTCATTAACATGGCCTCTCAGTGAAGGTTCATTGATGCTGGTGAGGAACTCTTGATCCAAGGAATTGGACTGGTTCTATCCTTCCTTGGATTAAACCTGATTGCCTTCCATTTCCCAGGTGCTGTATGACCCCTTTGGGTTTAAAGTTTCCTCTAAATACAATAACTGCAGAATCAAATACAGAATGGGAGTTGGCTCGGTTACTCTTTGCTGATGATTCTGTGCTTTTTGGGAGATTCTGAAGAAAAGTTGTTGTATAGCCCTTGTGGTTTAGTGCTTCTTTTTTATTATAATAATAATGAAGAAAAGTTGCAAAGGTTAGTGGACAAGTTTGGGAGGATGTGTGAAGAAGAAAGCTGAAAGTGAACACTCCTCAAGGGAGGTTCCTTGACACTGGTGAGGGGCTCTTGATATAGGGAATTGGATCTATGCTCCAGTTCCCTAAATTAAGCCTGAATACCTTTGACATCCCCCCACAGGTGCTGTATAATCCTACGGGTTTAGCGCTTCCCCCTTGATTATAATAATGAAAGTGAACATAGATAAGAGTAAGGTGAAGAGGGTATCAAATTATTTGGGTAAGGAAGAATTGGATATCAGATTGGAGGGAGTATGGAGGAAATGAATGTGTTCAGATATTTGGGAGTGGATGTGTGGGGCGGGTTTATGAAATACAAGGTAAACCAAAGAACTGATGAGGGGAAAAAGGTGGGTGGTGGATTGAGGTATCTGTGGAGGCAAAAAAAATGTTATCCATGGGGGCAAAGAAGGGAATGTATGAGTATTGTGGTAGCAACTCTTACAGGGGTGTAAAGCATGGGTTATAATGTTGCAGCGAGAAGACTGGAGGCAGTGATGTGTCTACCAGCAATGTGTGGTGTAAATATTATAAAAAAATATTATACAGAGAATTCATAGTTTAAATATTAGGTGTGGAGTTACTAAAAGTATTATCCAGAGAGCTGAGGAGGGGTTGTTGAGGTGGTTTGGTCATTTAGAGAGGATGAAGCAAAATAGGATGACTTGGAGGGTGTGTAAATCTGTAATGGAGGGGGGGGGGGTAAAGGAGGTTTTGTGTGCAAGGGGCTTTGACACGCAGCAGGCATGTATGAGCGTGTTAGAGGAGGAGGAGGAGGAAGATGAGCAGTTGAAGCAGAATAAGAAGAAAAATGAGAAGAATAAGGAAAAGGAAAAAGAAAAAGAAAACCTCTCGAGTTTTACATTCTGAGGTGATTCTCCGCGAGCATAAAAATATTTGATATTACCTCCCAAGTTTATCTAGATACAAGTGACTAATATCCTTGAGGAAAGGCTCTTGATCCAAATAATTGACTCTGTCCTTCCCTTTCCTTGGATCAAGCATTCTCCAGGCACTGTATTATCTCTACGAGTTTGGCGTATATCTCTACATAATAATAATAATAATAATAATAATAATAATAATAATAATAATAATAATAATAATAATAATAATAATAATAATAATAATAATAATAATTAACACCAATAATAATAATAAGATGAAGAATAGATAATAATAGATAATTAAAAGCTTCAGTGATTTAAAGTGTTTTATGTATATATATAAGTAAATTTATTTATTTAGGCACAGGTTCACATAAGTACAATTATCATACATAGTGTAAATTATCAGATAACCCCCAAAAAAGGCAGAATGAGTGACTTATTTCCATTCAGGTCCCTTATTTCCATGTTGATTATCTTAGATCCATTTCTACATAACTTATTATACAAAAAACTAATTAGTTATTTACTAGGACCCTCTTAATCATTGTAACTTCTATTTATGCTTCTTAGAAATAAATATTTTGATTTTGACTTAGATTGTGCTGGCGGTCTCTGGCAGGTGGAGCTCCAGTAAGTGTTATTGTTAAATTATTCTTCATTAAATAGTATTTATGGTATTTTATACAGGTGTTGAGGGCACACACAGGTGTTGTGGGCACACACGGGTGTTGTGGGCACACAAGTACCCACAACAAGCCGAATTAAGAGTAATGTGAGGTATTTCCACTGTTGTCTTCTATCTTACAATATATCTATTTCCTTTCTGCAGTAAACAAAATGTAGTTTACTTGTAATGAAATATTGATAGACAGGAAAGAAAAACCACTAAGATAAAGTGTCTTGTTTGTAGCCTTGTTGATCTGACACTTGGCAGAGAAACCAGATATTTTCTGGCAAGATGTTAAAAAGTCGGGCTGTGAATGTTAATACTGTATAGCCCTTGTGGCTTAGCGCTTCTTTTTGATTATAATAATAATGTGAATGTTAATACAGTGTTCTATTATACCCACGAGGTTTATTCTACACATTCAAGGTTTATTCTACACATTCAAGGTTTATTCTACATATTCAAGGTTTATTCTATACATTCAAGGTTTATTTTACACATTCAAGGTTTATTTTACACATTCAAGGTTTATTCTACACATTCAAGGTTTATTCTACATATTCAAGGTTTATTCTATACATTCAAGGTTTATTTTACACATTCAAGGTTTATTTTACATATTCAAGGTTTATTCTACACATTCAAGGTTTATTTTACACATTCAAGGATCCCAATAGTTGTGGTTGCAGGGGTCGAGTCACAGCTCCTGGGTATCTATTGAGGAAATGTTTTGCCAACCAGTGGCTTCCTCAATCCAATACAGAGAAGAATGGTTGTAATAATATAATTATTAAATAGTTTTTCATTCTATCACAGAATAAGATGGGTGGCACATGTAATAAGGTATAGTTGAAGCCTCAGAGATGTTCAGTGACTGGCCATCAGAACTAGTACCTCAGCAAGGATGGGGTGATGAAGCAGCCATCAGTGCTTTTAAGGTAAAGTTGAGCTCGGATTTTGTAAAGCGTCAAAGAATACAATTGGTATACCAGTAACTACTTTTACGGGAAGTTTTTCACATCGTACTTTTTAATTCTTTTGTAATTTCATTATACAGATGTCTTCTTCTGTTTTGTTGTGCATATGATAATTTATATACTGTGTCATACATACTGTACTTAATGTCTGTTTATAATTTGTAATAATTTAACCTAATATATCAAGCTGAGTTGTGAAACCGTGAATAATTTTAAAATATAATGTGATTACATGACCATGGTTTCATGTCATGGATGTTAGTAGAAATTGGCTTTGCTGACTACCTTTTGTTCCTCCTTTGTTAAGTGTTTTAAATTAGTTTTTATGCAGGATGCCATACCATGGTCTGTAGGGCGAGACTTTGTGGCAGGCACTGCCAAACACCTTGCTACAAGTCTTGGCCTTACCAAGCCTGGGCCTCCTATTAAGAGCAAGATTATACATGATAAACAGCTGCAAGTTCTCATGCCTGTGAGTAAACTTTTAATTTCTTCTGTTGCTGTAGCACCATTTTCTTGTAGAAAATTTTGAATATAATTTCTCCTTGTTTGTTTTTTTGTATACTGTACATTTACTGTACAGTTGAATACTGTTATTCCAGACACTTTAGGAACTAAAATTCTTGTACAGAGAGAATATGCATTTGAATATAAATATACTAAAAAATGTTTTGAACACTCAAGGTATATGTCCACTTGCATTAAGTCTACTAATAATGTGTTTTCCCATACATTAACATGTACACAAAGATTATTGCCAACAATATTGCCATGATTATACTTTGCAATCTCTATTAAATAAGTGAAATACTACCATGAAGATGAGTAATGTCACTTTGGTTGTAAAAGAAGTAAATGCTAGATTGTTGAGGAGAGGGTTGGGATTAAATTATGCTGAATCAAATACATGTACAAAGTGGGAGTTGACACAGTTACGTTTTTGCTGATGATACTGTTCTTTTGTGAGATTCTGAAAAGTTGCAAAGGTTAGTGGACGAGTTTGGGAGGGTGTGTAAAGGAAGAAAGTTGAAAGTGAAAATAGTTAAGAGTAAGGTGATGAGAGAATCAAACGAGTTAGGTAAAGAAAAAATTGAATATCAGATTGGAGGGAAGGAGGGAGTATGGAAGATATGAATGTGTTCAGATATTTGGGAGTAGACTTGTTGGCAGATGGGTTTATGAAGGATGAGATAAACCATAGAATTGATGACTGAAAAAAGGTGGGTGGTGCATTGAGGTAACTGTGCAGACAAAGAACATTATCCATGGAGGCAAAGAAAGGAATGTATGAGAGTATAGTGGTACCAACACTCTTGTATGGGTGTAAAGCATGGGTTGCGAATGCTGTAGCAAGAAGAGGCTGGAGGCACTGGCGATGTTATGTCTGAGGGCGATGTGTGTAGCATAAATATTAGGTAGAGAATTCTTAGGTGTGAAGGTATTAAAATTAATACTCAGAGGGTTGAGGAGGGGTTGTTGAGGTGGTGTGGTCATTTAGAGAGGATGGAGCAAAATAGGATGACTTGGAGGGTGTATAAATCTGTAGTGGAGGGAAAGAAGGGTAAGGGGTCATCCTAGGAAAGCATGAAGGGAGGGAGTAAAAGGGATTTTGTGTGCAAGGGATTTGGACATACAGCAGGCATATGTGAGTGTGTTAACCCTTAAACTGTCTAAACGTAGATCTACGTTGACATGCGTAGCGCTCCGACCTTGATTTTCTCCATTTGAAAGCATGTAAAATCGGATGTAGATCTACGTTAGGAGCACTGCTCACGTCAGCGTAGATCTACGTTTGGACAGTTTAAGGGTTAAATAAGAACGAGTGGAGTCGAATGGTTTTTGGGAATTGATGAGCTGTTGGTGTGAGAGCAGGGTAGTATTTTGTTAAGGGATTCAGAGAAACTGGTTAGCTGGACTTGAGTCCTGGAGGTGGGAAGTACAATGCCTTCACTTTACAGGAGGGGTTTGGGATATTTGCTGTAGAGTAACATCTAAACTGGTGTATCTGCATGCCTCTGCAAAGACAGTGATAGTGTGAATGATGGTGAGTGTTTCCTTTTTTTTGGGGGGGTCACCAGGTCTCAGTGGGAAATGGTCAGGGTGTTAAAAAATATAAAAAAGAATAAAAAAATGATTAATGAATGAGGCAGTAGCTTACTGTTAGTGCCATTATGGACAAGTCTTCTTGAAGCCAAACTGGAATCCACAGCTTTGGTAGGGTGTTCTGCTACTTGACATTAAAAATGCTGCCCAAAATTTACAGAATAGAACAAAATTTTATAGTAATTAATTTTTAAGTACATACTAAGCTTATTGAGTATCTTAAATTAATACTGCTTGACTGTACAATATTTTTATATCCTTTGATGCCCGATTCCCACTTAGAAATTATCTTCTTGAAGTGATGGTCCCATGTACAATTCTTATACTGTATAAGGAGGAAAGTCTTGATTTCCCACTAATTTTTTTTAGCTATACAGTATTTGCAAAATTGTGTATGTGAAATCCTCTTGAGCTGTTCTTATGAGATATGATTATGATTTTATATTAAAAATATAAATACTGTGGTCACATTAATGCATCAATGGACTATCATATGTTTGATCCTTGGATATATGAGTGTAAGAGACTCGTGCATGAAAAAGGGCATGTACAGGGATGTAGAATAATTACCATTATACTGTGTATTGTCATACCTCTTTACTTCAAGAACATTCACTTTAAAGCTGTTTCTGCTGAAGATGTTCGAAATGGCTCATTGCTTAGAAGTAATACCTTCAGCTCAGAATTGAGGGACTCGGGTTCAATCCTGGGATGAGGTGAGATGGTGGGCACATTTCCCTATAAATGTTGCATCTGTTCACTACCAGTAAATGGTTATTTGGGTACAGTTAGCTGACTTTTGTGAGTCATATACGTACTACGTGGTGGCAGTAAACCCTTAGTTAGGGCTGTGTAATGTAAGTAAGAGCCTGTTAAATTCAATAGTGTAAAAAAAAAAAAAAAAAGTCTGAACTTTGACATTTTTGCATGTTTTGATTAAAAATGAAACCTTTCAGGCACTTGGTCATGGATTAAGCTTCCCACTCTCTGAGATAGATATTCTGCGAGATTGTGTGAGCGTCTATTGTGAATGGCTTTCAGCACTTCTACCAAATCCCAAGAGCAGTGTTCCTGGCCCAATTCTTAATGATCCAAATCATTATGCCAGGATAATAATCAATCATTTTTATTATCTCTTTGTTCCAAGAGGAGCTCAAGGTAAATGTTTTAAAATGTATATTTTGTTAGCCATACATGTTAACATGATACTGTACCATTATTATATCTGTTGACTAGCATATCTGCTAAGTAAAGTACATATGAAAATTTTCAGTAGTACTGCATTTGACTATACACAATGTCTTTTTTTTTTTCATTTTTCTCCTGCTTGGCTTTTCAAGGGGAGGTTACCTTGAGCGGGTGAACTGTATTGCCCAAGGAATATGAGCTCCCCCCTTCCCTCCTTTTCCACTAAACCCCAAGTACTTTATTCCCAAGGCCTGTTAACCCTGAAAGGTTTAGTATTCCCCATAAATTAAAATTATGTTCCTTGCCCTTTCCTTTTTTTTTAAATAAAACTAGTTCTTATGTAAGCCGGGGAGTATACCCATTGCTTGAATTTCGGGTCCGAGTTATAAACCGACAGGCGTGTTGTGTCACCGTTTTTTCTACCCTTCAGATATTGCTCAGAACTCCCTTGCCCAGTGAGGACCATGGAAAACACTATTTTATTTCTCTTACATAAAACTCAGCTCTCCTTTCCCTCCCCCCATAAAAAGGTATGGTTTTTCTTGAATATTTTATGGGGATTTTTGCACTAACTTTTTTAATGTTGCAAATCCAGAATAATATTTAAGCAGCTTTTTGTAAATTGCTCTTTTCGAAATTACAAATAGAGTACTGCTAAAAAATGTATGTAGCTTAGTTTATAGGGCATTATTTCTGTGAATGACCCCAAGGCTGTTTGCGGGGTCCAAATTATAGAAAAAATCATGAAGAAAATGTGGATTTTTCTTTTAGTCAAGCAAAAAAATTTTAGTGGACTGTCAGCGGATGGGGCTCTGAAAGAGAGGTGAATCAAAAAATTGATGAGGGGAAAAAAAAATGAGTGGTGCCTTAGGGGTCTGTGGGAAAAAAGAACTTTGTCCCTTTAGGCAAAGAGGGGAAATTTGAGAGATAGTTTTACCAACCTCTTTTATGGGTGTGAAGCTGGGTGTAAAGTTGCAGCGAGGAAAGGGCCCCGGGGGGGCAGGGAGATGTCATTCGAGGGGAAAGGTGGGTGAATAAATGCAGAAATTCGAGTTTGGAAGTTAGGGGGGAGGGGCGGGGGTTCCCCCAAAAATGTTGTCCAGGGTAGGAAAAGGGTTGTTTAGGGGGTTTGGACTGTAAAAGAAGGAGCGAAAAAAGAATGACTTCAAGAGTGTATCGTCTGTATGGAAGGAAGGGGGTAGGGGCGGCCTAGGGAAAAGGGTTGGGGGGGGAGGGTTTTTAAAAGGGGTTTTGTGTGCGGGGGGTTTGGGGCTTCCAGCAGCATGATGGCGTGTTTGATAGGAGGGGAAAGGAGACAAATGGTTTTTTAAAACTTCCTGTTTTGGGGTGTGAGCAAAGTAACATTTATGAAGGGATTCAGGGGAAAACCCGGGGGCCCCCGGGCTTGAGTCCTGGGGATGGGGAAATACAGGCCTGCACTCTGAAGGAGGGGGGGGTTAAGTTCGTTTAAAAAATGTAGTGTAAAGCCCCTTCTGGCAAACAGTGATGGGTAATGATGGGAAAGTTTTTTTTTTTCGGGCCACCCTCCTTGGTGGGGAATCGGCCAGTGTGATAAAAAAAAAAATAAAAAAAAAAAAAAAAAAAATTGAATTAGGAATAATTTAAAAAATGAAATTTAATTTTTTCTTAATATTTTTGAACGAGGCAAAAAATTCCAAAAAGAAAATGTTAGGAAATGTTCTCTTGATTTGGTAATTGACCATAAGATTATAAATTTTATATTCCAAATCTGGGATATTCCTGAACTCGGAATTTTGAATAACAAAAATTTTAATGTACAGCAAAACCCCCTTTGAAAGAACTTTTCATGCATGTTTGTATTGAATGGAAACAGAATGTGCAACAAAAAATTTTTGTTTACAGAAAAATCTTTGTTGTCCATGGGGAAAATGGGCAAATTCTTCCCCCGTAAAACCATGCGGTCATAAAAGGTACGAAAGTGTGGAGCAAGGGGGGTAGTAAACCCCTTTCCTGTGACATTACAAAATTTTAAAAGAAAAACTTCATATTTCATTGCTTGGACGGGGTTTTTTTTGTCTTTTCATTGTTTTAGATGGGTATCCCCGTATATTTTATCATTCATGTGGGTTTTACCTGTCATATTTCATTGTTCTGGACAGATTTCCCTGTCATATTTCATCGTTCTGGACTGGTTTCCCTGTCATATTTCATTGTTCTGGACAGATTTCCCTGTCATATTTCATCGTTCTGCACGGTTTTTCTGTTTAGGTCACCCTGACTCGGTGGGATATGGCTGGTTTGTTAAAAAGAAAAAAAAAAAAAGAAAAAAAAAGACTTTTAGATAAGCAAGTGGCTAGTAACAGCTTCTGTATAAATTGCTAAATTTAAAAAGAAGAAAATATTTTGTTTCTTCTTTTTAAGGTCATCCCATCTTGATGAACATCAAAATGGTATACAATACCGACAGGTTGTTAGGTAAGACACATATGCAACAGTTAGACAACTTTATTCCGAAACGTTTCGGAATAAAGTTGTCTAACTGTTGCATATGTGTCTTACCTAACAACCTGTCGGTATTGTATACCATTTTGATGTTCATCTTGTCAGACACTGCAACACATGGCATCTTGGTACAGAAAACACCTTGGACAAGCTTTTCAAGTGAGAAGTGTTGGATTTGAGAGGGACATGACCTCTCAGTGGCCTCTCACTACTACTACTACTACTACTACCCTGCACCTCTCCTTCCGACAGTATTTAAGTCTCCGCACTGTCACTTGATCTTCAGATAGTTCCTGACTATGGAACTGAACTTCTCCAGGCCGAGGGACTGACAACCTCAAATTCTACGACTTCAAGGGTGATGGACTGATTACATCGTCTTCACATCTCTACTGTTCCTGCCTACTTTCTGTATTCGACTGAAGAAGCCTACTGTGTAGGCGAAACGTTTCGGAATAAAGTTGTCTAACTGTTGCATATGTGTCTTACCTATCATCCCATCTTGGTGGGAAATGGCCAGTGTGTTAAAAAAAAAAAAAAAGATAACTAATTAGTATAAAGCACCTGTATAGAATGACTGAAGAGAATGTTCAGTGTGTTAATATCCAGCATCCACAAAAGGTCAGTGTTACATACAGTATTTTCATAATTACAGTGTAATGACACATTCTCATGCCTTTTATGGTCAGGTGTCCACTATACCTGTATTTTTACAGTTGTTGAATATGTTGGCAGTTTATAGCAAAGAATGAATAGATGTTTATGCAAGAAAGTTGTGTAGTGTATCCTGACACACTGCTGGGGCATGGTCATGATTATCAGCTAAGCACCCAAACACGGGCATTTTTCAGGGATTCCCCACACCTTGCTGAGTAGGCAAAGTGGTCCTCATTTGGCTGTCTAATAAAATGAGTATAAATGTACAGGCAAGTCTCCTCACATGCTGCTGCCCATGTTTACTTACATTATGAACATAAAAGTAATATTTGAGGGAGGACTGAGACGTGTTTTGGATTCCTGTATCCCTTGCTGACTCTGGCTTCATATTGGCTGAAGCATGTTGTGTAGGTGACTTCTTACACTATACTCAAAAAATGCCATTATTGGCCCTTTATGTGTAACTCATACAAAATATAAACTGTACAGTACAGATAATTCAAAAGCTGTACAGACAATATGTATTGAATATAGAAATCTGTGATCTCATAATGTTGCCAAGAGCCTCAGCCAATATTACCATATATTGCTTTATCAAATGCATTTATTTTAAATGTACAGTACTGTATGTACTGTATGTTTCTTTGGTGTGTGTGTTAAGTTCCTATTCATTTGGTACAATTTGGTAAACTGCGGCTTTTATGACTGCGGCATTCACACGGTAAACCTCAGGAACATCCCTCTCAACTCAGCAGGCTTCCATCAGTAGTCTCCACACTCTTCACATCTTTCAAGTAACAACAATGAGGCAAGTTATAATGTAGCAATTTTGACAAGATACAGTTTTAAAAACATTGGCAAATTCAGAGGTGTCTGGAACATAACCCTGTTTTTCCCAAATATTCTTCATTTACATAAGTTACTGTATTTTGTATAGCACAACGGTCCTCAGGAATGTAACCCAAGCATTACGAGAGGGTTTACTGTATGTATAATGACTTCGTGCCCCTTGACAGGTAGTTAAATTTATTTACCAATGCAGTACAGTATAATAAACACTTAGAACTATGCACTGCTTTGTTCTTTATAGCTGTGTGTTGACTCTGTTAATAATCCCTTGCATGTTATTTTTAATTGTGGAATGAGTAAAATTAATGTTTTGCTGTGGTGCACGTATTGACCTGAGACAGTTGTATAATCAGAGAACTTTGCTGTTATTGTAGGAAATCTTATGGTACAATTAGTACAGAGTAAATCAGTTGGTTAGCCTAGGTTGCCCATGGAAGCTCTAGGGAAAATTCCACACATGTCTGTGAAAATATCTGCATGTGATTGAGAAAGTATCTACATGTGTTTACACCTTTCTCATGGACTGAAAAATTCTAGAAAATTTTTGAACACTGTTAAAAACTTTATAACTATGGCAAAGCAGTGATGAATTATTTATATCTTCAGGCTCAGACTTAAATGTATTTGGGCACATGTCTCTGCAAGTCTGAAAAGTAAATAACTAAAAGGAAAATAAAGTACAGTACATAAAGAATTGGTAGAAACAAAAGATGAAGGAGAATGCCTCCTAATAAAAGGGGAAAGGAAATATTGAGCGTCATATATCATTGTATACTGTAATGCTTCATGGGCAGCAGAAGTCATTCAGCTGGCTATTTGAAACTATGAAGCAAGAGATCTAAAAATTTCTCAAAGTTATTGTAGAACTCTGCATCAATTATAATTAGTTTGAAGTTATATAATACTGACAAATTGATTAATAAGACACACATGCAAGTCTTATTACTGTGCATCACTTACCTTTTATTGTCTTAAGTGCTTATTAAAGAGGTATTGAAGGCTGAGAACTAACTGATATTTACTTCATCTCTGCTATTAATTAATTTTCATTACCCTAGAATCTCTATATGTGATCAGATCAAGTTCCTTCTTTTATATGAGTTTGATGTGCCTTCTGTCATTATGTTAGGGAGCTTCTGCCATCCTATAACCCTTCAATAGGGATGCCTATGATACTGGTGAAGGGCTCTTGATACAAAAAATTGGAGCTGCCCCCTCTCTTTCAATGAAACCTGAATGCCTTTCATTCTCCAGGCACTGTATGACACCTATGGGTTTAGCACTTCCCAGTGAATATAATAATGCAGTAATAACAAATAATTTGCCATTCTTATATATCATCAGTCATTTAGCTTACTGTTGGATCTCTTATATCTAAAGTAAATGTTGTATCTATATTTTTAATATCCTTCCATGCATAAGCAGATGTAGTTATGAGTGGAATATCTTCCCACGTATTTCTTTCCTTCTTCCATGTTGTTGCCTGTGTAACTGAGGCCCCTTTGCTGTTTTGGGTCTGTAGTCAAGTGTGATGGTGTGCTATGCATGCCTGGGACCATCTCACCTGTGATGCTGCTATTACTTTTTATGATTTAGGTGGGAAACACTAATCAATAAACATATCCAGTAATTCCCACATACACAAAAGGATCTGAAGAACTACTACAAGGAGGGCCTGTGATAGAAACTGTAATATACAGATTCTTTTTACTCTATATTTTATTTTCCATTCATGGAAAATTTTGTTCCCTGCTTACACTATACATGTTTCTGAAAAGTTCAATCATGATCTAAAGGCATTTGTATAACTTTTTTTTTTGTTCCTTGTTACAAACATTCCTCTTCACTATTAAAATTGTGTAGGATGATCAGCATCTTAGCAGCATGATCAATTTCCTTCTACAGCCTATTAAGCATATGACAGCTCTAGATGTGTTTGTGTGTCAGTGTTTCTGTTCTGCATAATATCAACTTGTTCCACTCTAGTTGCAGATGAGAATGAGGTTACACCCAGCTCCACTCTAAGTCTAAACTTTACTGGAGATGTGCCTGGTATTTATGTACTCACGTTGTGTGTTGCTTATGCTGCTGCTTCTCTAGCATTGCTTATTTTGAGATGCTCTCTTGTATAATACACTCTTTGCAGCTCAATGAATGTAAGGGATAGGTTCTAATTCTTTATACTGTGCTGGTTATGGTAGTAAGGTGTTTTTGTGAGGTTATGCAATGTGTAATTAAGAATCAAGTCTTATCCAAGTGTTTCTGCTGCTACACCACTTTTTTGGCTTATCTCTCTTGTTATTTTTTACTAAAAAATGGGTATTTCAATATGGTATATTTTATTCTCTCAATTTTTTTCCTTGCTTTGCCTGGATGAAGTTGTTAAAGGTAAGAATTAAGGCTTAAAATATTAAAATGTATATTGATTTGCTGAAATATAATAGTGTTGGCAGGTGTTGTTTAGTGTTTAAAAATTATGGAACCTGTAATACATTTAGAAAATATTTTATTTAATGTTATCTCTTATCTAAACAGTATTACAGAACCAAATTTTTAATATTAATCATAGTTTTTTAAAGAGTTGGTAAAATTTTAAGTTTTCTTTAATAAAGAAAGTTTAATTACAGTTTAATATTTCATTTTTTTGATAGGAAATCCATAATTATGATGGATTTTCTATTTTAAAGAGATTGCTAAACGTATAATAATTTAAAGAAGGTAGACTGTCTTAGTCTAGAGCTGTGCTTTAGCAGAGCTTGTATTTATATTCTGAAAATATTTTGTACTTTTTTCATGAATAATACTGTATTGTTAATGCTTGTATTACAGAGGATGCGGGAGAGCAGTTGTGTGAGCGTGTATTAAGTGTGCTCTTCGAAACCTGGCTTTTGGCCTGTGCTCGCTGCTTCCCTCCACCACCACTCTGGAATGCGTTAAGGTAAATATGTCAATGATGAATATAAGCATGTGGTAGGGATCACTTGTAATGGTAAAATCTTTCAACATTTATTTAATATAATGATACTTCAATGACAGCATACATACAGCTTACTACAGTACCCCTCTATTCTTCTGTCCACTTGTAGAGTAATTTTCAAAATTAATTTTCAGGATGTTTGGTGTAAGGCTTCGTTTGCTTGCATTGTAAATATCGCCATTGCTTTCATTGTCACTGATGTTAGGAATTTTTTTTACAATAACACCTGTGCTCTCTTCCCAGAAAGTGTGATCCACTTCCTCTGATGCCCACTTAGTTACAGTAGGGCCCTGCGTATACTGCAGGTTAGGTGCCAGGCTACTGCCGTAAAGTCAGAATCATCATAAAGATATGACTCTCTTTTCAGTTTTAAATGCATATTAATGTCTGATAGCACAATACAAACATCTTACACTGTGTACAAATTGTCTTCACAGTCTTTTCTGGTGTTGTACTACAGAGAACGTGTTATAGTAATTATTGTTGTACACTCCTTTTCTCCCTCCCGGCTACCATACCTCACAATTGTGTTAACTTGTTCTAGTATGGTTGTTTGTGTTATGTTTATATGATATGTAGTGTCTCTAATATAATTTTGAAAAAATGTGATAGATGGATTAATGAAAATGTCTGCGATAATGTAATATTATCATTATTATTATTATTATTATTATTATTATTATTATTATTATTATGTTATTGCATTTTCAAATAGTGATTTTAATGTACCTGCATGCCAGCACTGTGTGTAAGCTTATTTACGTACAGGTATACATAAGTACGATTATCAGTAGTATCTCAGTGCGATCTCAACCTTAGATATTCCTTGCTCACTGAGTTAAATCATTTCTAACATTCCACTTAATGTAAAAGCCTTATGATGACTCTTTTTATCACTACCTTTAGATGTCATTGTAACAAAAAGAGTGCATATGAAATAATCGAGAGAAACTTTGGAAAGATTCCAAACATAATTGAGAGAGATACGGAGCTCATGGAGCTCCGCATCTCTCTCCCATGGTGTGGGGGTGAACCACTCTGTCTATTTACATCGGGAGCTGTACAAATGACTTCTTGGGTATAATTTGAAATGTCTATGTTAGTGAAGTGCCATAAAGTGGGGCCCACCTGTACTAAGCAATCACCTTGCTGGGCCATGAAGCACACAGGATTTTTATTGATAGCAGAAAGCTGATGTGGAAAAAAAGTGCATATTAAGTGCTCATATTAAGCCCATAAAAATTAAATAGCTAGTGGTGGGAAGTACAGTGCCAGTTATAGGGAAGTTACATTTTTGGTCATTGGAATTGCGATGTCCATGCACTTTTGGTAAGAGTTATTGAATGAGTGATGGTGAATGTTTTCTTTTTTGGCCACCATACCTTGATGAGAGAAGGCTGATGTGCTCTTTGATTGTAAATGAACTCTTTAATATTTCTTTGCCTTGGGTGTGTATGAGATAGATTATTTCTGGCCTGAAGAATAGATAAATACAGTGGACCCCCGGTTAACAATATTTTGTCATTCCAGAAGTATGTTCAGGTGCCAGTACTGACCGAATTTGTTCCCATAAGAAATATTGTGAAGTAGGTTAGTCCATTTCAGACCCCCAAACATACACGTACAAACGCACTTACATAAATACACTTACATAATTGGTCGCATTGGGAGGTGATCGTTAAGCGGGGGTCCACTGTACTTCCATGAATGTGCTTATGTGTGTCCATGTACTGAGGATTATTATTTATAATTCCAACATATTTTCCAGGGAGAGTTGTCAACGATGGCGTCATCGTGTTGGGCTCATTGACCAGTGGAACAGGATCAACTTTGCATTGACTCGTAAACTTATTGGTTTCATGTATGGACCCACCTTTCCTGAAATCATAATATGTAAGAATTATATTTTGAAACTGTTTGGGTAGTAGTACTCACTTGTTATATGTGTATGATCTCGATAACATTACTAAATCCTAGGTAGTAGGTTGGTAGACAGCAACCACCCAGGGAGGTACTACCGTCCTGCCAAGTCCTTTTTTTTCTGTCTTATAAACATGCAAGATTTCAGATACGTCTTGCTACTTCTACTTACACTTAGGTCACACTACACATACATGTACAAGCATATATATACTCACACCCCTCTGGGTTTTCTGCTATTTTCTTTCTAGTTGTTCTTGTTTATTTCCTCTTATCTCCATGGGGAAGTGGAACAGAATTCTTCCTCCGTAAGCCGTGCATGTTGTAAGAGGCGACTAAAATGCCAGGAGCACGGGGCTAGTAACCCCTTCTCCTGTATAAATTACTAAATTTAAAAAGAGAAACTTTTGTTTTTCTTTTTGGGCCACCCTGCCTCGGTGGGATATTGCCAGTTTGTTGAAAAAAGAAGAAAAGAACATCATTAAATAGTGTACAATATATAAATGGAAAATGGTGTGGTGATACCAACAAGATGTGGAAAAGGCACGTAGTTCAGGACATTTATTAGAAGAAAGATTTCTTCAGTCCTAATGAAGAGGTCACTTGTAGCAAAACGTTAACCCTAATAAATGTCCTGATCTGTGCACAAGTGTCTTTTTCCGCAGTATATAAATACATAGTTTTATCTTGTGTGAATCTTTTAAACAATTAAATCTCAGAATTGTACTGTAAGCTAACCTACTGAAACATTGCAGCTGCTGAGGATGACCTTAACATTATTCCTACAAATATGAGCCGTGACTGCATTGCACAAGTTTGGTACCGCATCTTGCATATCATTGGTAAGTCTCTTGTCTGTTTGTGTTTCAGACTCCTTTCCTATATTAATACAGTGGTTTATGAAACCCTTTACAGAATGTAGAATTTCATAATTCTGTGGTCAGGTTCCACGAATGACTTAGTCTTACAGGAATCCTACCACCATTACTCAATACTGTGTAGGAGGCAACTGAAGACCAAAGAGAAATACATGAGTGCAAGGGCACTGAGAAGGCAAAATCACAGATTTTAGAAAAGTTAATTGTTCAGTAGAGGTAGGACTAAAATCTCTAGCTCACCTCTACAAACTCAAATAGGTGATTAGATCGGTATGACTGTAGGTAGATGATTTCTTGTTATGGGTCCAGGGCAAAGCTATGTATCCTCAGTGAAAGATTGGTTTTAAGCTTACCACCTTGTTAGCCAAAAAAATCATGATAGTTGCAATTGTATGTGCTTGAAGAGTTCATGCAACATCACCTGCAACCTTATGTAATCAGTAGCATGAACCAGGAACTTGATCATACTTATGAATAACTATCAGTGTCAGGCTTAAATTATAAGACTCAAAACCCAGTCTCTGTGAAACCATGTTTAGGTGGGAAAGAGAGCCTTCACAAGATTGTAAATTTAGTGCTGACTGGTTTGAAAGTTTTAAGCCACAGCAAACTGCATATCACAGAGCAGAGATGCATTGCTGAATACTTGACCACTCCAAGTTGACCAAGTCCAGTCTTCCATCCCAGCTCTGTAAGTTAACATCAACCATCCTTTATAGAATCTTCACAAGTGATGCCTACTAAATTGTGAGGTAAATCATAGTGCTGTATACAGTTTTGGCCTAGTACAGTAGTAAACATTTTTTGATGGGTTAATTTTGAGATATATAGAATATAACCTCTTTTTCCACTGTGTTATTTACACTTTCATGCAGTTTTATTTTGCACTTGTTTTCAGGAATGTAACTCCTGCCATACATATTAAAAACTCTTTGAAATGGTGCTTTTATTTTCATCTTTTCATCAGTCTGCCTTGCTGGGAAATGACTGATGTTTAAAAATAAAACATTACATTTTATACATATTTTGGAAACCTTGAAAAATTAAATCCCACATGTGTGTCTGTTCCAGGAAACCCAGTGGATCTGAGTCGGCATACTGTCATCAGCAAAACACCAGCTTTCCTCAAGTATGCAATTTCATCAGCACTGGTTATTGAGCCCAGCCAACATCCTTGTCTCCAGATGTTGCCCTCAATTTTTCTCTCTGCCATGAAAGGAGTCTCAGGATTAGTAGATGCTTTCTTAGGTAATACACAATTGCCGATGGCTTGGACATCAAACATGTTTGTGTGAGCATGATTTATGAAGGGATATAGGGAAACCAGTTAGCCAGACTTGGGTCTTGGAGGTTGGAAGTACAGTTTCTGCAGTGTGCAGGATGGGTGAGGATGATGTAGTTCAGAGGGCTGTCTGAACTGTGATGTAGGTGTGCTTTTGGCAAGACAGCAGTTGGATGAGTGATGGTGAATTATTTTGCTCTCATTAGGTCACCCATACCTTGGTGGGAGATGGCTGGTATGTTAAAAAAAAAATCTTATAATTTTCTCCTGTGTTGGTCAGGAATATCATTTTCCCACTATTCTTATGTAGCACATTATTTCAGTTAAACTACAATTAGTGCGTATCTCCTAATATTCAGCTTTTGTACTGCTATCATTGAGATTCACTAATTTTATTCTTTTCTTACATGTCACCTTATTACTTAGCACCTGTGTTGTAATAAGCAAACATATCCCTTACTTATGTGGTCATTGTATAATATAATGACTTGGTGTAACACATAAGTGTCTGTATATGTGACTATATCATATCAGCATGCTTTCTATATTATGGCCCTGGGGGAAAAACCTGTTATATTTCTCGCCTCATTTGCAATGACACTCGCCTTTCATGACCTCAGCAAGATTTATAACGTCACCACTATAAATGAAGTAGATATTAAATAATATACTGTATTGTATAGGAAATCACAAGGTAAGGTGATGAAATGCATCTCTCTGTTGCAGGCGTTCCCAATACATCGTTAGATAACCTTAGTCATAAAGGTCGCCAAATCTCCCCTTCATCTACGCTGTCTTTGTCTTCAGATTGTAAAGGTGGTAAGTACTGATGATCTCTAATAATGCTATGGTCAGGCTGGGGTGCACCAATATCAGAGGATGAACATGTGCTTGGTAAATGAGTGTGGGATTTTTTTCTGTTATTTGGGGTGTTTTTGCTGAGGTTTATCAGCAGTAACATAAACCTTCTGCATTTTTATGCTTGGGATTAGCAGATAAATTTATTAATACTGTTTTGGTTTTCTTGACACTTATATCCAAAGGTTATTTATAGAACTACTTAACCAATTGATATATAAATGATCATGGCTAGGATGAGATAAATTGTGTCCTTTAATTTGTATTTGTGTAAGTTTAATTCCTACATGGTAATTTGGTGGATAAAATACAGAACTCTCCTCACACTCTTGCCTATTTGCATATGTATAAAGTAATATGAAGTAAAAATTCTTTACTACAGAATTTTTATATTTACTACTTAAGCTGATGCTTCAGGTAAGGTTTTCTCCATTCTCTTTTACATCTTTAAACTAATGATTTTGCTAATGGTAACAAATACTGAGCAGTGAATGTTTTGTAACACTGAAATGCATGCCAGCTACAGCCAGTCTTATATTCTTATAGATAACAGAAGTTTATCTTCTGAATAGCTGAAAAAGGCTAATGGCTTTTATAAGTAGCATATATATATATCAAGGTGTCATTTTTTATTGGGATCATTTTACTATCATGTATTTGGGAAATCTTGAATTAAAGTTTCAAATACTCGTTATGTTGTTTTACAGATGATACCTCTCGATTTTTGGCAAGTGGAAGACCCAAATGTAATAGTATTTTGCATCTTTTTGGTCCCTGGCTATTTGAGGCAGCTCTTATTAACTGCAATTTACAAGCTAGCCCAGGACCACAGCACAGTATGTAATGACTCTTCTCATTTTAACAGAATTTTTGCTTAATATTGAACCATCAGATGAATGAATGAATGCCATACAATATTTAGATTTTTTCAACTAAATTGATCATATGGCTTACAGAATCAGATGTAAGTGGGACTGCCAGTTCTGGGTCACGTAGACCAGTTTCTGTTTTTGTTGGTGAGAGTAGAAAGTTAAGTGATTCATCGGTGCCAGGAGAGTCTCATGCTGATCGTCTTGCCAATCTTACTCCTCAACACTTCCAGAGTGGAAGAGCTGAGGCACTTGGCGCACTCTGCAGGTATGCTAAGGAACCTTTTCCTATACAGGTGTGCTCCTCGACTTACGATGGGCTTATATTCTGATGAACCCATCGTAAGTTGAAAATATCGTAAGTTAAATATGAATATATGATATGATAAATAAATAAGTAAATGACTACTATCACTAAATAAGTAAATAAACAAATAATTACTGTAACTAACTTAATATCAAGTTTATCCATATATCCATGCTATTAATAAATGTACAGTACTGTCAAGTTTGAGCCATTCATCTAAAGTCAGAATATTGTAAGTCAAACCATTGTAAAGCAAGGAGTATCTGTGTATGGTTTAATTACGTAAACTTTTGTGTGTGCGAGTGTTCACTAAGCTACATTCACTTAACTGATCCTACAGCTCCTGGCCCTGCCACTAAACTTTGTCACTACTGTAGTTTGTTTTTAGCTTCTTCGCCTTTATCATATTTACTTTTGAATTTATATATTTATATATGGAGGGTGTGTAAAGGTAGAAAGTTGAAAGTGAACACAGAAAAGAGTAAGGTGTTGAAGGTATTAAATGATTTAGATAAAGAAAGATTTGATATCACATTGGAGAGAGGGAGTATGGAAGAAGTGAATGTTTTCAGATATTTGGGAGTTGACGTGTCAGCGGATGAGTTTATGAAGGATGAGGTTCACCATAGAATTGATGAAGGAAAAAGGGTGAGTGGTGCATTGAGGTATATTTTTTTTTTTTTATTATCACACCGGCCGATTCCCACCAAGGCAGGGTGGCCCGAAAAAGAAAAACTTTCACCATCATTCACTCCATCACTGTCTTGCCAGAAGGGTGCTTTACACTACAGTTTTTAAACTGCAACATTAACACCCCTCCTTCAGAGTGCAGGCACTGTACTTCCCATCTCCAGAACTCAAGTCCGGCCTGCCGGTTTCCCTGAATCCCTTCATAAATGTTACTTTGCTCACACTCCAACAGCACGTCAAGTATTAAAAACCATTTGTCTCCATTCACTCCTATCAAACACGCTCACGCATGCCTGCTGGAAGTCCAAGCCCCTCGCACACAAAACCTCCTTTACCCCTCCCTCCAACCCTTCCTAGGCCGACCCCTACCCCGCCTTCCTTCCACTACAGACTGATACACTCTTGAAGTCATTCTGTTTCGCTCCATTCTCTCTACATGTCCGAACCACCTCAACAACCCTTCCTCAGCCCTCTGGACAACAGTTTTGGTAATCCCGCACCTCCTCCTAACTTCCAAACTACTAATTCTCTGCATTATATTCACACCACACATTGCCCTCAGACATGACATCTCCACTGCCTCCAGCCTTCTCCTCGCTGCAACATTCATCACCCACGCTTCACACCCATATAAGAGCGTTGGTAAAACTATACTCTCATACATTCCCCTCTTTGCCTCCAAGGACAAAGTTCTTTGTCTCCACAGACTCCTAAGTGCACCACTCACTCTTTTTCCCTCATCAATTCTATGATTCACCTCATCTTTCATAGACCCATCCGCTGACACGTCCACTCCCAAATATCTGAATACGTTCACCTCCTCCATACTCTCTCCCTCCAATCTGATATTCAATCTTTCATCACCTAATCTTTTTGTTATCCTCATAACCTTACTCTTTCCTGTATTCACCTTTAATTTTCTTCTTTTGCACACCCTACCAAATTCATCCACCAATCTCTGCAACTTCTCTTCAGAATCTCCCAAGAGCACAGTGTCATCAGCAAAGAGCAGCTGTGACAACTCCCACTTTGTGTGTGATTCTTTATCTTTTAACTCCACGCCTCTTGCCAAGACCTCGCATTTACTTCTCTTAAAACCCCCATCATAAATATATTAAACAACCACGGTGACATCACACATCCTTGTCTAAGGCCTACTTTTACTGGGAAAAAATTTCCCTCTTTCCTACATACTCTAACTTGAGCCTCACTATCCTCGTAAAAACTCTTCACTGCTTTCAGTAACCTACCTCCTACACCATACACTTGCAACATCTGCCACATTGCCCCCCTATCCACCCTGTCATACGCCTTTTCCAAATCCATAAATGCCACAAAGACCTCTTTAGCCTTATCTAAATACTGTTCACTTATATGTTTCACTGTAAACACCTGGTCCACACACCCCCTACCTTTCCTAAAGCCTCCTTGTTCATCTGCTATCCTATTCTCCGTCTTACTCTTAATTCTTTCAATTATAACTCTACCATACACTTTACCAGGTACACTCAACAGACTTATCCCCCTATAATTTTTGCACTCTCTTTTATCCCCTTTGCCTTTATACAAAGGAACTATGCATGCTCTCTGCCAATCCCTAGGTACCTTACCCTCTTCCATACATTTATTAAATAATTGCACCAACCACTCCAAAACTATATCCCCACCTGCTTTTAACATTTCTATCTTTATCCCATCAATCCCGGCTGCCTTACCCCCTTTCATTTTACCTACTGCCTCACGAACTTCCCCCACACTCACAACTGGCTCTTCCTCACTCCTACAAGATGTTATTCCTCCTTGCCCTATACACGAAATCACAGCTTCCCTATCTTCATCAACATTTAACAATTCCTCAAAATATTCCTTCCATCTTCCCAATACCTCTAACTCTCATTTAATAACTCTCCTCTCCTATTTTTAACTGACAAATCAATTTGTTCTCTAGGCTTTCTTAACTTGTTAATCTCACTCCAAAACTTTTTCTTATTTTCAACAAAATTTGTTGATAACATCTCACCCACTCTCTCATTTGCTCTCTTTTTACATTGCTTCACCACTCTCTTAACCTCTCTCTTTTTCTCCATATACTCTTCCCTCCTTGCATCACTTCTACTTTGTAAAAACTTCTCATATGCTAACTTTTTCTCCCTTACTACTCTCTTTACATCATCATTCCACCAATCGCTCCTCTTCCCTCCTGCACCCACTTTCCTGTAACCACAAACTTCTGCTGAACACTCTAACACTACATTTTTAAACCTACCCCATACCTCTTCGACCCCATTGCCTATGCTCTCATTAGCCCATCTATCCTCCAATAGCTGTTTATATCTTACCCTAACTGCCTCCTCTTTTAGTTTATAAACCTTCACCTCTCTCTTCCCTGATGCTTCTATTCTCCTTGTATCCCATCTACCTTTTACTCTCAGTGTAGCTACAACTAGAAAGTGATCTGATATATCTGTGGCCCCTCTATAAACATGTACATCCTGAAGGTATATGTGAGGTATATGTGGAGACAAAAAAAAAACATAATCTGTGGAGGCAAAGAAGGGAATGTATGAAAGTACAGTTTTACCAACTCTCCTATATGGATGTGAAGCTTTGTTGTAAATGATGCAGCAAGGAGGTGGTTGGAGGCAGTGGAGATGTCCTGTCTAAGGGCAATGTGTGGTGTAAATATTGGAAATTAGGAGGTGTGGAGTTAATAAAAGTATTAGTCAGAGGGCTGAAGAGAGGTTGTTGAGGTGGTTTGGTCATTTAGTGAGAAAGGATCAAAGTAGAATAACATGGAAAGCATATAAATCTGTAGGGGAAGGAAGGCGGGGTAGGAGCCGTCCTCGAAAAGGTTGAAGGGAGGGGGTAAAGGAGGTTTCGTGGGCGAGGGGCTTTGACTTCCAGCAAGCATGTGTGAGCATATTAGATAGGAGTGAATGGAGACGAATGGTTTTTGGGACCTGACGAGATGTTGGAGTGTGAGCAGGGTAATTTTTAGTGGAGGAATTCAGGGAACCCAATTATTTTTATATACCCGGACTTGAGTATGTACTGGAAATGGGAAGTACATTGCCTGCACTTTAAAGGAGGGGCTTTGGGATATTGGCAGTTTGGAGGAGGTATGTTATATATGCTTCTAAACTGTTGTATCTGGGCACCTCTGCAAAGACAGTGATTATGTGTGAGTGAGGTGAAAGTGTTAAATGATGAAAGTATTTCCTTTTTGGGGATTTTTTTTCTTTTTGGGTCACCCTGCCTCGGTGGGAGATGGCCGACTTGTTGAAAAAAAAAAATATGGCGTCTAGATCTACTACTTGTTGATCTAGCTCATTCAACTTGTATGTACTGTATTCAGGTACTGCAGTATTCATACAGAATACAAAATGTGTTTTGCAAAATTTGAAGGATTGAAGTTTTCAGGTTTTTGGATTTTAATTGATCAGAATTATCTGAATTCTGGAAGAATTTCAATTCCTCTTATTCACTCTGTCACTCTTTCCCCTTTTTATCTGCCCTTTCACTCTTCCCCTCCCTTTTTTTTTATCCCTCTCACTTTCCCTCCTGCCTCTATCCTCATTGTCACTCATCTCCCTCCAGTCTATCCTCCCTCTCACTTTCCCCCTTCTGCCCTTCTGTCCTCTGTCTCACATCTGCCCCATCCTTTCCATATCTTTCATCTTCCTTATCTCCTGTCCTTTCCCACTTTCCCACATCTCCTTTTTTCTTTTCTTTTCCTCACTAGTGTCAGCTCATTATTTAGAATAAGAATAAGAATAAGATTTCGTTCGGATTTTTAACCCCGGAGGGTTAGCCACCCAGGATAACCCAAGAAAGTCAGTGCGTCATCGAGGACTGTCTAACTTATTTCCATTGGGGTCCTTAATCTTGTCCCCCAGGATGCGACCCACACCAGTCGACTAACACCCAGGTACCTATTTGCTGCTAGGTGAACAGGACAACAGGTGTAAGGAAACGTGTCGAAATGTTTCCACCCGCCGGGAATCGAACCCGGGCCCTCCGTGTGTGAAGCGGGAGCTTTAGCCACCAGGCCACCGGGCCACCCGCCAGGCCACCGGGCTTATAGTATTTGCTAATTTGAACTTGTGTGCAGTATTCCTAATACAAATACACCTATCATCCGACTTATGACTTGCTCGACTTATGACCACTCGACTTACGACCGTGTTTTTTATGCCAAATTTCTGGGAAATAAACAGCTATTTGTGTTGTACACAGTGTTTATCCTAAACCTTACAGTATAAAATACAGTACTAACAACATAAAAAGTAAAGTAAAACATGAAATACCAAAATAAAACAATAAAATAAAGTCATTACAAAAATGTTTTGTTGATATTCAGTAGTAAAGTTCGACTTACGACTGCTTTCTCGGAACCGAACTCGGTCGTAAGTCGGATGGTAGGTGTATAGGTACTGTATATGTCTTAGTGTTAAATATATAATACTTATACATTACTAAAAATTTCTATTAATTTCTTGCTTATTATAAATGTATTTTTCACAGGATATTTTGTTCTAAAAAAACTGGTGAAGAAATTTTGCCGGTATACTTAGCTCGATTCTACATCGCTCTGCACCAAGGTCTGCGTCAGAGTGATCCTTCTGTCCCTGCTCCCCATCATGACGCCAGTCAGGGCTCGTCCAGCCGTCATAGTATCAGGGTAAGTTGTCTGTTGGGACTGTGATGTTTTTTAATTAAAATGGACAAGTCTCATATACCTAGGTAGTAGGTTGGTAGACAGCAACCGCTCATGGAAGTACTGCCATCTTGCCAAGTGAGTGTAAAACGAAAGCCTGTAATTGTTTTACATGATGGTAGGATTGCTGGTGTCTTTTTTCTGTCTCATAAACATCTTGCTCCTTCTACTTACACTTAGGTCACACTACACATACATGTACAAGCATATGTATACACACCCCTCTGGGTTTTCTTCTATTTTCTTACTAGTTCTTGTTCTTGTTTATTTCCTCTTATCTCCATGGGGAAGTGGAACAGAATTCTTCCTCCGTAATCCATGCGTGTCTTAAGAGGCGACTAACATGCCAGGAGCAAGTGGGCTAGTAACCCCTTCTCCTGTATACATTACTAAAGTTAAAAATAGAAGCTTTTGTTTTTCTTTTTGGGCCACCCTGCTTCGGTGGGATACGGCTGGTTTGTTGAAAGAAGAAGTCTCATATATTGTTAGAGGCATAATTAAGGGCTCCACAACAGTTAGTTTAAGTGCTGTTGTCCTGTTCCACTCTTTTTTTTTCTTTCTTTTTTCTCCCTTTTAATTTTACACTTCGTCCTTTTCTTACACAAATTCTTGCTGTTCATGTCATATTGACTTTCACTCCTGCAATAATGTGTGCATTTTCTCTCCATTTTTTACTTTTGCACTTTATCTTTTTTTCATTCTTCTGTCTCATGTCTCTTGTTGTTTACATAAAATTACTTTTATTATAATTTATTGCAGACTGGAATATGTAGTGAAACTGCAGCAAGTATCCTGATGAATGGCGTGGATTTATTCCGCTTGGACCTGCAGGGTGTGATCAGCTTGGTGCCCAGTGTTTTGGGAGTGTTGGAGTGTGTACTGCCAGAAGGAGAGCTCACTGCTCCTTCCCACCTTCCAGTGACACTCTTGCGTCGAGCAGCCACCCATGTCTTGCTCTCCATCCTTCCATTGCCTCTTCACTTTCAGGTGTATAATATGTAAATTTAGTTTGAGTCATTGCTGCTTTGTGGCTTGAATTGAAGCCCAGTTCAAACTTACCATGAGTGGGAGGGGTTGGATTTGAGTGGGACTTTCACATCAGAGCTTATTTCTTGGGTAGCATTGAAAATTGGGTTGGGCAAATGTTTTGTTAGTGGGATGAATTGTAAAGGACCTGCCTAGTATGGGCCAACAGGCCTCCTGCAGTGTTCCTCCTTTCTTATGTTCTTCTGTCCTCCTTTTGTGTGTCTGATTCTGCATATGTAATTACCTATATGCAGTTTAAAGTAATAATGTCATGGAATAGCATGTCAAACCAAGAAAACCACCCAATTCCAATCACTGCAATCTAGCATGCTCCCACAAGCATGCTGGACTCTCAAGCCCTAACACACTAAACCTCTTTTACCCCTCCCTCTAATCCCTTCTAGAATGACTCCTACCCCTCCTTTCTTCCATCCCAGAGTTGTATACCCTCGTGGTCATCCTGTCCTGCTCCAGCCTCTCTAAATGCCTCACCAGCCTCTCCTTATTCCTCTCAATTATACCTTTGGTAACCCATTCAGTCTTCTAATTTGTACATTTTGAGGTCTGTACATTCATACATAATATTCACATATCACATTTTACATATGCATTTATTGTACATGTCATATATACATATTGATCCTTAGATCGATCTTGTGTGATAAGGGAATAATTCCACAGCATGTAGAACAGTTTTTGTACATAACTTGATTCCACTGAAGTCTACAGCAGGTAGTACCAAAATTTAGTATGTTGACTTATTTTTTCATGCTTTACCATGTGTACATGTATTATCTTAGGCTATCAAAATTCTTGGTGCACTTTATCAGTTGCATTGCAACAAAATAGCACTGTGATGTTGCATTGTAAGAAAGAGTATTGTATTTGTTTTTGGTCCATTTGAATCTTTGGTTTTTCAGGAAGTTTGTTGATTGTGGGTACTTTTTGTGTATCTAAAACTGTCTAAGCTTCTTTATTGTACTGTATTGCTAATGAAAATGTATTTTCTTAGGGTTTACAAGTAAAAGAAGTTGGCAGTAACAGTGGTGAAAGATTGTCCCTATCCCACCTTCGTCCCCAGCTTGTCAACCTTCTGACAAATGCTCTCCAAGTGGAGACTGATCCAGCAAATACCCAAATGCTTCTAGGTAAAATGTATTCATGACTTAAGTGATGTGTATATGTTAAAAGGGTTTTACAAGTAGGCCGGGAAGACTTTGCTCACGACAGGCTTTGTTTTAATTTGTTTATTAAAGTACCTACTAGATTGTATTGTTTCTTACCTGTCCATGAGTGTGACTTTCAGTATATTTTTTCTTAAATCTGTTACTCTACTTTTTGACAGTTTTGTAGCATTTTCTACTTGTAAAAATCTTAGGTACACTTAGGTCACACTACACATGCATATACAAGCATATATATATATATATATATTTTTTTTTTTTCAACAAGTCGGCCGTCTCTCACCGAGGCAGGGTGACCCAAAAAAGAAAGAAAATTCCCAAAAAGAAAATACTTTCATCATCATTCAACACTTTCACCACACTCGCACATTATCACTGTTTTTGCAGAGGTGCTCAGAATACAACAGTTTAGAAGCATACACATATAAAGATACACAACATATCCCCCAAACTGCCAATATCCCAAACCCCTCCTTTAAAGTGCAGGCATTGTACTTCCCATTTCCAGGACTCAAGTCCGACTATATGAAAATAACTGGTTTCCCTGAATCCCTTCACTAAATATTACCCTGCTCACACTCCAACAGATCGTCAGGTCCCAAGTACCATTCGTCTCCATTCACTCCTATCTAACATGCTCAGGCACGCTTGCTGGAAGTCCAAGCCCCTTGCCCACAAAACCTCCTTTACCCCCTCTCTCCAACCCTTTTGAGGACGACCCCTACCCCGCCTTCCTTCCCATATAGATTTATATGCTTTCCATGTCATTCTACTGTGATCCATTCTCTCTAAATGACCAAACCACCTCAACAACCCTTCTTCTGCCCTCTGACTAATACTTTTATTAACTCCACACCTTTTCCTAATTTCCACACTCCGAATTTTCTGCATAATATTTACACTACACATTGCCCTTAAACAGGACACTGCCTCCAACCGTCTCCTCGCTGCTGCATTTACCACCCAAGCTTCACACCCATATAAGAGTGTTGGTACTACTATACTTTCATACATTCCTTCTTTGCCTCCTTAGATAACGTTTTTTGACTCCACATATACCTCAACACACCACTCACCTTTTTTCCCTCATCAATTCTATGATTAACCTCATCCTTCATAAATCCATCTGCCGACACGTCAACTCCCAAGTATCTGAAAACATACACTTCTTCCATACTCTTCCCCCCTAAATTTTTGATATCCAGTTTTTCTTTATCTAAATCATTTGATACCCTCATCACCTTACTCATTTCTATGTTCACTTTCAACTTTCTACCTTTACACACTTTCCCCAAACTCACCCACTAACCTTTGCAATTTTTTCTTTAGATCTCCTATAAGCACAGTGTCATCAGCAAAAGTAATTTGTGTTAATTCCCATTTTTGAATTTGATTCCCCAAAATTTAATCCCACCTCTCTCCCGAACACCCTAGCATTTACTTACTTTACAACCCCATCTATAAATATTTTAAACAACCATGGTGACATTACACTCCCGTCTAAGACCTACTTTTCCCGGGGAAGTAGTCTCCCCCCTTCTACACACCCTAACCTGAGCCTCACTATCCTCATAAAAACTCTTTACAGCATTTAATAACTTACCACCTATTCCATATATTTGCAACATCTGCCACATTGCTCCTCTATCCACTCTATCATATGCCTTTTCTAAATCCATAAATCAATAAAAACTTCCTACCTTTATCTAAATACTGTTCACATATAGCTTAAATGTAAACACTTGATCTACACACCCCCTACCCACTCTGAAACCTCCTTGCTCATCCGCAATCCTACATTCTGTCTTACCTCTAATTTTTTCAGTTATAACCCTACCGTACACTTTTCCTGGTATACTCAGTAAACTTATTCCTCTATAATTTTTACATTCTCTTTTGCCCCCTTTTCCCCTTTTAATAAAGGGACTATACATGCTCTCCGCCAATCCTGGGTCCTTTCCCTCTTTCATACATTTATTAAACAAAAAGTACCAACCACTCCAACCTATTTTCCCCCCTGTTTTTAACATTTCTGTCATGATCCCATCAGTTCCAGCTGCTTTACCCCCTTTCATTCTACGTAATGCCTCACGTACCTCCCCCACACTTACATTCGGCTCATCTTCACTCCTAAAAGATGGTATACCTCCCTGACCAGTGCATGAAATTACTGTCTCTTTCTTCCTTAACAATTTAAAAGTTCCTCAAAATATTCTCGCCATCTACCTAATACCTCCATCTCCCCGTCTACTAACTCCCCTACTCTGTTTTTAACTGACAAATCCATACTTTTCCTAGGCTTTCTTAATTTGTTTAACTCACTCCAAAATTTTTTTCTTTTTTTTCATTAAAATTTCTTGACAGTGCCTCTCCCACTCTATCATCTGCTCTCCTTTTTGCACTCTCTCACCACTCTCTTTTACCTTTCTTTTACTCTCCATATACTCTGCTCTTTTATAACACTTCTGCTTTGTAAAAAACCTCTCATAAGCTCCTTTTTCTCTTTTATCACACCCTTTACTTCATCATTCCACCAATCACTCCTCTTTCCCCCTGCCCCACCCTCCTATAACCACAAACTTCTGCCCCACATTCTAATACTGCATTTTTAAAACTATTCCAACCCTCTTCAACCCCTCCCCCCCCACTACTCATCGTTGCACTAGCCCACCTTTCTGCCAATAGTCGCTTATATCTCACCCGAACTTCCTCCTCCCTTAGTTTTATACACTTTCACCTCCCTCTTACTTGTTGCCACCTTCCTCTTTTCCCATCTACCTCTTACTCTAACTGTACTACAACTAAATAATGATCCGATATATCAGTTTCCCTCATAAAAACATGTACATCCTGGAGCCTACCCATCAACCTTTTATCCACCAATACATAATCTAATAAACTACTTTCATTTTGTGCTACATCATACCTTGTATATTTATTTATCCTCTTTTTCATAAAATATGTTTACTTATTACCAAATCTCTTTCTACACATAGCTCAATTAAAGGCTCCCCATTTACATTTACCCCTGGCACCCAAATTTACCTACTACTTCCTCCATAACATTTTTACCCACTTTAGCATTGAAATCCCCAACCACCATTACTCTCTCACTTGATTCAAAACTCCCCATGCATTCACTCAACATTTCCCAAAATCTCTCTCTCTCTCTCCTCTACACTTCTCTCTTCTCCAGGTGCATACACACTTATTATAACCCACTTTTCACATCCAATCTTTAATTTTACTCCACATAATCCTTGAATTAATACATTTATAGTCCCTCTTTTCCTGCCATAGCTTATCCTTCAACATTATTGCTACTCCTTCTTTAGCTCTAACTCTATTTGAAACCCCTGACCTAATCCCATTTATTCCTCTCCATTGAAACTCTCCCACCCCCTTCAGCTTTGTTTCACTTAAAGCCAGGACATCCAGCTTCTTCTCATTCATAACATCCACAATCATCTCTTTCTTATCATTTGCACAACATCCACGCACATTCAGACTTCCCACTTTGACAATTTTCTTCTTCTTATTCTTTTTAGTAATCTTTACAGGAAAAGGGGTTACTAGCCCATGGTTCCCGGCATTTTAGTTGACTTTTACAACACACATGGCTTACGGAGGAAAGATTCTTATTCCACTTCCCCATGGATATGAAAGGAAAAGTAATAAGACCAAGAACTATTAAGATAAAATCAAAGAAAACTCAGATGAGTGTGCATAAATAAATGTGTACATGTATGTGTAGTGTGACCTAACACACACACACCCCTTTGGGTTTTCTTCTGTTTCCTTACTAGTTCTTCTTCTTGTAAATTTCCTCTTATGTCCATATTGAAGTGGAACAGAATTTTTCTTCCATAAGCCATGCGTGTTGTAAGAGGCGATTAAAATGCTGGGACAAGGGGCTGGTGACCCCTTCTGTATATATTACTAAATTTAAAAGGAGAAACTTTCATATTTCCTTTTGGGCCACCCCGCCTTGGTGGAATATGACCAGTTTGTTGAAAGAAGAAGAAGAAGAAGAAGAAGCTTCTTTCTCCTATGTGTGGGTTATTTATGTATTGATCCAGTCACAGTATTGTGCCTTTTTATTCTACATTTACTAATAATTTGTCTTTCACCTAATTCGGGATGATAGCTTATCTCAATCATTTTCATTTGATATTTGCTGAAATTAATATGTAAATTATATGATTCAGTTTTTAAAAAATTACTATACAGTGGACCCTCAACCAACGGCATTAATCCATTCCAGAGGGGTTGCTGTTGGTCAAAATTGCCATTGGTTGAGTTAATTTTCCCCATAAGAAATAATGGAAATAGAATTAATCTGTGCCTGACACCCCAAAGTCTGATTTTTTTTTTTTTGCATGAAATGATTTCCTTATATGGAAAGGAATGGGACATGCAAAATAAACAATAATTAAATGCCACTTACCTTTATTGTGGAGTTGTTGATGAGTGATGTGCCAGCAGCAGGGGAAATTCAGGATTGTCTATTGCTTGGAAGGAGAATCCCCTTCCATGAAGACTTCAAGTACCAAGTCCTTGATGGGGTTACCTCCCTTCTTGGTTTTTTAATGCCACTAGGACCAGCTTGAGAATCACTGGACCACCCTCTACCTCCATCACTACCACCCTCTACCACCATCACTACCACCCTCTACCACCATCACTACCACCCTCTACTACCATCACAACCAGTATCACCCTCTGCCACCTAACCAGTACAACCATCACTACTACCCTCTACCACCTTCACTACTGCCCTCTACCACCATCACTACTGCCCTCTTCCACCATCACTTCCACCCTCTACCACCATCGCTACCACTATCACTACCACCATCACAACCAGTACCACTCTCTACCACCATCACAACCAGTACCACTCTCTACCACCATCACAACCAGTACCACTCTCTACCACCATCACAACCAGTACCACTCTCTACCACCATCACAACAAGTACCACCCTCTGCCACCATCACTACCACCCTCTACCACCACCACTTTCGTATTTTTCTACAGATGTTTTCTTGAATCCTATCGTGTTTCCCATATCCTTTACCAAAGGGCTGGCTCTAGAAGCTTTCTTGGGGCCTATTTTGTGGCTTATTTAGTGGTTACAAGCACTAGAAACAGTGGAATAATCCAAAATGTATGGGAGGCACACGTGGAAACCGAATGCAACAGCTTGTAAACAATGGCACACTGAATCTTGGAGTGGCTGGGGACATGTTCCGGACGAACATCGTTAGTTAAGTTTTTTGCCGTTGGTTAAGGTATTTTTTCTACGGCAAAAAGCGCTGTTAGACAAAATTGCCATTACTTAATGCCGCCATTAGTTGAGGGTCTACTGTATAAATAATTGGAGGGTATTTCATTTTAACAAATTTTTTCCATACAAGTCATTGCCCACGAAGGCAGGGTAATCTTAACAAGGAAAGCACATTTACTAATATTCATTCCCTGGGTATCTTTCCATGAACATCTCAGTCCAGATAACCCTCCTAACTGCAAAATTCCCATCTTTCAAAGAACAGGCACTGTACTCTTTAAGTCTGGTTAATCAATTTTACTATATCCCTTCATAGATATTACCTTGTTCACACTCCAACACTACATCAAATACTTAGAGAAACACTTGTCTGCACTTACTAATTCTGCAGTCAGGGATTAACCATGCTCAGTTCGGGATTATGAACTGCATTATGAAAGAGGAAAGCAAACATATTTTCTTTATGACTAGTGAAATCTTAGTGATATGACTAAACAACTCATGAAATGGGTGGAATGCGAACTTCGTATTCTATGAATATTTTACGATCGTGTCATAATGACTTTGCAAATCACAGATGATGGCTTTGAAAGGACTTTAGGTAGAGCTTGCCACAGACATGTTGGTGTGAGACTTGTTATGTAGGATCAAGCAAAATTATATTATATTCATTTTATCATGATGAAGTTAGGCTGCTGAATTAATCCTGTTTGAAAATTAAGAATGTGCACATCATATTAATTCACACATTTATGCAGTATTTATCATTGAGAAGAGAAAATGTTCATGAACATCTGTCTTCCAAATAGGTTTTGTTTATTTAATTGACTCTGCTTAAAAAAGCACAGCAGTGTTTTTCATTTTAAAGCATTTCACTTGTAACAGGGAATATACATTTTAAACACCTGTTCCAGTATGTTTTTATCTGCATAATCATTTATAAATAAAGTTAATTGTGTTATGACTGTAAATTAAAGATTTCATGAGGATACTTTTATACCATATGTGACTTGTGTAGACTTTTAATGTTGTGTTTTTATTCAATTATACTTTAGTAAGTTTCCTTATTATTTGGTTCTGGACACTGTACTAGTGCAGATATATCTGTGAACTGGGAACATCAGCTCGGCTGTCTGTTAGTTACTATCTTACATCTAGATATATTTGTGCTTACAGGGGGACTACTTTTCTGTGTCCAAGATGCTGCTCTTTGTGAAGTTATGGACTCCATTTCACAGCATAACTTTTCAACAGATCGAGATCACAACATTATGTCTTCTGGTAAGTTTTTTTTTTTATGCCACATCAGACATTTTCCACCAAGGTAGAGTAATCCAAAGAAACCAGTACATTACTCACAAAATTGTAATAACACATCTACAAATAAACCCCAGAGCGGCCTGGAAATTTACGACACACTCCATGGGTTCAAGCCCCACCCGTTGCGTGGTTGAAAGCAGTGCATTTCCATCACTTGCTATCTAGCTGTCAGAGTTATACCATGTTGTTCAGTGTATTTCATAGTTCAGTCTGAAAAATATTTTCATAGAAACAAACTAAAAATAGAAGTTTCACGACTGTGTCTTTAAATAGTGTGTACTACACTTGATATAATTAAACAGCTTCAGGTTTGTCTTAGAGATATTTAAAATGGATTTATATGCTTGTGCTTGCTTTGCTCACAGTTTTTTTAATATATTGCATTATTATTATATCAACTTTGCAGTTAATCTTTGCATATTCCTTCAGAAATTGAGGCTATAAAATTACTGTATTTCAATTCCTCAAGCTCAGGTTTATAGTTTATGGAATTGTGTATTTGTGTAAATGAACACAAATACTCAACTTAAGACAACATCTCAATTCTCTCCTGGACTGTTATGAAGTGTATATTGTGTGTTACACTGTCCATTATTAAAAAAATTATATTCTGCTAATGAACACGTAAATTCGTCTAGATATAAATTAATGTGTAAATATGCAATATCTAAATCTGAGGTGGCTGGTAGGTTTTAAGTGGTGGTGTCTCATCATCGAGCTTTAACTTGCGAGGCTCTTAGATCAGAGCAAGTGAAATTGAGTAGTTTTGGAGATATGACATGCATTTGGAGTGTGAGCAAGGTAATGTATGTGATGGGATTCAGACAAACTACTTATATAAGATATGCCTTTCTGTAACTCGTGCATACTCTTTTTCTTTTTTTCATTTATATATTTTATGGCTTTTTCTTAGTTTTTTATTTGAATTGCTTTTATATTTTAACTAAAATATGTTTATTCAACATAGATATTTTAAGTGCACTTTTGACCTTTTTTATTAGTTGACTAAAGTTCTTAGGTCTCTATCATTGATGAATCCAAATTTCTGCTATTGCATGAGATCAGCTTCTTTGTTATGAATTATGATAGTGAGCTGCTGTTAGCAAACCATGTTGCATCGAATAATATTAATCACGTATCTTAAATTTACCATTATATGATTAATTACATTATCGATCAGCTTGCTTAAAAATTAACAAATTAGCATTTAAGTATAGTCAATTTGTTCATCTGTTTGCATTTCTTTGTGTTATACTTATTGCCTGGTGAATGGTTAAGAATAAGTACAGTAAACCCTCAGTATAACAAACTTTTAAATTAACTGGCAAAATACACTGGGTAAATTGTACTTTTAACATCTTTTTCTCTTTTTTTATATAATGAGTACTATATTAGGTGTACAGTACAGTATTTTGTTTTGGATATTTTTAAACATTATTCTGGTTTAACAAAGACCTGGACAATCCCCCTATTAGTCTATATTGAGAGGTTACTGTATTACCTAATTATATAATTCAGAATTATTTTCTTGAAAGTATTGTAGGAAGTTGCCTTCTTGATCATTAGCCATATTAGCTTATGCTTATCAGTCTCCTAAACCTGTAGGTGCCTCAGACACAGTTAGTTCGCATGGTGACTATAACAGTCTCCTGGACGAGAGCTGCGACACGCTGCCTGAAGGAAGTCTCGGCCAAGTTGGCTCCCCAAACTTCACCAGTGCAGCCACTAGCCATGGTAATAATTACATTCTTATGTTTCCTTTCACCTCTAATTAAAATTACATGTTTTGATCATGTTTTATACTTATCACTATGTGTTTATGAACGGAATGCCTCCTGAATATGGTACAGTCCTTTGCATTTATAATACTTATCCCCTGTTGTTTTTAAATATCAGTAGTTAGTATTTAGTTAAAAAATCATAATACAGTTGATAAAGAATTTTTAAGTTTAATTGTTGTCTAAATTAATTAGTGATTAATAAAGCCAATAAACAGGTAAATGGCTGACTAAGCTGTTAACCGCTGTTTTATAATTATTAGTATTGTCATCAATTGTCATCATTATTCATTGTCATTTATTTGAAGACTTGTTTTGCAGCAACCTTGCCGAGTACTACAGAGGGTGAAGCTCTGCAGGTCTTAGAAGATTCTGGTAAAGCAAGTCATGTGTAATTTACTAACAACATAGAATTAGTTGAACCTACAGATATGGCTACTAATTTTACCTCTGTATTTATATTATGAATATGTCTTTTGTGCTATGATAATAACTGCTTTTTTTGTCCTAAATATTTCAGTGATGTAACATTTTGTGCACTTTATATGAGATACAGAATTTGTTTTGTACAGCACAGGTACATAATATGTTGTGTACAGCACAAGTGCACAGTGTGTTGTGTACAGCACAAGTGCACAGTGTGTTGTGTACAGCACAAGTGCACAGTGTGTTGTGTACAGCACAAGTGCACAGTGTGTTGTGTACAGCACAAGTACACAGTGTGTTGTGTACAGCACAAGTACACAGTGTGTTGTGTACAGCACAAGTGCACAGTGTGTTGTGTACAGCACAAGTACACAGTGTGTTGTGTACAGCACAAGTACACAGTGTGTTGTGTACAGCACAAGTGCACAGTGTGTTGTGTACAGCACAAGTACACAGTGTGTGTACAGCACAAGTAGTACACAGTGTGTTGTGTACAGCACAAGTAGTGCACAGTGTGTTGTGTACAGCACAAGTAGTGCACAGTGTGTTGTGTACAGCACAAGTAGTACACAGTGTGTTGTGTACAGCACAAGTAGTGCACAGTGTGTTGTGTACAGCACAAGTAGTACACAGTGTGTTGTGTACAGCACAAGTAGTGCACAGTGTGTTGTGTACAGCACAAGTAGTGCACAGTGTGTTGTGTACAGCACAAGTAGTGCACAGTGTGTTGTGTACAGCACAAGTAGTGCACAGTGTGTTGTGTACAGCACAAGTAGTGCACAGTGTGTTGTGTACAGCACAAGTGCACAGTGTGTTGTGTACAGCACAAGTACACAGTGTGTTGTGTACAGCACAAGTAGTGCACAGTGTGTTGTGTACAGCACAAGTGCACAGTGTGTTGTGTACAGCACAAGTAGTACACAGTGTGTTGTGTACAGCACAAGTACACAGTGTGTTGTGTACAGCACAAGTACACAGTGTGTTGTGTACAGCACAAGTGCACAGTGTGTTGTGTACAGCACAAGTAGTGCACAGTGTGTTGTGTACAGCACAAGTAGTGCACAGTGTGTTGTGTACAGCACAAGTGCACAGTGTGTTGTGTACAGCACAAGTACACAGTGTGTTGTGTACAGCACAAGTAGTGCACAGTGTGTTGTGTACAGCACAAGTGCACAGTGTGTTGTGTACAGCACAAGTAGTACACAGTGTGTTGTGTACAGCACAAGTAGTACACAGTGTGTTGTGTACAGCACAAGTAGTACACAGTGTGTTGTGTACAGCACAAGTAGTACACAGTGTGTTGTGTACAGCACAAGTACACAGTGTGTTGTGTACAGCACAAGTAGTGCACAGTGTGTTGTGTACAGCACAAGTAGTGCACAGTGTGTTGTGTACAGCACAAGTAGTACACAGTGTGTTGTGTACAGCACAAGTAGTGCACTGTGTGTTGTGTACAGCACAAGTACACAGTGTGTTGTGTACAGCACAAGTAGTGCACAGTGTGTTGTGTACAGCACAAGTGCACAATATTGTATTATATTTCTCCACAAGTGTTTTCAGTATGGGATATAATACAATATTTTTTTACATTTAATTAATGAATCAGTGTCACCATCGTTCCTAACTATAACTGTTTTCATACTTTCACCATGATTAACAAGGCTTTTATGGGTCATGTGACACAAGCCTTCATTCCTTTAAATATCAACAAGGAGAAGGTGACTCGTCTTGATCATGTTATCAATCTTCTTTATCTCTATATTTTGATCATTCATTTCGTCTAGAAGTCTCATTCCTTGATGGATTATCATATGCAGAATTTTCCCCAGGCATTATATGTTTCGAGGAAGTGAAGGATAAGTGGGGAAAAGTGGGGGGAGGAATTTTCATTCATGCTAGTGGAAGGCTCTTGATCAGAGGAATGGAAGCAAGAATTTTTTTTTTTAACATGTCTGCCATTTCCCACTGAGACAGGGGGATCCAGAAAAAAAAAGAAAAAAAAACTTTCATCATCAATCAACACTTTCACCATTTTTTTTTTTTAACAAGTCGGCCGTCTCCCACTGAAGCAGGGTGACCCAAAAAGAAAGAAAATCCCCAAAAAGAAAATACTTTCATCATCATTCAACACTTTCACCTCACTCACACATAATCACTGTTTTTGCAGAGGTGCTTAGAATACAACAGTTTAGAAGCATATACATATAAAAAAGATTTCAACAACCATTCCTGCAACCTGGTTAGTTTATCATACATAGTTTATTTATACGTAATGATGGTGAAAGTGTTGAATGATGATGAAAGTTTTTTCCTTTCTTTTTTGGGTCACTGCCTCGGTGAGAAACAGCCAACATGTTAAAAAAAAAAAAAGTAATTTGTGAATAATTTAAAGATAACATCACTGAATATGTGCAGATTGGAATACACAGAGGTGCAATTTTTTTTTTTTTCAACAAACCGGCCGCATCCCACCAAGGCAGGGTGGCCCAAAAAGAAAAACAAAAGAGAGGTGCAAGTAAGGGTAACAAATACAGGTAAATAAATAAGTAGTCTTATATCTATATATCTTTGGGACCTCCTCTTTCTTGAGCAAGATTTTCCCGTTTACAATTATCACCAGACGTATAAACCTTTTTCAAGGGTTATCGTCCATTAAAAGGCCACTTGAATCACAGTATAAAAAAGCCCACATGTTGACTTGGCCGCCTTGTAGTGATATAAAATAGAACATATTTATTCCCATAATGTGTGGGAAGGTTGAGGATTGCATCAGGGGAAAATATACAGTAAGAAAGAAGAGGGAAAATTGGTTAAAGATAAAGGGGAAGGTAATAAAGATTTTAAGATATTGGAATGAAGACTCCCAGTGTGGAAATTTAGTATTGTTCTATAGCATATTAAAACATTTATGTATAAGAGGTGAAGCCTATATCACACAGAAAGTGAAGCATTTTGAAATTTTGATGCTTTAGTAATATTAGCACTAATTTTCCCAGTTAAAGCAAACCTAAATATAAGTATAGCTTGTTTATCAAAGTGAACCGTGCTACACATTGAGAAGAAGTTTCAGTGAATTAAATTGTTAAGACCATTTTATTTTTACTGACAAACACAGCCAGTTAAACAGCTTTATAATGTATATTATTTCCAGATGTTTGACTTGTGCTATTATTTGGCTTATTTGCTTGCATCATATTAAGATACTGTGAATAATGTATCACATTATAAAACAAAGTAGACAAAAACAATGGTAAATACTGGTGACACTGTGGATTGGCACTTTTTATACTTCTGTATTTCCCAAGAGTCAGTTTAGCAGTGTTTAATTGCACCTCACCTGCTTGTATATTATACACCAAATTTTGCTACATACTTAAGGCTGTTACATAAAAACAATTCTTCTTGGTCAGCTTTGTTCTTTCTGGCTATTCCTGTATTACTTTTGTTTTACCTTTGCTTTTCTTCAGTTCTGTGGTTCTGCCTATTTACTAACCACCAAAGAAGGGGCTCCTGACAGAGGGGGTGGGAGGGATAGAGGATTAGAGATTCATTGTCATTATACATCAGGGAATGTGAGTATCAGCACCTTCGGTAGACAAGGCATAAAGAAAAAAATAGGTATAAATAAAAATTAAAAAAAAAAGAATTGTCAAAATATCTGAATTAATAAACTAAAATTAAAATATAAATTAAAAGTATTGTACGTGCACATTGGAACCCCAGTTATCGCCTGTCCTAATAATTTGTGTATATATTCATTAGCATATAATTGACTCTTTTTGTGTTTATCTTATACTTGTCAGCCATCTCCCAACAAGATAGGGTGACCAAGAAACAACAAAGAAAAGGAAATATTCACCATCATTCATTCAGTAACTGCCTTGCCAGAAATGCACAAACATCACAGTTTAAATGACCTTCCTAGATGTAACATCCCCAGCCTTTCTTCAGAGTGCAAGCACTATACTGCCTACCTGCAGGACTCTAAGTCCTGCTAATTATTTGCCCTGAATTCCTTCATAAATGATACCTTGTTAACACTCCAACAATGGAATTTGTGTATAATTTACCTTTGCATGTGTTAGTTCATCAGATTTGATGTAACATATATGAATGTTAAAGTTTCCCATCTGTTGTCTGCACTGCCACTTCTGTATGAAACAGTAAGGTCCATTTGAACCTAGATTTTCATTCTTCAATTTACACACAGCAAGTGAAAATGAACCAAGTTCTCCACACTAGAAACTTGAGCATTTCAGTATTTTTTTTGTACATAAGCCATTTGTTAACAGTTCCTGTAACATTGTTTTCTTTCAGATGTTTATGCACAAATTACTGCCATTGCTTTCTTTTGAAATATCACCTCAGTATCATAAACAATTTCATTTCTTCCATTATTTGATAATTAGGTAATTGGGTTTAATTGAAAACTAAACTTTTCTCATTCTTTCATAATATTTTGGGAAAGAGTAAGTTGTGAAATAATGTGAAGGTGAAATAGTGCTTAATTGTGCTGCCCTTTTTTGACCTCTGGTATCATACAGATTCACTCATCTTTGTTTGTGCGATTCAATTTATCTCGATGCCATCGCTCGATTACTCGTGGAAGAGTGATGTTAATGTTTTCACTTGCTGGGCTGAGCTGCTCTCTGTTTGGCACGTCTTAATATGCAGAGCAAGGTTTTAGGTGACACGCCCATTATATGCTTGAAATTATCTTTTTTTACATGAAAGTTTAATTGATAATTTAGAATGTTCATTGTGCAGCGTTACTCAGAAAGAAAAAACTGGCATGAAACCATTACGACTGTATCCTACAGTCATGTTGAGTATTTGGTCGGCACTGTGTTGTTCATATACAAATGACAAAATCCCTAGGTATCTCACTCCACATTGACTTTATTGGCAACTAGTACAAGGATGGTGAGATTACCTGCATCTTCTCTAGCTTCTCTTAGACTAGTAATATACAGTAGGGCTCTGCTTTACGGAATTTTTCGCTAATAGGACATTTCAAATTATGACCAAAACTCAATAATGCTCCCGCCCTCCCCCCAACTTGACTCGCTGGCATTTACAGTGGAACCGCCCGCATAACGCTATTAATCCGTTCCTGAGACTCATTAGTGGGTTATTTAGTTGAGAAATTATCGATATGCGAATATTTTTCCCATAAGAATAATGGAAACAAAATAATCCGTGGAAGACAACCCAAAAGATGAAAAAAAAAAATTTTTACCACATTAAATATTAATTTAATCCACCACCAAACTTAAGAAAAAAACATGCACATTTACATGACACTTACCTTTTATTGAAGCATGTGGTGATGATTGAAAGATGGGAGTGGGGAACTGGATGTTTAGTGTTTAAAGGGGAATCCCCTTCCATTAGGACTTGAGGTGTCAAGTCCTTTTCCGGGGTTGCTTCCCTTCTTCTTTTAATGCCACTAGGACCAGCTTCAGAGTCACTGGACTTCTGTCGCACAACATATCTGTCCATAGTGGCCTGTACCTCTCGTTCCTTTATGACTTTCCTAAAGTGTTTCACAACAGTGTCAGTGTAATAGTCACCAGCAGGCTTGCAATAGCATGTCTGAGGGTGATTGTCATCAAAAAAGGTTTGCACTTTAAGCCACATTGCACACATTTCCTTAATCTTTGAAGTAGGCAACTTCTACAATTTCTCTCTCCCCTCCTCCAAAGCAATTTCCTCAGGTGTGGCCTCTTGCTGTTGAAGTTGATCTAGCAGCTCATCAGTGGTTAGTTCTTCATTGTCCTCCTCCACCAACTCTTCCACATCCTCCCCACTAACCTCCAACCCCAAGGACTTCCCCAATGCCACAATTGATTCCTCAACTGGCATACTCCTCTCAGGGTTAGCCTCAAATCCTTCAAAATCCCTTTGGTCTACACATTCTGGCCACAGTTTCTTCCAAGCATAGTTCAAGGTCCTCTTAGTCACTTCCTCCCAAGCCTTACCTCTAAGGTTTACACAAGTGAGGATATTAAAGTGATCTCTCCAAAACTCTAAGAGAGTCAATTGAGTTTCTGAGGTCACTACAAACACCTTTCAAACAGAGCTTTTGTGTACAGTTTTTTGAAGTTTGCAATAACCTGCTGGTCCATGGGCTGCAGGAGAGGAGTGGTATTAGGAGGCAAAAACTTCATCTTAATGAAGCTCATGTCCCCACAAAGTCGCTCTGCCAAGTCTGTAGGATGACCAGGGGAATTGTCTAAAACCAGGAGGCACTTAAGGTCTAATTTCTTATCAGTTAGGTAATTTTTCACAGTGGGGGCAAATGCTTGGTGTAACCAGTCATAGAAAAAGTCCCTAGTGACCCATGCCTTACTGTTTGCCCTCCACAGCACACACAAATTAGCCTTGAGGATATTCTTTTGCCTGAACGCTCTGGGAGTTTCAGAGTGATACACTAATAAAGGCTTCACTTTGCAATCACCAATAGCATTGGCACACATGAGAAGAGTAAGCCTCTCTTTCATAGGCTTATGTCCTGGGAGTGCCTTTTCCTCCTCAGTAATGTAGGTCCTGCTTGGCATTTTCTTCCAAAACAGGCCTGTTTCGTCACAATTAAACACTTGTTCAGGTTTCAGTCCTTCACTGTCTATGTACTCCTTGAATTCCTGCACATATTTTTCAGCTGCTTTTTGGTCCGAACTGGCAGCCTCACCATGCCTTATCACACTATGTATGCCACTACGCCTCTTAAATCTCTCAAACCAACCTTTGCTGGCCTTAAATTCACTGAAGGCATTTTTCTAATTAAATCCTCGTGCAACTTCCTAGCCTTTTCATTTATGATCGCTTGAGAGATGCTATTGCCTGCTATCTGCTTTTCGTTTATCCACACCAATAACAGTCTCTCAACATCTTCTATCACTTGCGATCTCTGTTTCGAAAGCACAGTTAAACCTTTGGCAAGAACAGCTTCCTTGATTGCCGTTCTCTTGGACACAATAGTAGCAATGGTTGATTGGGGTTTACTATACAACCTGGCCAGCTCGGAGACACGCACTCCACTTTCATACTTAGCAATGATCTCTTTCTTCATCTCCATAGTAATTCTCACCCTTATTCCTGTAGGGTTGGCACTAGAAGCTTTCTTGGGGCCCATGGTCACTTATTTTTCAGGTGAAATCACTATGAAAAGGCTGTAATAATACAAAATGTTCCGATTGTATGCTTGAATGTTACCGCGGAGGCTGGCTTGTAAACATGCCACTGGCAGAACAAGTGAGGCTGGCTCAGGCCGCATGGACGCATTTCGGACAAATCGCATTGAGCGAATTTTTTAGCACTATGCAAGGCAAAATTTTAGCGATAAAATGTATCGCTATGCGGATTTAACGCTATGCGATGCCAACGTTATGCGGGGGTCCACTGCATATGCATTTATAAGTGGATAAAAAGGGCTTTCCACTTTACGGTGATTTCTGCTTTACAGCAGTAACCAGGAACTTGACCTGCTGTATAAGTGGGGCCCTGCTGTATACGATAACATTGGAGGTGATGCTTGTTCTCAGTTAAATATCTCAGTTTCCAGTCTGCCACAGTGTCTTTGTATCAACTTCTCAGTTTTACAGTTTTGAGTATTGTATATAAATTTTGGTTAGATTTATTTTAGGCATTCTAAAAGTTACTTTTATATTACTTTTATGTTACTTTTATATTACGCAAAATATTCTTGCCAACATATTTACTTAAATTTCTTACCTATAAAATAATTGAGGTGACATGGTGATCTACCATATGGATTCTTGCTGATTTCAAAAAATTTAAATCTTTTTCTTGCAAGTCATGCTAACAGTGGTAAGTTGACTGTAAATAAAGTTCAGTATTACACATTTACCAGATGGGTTAGAGTGCAAACGTGCCGTGAAATGGTTATGCGACTACATAGCATATCAGTGCTCGAGACCACCCAGGGCACACTCCAAGGCAAGTTAAAAAATACAGTAATTGTCTTCCTTATCCTCTAGTTGTCACTCATACCTTTGGTAGTATTTATTGATTCTTTGAAGTATCTAAAAGTGTTTGGTTCATTACAATAAATAATAGCACTGTTTTCACCGTGCTGAAAAAAAAGAAAGCAAGCTTGTACAGTGGACCCCCGGTTAACGATATTTTTTCATTCCAGAAGTATGTTCAGGTGCCAGTACTGACCGAATTTGTTCCCATAAGGAATATTGAGAAGTAGATTAGTCCATTTCAGACCCCCAAACATACACGTACAAATGCACTTACATAAATACACTTACATAATTGGTCGCATTGGGAGGTGATCGTTATGCGGGGGTCCACTGTTTTACAAAAAGGCATTTTTTTTTTTTGCTAATACGTGTTCAAGTGTATCACAAATATTAAAAATAATAATATTTAATTTTTATCATCATATTTTTAGTACTGTTTTGCATTAGAGAATTTTTAAACTAGCATTCACAGTTAGAGCTTCCTAGTCACCTCAAATTGTTCTCATGAACTAAATAATGTAGTTGTAATGTACCTTCCATAGGATCTGCACTCAACCATTGTTGCAGCATTCCATTGTGCAAGTGTGTGGCTGGTTGCTCACCCATACCTACTCCAGGATAAAGAATGTCTGTCAACAGTACTGGAAGTTGTGGAGCTTGGCATCTCAGGATCAAAGTCACAAGTAAGCTATTTATTAAGTGAAAATGATGATATTATTTTGCAAGATTGATTGAAGCTGTGATATAGATTTTATAATTTCAACTGTGTGATATTCTTTAATGATAATTAATTCAATCTGATTTCCCGGTAAAGTAGATACAGTAGGACCCTGCTTTACGGTGTTCCGCTAATATGGACATTTCAAATTATGATCAAAACTCGCTATATGGCTCTACCATACCTCCCACACCTGACTTTCTACAAGTAAATACTACTCATCTCTCGCCCTACATTAAGACTATAAATATTTTAAGGTAAGTAATGAGTGTACTGTGTGTGTACTTTACTTTTTATTGTTTTTAATACCTAGTTCTATTACTAACTTAGTATATGTTAGTGTAAACTTGTTATCTGGCATTTATATGCATTATTTATGAGTGGAAAAAATGGCGTTCGTTCTGCTTTCCGGCGGTAGCTTGGAGCCCAAACTGCCGTATAAGTGGGGCCCTTCTGTGCAGTTTATTCACTTGGGCAAAATGAATGATATAAAATTACAGTCTAGAAGATAAACCACCTTAGTATAGCTCATAAGGTACAGTTTTCATAAAATTTAAGAGTGTAACAGTTGACATCAAATTTAATTCAAGTCTAAAAGTATTTAAACATACTTGAGAACCTAGAACATAACAGCTGTGAATATGGACTTAAGAATGTGAAGCATCTTTTTCTGAATTGCTCTTTGTTAGGGAGATACTCAGTAGTTTTGTCTTCATTAAATTTTATACTTGTTTTAAAGACATTTTCTTTCTTGCTGATGAATCTTCTGTACTGTACTTCAGGAAGTTTATTAAAAAGTTAGGTTTATATATTAAAAAGTTTATATATTTCTTTAAAGTGTCTCATTTTATTCTAACTTTTCAGTATTCACATATATTTCAACCTAAAATACTGTATTTACAGTCATATATGTAAAGATTCATGCATCAGGAGAGTATTGTTGTGTTTTCATTTGCTGGAATGTATGCAATGTTCTTTCCTCATATGTATCAGCAACATTACTACTACTTACTACTTATTCCATACTAAGTGTTATCTACCAGATCTATACCAACTAGCATAAAGTTTGTCATAACATTGTACTATCAGGAAATTACTCATGCTTATTTAATACATATTCTATTAGGTAAGTGTCAAGAAGTATATTGAAGACATACCAGCCAAGTATGTAATGTATTCCCAGGTTAAGTCCAGTGATGCCCCTCGTCTGAAGCACGAGAAAGAGCTGAAGCCAGCCAGTATGCGAGTGCGAGACTCTGCTGAAGCTTTATTGTCTTGCGTGCTCTCACAAGTAAGGAACAATTGAGGCTTTTATAATTTTTAGTGAAAATGTAAAGCATTTGGATGATTTTTGTGTTGGTGGTATCATAGATGAAAAGATTTTACAAAGCTCTTCATTTAGTAATTTTTACAGAAGGGTTTACTAGTTCCCTTGCTCCTTACATTTTAGTCGCCTCTTACGACACGCATAACTTATGGAGGAAGAATTCTTCTCCACTTCCTCATGGAGGATAGGATATTTTTTTTTTTTTTTTCAACAAGTCGGTCGTCTCCCACCGAGGCAGGGTGACCCAAAAAAGAAAGAAAATCCCCAAAAAGAAAATACTTTCATCATCATTCAACACTTTCACCACACTCACACATTATCACTGTTTTTGCAGAGGTGCTCAGAATACAACAGTTTAGAAGCATACACATATAAAGATACACAACATATCCCTCCAAACTGCCAGTATCCCAAACCCCTCCTTTAAAGTGCAGGCATTGTACTTCCCATTTCCAGGACTCAAGTCTGACTATATGAAAATAACTGGTTTCCCTGAATTTTTTTTTTTTTTTTTTTCAACAAGTCGGCCGTCTCCCACCGAGGCAGGGTGACCCAAAAAAAATATTACCCTGCTCACACTCCAACAGATTGTCAGGTCCCAAGTACCATTCGTCTACATTCACTCCTATCTAACACGCTCACGCACGCTTGCTGGAAGTCCAAGCCCCTTGCCCACAAAACCTCCTTTACCCCCTCTCTCCAACCCTTTCGAGGACGACCCCTACCCCGCCTTCCTTCCCCTATAGATTTATATGCTTTCCATGTCATTCTACTTTGATCCATTCTCTCTAAATGACCAAACCACCTCAACAACCCCTCTTCTGCCCTCTGACTAATACTTTTATTAACTCCACACCTTTTCCTAATTTCCACACTCCGAATTTTCTGCATAATATTTACACCACACATTGCCCTTAAACAGGACATCTCCACTGCCTCCAACCGTCTCCTCGCTGCTGCATTTACCACCCAAGCTTCACACCCATATAAGAGTGTTGGTACTACTATACTTTCATACATTCCCTTCTTTGCCTCCATAGATAACGTTTTTTGACTCCACATATACCTCAACGCACCACTCACCTTTTTTCCCTCATCAATTCTATGATTAACCTCATCCTTCATAAATCCATCCGCCGACACGTCAACTCCCAAGTATCTGAAAACATTCATTTCTTCCATACTCCTCCCCAATTTGATATCCAATTTTTCTTTATCTAAATCATTTGATACCCTCATCACCTTACTCTTTTCTATGTTCACTTTCAACTTTCTACCTTTACACACATTCCCAAACTCATCCACTAACCTTTGCAATTTTTCTATAGAATCTCCCATAAGCACAGCATCATCAGCAAAAAGTAACTGTGTCAATTCCCATTTTGAATTTGATTCCCCTAAATTTAATCCTACCCCTCTCCCGAACACCCTAGCATTTACTTCCTTTACAACCCCATCTATAAATATATTAAACAACCATGGTGACATTACACATCCCTGTCTAAGACCTACTTTTACCGGGAAGTAGTCTCCCTCTTCTACACACCCTAACCTGAGCCTCACTATCCTCATAAAAACTCTTTACAGCATTTAATAACTTACCACCTATTCCATATACTTGCAACATCTGCCACATTGCTCTTCTATCCACTCTATCATATGCCTTTTCTAAATCCATAAATGCAATAAAAACTTCCCTACCTTTATCTAAATACTGTTCACATATATGCTTCAATGTAAACACTTGATCTACACATCCCCTACCCACTCTGAAACCTCCTTGCTCATCCACAATCCTACGTTCTGTCTTACCTCTAATTCTTTCAATTATAACTCTACCGTACACTTTTCCTGGTATACTCAGTAAACTTATTACTCTATAATTTTTAGTCTCTTTTGTCCCCTTTCCCTTTACATAAAGGGACTATATATGCTCTCCGCCAATCCCTAGGTACCTTCCCCTCTTTCATACATTTATTAAACAAAAGTACCAACCACTCCAACACTATATCCCCCCCTGCTTTTAACATTTCTTTCATGATCCCATCAGTTCCTGCTGCTTTACCCCCTTTCATTTTACGTAATGCCTCACGTACCTCCACCACACTTACATTCTGCTCTTCTTCACTCCTAAAAGATGGTATACCTCCCTGACCAGTGCAGGAAATTACTGCCTCTCTTTCTTCCTTAACCTTTAAAAGTTCCTCAAAATATTCTCGCCATCTACCTAATACCTCCCTCTCCCCATCTACTAACTCCCCTACTCTGTTCTTAACTGACAAATCCATACTTTCCCTAGGCTTTCTTAACTTGTTTAACTCTAAAAAAATTTCTTATTTTCATTAAAATTTCTTGACAGTACCTATCCCACTCTATCATCTGCTCTCCTTTTGCACTCTCTCACCACTCTCTTTACCTTTCTTTTACTCTCCATATACTCTGCTCTTCTTATAACACTTCTGCTTTGTAAAAACCTCTCATAAGCTACCTTTTTCTCTTTTATCACACCCTTTACTTCATCATTCCACCAATCACTCCTCTTTCCTCCTGCCCCCACCCTCCTATAACCACAAACTTCTGCCCCACATTCTAATACTGCATTTTTAAAACTATTCCAACCCTCTTCAACCCCCCCACTACTCATCTTTGCACTAGCCCACCTTTCTGCCAATAGTCGCTTATATCTCACCTGAGTTCCTCCTCCCTTAGTTGATACACTTTCACCTCCCTCTTACTTGTTGTTGCCACCTTCCTCTTTTCCCATCTACCTCTTACTCTAACTGTAGCTACAACTAAATAATGATCCAATATATCAGTTGCCCCTCTATAAACATGTACATCCTGGAGCCTACCCATCAACCTTTTATCCACCAATACATAATCTAATAAACTACTTTCATTACATGCTACATCATACCTTGTATATTTATTTATCCTCTTTTTCATAAAATATGTATTACTTATTACCAAGTCTCTTTCTACACATAGCTCAATTAAAGGCTCCCCATTTACATTTACCCCTGGCACCCCAAATTTACCTACTACTCCCTCCATAACATTTTTACCCACTTTAGCATTGAAATCCCCCAACCACCATTACTCTCACACTTGATTAAAAACTCACCATGCATTCACTCAACATATCCCAAAATCTCTCTCTCTCTCCTCTACACTTCTCTCTTCTCCAGGTGCATACACACTTATTATAACCCACTTTTCACATCCAATCTTTATTTTACTCCACATAATCCTTGAATTAATACATTTATAGTCCCTCTTTTCCTGCCATAGCTCATCCTTCAACATTATTGCTACTCCTTCTTTAGCTCTAACTCTGACTTAAGAAATCGTAATGACACGATTGCAAATAAACCATAGAGTTCGTCACGGCCACGCTAGCTGGAGATTCGTCTGTAAAAACTTGCATTTGTGGTCACAGAGGTGCCTGTGCTAACCTTCCTATGGTGTAGAAATATACCTAGTTGGATGAATCTTATTGTGGCTAGCTGGTCTAGTGGTTAGCGCGACGGGCTGGAGTTTTGAGACTCTATGACCGCGGGTTCAATCCCGGCCGGGGGTATGGCTCTAACTCTATTTGAAACCCCTGACCTAATCCCATTTATTCCTCTCCATTGAAACTCTCCCACCCCCTTCAGCTTTGTTTCACTTAAAGCCAGGACATCCAGCTTCTTCTCATTCATAACATCCACAATCATCTCTTTCTTATCATTTGCACAACATCCACGCACATTCAGACTTCCCACTTTGACAATTTTCTTCTTCTTATTCTTTTTAGTAATCTTTACAGGAAAAGGGGTTACTAGCCCATTGTTCCCGGCATTTTAGTTGACTTGTACAACATGCATGGCTTACGGAGGAAAGATTCTTATTCCACTTCCCCATGGATATAAAAGGAAAAGTAATAAGACCAAGAACTATTAAGATAAAATCAAAGAAAACTCAGATGAGTGTGTATAAATAAATGTGTACATGTATGTGTAGTGTGACCTAAGTGTAAGTAGAAGTAGCAAGACATACCTGTAATCTTGCATATTTATGAGACAGGATAATTATGATGTGTAAATTAAATGATGGGGAAGTGTGTTTCCTATTTTTGAGTCACCCGTCCCTTGGTGTGAGACGGCTGATGTTGTTAAAAAAAAAATGTTAGGTGAAATGGTGTAGCGTTGGAAGGTGATATAGTATATTAATCCCTATCTTAATGAGGTTACCTACTTATTGTACCCTGTCAAGGCTTGAACCCACTGGAGCTAATTGGGATTCTTAAGTAGGCTTTTAAGTAGTTTTTGCTTTTGTTCACCTCTACTGTGGTTACTTTGGAAACTAATTTTTGCCTATTACATGTATTGTGTAGGGAGGATCCTTTGGATTTCTTTTGAACCATGTTAAAAAAAATAATGAATAAAGAATAAAAAGGCACAATACCATGCCTGGGGCAAAGTGCAAATATCCTGCTCATAGGAGAATGAAACTTACGAAAATGTTTTGGTTGTGGGAGAAACTGTTCTAGTGTAGATGGCATAGTTGGTAACCAGGGGTAAATGATAATGGGGGTCTTTAATTGAACTATGTATAGAAAGAGGTTTGCGAATAGGTAATACATATTTTAAGAAAAAGAGGATAAATAAGTATATCATTTATGATACAGAGTGTAATGGTAGCTGTTAGATTGTCTATTAGGAAATAAGAAGTCGATGGGTAGGCTTCTAGATATTCATGTGTTTAGAGAGGACATTTATATCAGATCATTATTTAGTGGCAGCTACAGTGAGAGTAAGAGGTAAATGGGGTACAAGGAGAATGTCATCAGTGGGCAAGAATGAAGTGAAAGTTAGTCACTTAAAGGTGGATAAGATGGATGAATTTGGTAGGGTATGTAAAAGAAGAAAATTAAAAGTGAATACAGGAAAGAGTAAGGTTATGAGGATAACGAAAAGATTAGGTGATGAAAGATTGGATATCAGATTGGAGGGAGAGAGTATGGAGGAGGTGAATGTATTCAGATATTTGGGAGTGGACGTGTCAGCGGATGGGTCTATGAAAGATTAGGTGAATCATAGAATTGATGAGGGGAAAAGGGTGAGCGGTGCACTTAGGAGTCTGTGGAGACAAAGTACTTTGTCCTTGGAGGCAAAGAGGGGAATGTATGAGAGTATAGTTTTACCAACGCTCTTATATGGTTGTGAAGCATGGGTGATGAATGTTGCAGCAAGGAGAAGGCTGGAGGCAGTGGAGATATCATGTCTGAGGGCAATGTGTGGCGCAAATATAATGCAGAGAATTCGTAGTTTGGAAGTTAGGAGGAGGTGCGGGATTGCCAAAACTGTTGTCCAGAGGGCTGAGGAAGGGTTGTTGAGGTGGTTTGGACATGTAGAGAGAATGGAGCGAAACAGAATGACTTCAAGAGTGTATCAGTCTGTAGTGGAAGGAAGGCGGGGTAGGGGTCGGCCTAGGAAAACTTGGAGGGAGGGGGTAAAGGAGGTTTTGTGTGCAAGGGGCTTGGACTTCCAGCGGGCATGCGTGAGTGTGTTTGATAGGAGTGAATGGAGACAAGTGGTTTTTAATACTTGACGTGCTGTTGGAGTGTGAGCAAAGTAACATTTATGAAGGGATTCAGGGAAACTGGCAGGCCGGACTTGAGTCCTGGAGATGGGAAGTACAGTGTCTGCACTCTGAAGGAGGGGTGTTAATGTTGCAGTTTAAAAAACTGTAGTGTAAAGCACCCTTCTGGCAAGACAGTGATGGAGTGAATGATGGTGAAAGTTTTTCTTTTTCGGGCCACCCTGCCTTGGTGGGAATCGGCCAGTGTGCTAATAAAAAAAAAAGATATAAACAACTATTAGAAAAAAGGTGGGCTAGAGTACAGATAATGAGGAAGGGGTTGAAAAAATAAGGGATAGATTGAAGAATGCAGTGTTGGTGTGTGCAGAAGTTTGAGAGTATAGGAGGGTCGGGATATTGTAGTTCAGACATCCATCTGAACTGTGATGTCGGCACACTTCTGCCAAGACATTAATTGAATGAGTGACGGTGAAAGTGTTTCTTTTTATAGGTTACAATACCTCAATGGGAGATGTCCAGTGTATTAAAAAAGAAACATATTAATGACGTGGTTTACTTTCTGCATGTTTGTTATGCATTTCAAGGACCATAAGTTCAACTTTGAAGAGCTTTTTTATTACACTAATTATTCATGGCTACTACAGTTCAGACCAGTTTATATATTTTGTTTTGAAATTAGCAAAATATGAGAAACTGAAGAATAAACTTGATCAGTTATTTTATACTTTGTTTTTTTCTACAGGTTGGCACTTTTCCATCGGTGTGCGGTGCTGAATCATTATCATCACTATTAGATGAGGTGACTCTTCTGCGACACTGTAACACCTGGGGTGGTTCAGACCAGCTCACACGAGACTCTGCAGCTCAGCACTTCAGATATTTTGTTGCCCAAAATTCAATTATGCTGGCCCTCTTAGAACAACCGCTTGGCAATCATCAAGGTATCACAGTTCCCTCTGTCACACACCTAAAAAAAAAAAAAAACAGAAAAACACAATTAGCTTATTTATTCTACAAAACAATCTTTTTCTTGTTAACACTGGCCATCTCCCATTGAGGTAGGATGACCTGTAAAAGAAACACCTTCACCATCATTCACTCCATCACTGTCTTGCCAAAGGCATGCTGAAACTACAGTTCAGATGCCCCTCTAAACTGCAAATATCTCCATCACTCCTTCAAGAGTACAGGCACTATATTTTCCACCTCCAGGACTGGAGGTGAAAAATACAGTTTCCCTTAATCCCTTCAGAAAATGTTACCTTACATTTCAGCAGCTCATTAAGTCCTAAAAACCAATTACCTTCAGTTGCTCCTATGTAACATGTTTACACATGCCTGCTGGATGTCCAAGCCCATTGCACACAAAACCACCTTTACCCCCTTCCTCCAATTTTTCCTAGGGTGACCTCTATCCCTACCTTCCCTTCACTACAGATTTATACATTCTCCAAATCATCTGTTTTGATCCATCCTCTCTGAAGTCCAGACTACCTCAACAACCCCTCTGGATAATGCTTTTAATAACTCTCCACTTCCTTCTCATCTCCAAGCTATGAATTCTCTGCATAATATTTACACCACACATTGCCCTCAGACACATCATCACTACCTCCAGCCTCCTCACTGCAAAATTCATAACCTATGCTTCACAACCATATAACAGTGTTGGTTCCACTAAACTCTTATACATTCCCTTCTCTGCATGGATAACATTCATTGTCTCCACAGATACCTCAATGCATCACCCACTAGTTCAGTTTGTTTTGGTGTTTGTAACAGCATTCTTTCAGTTGCTTTCCCTGTGTGTTTGGGAAGGTGCTTCTTCTAGATGCAGGAGCAACAGTGATTAAGTGGAATTGTGTGAAGCTCACTAAACATATTCCAGTATCCAAAAGGCTGTCTTTACAGGCTTCATTTCATTTTGTTGGCCCCAGAATTTTTCTTGGAATAAGTTTTATGAATCTTGTGAGGTAGATTTGAGTTTCACTTTGAAAATTATGCAGTATTGTAGAAGCTTTTAAAAAAATTGAAATTATGCCCAAAGCATTTTGGTGTTTGAGAAATTATGTTAGATTTTGTTAAGGCAGAATTATTAGAAAATTAAATTGTATACATTTTTTTTGGGAGGACATCATAATTTGTTTCACCAGATCCTCAGCCAACAGTAACAGCACTCATACGTGGGCCATTTGGTAGAGTGGCATGGACCATGCAGCTTCGTCATTTACCCAGGCACAAATCATCAGCAAAGCTGTACACAGTTAACCCAGGACGTCCTTTGCCCATGAACGATGTAGGAATTAAGCACAGCGTCAAGCCTAAGTACTTCCCTGACAGTGTTGACAGGATACCTCTTTGTAAAGCGTAAGTTTTAAAATAAATGCTATAACTCTGTTATGTAATTAAATGATTACATGAAATTAATAGTAATTGGTCATTTTTACAAGAGACAGATGGTGAATATTTGAGATAGTATACAAGCCAGTTGCACTGTGAATAATTATTATTTATGAATGGAAAAGTAATTGCTTCATAAATTGTTTGTAATATAACTTGCACTTTAAATACAGTGGACCCCCGGTTAACGATATTTTTTCATTCCAGAAGTATGTTCAGGTGCCAGTACTGACCGAATTTGTTCCCATAAGGAATATTGTGAAGTAGATTAGTCCATTTCAGACCCCCAAACATACACGTACAAATGCACTTACATAAATACACTTACATAATTGGTCGCATTGGGAGGTGATCGTTAAGCTGGGGTCCACTGTATTTAGTTACCACACGAGTTCAGCTTATTATTGATCACGCATTTTGGATAGTAGCTGAAAATTGCTTACCTAATGTAGACAAACTTAATTTCAAAATTAAAATTCATCACTGCTTCATTTTTTGAGTTTTGTGGATTTTTATTTATTAACTTGTTTATTTAATTACTATTTTATGGTAATGTATGTACTGTAAATTGTTTCTGCTGAACCACTTTACAAAGCACTTTCTATCAGTTGTACTCCCTAGACAACCAATTTTAGATCTCCCTTCTTCACCAAATTTAACTTCAATAACATAAACATGCAGTGGGATCAAATCATCCATGTCCTAAATGAAACACACTGGAAAGATATCCTAAATGACATGCTGGCCTGGTGTTTTACAACTCGCTTGCTGGAAGTTCAGTCCCCACCCATTCCGTGGTTTGTTGTGAGTCCAGTTCATCATAGAAAAAGCAGGAGAGCTTGAAGAAAAATGAAGGAAGGAAACCAGACTGATCAAAAAAGTGGTAGGGAGGTCCCAAACTGGTAATTTAGGGGTAAATCTGATAAATATTGATTACTGGAGTGGTTCATCAAACCAAGTACAGGAAAATGCTTTTCATTCTGAAAAAATAGTATTGATGCTTTATTTGGTTTATTTACAACAGGAAGGCTTATGACTTTATTTGCCATTATTCCATTTTTTCAGCAAGCAGAACGGGATATTATAACATGGTTGTCTTTACGTATGTTTATTTGGTTGTTTCAGTGCATTTTAATAATGATTGTGTTCCCCATGCAAAGAGGATGCTTGGGATTGCTTTGGAGGTCAGTGGGTCTCTGGCCAAGATCATTGGTACTTTTATTTTTTTATTTAATCTTAGGGCATTTATAATATGAACTTTAGATAGATTTTCATTCAGATTTATTGTCTTGTATCCAAAGGATAGAATTCAGATGAATTGTTTGTTATTGTTTTTACTACATCATGGAACTTGATCTTAACCATTAAATTGTTTCATCTTGATGATCTACCTAGTGGGCAACCAGCAGAACATGAAGCAACAATTTTATTAACCCTTTGACTGTCGCGCCCGTATATATACGTCTTACGAGGTGCCGTGTTTGACGTGTATATACTCATAAATTCTAGCGGCTTCAAATCAAGCAGGAGAAAGCTGGTAGGCCCACATGTGAGAGAATGGGTCTGTGTGGTCAGTGTGCACCATATAAAAAAAATCCTGGAGCACGCAGTGCATAATGAGAAAAAAAAAAACTCCGACCATTTTTTTTAATTAAAATGCCGACTTTGTGGTCTATTTTCGTATAGTATTTATGGTTGTATTCTCATTTTCTTGGTCTCATTTGATAGAATGGAAAACATATTATAGAAGTAGAGGTGATTTTGATTGATTTTACTATAAAAAGAACCTGGAAATGGAGCTCAAAGTAGGGGAAATGTTTGATTTTTGCCAATGTTCAAAAGTAAACAAATGATGTCATTGTCCAATAAATGTCCAACTAGCCATTATAATATGCAGTCATGAATGGGCTGATGTTATTTATACAATTATTACAGTATTGCAGTAGTCTGCATAATAGTAAGTCTTCTATTTTTTGTTTGAATAAAAATTCAAAATAGAAAGCAAGAGTAATGTCAGAGGGGCCTGGAGACATGACTGATGAACAAAGAAAATGTTATTTTAGAGCCAGGAATGTCTGCATTGTTCATTCTGAACCTTATTTTGAAATTGTCATATTTTTTAATTTTCGTGAAATTGGCCAAATTGCAAATTTCTGACAACATTATTGGGTAGTTGTAATTGGTAAATGGGCAGTTTCTTGTACTCAATCGATAGAAAAAATGGAGTTCTAAAGAAATAGCTATGAGTTTGGTCGACTGGAACAATGGAATTAGCCGAAAATAGGGCTCAAAATGGGCGAAATCGCCGATTTGTAAATATCGCCGAGGTCGCTAACTTCGCGAGAGCATAATTCCATCAGTTTTCCATCAAATTTCGTTTTTTTGGTGTCATTTCAATTGGGAAAAGATTCTCTATCATTTCATAAGAAAAAATAATTTTTTTTTTTTTAAATTTTGCGACACCAGGAGACACCTCAGGATTGGGGGTTGTGACAGTCAAAGGGTTAAAGTAAGAAGTACATAATTTATATCTAGCAAATATTTTAGGTCTTATGCTGAATATTTATATCAAATAAAAAATGTTCATCACCCACCAAGGAGGTTGTTTAGTAATAAAATGGGTGTCACAATAAAGAGGACAATACATTCTGGGAAGAAAACATTAGTATTATTGTACAGCAGGATTTTGGATAACAGTGACACAGATATCAGCCGTGATAAAAATATATTGTAATATAGTTTGTAAAGATAGTAAGTAAAATGAGCATAAGCTTGGCTTGGACCCTCCCAGGAGGTGTAATAAAATGTATGTTATGGTAAGAACAATGTTTTTTGATCATACAACATTGTTGTTTTTAACAGTGAAAAACAGAGCTAACATTTTTCATTTTAGAATTTATATTATAATGGAACGAATGGATTTGTCAGTTAAAAACAGAGTAGGGGAGTTAGTAGATGGGGAGATGGAGGTATTGGGTACATGGCAAGAGTATTTTGAGGAACTTTTAAATGTTGACGAAGAAAGGGAGGCGGTAATTTCATGCACTGGCCAGGGAGGTAGACCATCTTTTAGGAGTGAAGAAGAGCAGGATGTGAGTGTGAGGGAGGTGCATGAGGCATTACGTAGAATGAAAGCGGGTAAAGCAGCTGGAACTGACGGGACCATGACAGAAATGTTAAAAGCAGGGGAGGATATAGTGTTGGAGTGGCTGGTATTTTTGTTTAATGTATGAAAGAGGGGAAGATACCTAGGGATTGACGGAGAGCATGTATAGTCCCTTTATATAAAGGGAAGGGGGACAAAAGATATTGTAAAAATTATAGAGGAATAAGTTTACTGAGTATACCAGGAGAAGTGTACGGTAGGGTTATTATTGAAAGAATTAGAGGTAAGACAGAATGTAGGATTGCGGATGAGCAAGGAGGTTTTAGAGTGGGTAGGGGATGTGTAGGTCAAGTGTTTACATTGAAGCATATATGTGAACAGTATTTAGATAAAGGTAGGGAAGTTTTTATTGCATTTATGGATTTAGAGAAGGCATATGATTGAGTGGAGAGGGGAGCAATGTGGCAGATGTTGCAAGTTCGTATATGGAATAGGTGGTAAGTTACTAAATGCTGTAAAGAGTTTTTATGAGGATAGTGAGGCTTAGGTTAGGGTGTGTAGACGAGAGGGAGACTACTTCCCGGTAAAAGTAGGTCTTAGACAGGGATGTATAATGTCACCATGGTTGTTTAATATATATTTATAGATGGGGTTGTAAAAGTAGTAAATGCTAGGTTGTTCAGGAGAGGGGTGGAATTAAATTATGGGGAATCAAATACAAAATGGGAATTGACAGTAATTTTTTTGCTGATGATACTGTGCTTATGGGAGATTCTAAAGAAAAATTGCAAAGGTTAGTGGACGAGTTTGGGAGTACATATGTGTAAAGTTAGAAACTTGAAAGTGAACATAGAAAAGAGTAAGGTGATGAGGGTATCAAATGATTTAGATAAAAATTGGATATCAATTGGTGAGGAGGAGTATGGAAGAAGTGAATGTTTTCGGATATTTGGGAGTTGACGTCTCGGTGGATGGATTTATGAAGGATGAGGTTAATCATAGAATTGATGAAGGAAAAAAGGCGAGTGGTGCATTGAGGTATATGTGGAGACAAAAAATGTTATCTGTGGAGGCAAAAAAGGGAATGTATGAAAGTTTAGTAGTACCAACACTCTTATATGGGTGTGAAGCTTGGGTGGTAAATGCAGCAGCGAGGAGACGGTTGGAGGCAGTGGAGATGTCCTGTCTAAAGGCAGTGTGTGGTGTAAATATTATGCAGAAAATTCAGTGTGGAAATTAGGAGAAGGTGTGGAGTTAATAAAAGTATTAGTCAGAGGGCTGAAGAAGGGTTGTTGAGGTGGTTTGGTCATTTAGAGAGAATGGATCAAAGTAGAATGACATGGAAAGCGTATAAATCTGTAGGGTAAGGAATGCGGGGTAGGGGTCGTCTTCGAAAAGGTTGGAGGGAGGGGGTAAAGGAGGTTTCGTGGGCGAGGGGCTTGGACTTCCAGCAAGCATGTGTGAGTGTGTTAGATAGGAGTGAATGGAGATGAATGGTATTTGGGACCTGACAAACTGTTGGAGTGTGAGCAGGGTAATATTTAGTGAAGGGATTCAGGGAAACCGGTTATTTTTATATAACCGGACTTGAGTCCTGGAAATGGGAAGTACAATACCTACACTTTAAAGGAGGGGTTTGGGATATTGGCAGTTTGGAGGGATATGCTGTGTTTCTTTATATGTATATGCTTCTAAACTGTTGTATTCTGAGCACCTCTGCAAAAACAGTGATTATGTTTGAGTGAAGTGAAAGTGTTGAATGATGATGAAAGTATTTTTTGGGAGGGGGATTTTCTTTCTTTTTGGGTCACTCTGCTTTGGTGGGAGACGGCCAACTTATTAAAAAAAAAAATTCTGTCACAAGGAAAAATAAGATTTAGAAAATGCCACAGGCTAGTTGGTTGCCTTGATTGCAAGGATTACCTGGGAAGAGGGATGTGGTAAAGATTCCTATGTGCCACAATTTAAAAAGTTACTAAATTTATTTACAAGTCTGCTCTTTCATTTTATAAAATATTAAAACTACAGTATATATTTTGCTAAGTCTGTTGTAGTAAGATTTTCTCTGTATTCATTTTAGCTAAGAAATTTTGTAGTTGCTTATTTTCAACCTTTGACAATGCAATTAGCTGCCATTTCCTAAAAACATTTTTTTTTTTCCCAAAGCATACAACTGGACCACAGGGATCTTGCTTGTTATCTCATTATTTACATACATTGCTCTTCATTGTGTGAGTGAGGTGAAAGTGTTGAATGATGATGAAAGTATTTTCTTTTTGGGGATTTTCTTTCTCTTTGGGTCACCCTGCCTTGGTGGGAGACGGCCGACTTGTTGAAAAAAAAAATTGCTCTTCATAGTATATTAAAGTACTTATGTCATATTTAGGTATTAATAGGCTGCTGTAAGTAAATAAAATAAGAATACACTATACAGTATTTCAATTCTGGACTAATCAGAATGTTATCTTATAAATAAATTAATTGCAGGGACAAATCCATTCCATCGTTGGAGAGTGTGATCATGAATGATGAAAGATCTGCACTGGAACACGATAAGCTTCTTCAAATATTGGATCACCAGGTAAAATTACATTGAATTTCACTGTCAGTATTAAAAATCAGTTTGCCAGGAAATGCATTAATAATAAAATAAGACTAAAAAAGAAGTTTCATATTTCCTACTAGCCTTGTTACTAGAGTGGATCCAGTTGAGTAAACACTAGTATAAGAGAATGGAATCATTTGAAAGATTAGGTAGTCAATGCTACAATCATTGGAAATATAAAATAAAATATGAACTTATTAATGAAGAGAGGATACTATGAGCATAGCTTAGTTCCTGTAGCTACAGTTAGATGATTCCCACTTATACTTGATCATCTTAATGCACTTATGGGGTTTGGCAAGTTTGTCTAGGGACAGTTTCTCTTCTCTTGGAGGAGTGCCACTCTTCCCACAGGTTGCACACATGGTTAAGAACCCAGTGTCTTGGCAAAAATGGTGTTCATATTTATATCCCTTTGTCTGAATTTGCTAATGGTGCAGAATGAATTATGGATGTGGATCATGAAATGTGAAAAATAATTTGAACAGTTTTATTTGCTTTGTGATCATGATTTATGTACTAGGAGAATGAATTAGTCATACCATTAGGGAGTTATTAATGATAGTATTACTTTGGTACTGTTAGAAATTGAAAATGTTTAAAGCACTGAATAACCAAATGGTTCTTGTAATTTGTAAATAAATATACAGGAGGCCCTCCACATTTGCGAGGGTTAGGGAATCAAGAACCTCGCGAACCTTGAAAATTCACAAATGTTTGGTGCACAAACATGATGTAGGGAAATATAATAATACTGTACTGTAGCATTCACGGATGTTTTGATGTGTAAATATATTGTAGGGAAATATAATAATAGCATTTACTTAGCCTAACAATACTGCTTCCTTAACCTGTTGAACCACGAACAATCGTAAAACACATGAAAACATTGTAAAGTATTGTATACGCATGTTATGGTTTAATAACGAATAATGAGCAAACAAAACTCGCCACTCATAAGGTTAGGCAGACGAACTCTGATGACTTGTGATGATGACAATGACAATGATGGTGATGCTAGCCATGCAGTTACCGATGACATTTGAATGGAGGTGATTATATGGAGTGTAACTGCATGGTATGATGAGTCTAGCATGTGAATTCTTACTCTTCACTGCCAGTGTCACTGCTGATATTGCTAGAGTCAGAGTTAGCAACAGTCGGATTCTACCACGGGTTCAGGTGAGGCGGTAGGGGTAGCAGGAAGGGTAGTGGCAGGCTTCCTTGTGAAGAACATTGTGATGGGCAACTGAGACCATTTCCTCTTCATAGCTACAAACAGTTTTTTGTAGGGAATTATGCTCCTATCAATGTCGCTCGTTACCTTCGAAGCCCTCAACATCAATGGGTCTGTCATCCTCATCACTTGCCCTAGTTTTTCAAGGGTGAGGGCTTGAGGTTGATTTGCCTCAGCAACACACTCCTCTTCTTCATCCTCACTCTCTGCCTGCACAGTTTCCAACAATTCTTCATCATTTAGGCCCAGTGCATGTTCTTCGACCAGTTCTCTTGCATGTCGTCGAACCCTTCACCACCCACTAGCCTTGCTAACTCCAGTCTTCCTAACTCCACAGTCTTCCTCACAACTTTGTTAACCTCGGCGAGAAGCGTTTTCCTGTACTTTTTTCCCACATTTGTTTGGTAAATATGATTGGGCAGCGAATGTTTGAAGCTCGCGAGAGTGGAACTCGCGAAAGTGGAGGGCTAGCTGTAGTACAGTAAAATAAACAAATTCTCCATGGGGAAGTGGAACAGAATTCTCCCTCTGTAAGTTATGAGTGTCAAAAGAAGGGACTAAAATGCCGGGAACAAGGGGCTAGTAACCCCTTCTCCTGTATACATTACTAAATTTAAAAAGAGAAACTTTCGTTTTTTTTAGGTCACCTGCTTCGGTGAGATATGGCCGGTTTGATGAAAAAAAAAAAATAGGTAATTACTATTTAAGATTCTTAAGATGTAAATTGATTGAGGTGAAGGACTCGAGGGTAACACCATGGTCAGGTACGAAGGTGGAAGGAGCAGAGCCAAAACTTTTGAGGTGCTTGAACAATGAATGCATCGGGAGTTATATGTAGATTATGTGTCAAGATTGTCATAGAAAAAATTAAAGATTATTTAAAAAATTAAAAGAAAATTCAGGTGATGATATGGGACAGTTTGATTAAAATAATTCTTTTTGGGGAATGAAAAAGGAGTGAAGATTCGGTCAGAAAATAATACAGTGGACCCCTGGTTTACGATATTTTTTCATTCCAGAAGTATGTTCAGGTGCCAGTACTGACCGAATTTGTTCCCATAAGAAATATTGTGAAGTAGATTAGTCCTTTTTCAGACCCCAAACTCACTGAAAAACACACTTACATAAATACATTTACAATTGGCCGCATTGGGAGGTGATCGTTAAGCGGGGGTCCACTGTATAGTAGAGACCCCCTGTATCAGTGGATTCAGTTTCCGTTGTTTCAGTTATGTACAGTTTACAGTGGCCTGAAAATAATAAATGGAAAATTCCCCAGAAATAAACAATCATAATTTCAAACGCGTGCCATTCTGAAAACCAGTAAAACCCTTTCCGACCTGTCAGTCGTACACGTTTTTCTCTCTTTGTCCTCGTACCCCACACGGGCCTGTTTACAACCTCTCCACAAAATTTTAAAATGAGTGAAAAGAAAAAAAACGTCTTCCTATCATGATTTTTTTCCCAAAGGGTTGAAAAAAAAACCATTCCACTATCTACGACCCCCAAACCATCAAATCACCTGTCTTAGTGCATAATTTATCAATTAATTTTATTATGGGTATGTTGTAAACGAAAAACAAATTTAGGGTTTGCTTTATCTGCATTTTTTGGGATCCCGGTAGGTCTTGGAATGCATCGCCCACAATGTGGGGGGACTACGTATGTGAGAAAGTGGTTACATAAACAAAAATTTGGGAAAAAAATGGGAAACCCCCCAAATTTAGATAAAAACCAACGAAACCTTTAAAACTACTTTAACAATTTAAACTAATGGCCATAAATAAAGTACGGTGATCAATAATTTTTTTTATTATTATTTTATTTATTTTTTTTTTTTTAACACACTGGCCGATTTCCCCCCAAGGCAGGGTGGCCCAAAAAGAAAAAATTTCAAACCCCTCATTCACTCCATCACTTTTTGCCAAAGGGTGCTTTACACTTTTAGTTTTTTTAAAGCAACATTAACCCCCTCTTCAGAGGCAGGCACTGTACTTCCCCCCTAGGGCTCAAGCCCCTGTGGTTTCCCTGAACCCCTTTATAAATGTTACTTTGCCACCTCCAACAGCACGTCAAGTATTAAAAAACCCTTCTCTCCTTCACTCCTATCAAACACCTCACGCATGCCTGCTGGAAGTCCCAACCCCCCGCCACAAAAACCCCCTTTACCCCCTCTCTCCCAACCCTTTTGGGTTTTTTTTTTTTATTTGTTTTTTTTTTAAATTTTTTTCCTTTTTTTTTTTTTTTTTTTTTTTTTTTTTAAAATTTTTTTTTAAACCCGCACCCCCCAACTTCCCCCAAAAAAAATTTCTGCATTAATTCACACCCACAAAAGCCCTCAACATGAAATCCCCACTCCTCCACCCTTCTCTCCCGCAAATTCACACCATGCTTTAAAAAACCCATTAAGGGCTTGGAAAAACTTACCTCAAAAAACCCTTTTTCCCCCTTTGCCTCCCAAAGGACAAAGTTCTTTGTCTCCACAGACTCCTAAGTGCCCCACTTTTTTCCCCTCATCAATTTTTGATTCACCTATTTTCATAGACCCCTCCGCTGACACGTCCACTCCCAAATATCTGAATACATTCACCTCCTCCATACTCTCTCCCTCCAATCTGATATTCAATCTTTCATCACCTAATCTTTTTGTTATCCTCATAACCTTACTCTTTCCTGTATTCACCTTCAATTTTCTTCTTTTGCACACCCTACCAAATTCATCCACCAGCCTCTGCAACTTCTCTTCAGAATCTCCCAAGAGCACAGTGTCATCAGCAAAGAGCAGCTGTGACAACTCCCACTTTGTGTGTGATTCTTTATCTTTTAACTCCACGCCTCTTGCCAAGGCCCTCGCATTTACTTCTCTTACAACCCCATCTATAAATATATTAAACAACCACGGTGACATCACACATCCTTGTCTAAGGCCTACTTTTACTGGGAAATAATTTCCCTCTTTCCTACATACTCTAACTTGAGCCTCACTATCCTTGTAAAAACTCTTCACTGCTTTCAGTAACCTACCTCCTACACCATACACTTGCAACATCTGCCACATTGCCCCCCTATACCACCCTGTCATATGCCTTTTCCAAATCCATAAATGCCACAAAGACCTCTTTAGCCTTATCTAAATACTGTTCACTTATATGTTTCACTGTAAACACCTAGTCCACACACCCCCTACCTTTCCTAAAGCCTCCTTGTTCATCTGCTATCCTATTCTCCGTCTTACTCTTAATTCTTTCAATTATAACTCTACCATACACTTTACCAGGTATACTCAGCAGACTTATCCCCCTATAATTTTTGCACTCTCTTTTATCCCTTTTGCCTTTATACAAAGGAACTATGCATGCTATCTGCCAATCCCTAGGTACCTTACCCTCTTCCATACATTTATTAAATAATTGCACCAACCACTCCAAAACTATATCCCCACCTGCTTTTAACATTTCTATCTTTATCCCATCAATCCGGCTGCCTTACCCCCTTTCATTTTACCTACTGCCTCAAGAACTTCCCCCACACTCACAACTGGCTCTTCCTCACTCCTACAAGATGTTATTCCTCCTTGTCCTATACACGAAATCACAGCTTCCCTATCTTCATCAACATTTAACAATTCCTCAAAATATTCCCTCCATCTTCCCAATACCTCTAACTCTCCATTTAATAACTCTCCTCTCCTATTTTTAACTGACAAATCCATTTGTTCTCTAGGCTTTCTTAACTTGTTAATCTCACTCCAAAACTTTTTCTTATTTTCAACAAAATTTGTTGATAACATCTCACCCACTCAATCATTGCTCTCTTTTTACATTGCTTCACCACTCTCTTAACCTCTCTCTTTTTCTCCATATACTCTTCCCTCCTTGCATCACTTCTACTTGTAAAAACTCTCATATGCTAACTTTTTCTCCCTTACTACTCTCTTTACATCATCATTCCACTAATCGCTCCTCTTCCCCTCCCGCACCCACTTTCCTGTAACCACAAACTTCTGCTGAACACTCTAACACTACATTTTTAAACCTACCCCATACCTCTTCGACCCCATTGCCTATGCTCTCATTAGCCCATCTATCCTCCAATAGCTGTTTATATCTTACCCTAACTGCCTCCTCTTTTAGTTTATAAACCTTCACCTCTCTCTTCCCTGATGCTTCTATTCTCCTTGTATCCCATCTACCTTTTACTCTCAGTGTAGCTACAACTAGAAAGTGATCTGATATATCTGTGGCCCCTCTATAAACATGTACATCCTGAAGTCTACTCAACAGTCTTTTATCTACCAATACATAATCCAACAAACTACTGTCATTTCGCCCTACATCATATCTTGTATACTTATTTATCCTCTTTTCTTAAAATATGTATTACCTATAACTAAACCCCTTTCTATACAAAGTCCAATCAAAGGGCTCCCATTATCATTTACACCTGGCACCCCAAACTTACCTACCACACCCTCTCTAAAAGTTTCTCCTACTTTAGCATTTAGGTCCCCTACCACAATTACTCTCTCACTTGGTTCAAAGGCTCCTATACATTCACTTAACATCTCCCAAAATCTCTCTCTTTCCTCTGCATTCCTCTCTTCTCCAGGTGCATACACGCTTATTATGACCCACTTCTCGCATCCAACCTTTACTTTAATCCACATAATTCTTGAATTTACACATTCATATTCTCTTTTCTCCTTCCATAACTGATCATTCAACATTACTGCTACCCCTTCCTTTGCTCTAACTCTCTCAGATACTCCAGATTTAATCCCATTTATTTCCCCCCACTGAAACTCTCCTACCCCCTTCAGCTTTGTTTCGCTTAGGGCCAGGACATCCAACTTCTTTTCATTCATAACATCAGCAATCATCTGTTTCTTGTCATCCGCACTACATCCACGCACATTTAAGCATCCCAGTTTTATAAAGTTTTTCTTCTCTTTTTTAGTAAATGTCTACAGGAGAAGGGGTTACTAGCCCATTGCTCCCGGCATTTTAGTTGCCTCATACGACACGCATGGCTTACGGAGGAAAGATTCTTTTCCACTTCCCCATGGACAAAAGAAGAAATAAAGAAGAACAAGAGTTATTTAGAAAAAGGAGAAAAAACCTAGATGTATGTATATATATATGCATGTGCGTGTCTGTGAAGTGTGACCGAAGTGTAAGTAGGAGTAGCAAGATATCCCTGTTATCTAGCGTGTTTATGAGACAGAAAAAGAAACCAGCAATCCTACCATCATGCAAAACAGTTACAGGTTTCTGTTTCACAGTCATCTGGCAGGACGGTAGTACTTCCCTGGGTGGTTGCTGTCTACCAACCTACTACCCCAATACATGTTGCATAAAAAATAACTTTAACAGAAATTAATATTTAAAGCAAATGAATAAGCAATAAATAAAGAATATTTGATGTTTTATGTAAAATGAGCAAATAAACAATAGGCCACCTGAGCTGTGTTGTCAGCATGTCTCTGTCAAGACAGTGATTGAATGAATGATGAAAGTGTTTTTTTTTTTCTCTCATTTATGGGTCACCCTTTGGTGGGAGACAGCCAATGAGTTAAAAAAAAAAATTGATCATATATTTTGTACAAAATATTTACTCTGACTTTTGATCTAGAATAGAATATTAAATTGAGATATGAAAATACTGGATTATAAAAAGATTCTCTTAAAAACTGAATGATTACTTATAAGAGATCGTGGGGATGAATACGAACACAGACACATTTTACTGAGGATGACATGTAAATAAAAAATTAAAACAGCTGTTAGTTTTTCATAATATGACCTGTATTCCAAACAGTCATTGTATTCCTTTCATCAGATTGCATTTGAAGAAAACACAAGGCGACAGGTTGAGAGAGAGACCTCTGAGTACCCAGATGTTGAAACAGAATGTGTTGCTCCTCCACTATGCCTAGAATTCCAGACAGCTCGTCTTTTGCTGTCTCACTTTGGATTTTTATCTATTGATGCACTGCAGGTAAAAGTACTTGTGACCTCATTATATGAAATAGGACTTTGTTGTATCATTGTCATTGTTTGAAGAGTATAATTATTTTGAAAACTGATTTACATAAAATTATTGGGTATTTAATTGTATAAGGAATTTTTAAAATTAGTATTTGATATATAAAAAAAGGTCAGAGTAGTGCCAACACTTATGTATGGGTGTCTGAATGATCTTTATAGAAACTCCATAGAAATAAAGGAATTTACAGTATTGGCCATCCTATCAGGAGAAACTGTAAATTTGTAAAATTTCATCGTTTAAAAGAAATGTCATAGTGCATTTCCTGAACTCCATGCAAATACTACCCTGTCTGTACCTGTATTTTTTGTAAACCTTTGAAATATAAAGCATTCATATGTATATTCTGTATTTGTCTTTCCAGAAGTACATGAACATCACTATTTTTTATGCTATTTGAACCTCTACCATTTTGCTACTTGTATCCATGTTTTAAATAATTATTTTGTTTGCAGGAATCAGTTGAGTCTGCAGTACCATCTTTGGTTGCTTTGGACTCGAGTATAGCTGGATTTGCTCGAGATATTGATATTCTTGATACTACCAACAATAGAACTGTGGATACAGCACATGTTTTTTATGTCCAAGCTGGTCAAAGTGCACCACAAGATATTCTCTCAAATGTGGTAAGTTAGCATCATATTGTCTTTAGGGGTTTAAACCACAAAACAATAAATCTCTTGAGATATGTCTAAATATGGAGCACTCAAGAGTGTGCAAAATAAGGATTTAATGATAATACTGTAATACGTTGTAGGTAGTCTGTTGGTAAACAGCAACTGCCCAGGGAGGCACTACTGCCCTGCCAAGTGAGTGTAAAATGGAAACCTGTAATTGTTTTACATGATGGTAGGATTGCTGGTGTCTTTTTTTCTGTCTCATGAACATGCAAGATTTCAGGGGTGTCTTTCTACTTCTACTTAGGTTACACTACACATACATGAACAATCATATATATACACACCCCTCTGGGTTTTCTGCTATTTTCTTTCTGATTCGTGTTCTTGTTTATTTCCTCTTATCTCCATGGGGAAGTGGAACAGAATTCTTCCTCCGTAAGCCATGCATGTTGTAAGAGGCAACTAAAATGCCTGGGAACAAGGGGCTACTAACCCCTTCTGTATAGATTACTAAATTTAAAAAGAGAAAGTTTTGTTTTTCTTTTTGGGCCACCCTGCCTTGGTGGAATACGGCCAGTTTGTTGGAAAAAAAAAAAAAAACTAATGCGTGGCTTATTAGTAAGGATGAGCCAGTTAATTTTTCTCTCTATTTCGGTTGTATTCCTCTTATGCCATCATGTGACCTATCCCATATACTATTCTCTTATCAAGGATAGGGCACTTACAGCCTTTGAAGCATGCACCAGTTCTGTATGAGTTTTTCAGGTATCTTTTAAATATGAATAGTGTTCTTGTTTTGACACCTTCAGTAGGTAGCCTTATCTCGTAGGCTTACTTTCTATATCTTGACAATTATTAAAACAAAATTTCACTGTGGCAGTCTATTTCAACAAGTTTAAGGAAGCTATGTAATAGGGAATACATGGTTTATTTATAAGCAGCTGATGTATGTATTATCCAGTGTGCTTATTCTGCTAAAAAACATTTTTTTAAGTTAATTATCAATTTATTTTCAGGTGACTTCCAGTTCTGTACATCCTCATTTCTTGGAATTGTTAAATGGTCTGGGATGGACTGTGTGTGTTCACCAGCACCCAGGCTGGACTGGTCACACATCTACTGCTTTCACAGTTACTTCACCACCAACTGATGGTACATTGTTTGCTAGTCTCTAACATGTACTATATTATAATTATCTTTTAAGTCATACATGTTTTGAATGACATGCAATATTAAGTGTGAATGAAATAGGTGTTTCAAAATATAGATAGAGAATATATCCTGGTTATTTTAAGCAAATTTGATATATTTAGAGCATTGCAAGTCAAAATACTGTAAATGGCTTTGCAAATAATGGGAAGAAGGCAAAGTATGTGAGACATACATTTAAGATCTATGGTAAAAAAGTTGATTGAATATAAATGAGGGTCATTTCATTCAGTTTTATTGTCTTGAAACTTGTGGATGGGGTGAGACTTAATGCAGAGGATATTTCATGTGATCAGCTTTAATAAATTGTCATTATAGATAGTTTGTTTAGTTGATGTACTGTATTTTCTATATGTGTATTACTCTGCATTGATTTTCTTGCTTTTCCCCATTGTGTTTTCACTTAGCATATTTACCCTTTTGTATGCAGCCTGGTACTATATTTGCAAGGGAATCAAGCATGTCTACCACATGATTCCTGACAATTCAGACATTAGGTTATTAAAAAATCAGTTTGTTTCTTAATTTTGTAATTGATTTAATATAATGTAGTCATATGAATTGTAGTCATTTTTTTTATCTTAATAAGGTGTTAACTTACTTCCTCCCTTGCTCTTTCCTTTTCTTATGCATTTTCCAATTCTGTACCTTTGATATACCTTTACCAGCACAGCACTGTATTTGTGAGGAAGCACTTCTCAGTATCTTTTATGTATTTAATTTTTTTTTGTAATTTTAAATTGTAGCCTCTTGTTCTGTTACTGATTCTCCCTTGACCCCTGCCCCCCAAAATTCTTATTTCTGATAGTCTTTTATACACTTTAATGTGTTATTTGGCACAGTACTAGTGCCAGTGTAATAATGGGTTTCTTGTTTTTACCTTAAAAAGAACTACTTTTGAATACTGTATAGTCAGCTTCTATTTTGCTTCAAATACCTTTTGTCTTTCCTTCTCTAGGAGCAGTTGATGGAAACCATGGCGGCAGTGGCTTCAGTGGACGCTCCCATGTATTATACTGGTCTGATGCCCTCAGTGAGATAGCCTTTGTTGTGCCTGCACCAACACTTGGTAATCAATCCTCTGGCACCCAACCACCAAGCACAAGTAATGTTAATATGGGTAAGTTCACAGGATTTGCCTATTTTGCTTTCAGTTTAAGATCAATCTCTCATTTGCTCATATGATGATTGAATTATTTTATACTACTGCACCATCCAACTGCATATGATGATTGAATTATTTTATACTACTGCACCATCCTACTGCACCATCCAACCGTCCTGCCAGATGACTGTGAAACAAAAACCTGTAACTGTTTTGCATGATGGTAGGATTGCTGGTTTCTTTTTCTGTCTCATAAACACGCTAAGATAACAGGGATATCTTGCTACTCCTACTTACACTTTGGTCACACTTCACAGACACGCACATGCATATATATATATACATACATCTAGGTTTTTCTCCTTTTTCTAAATAGCTCTTGTTCTTTTTTATTTCTTCTATTGTCCATGGGGAAGTGGAAAAGAATCTTTCCTCCGTAAGCCATGCGGTCGTATGAGGCGGGCTAAAATGCCGGGAGCAATGGGCTAGTACCCCTTCTCCTGTATACAATTTTCTAAAAAGAGAAGAAGAAAAAATTTATAAAACTGGGTTGCTTAAATGTGCGTGGATGTAGTGCGGATGACAAGAAACAGATGATTGCTGATGTTATGAATGAAAAGAAGTTGGATGTCCTGGCCCTAAGCGAAACAAAAACTGAAGGGGGTAGGAGATTTCAGTGGGGGGGAAATAAATGGGGTTAAATCTGGAGTATCTGAGAGAGTTAGAGCAAAGGAAGGGGTAGCAGTAATGTTTAAAAAAATCAGTTATGGAAGGGGAAAAGAGAATATGAATGTGTAAAATTTAAGAATTATGTGGATTAAGTAAAGGTTGGATTTCGAGAAGTGGGTCATAATAAGTGTGTATGCACCTGGAAAGAGAGGAATGCAGAGGAGAGAGGAGATTTTGGGAGATGTTAAGTGAATGTATTGGAGCCTTTGAACCAAGTGAGAGAGTAATTGTGGTAGGGACTTGAATGCAAAGTAGGAGAAACTTTTAGAGAGGGTGTGGTAGGTAAGTTTGGGGTGCAGGTGTAAATGATAATGGGAGCCCTTTGATTGAACTTTGTAAAAGAAAGGGGTTTAGTTATTTGGTAATACATATTTTAAGAAAAAGAGGATAAATAAGTATACACGATGATGTAGGGCGAAATGACAGTAGTTTGTTGGATTATGTATTGGTAGATAAAAGACTGTTGAGTAGACTTCAGGATGTACATGTTTATAGAGGGGCCACCAGAAAATATCAGATCACTTTCTGTTGTAGCTACAACTGGAGTAAAAGGTAGATGGATACAAGGAGAATAGAAGCATCAGGGAAGAGAGAGGTGAAGGTTTATAAAAAAAGAGGAGGCAAATTAGGGGAAGATATAAACAGCTATTGGAGGATAGATGGGCTAATGAGAGCATAGGCAATGGGGTCGAAGAGGTATGGGGTAGGTTTTAAAAATGTAGTGTTAGAGTGTTCAGCAAAGTTTGTGGTTACAGGAAAGTGGGTGCAGGAGGGAAGAGGAGCGATTGGTGGAATGATGATGTAAAGAGAGTAGTAAGGGAGAAAAATTTAGCATATGAGAAGTTTTTACAAAGTAGAAGTGATGCAAGGAGGAAGAGTATATGGAGAAAAAGAGAGAAGTTAAGAGAGTGGTGAAGCAATGAAAAAAAGAGAGCAAATGAGAGAGGGGTGAGATGTTATCAACAAATTTTGTTGAAAATAAAAAAAATTTTTTGGAGTGAGATTAACAAGTTAAGAAAGCCTAGAGAACAAATGGATTTGTCAGTTAAAAAATAGGAGAGGAGAGTTATTAAATGGAGAGTTAGAGGTATTGGGAAAAAGGAAGGAATTTTTTGGGAGGAATTGTTAAATGTTGAAAAGATAGGGAAGCTGTGATTTCGTGTATGGGCAAGGAGGAATAACATCTTGTAGGAGTGAGGAAGAGCCAGTTGTGAGTGTGGGGAAGTTCGTGAGGCAGTAGGTAAAATGAAAGGGGGTAAGGCAGCCGGGATTGATGGGATAAAGATAGAAATGTTAAAAGCAGGTGGGGATATAGTTTTGGAGTGGTTGGTGCAATTTTTTAATAAATGTTATGGAAGAGGGTAAGGTACCTAGGGATTGGCAGAGAGCATGCATAGTTCCTTTGAAATAAAGGCAAAGGGGATAAAAGAGAGTGCAAAATTATAGGGGATAAGTCTGTTGAGTTACCTGGTAAAAGGGATGGTAGAGTTATAATTGAAAGAATTAAGAGTAAGACGGAGAAATAGGATAGCAGATGACAAGGAGGCTTTAGGAAAGGGTAGGGGGTGTGTGGACCAGGTGTTTACAGTGAAACATATAAGTGAACAGTAATTTAGATAAGGCTAAAGAGGGCTTTTTTGGCATTTATGGATTTGGAAAAAGGGGTATGACAGGGTGGATAGGGGGCAATGTGGCAGATGTTGCAAGTGTATGTGTTAGGGGGTAGGTTACTGAAAGCAGTGAAGAGTTTTTTTACGAGGATAGTGAGGCTCAAGTTGAGTATGTAGGAAAGAGGGAAATTTTTTCCCAGTAAAAGTAGGCCTTAGACAAGGATGTGTGATGTCACCGTGGTTGTTTAATATATTTATAGATGGGGTTGTAAGAGAAGTAAATGCAGGGTCTTGGCAAGGGGGCGTGGAGTTTAAAAGATAAAGAATCACAACACAAAGTGGGAGTTGGTCACAGCTGCTCTTTGCTGAGGGACACTGTGCTCTTGGGAGATTCTAAAGAGAAGTTGCAGAGATTGGTGGATTAATTTTGGTAGGGTGTGCAAAAGAAGAAAATTAAGGTGAATACAGGAAAGAGTAAGGTTTTGAGGATAACAAAAAGATTAGGTGATGAAAGATTGAATATCAGATTGGGGGGAGAGAGTATGGAGGAGGTGAACGTATTCAGATATTTGGGAGTGGACGTGTCAGCGGAGGGGTCTTGAAAGATGAGGTGAATCATAGAATTGATGAGGAAAAAGAGTTAGTGGTGCACTTAGGAGTCTGTGGAGACAAAGAACTTTGTCCTTGGAGGCAAAGAGGGGAATGTATGAGAGTATATTTTTTACCAACGCTCTTATATGGGTGGTTGAAGCGGGGGTGATAAATGTTTTGCAGCGAGGAGAAGGCTGGAGGCAGTGGGGATGTCATGTCTGAGGGCAATGTGTGGGGTAATATAATGCAGAGAATTCGTAGTTGGAAGTTAGGAGGGGGTGCGGGGATTACCAAAAACTGTTGCCAGAGGGCTGAGGAAGGGTTGTTGAGGTGGTTCGGACATGTAGAGAGAATGGAGCGAAACAGAATGACTTCAAGAGTGTATCAGTCTGTAGTGGAAGGAAGGCGGGGTAGGGGTGGCCTAGGAAGGGTTGGAGGGAGGGGGTAAAGGAGGTTTTGTGTGCGAGGGGCTTGGACTTCCAGCAGGCATGCTGAGCGTGTTTGATAGGAGTGAATGGAGACAAATGGTTTTTAATACTTGACGTGCTGTTGGAGTGTGAGCAAAGTAACATTTATGAAGGGATTCAGGGAAACCGGCAGGCCGGACTTGAGTCCTGGAGATGGGAAGTACAGTGCCTGCACTCTGAAGGAGGGGTGTTAATGTTGCAGTTTAAAAACTGTAGTGTAAAGCACCCTTCTGGCAAGACAGTGATGGAGTGAATGATGGTGAAAGTTTTTCTTTTTCGGGCCACCCTGCCTTGGTGGGAATCGGCCGGTGTGATAATAAATAAAAACCATCCAACTCACCAAGGAGTGTGTCTGAAAGTTGACAGGATCAACTTAGTGCTTGTTACTTTTCCTTCAGGTGGTGGTTATTCTTTTTGGATAATTATTCTGGTAATGATAATACAGATTCTCAAAATAACCATTACTAAATGCAGCTTTTATAAGGTTAGAAAAAAGTTTTTGTTCCTCTAACAGTCTAACTCATATTTTCATCTTCAGCTTCACACAGATTTGTGATGTTCATGTACAAATTAACATAAATTCATTGGAACTAGCAGTGCATCACAATCCATTTGAATTTTGATGTCTGCACACTTCTGGCAAGAATGAATGGTAATGGTGAATGCTTTTTTTTTGTCACCTGAGGTCCTGTAGGGACCTCAGGAAACTTTCAGGAGATTCTTTTGACAATAATTTAATGTTTTTTTTTTTAAATTGACTGGTTATTATAACTTGGTATGGTAGTATTTATTTGTGTTGAGTGTTTGGTCAAAGTACTCTACTAATGTCACAACTACTACCCTACTTTGGTGGGAGAGATGGCCAGTGTGATAAAAAACATATAAAATTAAAAACTGTGTGTTGTAGAAATGGTTCTGAAAAATCTTATGATGGGGAATTAGAATGCCATATAAAACGATTTTGGAAGTCAGTGCTGTTATTGAGAAGCTGTTAGGTGCGGTAAAGTTGTTCTATGAAAGAAGTAGAAATTTTTTAAAGCAAATAGAAAATTGAGTTGAATTTTTTAGTAGATGTTGGAGTAAGACACTCCTCTCTCATGAGTCCAGTTAACAGGAGTGAATCTTGAATGGGATGGAATCTCATTATTCCTGCTCAAAACACTTGTTTCTCATAATATCATTAATGATTTAAAATGAAAACGAAGCGATAGAAAAAACTGAGTTAACACAATGTGTAATAGCAGATTGCATGCTGTATTAACTTACTATTTTGTATACTTTATTTCTAAGGTAGTTGGAAGGTGATCCCCAAAGTTCATTTACAGTTCTGTAATTGTTATTGCAGTTGGATTTGTTCTTGAGCCATGTGATCGTGTTAGTGGTGGTGGCGGGTCTGGTAGTGAACGCTCAGATTCTCTTCCTCCTTATGATACTGATGTAGATGCTGGATCATCAATTTCCTCACATACTTCCCAGGTGTGTTCTACGCAAATACTCTGTACTATTTGTTAATTATTCTGTTTAGATTATTGTAGGTTATACAGTAAATATTTGTAAAAGTAAATAATCCAGTTTTATAGCTATGGAAATCATGTAACTGATATTAATTTTAAAGTAAGAGATATAGAACTAAAGTGCTCATCTACTAATTGCACTCATTTTTCAGATGTCATATGGTCATGGAAGTGACAACAAACACCGGAAATTTGGTCGGCAAACAAGTGCCATGTCTTGTAGTGACCACAAAGTGTACATAGTGTGGATGGAGAGTTTTGATGATTGTTACACATTCCCAGCAAGTAAGCTTACTTACATGCTTTGTTTACATTTGTGGATGACCAGTGGTGTACCTACATTTTTGGAGCCCTGAAGGTTGGGGGGGGGACCCTTTGCAACCCCTTCAGCTTTAGGGCCCCTAATCCCAGAGGGATTAGGGGCCCAAAAGCTGAAGCTTTATTAGTTTCATATTAGGGAGTAGTAGGTAAATTTGGGGTGCCAGGGGTAAATGTAAATGGGGAGCCTTTAATTGAGCTATGTGTAGAAAGAGATTTGGTAATAAGTAATACATATTTTATGAAAAAGAGGATAAATAAATATACAAGGTATGATGTAGCATGTAATGAAAGTAATTTGTTAGATTATGTATTGGTGGATAAAAGGTTGGTGGGTAGGCTCCAGGATGTACATGTTTATAGAGGGGCAACTGATATATCGGATCATTATTTAGTTGTAGCTACAGTTAGAGTAAGAGGTAGATGGGAAAAGAGGAAGGTGGCAACAACAAGTAAGAGGGAGGTGAAAGTGTATAAACTAAGGAAGGAGGAAGTTCGGGGGAGATATAAGCGACTGTTGGCAGAAAGGTGGGCTAGTGCAAAGATGAGTAGTGGGGGGGTTGAAGAGGGTTGGAATAGTTTTAAAAATGCAGTATTAGAATGTGGGGGCAGAAGTTTGTGGTTATAGGAGGGTGGGGGCAGGTGGAAAGAGGAGTGATTGATGGAATGATGAAGTAAAGGGTGTGATAAAAAGAGAAAAAGTTAGCTTATGAGAGATTTTTACAAAGCAGAAGTGTTATAAGAAGAGCAGAGTATATGGAGAGTAAAAGAAAGGTGAAGAGAGTGGTGAGAGAGTGCAAAAGGAGAGCAGATGATAGAGTGGGAGAGGCACTGTCAAGAAATTTTAATGAAAATAAGAAAAATTTTTGGAGTGAGTTAAACAAGTTAAGAAAGCCTAGGGAAAGTATGGATTTGTCAGTTAAAAACAGAGTAGGGGAGTTAGTAGATGGGGAGAGGGAGGTATTAGGTAGATGGCGAGAATATTTTGAGGAACTTTTAAATGTTGAGGAAGAAAGGGAGACGGTAATTTCATGCACTGGTCAGGGAGGTATACCATCTTTTAGGAGTGAAGAAGAGCAGAATGTAAGTGTGGGGGAGGTACGCGAGGCATTACGTAGAATGAAAGGGGGTAAAGCAGCTGGAACTGATGGGATCATGACAGAAATGTTAAAAGCAGGGAGGATATAGTGTTGGAGTGGTTTTTTTTTTTTTTTTTCTTCAACAAGTTGGCCGTCTCCCACCAAGGCAGGGTGACCCAAAAAAGAAAGAAAATCCCCAAAAAGAAAATGCTTTCATCATCATTCAACACTTTCACCACACTCACACATAATCACTGTTTTTGCAGAGGTGCTCAGAATACAACAGTTTAGAAGCATATACGTGTAAAGATGGTTTAGAAAGACACGTAAGCAAACACTATAACATATTTATTAGAAAACGTTTCGGTCCTGGAACCTTGATCACTTCTAACATACAGAGGTAGAAAGACATTATATATATAGGCGGAGAGTGAGATGTGACGCACGTGACCTGAGGAATGTCATAAGAACATAAGAATGGAGGAACACTGTAGAAGGCCTACTGGCCCATGCGAGGCGAGGGTAGACGATGAAATCACGTGACTCCTGTGTTGTTGGGTTGGTGCTGCTTAAGTATCATGTATGCCAATGTGTCCTCCACAGAGACTCCACGGGGCATTTGATGAACTGGAACGAGGCACAACTCGTTCTCACCGAACCAGACCTCAGACGCCGACGGTGCCTAGAAGCCTCACTAATCACGGTCACCAACACTATAGAACGCAACACTGGAAACTACAAAATTTCAAAAACATTGGCATACATGATACTTAAGCAGCACCAACCCAACAACACAGGAGTCACGTGATTTCATCGTCTACCCTCGCCTCGCATGGGCCAGTAGGCCTTCTACAGTGTTCCTCCATTCTTATGTTCTTATGACATTCCTCAGGTCACGTGCGTCACATCTCACTCTCCGCCTATATATATAATGTCTTTCTACCTCTGTATGTTAGAAGTGATCAAGGTTCCAGGACCGAAACGTTTTCTAATAAATATGTTATAGTGTTTGCTTACGTGTCTTTCTAAACCAACTTGTCGGTATTTATTACCAAGGTTTATACCACGTGTAAAGATACACAACATATCCCTCCAAACTGCCAATATCCCAAACCCCTCCTTTAAAGTGCAGGCATTGTACTTCCCATTTCCAGGACTCAAGTCCGACTATATGAAAATAACCGGTTTCCCTGAATCCCTTCACTAAATATTACCCTGCTCACACTCCAACAGATCGTCAGGTCCCAAGTACCATTCGTCTCCATTCACTCCTATCTAACACGCTCACGCACGCTTGCTGGAAATCCAAGCCCCTTGCCCACAAAACCTCCTTTACCCCCTCTCTCCAACCCTTTCGAGGACGACCCCTACCTCGCCTTCCTTCCCCTATAGATTTATATGCTTTCCATGTCATTCTACTTTGATCCATTCTCTCTAAATGACCAAACCACCTCAACAACCCCTCTTCTGCCCTCTGACTAATACTTTTATTAACTCCACACCTTTTCCTAATTTCCACACTCCGAATTTTCTGCATAATATTTACACCACACATTGCCCTTAGACAGGACATAATAATAATACCTTCCATTCTACACCATCCCTCATTAATAAATAGCTTCAAGAGTGTGGCTTTGTGCGGTGCAATGTAAAGTACAGTGGTACCTCGAGTTACGAACTTAATTCATTCCAGAAGGCTGTTCGAATGCCATTACCAAACGAGTTTGTTCCCATAAGGAATAATGTAAATTAGATTAGTCGGCTTCAGACCCCCAAAAATACATTTAAAAAAACACTTAAAAAAAATACCTTGAACATTGAAATTTTTAAAAAAACCCAACAGGTTTTTGGGGTAAACACATATGCAACAGTTAGGTATTCTTTTTCTTTTTCTGTTTCGACTGAAAAACCTACTGGGGTAGGCGAAAACATTTGAAAAAGAGATACTAACGTTCTGTGTGTCTTACCTAAAAACCTTTTGGATTTTATACCATTTCAATGTTCCACCTGTCAGACAGCAACACAAGGGGTACTTGGTCAGACCTGAAATCAATTTTTGTAAACTTCTACTAGTGAGAATGCTGGATTTGAGAGGAACCTGACCTTCCAACGACAAATTTTTACCTTACTAGTGGCCTACATCTCACCTCCTTGCAGTATATAGGCTCTATCCTGTCACTTCAACTCCATATTGTTTAAGACTATGGAACAATACTCTTCTCCAGACTGAGGGACTGACGACCTCAAAACTTCAAGGGTGATGGACTGATTACATCGTCTTCAAGTATCTTCTGCTTCTATCAACTTTTCTGTACTCGACGAAGAAGCCTACTTTTGTAGGCGAAACGTTTCGAAATAGAGATACCTAACTGTTGCATATGTGTCTTACCTAACAAAAATACACTTACATAATTGTTCGAGTTGGGAGCTGTTCGAAACTCAAAGTACCACTGTACCTGTAAATGTCTTTTCCTAGTGTAAGACAGTGATAATTTATTGTGCAGCAGGACAAAAAGTGTGGATGAATTTTTTTTTTGCTGAAACCAAAACATGATCGACTTTTCCAGAGATGAATAATTTTAAGCTTTATTACAGTATTTAATAGATGTTTGAACTAATTTATGTCTTTTGATAGGTGATATTTTTAATGCAATGACACTTGCTAGACATTTTATACATAATCAAGGATGGGAACCTTTAGGAAGGAATCTTTGAAGGCTCAAGTTTATTGACAAGACAATCACTATAAGCCATAAATATCAAGGTTTTTTAGAGCTATATTTTGTTTGTTAATTTTCTGCAGTTATTGTTTTTAAAACATAAGCCTTGCCTTTCAGATGAACTGCTATGCGAGACTGTAACAGGCTTAGAATCCAGCTCGTGGAAGGACAAAGAAGCTAATGTATATATTATCTTCATACATCCCCTCACTAATGGACTTTTCAGAATAAAACTTCAGGGACAGAATGCAAAGTGGGTATTTATTCTATATGATGGATGATTGAAGGTTATCAGAATTTGTATTTGTCATTACTTTTTAGATATTCCTCTTGTGATCAGTAGCTTGGTATTTTGCAGTTGATTTCATGTTGTCTATCAGGTTTCTCTTAAATGAGAAATTGCAAAATTTTATGCAAGGAAATGAAAGTTGTGTAAGAAGCTTAACACCCTTTGACTGTCGCGGCTGTATATATACGTCTTACGAGGTACAGTGTTTGACGTATATATACTCATAAATTCTAGCGGCTTCAAATCAAGCAGGAGAAAGCTGGTAGGCCCACATGTGAGAGAATGGGTCTGTGTGGTCAGTGTGTACCATATAAAAAAAATCCTGGAGCACGCAGTGCATAATGAGAAAAAAAAAAACTCCGACCGTTTTTTTTTTTAATTAAAATGCCGACTTTGTGGTCTATTTTCGTATAGTATTTATGGTTGTATTCTCATTTTCTTGGGCTCATTTGATAGAATGGAAAACATATTATAGAAGTAGAGGTGATTTGATTGATTTTACTATAAAAAGAACCTGGAAATGGAGCTCAAAGTAGGGAAAAATGTTTGATTTTTGCCAATGTTCAAAAGTAAACAAATGATGTCATTGTCCAATAAAGTCCAACTAGCCATTCTAATATGTAGTCATGAATGGGTTGATGTAATTTATACAATTATTACATATTGCAGTAGTCTGCATAATAGTAAGTCTTCTATTTTTTTTTTTGAATAAAAAATTCAAAATAGAAAGCAAGAGTAATATCAGAGGGGCCTGGAGACATGACGGATGAACAAAGAAAATGTTATTTTAGAGCCAGGAATGTCTGCATTATTCATTCTGGACCTTATTTTGAAATTGTCATATTTTTTAATTTCGTGAAATTGGCCAAATTGCAAATTTCTGACCACATTATTGGGTAGTTGAAATCAGTAAATGGGCAGTTTCTTGTACTCAGTCGATAGAAAAAATGGAGTTCTAAAGAAATAGCATGAGTTTGGTCGACTGGAACAATGGAATTAGCCGAAAATAGGGCTCAAATTGGGCGAAATCGCTGATTTGTAAATATCGCCGAGGTCGCTAACTTCGCGAGAGCATAATTCCGTCAGTTTTCATCAAATTTCGTTTTTTTGGTGTCATTACAATCGGGAAAAGATTCTCTATCATTTCATAAGAAAAAATAATTTTTTTTTTTTTTAAATTTTGCGACACCAGGAGACACCTCAGGATTGGGGGTTGTGACAGTCAAAGGGTTAAGTTATTATTCCTTAAATTCTTATTAAAATGTAATGTTGTAATAAATAGTATTTATTAAATAAACAGCTCTTTCTTCTTTCAACACACTGGCCGTATCCCACCGAGGTGGGGTGGCCCAAAAGGAAAAACGAAAGTTTCTCCTTTTACATTTAGTAATATATACAGGAGAAGGGGTTACTAGCCCCTTGCTCCTGGCATTTCAGTCGCCTCTTCCAACACTCATGGCTTATGGAGGAAGAATTCTGTTCTACTTCCCCATGGAGGTAAGAGGAGATAAACAAGAACAAGAACTAGAAAGAAAATAGAAGAAAACCCAGAGAGGTGTGTATATATATGCTTGTACATGTATGTGTAGTGTGACCTAAGTGTAAGTAGAAGTAGCAAGACGTTCCTGAAAACTTTCATGTGTATGAGACAGAAAAAAAAGACCCATCCAAAATTTTGGAAAACTTTAAGGCTTCCGTTTCCCACCACTTGGCAGGATTGTAGTACCTCCCTGGGCAGTTTCCCACCAAGGCAGGGTGACCCAAAAAGAAAGAAAACTACTTTCATCATCATTCAACACTTTCATCGCCACTCATACATAATCATTGTCTTTACAGAGGTGCTCATATACAACAGTTTAGAAGTCCTTCCAAACTGCCAATATCCCAAACCCCTCCTTTAAAGTGCAGGCATTGTACTTCCCATTTCCAGGACTTGAGTCCGGCTAACCGGTTTCCCTGAATCCCTTCACAAAATATTACCCTGCTCACACTTCAACAGCTTGTCAGGTTCCAAAAACCATTTGTCTCCATTCACTCATATCTAGCACACTCGCACGTTTGCTGGAAGTCCAAGCCCCTCTCCCACAAAACCTCCTTTACCCCCTCCCTCCAACCAGCTCTATATACTGTAATTAATGTCAAACTTGAAGGAGGGGGAAAAAATGTAAGAAAGTAGGTGGAAGAGCACAGTAAATATGTACTGTATTAAGAATTCTTACTTATAGTAAAATGAATATAAGTAAAAATCACCCTGCCTTGGTATGAGATAGCCAGTGTGTTAACAAATAAATAAAAGTAGTGAGAAAATTAATTATTGGAAATAGTATTAAAGTTTTAAAATTATTTAATATGCAATTAATAATTACTTACAGCCAAATTGTGGAGCAATTCTTCATGGTGGAGCATAGCTACTGTGTCCGTTTAGTCAAGTAATAGAAACTGAAAGGGTGGAAATGTTACAGTTGGGAGGGTTATGTGAATTAACAAGAATTCTGACAGGACAGCTATTGAATGAACACTGATGAATGTATTTCCTTCTTTGGGTCACACTACTTTTGCAGGAAATGACCAATATAATTAAAAAAGAAAAAACTGAATGCTATACAATGTGACTTGTGTTTTCAGTTGTAAATATTGAAGTGTTTAGGCAGAGTGAGTTTGTTATACAGTATAAAGGTTTAACAGGATCAGAAAAAAATATTGCCAAAAGCTACTTGTGGAATTTTGCAAAAAAGTGCAGTTTATGAAAAATGTATACTAATAAAATTTCATTTATAAACTTAGTAATTTTAGGAGTCATAAAAGACTTGCTGGTAAGATTTTATTAGCAACTGTTGGATCTAACAGTATTATATGGTACAATATTTTTTACACGGCACCTGCATTATTATTTGAAATTAAAAGTAAATTACATGTATAAATCTGTTGGGTAAGGAAGGCGGGGTAGGGGGGTAAAGGAGGTTTTGTGGGCAAGGGGCTTGGACTTCCAGCAGGTGTAAATGAGCGTGTTAGATAAGAGTGAATGGAGATGAATGGTTTTTGGGACCTGACGAGCTGTAGGAGTGTGAGCAGGGTAATATTTTGTAAAAGGATTCAGGGAAACCAGTTAGCCGGACTGGAGTCCTGAAAATGGGAAGTACAATGCCTGCACTTTAAAGGAGGGGTTTAGGATATTGGCAGTTTGGAGGGATGTCTAAGCTGTCATATCTGGGTGCCTCTACAGAGATGATTATGTATGAGTGATGGTGAAAGTGTTGAATAATGATGAAAGTTTTTTCTTTCTTTTTGGGTCACCCTGCCCCTGTGGGAAACAGCCAATGTTAAAAAAAAAAAAAGTAAATTATGTACAAAATATGATATGTAATGAAATCTGTCTCATTTGCCTAGTTTTAGTTTAACATGTACTGTATCACACAGATTAAACATGGCTGGTCCACTAGTAGATGGTCAAGTGGTTAGCAGACGAGTTCTGGGCACACTCGTTAGACAGACTGCCCTCAATATGTGTAGACGTAGAAGACTAGAGAGCGACAGGTTTGTATGATGTATATGTCTATTGTTTAAAAATTTGCTGTGCTACATATTCCAGATCTTATCCAAAACCACTCCATCTAAATTACACCCATCATCCTCAAATATGCAATACTGCTGTCTGCCTGTACTTGTTAATTAATAGTGATTATTTGAGAATACAGTACCAAGTTTTTCTTTGCCTTTATACCCTAGTGCTCATTCCAACCCATTTTCAGATTTAAAAATATTAAAAAAAATTTCTTCCAACAGTTATCAACCTCCTCATGTTCGGCGCAAGTTACGTATTCAAGAAATGGTGCAGAAATATAGATACGAGATGAATGAGCCAGAGTTCTACACCCACTTATTTACCAGTCCTTTATGTTAATTACAACAATTTTGTTAATAATTTAGAATAGAATTTACAGTCTGAGTAGTTACAGCTTTGCAATTTGAGAAATAGTACTTAATTAAAATGGGTATATGTACTGTGTTAGAAATTTATATACAATACATAAGAACTCGCATTCTGATAAACTTTAACAGCAGTTAGTTTGACAAAAGGAAAAAATGTAAAAATCAAGAATATTTACAAATTGCTGTTAAAGTTGTAATACCAAAGAATACTTGTGATTTTTTTATATAATTAATGTTTGAATTTTAATTATTCTAAACTGTATTTGCCAGGGTTGTGAACATTTAATATAGTTTAATTTTTTCTTTAAAAGTGTGGCTTAATTTGATATTGGAATCTGTAATTAATTTATTTCTAATGGACTTGTGGTATTAATTTTAACCTAAGTTTTTCTAGTGTAATTAACATTGTTTTTCCTTGTTGATATTATTGATTTTTTAAATTAGTGTCTTTGAAACTTATCTGGTAGGATGCATAAGTTTTTATATAAAAATATGTATGATATATAATGTATATGCTACAGTTTAATATTTAGCTATTAAGATTGGATGCACTGTAATATATGTATATATTTTCAACTATTAGGATACAAACTACATGTGTCAGTGGTTCGCTTTTTTTTATATATATCATCTTATATACCTTCAGGATTAATGCTCATGTTTGTTTTATTTTTCTATATTGGTGTGACTTCACAACCTGTCAACTGGAAGAGGAAATAAATAAAAAAATTTTTTTTAATCATCTTTGTGCCCAGATCCTGGACTTATTGTTCTGAGAAAATGGTCTCATTTTGGATGCTTCCCATATATTGTAATTTCAGTACATACCTTTATTATAATCAAAAAGAAGCACTAAGCGCATACCTTTATTATTATAATCAAAAAGAAGCGCTAAGCCACAAGGGCTATACAGCATACAGCTCTCTTCTTCTCAACAAGTCGGCCGTCTCCCACCGAGGCAGGGTGACCCAAAAAAAAAGAAAGAAAATCCCCAAAAAGAAAATACTTTCATCATCATTCAACACTTTCACCACACTCGCACATTATCACTGTTTTTGCAGAGGTGCTCAGAATACAACAGTCTAGAAGCACACACATGTAAAGATACACAACATATCCCTCCAAACTGCCAATATCATACCTTTAAATATTTGGAACCTCTGAACTTTGAACCCTTTAAGACCCTAGTGAGCTTGGCACTTCATTTTGATGATAATAATGAACCCTTTAAGTAGGGTGCCTTGATGCTGGTGAAGGACTCTTGATCAAAAAAATTGCCCTCACCTTGGATCAAGTTTGTTTTCTATACCTTCTGTTCTCTGTTTTATGAAGAAGCTCCAAACCTTTAGAGGTCATAGTGAATGAAGTATGGGAAGCATTCAGGTTCAAGAAATTATTATTATTATTATAATCAAAAAGAAGCGCTAAGCCACAAGGACTATACAGCGTCAGGTTCAAGAAAAAGAAGGTAAAGTCCTATTCCTTGGATTAAGAGCCCCTCACTGTCTTCAAGGCACTTGCCTTGATGTGGTTCTACTCCTCATTGAATGATGACCAGAGATTTATTGTTTTTGCATTGATATATAAAAAAAAAAAATGAAGTTCAGCTTTAGTGTTTTGCTTGTGTGTGTAATATGCTGCTAAGTTTATATTGCCTTTCAACTGATTCACCTTTATGTAGCGAGTGAGATTCCAAGAACTATTGGGGGAGTGTGTCCCATGGACTGAGTCCAGCAAGTTTTAGTTCAAGGGTAATGGTAAAACAATTACAGGTCTCCCTCAACATTTGCGAGGGTTAGGGGATCAAGAGCCTCGCGAATGTTGAAAAATCGCGAAAGTTTGGTGCCCCAATATATTGTAGGGAAATATAATACAATACTGCTTCCTTAACTTGTTGAACCATGAACAATCATAAAATACGTGAAAATGTCGTAAATTGAACTAAATACATACATGTTATGCTTTAATAACATGTATGCTATTAAATACCACTGCCTCCACCACTTCCTCAACCACTGCGAGTCCCTACTACTCTCCCTCCGACCCCCACAACTGGCAGCCAGCCCTCCCACCACTCAGTGTGGTGAGTGTTTTGTTTGTTCATTATTTGCTATTAATCTACAGTATAAATAATGTAAACCCATTCATGACTGCATATTGGAATGGCTATTCGGACAGGTATTGGACGGTGACACCATGTGTTTACTCTTGAACACAGCAAAGAATCAAACATTTCTGCTACTGCTAATAATAACAACAGTAATAATAATAATAATAAATACGATAGAATTGAATTAGGAAATTGTACAAAAATACGAGGGAGTGGTTGACACATTGTCAGTATGGGTTTGTTTATGCTGGAGTGAGCATTAGACTGCTGCCTCAACCGCTGCCTCAACCACTGCCTCAACCGCTGCCTCACCCACTGCCTCAACCGCTGCCTCAACCGCTGCCTCAACCACTCTAGTCGCACTCAGTCTACAAGCACCAAACAATGAATTATTGTGAAACGTCTGGAAGAGCTTGGAGACTAATGCTCACTCCAGCATAAACAAACCCACACTGACAATGTGTCAACCACTCCCTCGTATTTTTGTACAATTTCCTCCTTCAATTCTATCGTATTTATTATTATTATTATTACTATTGTTATTATTAGCAGTAGCAGAAATGTTTGATTCTTTGCTGTGTTCAAGAGTAAACACATAATGTCACCGTCCAATACCTGTCCGAATAGCCATTCCAATATGCAGTCATGAATGGGTTTACATTATTTATACCATAGTTTAATAGCAAATACAGTGGACCCCCGCTTAATGATCACCTCCAAATGCGACCAATTATGTAAGTGTATTTATGTAAGTGCGTTTGTACGTGTATGTTTGGGGGTCTGAAATGGACTAATCTACTTCACAATATTCCTTATGGGAAAAAATTCAGTCAGTACTGGCACCTGAACATACTACTGGAATGAAAAAAGTTCGTTAACCGGGGGTCCACTGTAATGAACAAACAAAACACTCGCTACACTGAGTGGTGGGAGGGCTGGCTGCCAGTTGCGGGGGTCAGAGGGAGGGTAGTAGGGACTCTCAGGTGGCGGGAAACTTAAATATGATTTGGCAGCTGGGAATTTGGCGATTGGGAATTCGCGAATGTGTGAAGCCCGCGAAAGTTGAAAACGCGAATGTTGAGGGAGACCTGTATAATCAAAAAGCGCTAAACCTACTAGGGTCAATGGTAAAACAAATTTTCCATATTATCATAATCAGGCGTTAAACCCACAAGGGTCGTATTATTATAATCAAAAGAAGTGGTAAACCTACAAGGGTCATACATCTGTATTTTCCACAAATAATTATTTCAGTGTTTCTTCTTCAGGCGCTGTGTGGCCTTTGTCGGTTTAGCGCTTTCTTTGATAATAATTTTTCTTCAGGTTTTAGCCTTCAAAGGGGGTTCCTCAATTATTGCACTCATGGAGAGCACTAAATTCATAGCAATCACACAGCACCTGGGGAATGGGAGGCATTCAGATTCTATCCGAGGAAGAGCAGGTCCAGTTTCTTTAGATCAAGAACCCTTCACTGGCTTAATGATGGTAAGGAGCTTTTGATCCAAGGAAATGGACTCATCCTCCTCTTCCTAGGATTAAACCTGAATGTTTCAGATTCTCCAGGATCTACATACCTCAATGGGTTTTAGCACTCCCAATTAAAATAAATTCTTTGGGCTTCAGGAGTGCTGTTTATTACTGTACAGTGGAACCTCGAATATCAAACTGCTCCAACTCAACCAATTATGTAAGTGTATTTTTGTAAGTGCTTTTATAAGTGTATTTTTGAGGATCTGAATTGAACTAATCTAATTTATATTATTCCTGATGGGAATAAATTCGTTCGGTAACGGCACTCGAACTGCCATCTGGAACAAAGTTCGATATTTGAGGTTCCACTGCATTTTGAAATTAATTTCTATATATGACTTAAGTTTCTATGGTGACACAATTAGGCTTATAGATAGTTGGTTACACAATGAATTCAGTCACATAAACATTAAAATGAAATATTCAGTATGTTACAAACACACTGGTTCAAGTGACTGGGTAAAAAGTATTGTGTTGAAGTTACAGTAGTAAAGAATTACAGAAGACAGTCCTTCAAGGGACTTCCTTGCTAAAATGAAGGACTCCAAGTCCATGTAACTGGGAGCTTTTCCTCCTCCCTCTGATAACCCTGGGGAGGGTTAATGCCAAAAAATTGGCATTAACTGTGTCTTCGGATCAAACCTGATTGTCTCCCATTCTCCAGATGCTACATAATGCTTATGGTTTAGCATTTCCTCATGAATGTAACAATAATCCTTCGACTAAACCTGAATATCCCTACCCGTCTTTTTCAGCATACATAGTGCAGCATTTTCCCATTCTAAATCTGTTGCAGCTTATCATAATCCCTTGATGTTGGTAAGGGACTTGAGATCCAAGGAGTCAGACTTGTCTTTTGTATGAAACCTGAATGCTTGCCATTTTCCAGGTGCTACATGATCCCTATATGGGTCTGTTGCCTCCCCAATTAATTTATAAATGCTGTGGTTTATTGCCTGTGACTTGCACTGGACAGGGACAAGTGAATTTTGATTTGCATTACTGTCGATTCTGCCTTTGCTACAACCAATACTGCTAACACCTCTATCAATACTACAGTTACTGCTGATGCTGAAAACACCACTGCCATTGCTACTGTTAGGTGATAGTCATCTTTGATGGTCCGAGTCTTAATGCAGACACTACCTTTGCTTGGCTATACTATATTACTTATGGTTACTCCAAAACACTTCTGGTGCTGCTATGCCTTAATGCCCATAAGGGGCTCTTGATCCAAGGCACTGCACATCATCCCCTTCCTTGGATTGATTCTGACTGCAACCCATTACCCAATATGGTGCAGTATAGCATGTGTTCAGCACTTTTCCATGATAATAATACAGTAAGCTATGTCGAGACATATCACTGTATTCTGGTGAACAAAATTTGTATTGTGGATGAAATATGTAGACATTTCTCAACAATGTGTGATAATGGTCTCTCTAAATTCTTGGCTTTTTGTGTTCTCAAGTATACACCACCATCAGCTGGTGGGGCAAATTGCCAGAAATATTCAGTCAACTGATTTTGTATGCTATGAAATATAATGTTTATGTTGCAGTACAGATAGTCAGGGTGGCCCTGACTGCTTCTTGTATCTCCCTCCTATGATTAATTTTTTCATTTATTTTATTAACACCGGCCATCTCCCACCAGGCAGGGTGGCCCGAAAAAGAAAATCTTTCATCATTCACTCCAATAATAATAATAATAATGTTCTAAGAAATTCACTAGTGCTTGGACACCAAGTGATAAATGCAACAATGAAGAGGAAATACTAAAGTTTATATTCAAGAGTGAATAAGATCAATATTATAAACTCTAGAAAAGAGATTTGCTCTCAACTGAGACTTGAGAGCATGAACAGATTCCTGATTTAACACATTTGCAACCTACTGAACAATCTAGGAAAGAAAAAGCTTTCTGCAAAGGATTTCTCAACAGCATGCTGTATGACCCTGGTGGGTTTAGCACTTCGTTTTGATTATAATAATATTTCTCAACAGCACAAGGCTCAATCAGTTTAAAAGGGTACGTGGCAATTTGCAGAAACATTCCTGAGCCCATTGTAACAGGTATAAGCATATTAGCAAGATACTTGGGGAGGTTCCCTAATGCTAGTGAGGGGCTCTTGATCTAAGGAATTGGACCTATGCTGAATGCCTTATATTACCCTGGTGCTGTATGACGACTATGGGTTGAGCGCTTCCCTCGTGAGTGTAATAGGTAAATTCAATTCTAACCTAACTTTACCTAACAGTAAAAATACTGTTCCAATAACAGACTGTTGAGGAACATTGTAGGGCAAAGGAGAAGTATTAGATGCAAAATTATTGACTACTTGATATGACCAACCAGAAAGATAATTTCAGAAACAACAATGAAGTATCCTTAAGGCCACAGCCGATAAGCTCACTTAACAGCAATCCACTATCAATAGTATCAAGTGCAGTTAAGGGGGCCAACAATATTAGCAGGGACACATTCCCTTTGTTATCTTAGTTGAATGAAATAGTCTATATGCAGACCGAACATGTGGTAAAATATAAATCCTTTCCAAAAAAGGTAAATAGTTAATCAAAAATGGCAATTTTAATCAATTATGAAAGAAATATATATAAGATTAGAAACTGATAATGTGACATGTGTTCTGAATCAAGGGAAAGTTTCTTGAGGAGTGGGTGAACCTAAGCCCTCCTTCATTTACTGTGGAAAATATCCATTTTGAAAATAACTGATCAGAATAGTTATAAAAGAAACAGCACTTAATATGCAGGCAAGAGCTCTGAAACATTTATACGATCTAATGCACAATACGTATGTCTTATTGGATAAGTCCAGAAATCCCTCTTTGCCAATCAGAGCAAAGTGAATAAATGTAATCTGACTAATTAATCACAAAGAACTCTCCAAGGAGCCTGAGTAGAATCCAAATCCAAATGAATATTCCCTATTTTCCGAACAAAATAATCAGAGAAGGCCAAGGCCACCTGAACAAAAACAATCAGAGGTACCCAGAGCAGATTCAGATACACAACCAAGCAGGTAATTAGTTTAAATTTTTTTCCCCCTGTTATATTTCACCCTATGCCAATACCCTGTTCACAATTGCTCTCCAAGCTTCTATATAATCAGACCATGGTTCATGATACGTAATCTACGTCATCAATGCTCCACACTCCTACGAGATCTATGAAGCTGAGTAACAGAGGACTCCTGCCAAGAAGCAAAGATCCTTTTAGTGATCAAAGGTTAGAACTTACTAGTCAGCCACACACAACATGAATCTTTGCTAACCGGTCAACAGACATTCCATTATTACTCAACTCACGAAATCGTAATGGCACAATTGTAAACAAACCATACCACGGGTGGGGTTTGAACCTGCGGTCAGAGTCTCAAAACTCCAGACCGTCATGTTAGCCACTGGTCCAGTGGTTAACGCAACGGTCTGGAGTTTTAAGACTCTCTGACCACAGGTTCAAGCCCCACCCATGGTATGGTTTGGTTAGTGCATTATTATAATCAAAGGGGAATTGCTAAACCCATAGGATTATACAGCACCTGTGGGGGATGTAAAGGTATTCAGGCTTAATTCAGGGAAATGGAGCACAGATCCAATTCCCTAGATCAAGAGCCCCTCATCAGTGTCAAGGAACCTTCCTTGAGGGGAACAGACAGTGTAGACACACCCGCTTTACCCAAGGCAACTGTCACCAACCTGGTCAATATCAAAATTTCTTTAATTATAGAAAAACAGTGATAATAAGATGACAACATTGAAATATTAGGACAAGGCGATGACATTATGAATGAACAAAGTAATATCAAGAGGTATTACCTCAACTTCCTTAATGTTCTGAGATGTTGCAGTAGACAGAACCAAGCTCAATATATGGCCACCATACATGTGGGTGATAACACATTTTCAAGTTATTCAAATCCATTAGCTCCAGGAACTCAGTGAATAGGACTTCTGGTGTGAACAATCAATTCAGTAGTTAAAATTACCACACAGAAAGATGACCAGTCTTCTTTGCAAAGGATTCAATTAAAAAACTCAAGAAACAAGGAATCTGTGCCATCAGTGCCAGGATGATAAACAACCATCTGTCTTACAATATGCTGATAACAATTTGCTACTTCCATGACCTCAAATAACACAGTATGCTGACCAATTGGTATACAAAGAGCACTTGACAAATGAAGAATAAATGACAACCCAACCATCCCAAGCAGCAGTTGACCTTAAAATATGGTAAATAGAAGAGGGAAGAGAAACTGCAACCTTTGCTATATCAGACTCCAACAGTCATATTTCTGTCAGACATAAAATATCAAAGGAAAATCTCGTGTTGAATTTCAGTAACATGCATGATATACTGAGTCATGCATGGTTTATTTTGCACTGAGCGAATGTTGAATAAGGAAGGACAGCATTATTCAAGGAAAGTTTTTCGAGACTAGATGCAATGTGGTGAATTAAGCCCTGAGAAGCATCTCCGGAGGAACAACTGAACTGAATCACCACAAACAGCCAATTTCGGCGAACTCTCCTCATTTTATTCACGGGAAAGTGCTAAACTTATTGGAGTCGTGTAGCGCCTGGGGGATAGGAGACATTCAGGTTCGATCTAAGGAAGGGGAGGTTAAGTTTAATTCCGTGGATCAAGAGCCCCTTCACCAGCATCAAGGCAAGGAAACAGTTTGTTGTAGTATGACTAACGCCTTGACAACGGTAACATTGGGCCAACCAACACCTGTCATGTATTAATGTTGGTAGAATTACCTACAATATGTTGAGTATAAGGACACAACGTTTCACTCTCCAGAAGCTTGATAAAGCTCCTGGAGAGCGAAACGTTGCCACAATAAAACGTCACATTAGTTGCACTTGTGTCCTTTTACTCAACACCTGTCATAAAGTGGTTACTGATGGAATGAGACATTAACTGGAAATCTTCTGCGTCTCTGTTGTTAAGCAAGTATAATGTTCACCATCCCTCGTGACGTGGCAGTGTACTCACCTATTTGTGGTTGCAGGGGTCGATACATAGCTCCTGGACCCGCCTCTTCACTGATCGCAACTAGATGTGTTCTGCAGCTGAGGTGGAAGCTGGCTTGTAGGATTTACTTTACCTCAGTGGATTAACACGTTTCTAAATGGAAGTACTGCCTACGAAAACTTGAATGCTGTGTTGGTAATGATAAAGGGCTCTTCGTCCAAGGAATTAACGCTACCCTCTCCTTCCGTGGATCAAATCTTATTGCTTCCCATTCCCCAGGTGCTCTGACGGGCTTAGCGCTTCCATGAGATTCTAATAAAGGCAATGATAATCTACGACCTATATCCTTGAAATGGTAATATATCCATGGAACAATATACATATCCACTGATATGAATAACAACTCGAATAACCGGTAAAACTCAAAGGTATATAAAAAAACCACAGAAGGTCCCACACCATGAGAAAGAAAAAATGCAACAGGAAAACTGCACAAAAATTTGATGTACCGGTTTATATATGTATATAAAAAGATCCCACCGAAGGTTCCAAGTCATAAGAGGAAAAATGCAACAAGGAAAACCACAAAAAAATATATATACGTGTGCACTTTCTGCTGTCGCAAAATAGATTTTTCAGGAAAAGGTGACCAGGCAGTCCAGGTGTCAGTATACGTCACTGGCTGGGATAATATTGAATGACAATAGTGGCTGTCTGGACGTAGTGACAGGCATTACTGCCTTATTAGACTCAGTGATAAGTCATTCTTGCCCTGCTGTCTTCAGTGACACCAGCAGGTTCTCATACAATATGAAAAAGGTGATATGGTGAGGGAAGGAGTGCCTCCCAGGCAAATATCATGGGAGTAATTATGCGGGAGTGGGGAGGATGGGGGTGTCAGGAGAGGACATGTCCCATCTACTAATACTACTGCTACCATTACTACCCATAATAATAATAGAGCTCTCGCCTAGAGCAAGGTATACCGGTATACATAAAGGGGATTACCAATAGACCCCTGGCTGTCTTCAAGAAGGCGCTGGACAGGCACTTAAAGTCTGTACCTGACCAGTCGGGCTTTGGTTCATACGTCAGTTTGCGTGCAGCCAACAGTAACAGCCTGGTTGATCAGGCCCTGATCCACCGCGAAGCCTGGTCACCGACCGGACAGCGGGGACATTGACCCAGAAACACCCTCCAGGTCTACCTGCTGCTAGGTGAGTACAATAAGATCCTGTCTTTCTCTACGTTAAAAGACGGAGGATAAAGCCTACACCAGTCCTGATCTCAATGACACACAGGGGTTTACTTCACATACCTAAATGGAGATACCTGGAGAGGGTTTGGGGGTCAACGCCCCCGCGGCCCGGTCTGTGACCAGGCCTCATGGATCCGGGTTTGATCAACCAGGCTGTTATTGCTGGGCGCACGCTGGTCAGTACCTGACCAGCCCGGCTGGTCAGGTACTGATTTTAGGTGCTTGTCCAGTGCCTTCTTGAAGACAGCCAGGGGCCTACTGGTAATCCCCCTTATGTATGCTGGGAGGCAGCTGAACAGTCTTGGGCCCCTGACACTTATTGTATTGTCTCTTAGCTTACTTGTGGTACATAAATATAATTATATAATAAATTCTTGCGGAAATATAGTTCGATATGTTTATTATGTAACGCTGAGGACAAGTCACTAGACTGCATCGCACAGAGGGTCCAGGAACTAGGCTCCAACACTGTTAGTTATAGTATTAACTAATTATAAATTTCAGTGGTGGCGTCGTGCGGGCCAGCGAACCCTGTGGTGGACCTGGGCCACACTGCTGACGGTGGTACAGATATATCTATGGTACAGGGAGAAACTGGAGCAGGAGCAGCCAGCCGCCTTGCACGACACCACCAGTCAACACATCCTTGACAACTACAAACACTGTGCCAACAGTGGGTGTCTGGTCACAGTGTGTCCATAAGATAAATTAGATTTTGTCTCACGAAATTGTAATAACACGTCTGTAAACAAACCACGGAACAGGTAGGGGTTTGAACCCCATCTGTTCCGTGGTTAGATTTCTGTCCCTAGTGGCGAGTTTAATGGGCAGTGTCACATCCTGTGAGTGGACATGCCTCCATAAACTCTTTATAATAACATCTTTATTTCTACAAGTACAAGGTATACAGACCATAGCTGACATCAATGACATACTACTATATGGAAAGCTTTGTAATTTAATTTTCTCTCATCGTGTTAAATTGCACATTAATATAAGTTTATCGTGATCTTTTATATGTACACGTATGGAGTAGAGATTTGTTGGAGACGCAAGCTGCGTTACCCCATCATGCGTCCAGACGACGCTCGTCTTGTGCGTTACCTGCGACGTATGATAGAAGCTCCACCCATGGGTGGCGATGGCACCCTCCACCCTCAACACCCTCCCTGGCACAATGTCACCTCTTACAACGCAACAGAGAAAGCCATTAGAGATATATTTGCAGCCACAGTAAGTGGGATACGTCTAAATATTGTTATTTTAATCAAAGTAAACTTTATTAACAGTTCTGTTTTCTGTTAATACAATCATAACCAAGTTGCAGGACTTATGTGGCCTTTTAACTGTTATATTTTTTTTGTTAGATATGCCATAATAAATATCAAAGTTGTCCACTCATTTGTGCTTACTTAAAAAAAATATTATAGAACATTATCTAGTGTGCAAACTAACTCCGGAGATACCTGTTGAATTTGAGATGGAAGGCGAGAGGCAAAGCAGCCCCGAGACTATGGTAAATTGTCCACACTAACTGTACGGTGAGAAAGTGAGACATCACAATTTATTATACATTTTTCCCACTGAAAAGATCGGGAATAAACCACCTTCACGTGGGTTCAGTCAGGACTGACTTCCTCCCTTTCCCAGGTCGTTATTGAGAGTCTGGATTTTAGGAATTAATGTATTCTTGACTGATTCATTCATGTAGGTTCACTGGTACTTCCGGCTGGGGTCTTCTCCAGATGGCGACCCGGCGTCTTGACTGATTGTGAAGAGAGATCAGTCTTAATGACTCTCGTGTAGTATAGGCTTTCAAAATATTAACCAACTTAATTATCTTATTTATATACTTGTAATATAGTGTTACTTGTGTTGTGCAGGAGGGTGGAGTGTTCGTGGAGGTTGGTGCTCAGGATGGAGTGTGGCTGAGCAACACTTGGTGGCTGGAGGCAGCTCGGGGGTGGAGGGGGCTGTTAGTGGAGGCTGATCCACTTAATTATCATCATCTACGTAACTCACCCAGAACCTCACCCACACTACCTGTCTGTGTCACCACCGGCCTAACACCCACACAGGTAAGCCTTCACCCACACTCACCCAGGTCTTCACCCACCCATCTGAAAATTAAGGAGTCCCGCTGGGATCGGTATTAGAGCCAGTACTGCTTCTTGTTTATGTAAATGATATACCAAATGGATTATGTCAAATGTATCCGTTTGCTGATGTAAAACTAATGAGGAGGAGACAGGGAAAGGCTCCAAATGAATCTTGACAAACTGTAAGATTAGTTTGATAAATGGTTGTTGGAATTCAACCCCAGCAAATGCAAGATAATGAAGATTGGGATGGGACAAGAAGATCGGACACTAAGTACAGGCTCAAGGGACAGAGGTTGTAGACTTCAAAGAGGACCTGGAGGTGATCATACTGCCTATCATATCTCCACAAGCTCACATGAACTGAATGACCTCTGCAGCCAATGCTCGTCTGGCAAATCTAAGAGTGACCTTCAGGAACCTCAAGTTTGCAGCACCAGTATGGAACCCATACCTGGAAAAGCATGTTAGGAAGCTGGAGAACGAGGCTTGTTTTTGAGCTAAGATGTTTGAGCTTCGTGGAGACGCTACCGGAACTTAATCAAACACTGGACACGAGAACCAGGAGTAACATGACAGAAAATACTCAGAGGAATTGAAGGTATAGACAGGGATAGCTAGTTTGAGAGGAAGGACACAGGTACACAGGGGCACAGCTGGAAATTAGACACAGTTGAGTCACAGAGCTGTCAAGAAGTATTTCTTCAGTCACAGAGTGGTCAGAAAATAGAATGACCTCGACGAAACAGTACGTTTACAAGCAAGTACCATAGGACGCAAGAGATGAGGAAGTGAATCTGGCAAGTAGCAAGTTGATAGGCTGGGTCAGGAGCTATGATCCGATCCCTCTAACAACATATAGGCGAGTCCATGCAGATGACTCCTTCAAAAGGGAGCTGGACTGATACCTAAAGTCAGTACCCGACCAGCCGGTCTGTGGTTCGTACGTTCGACTACGTGCGGCCATCAGTAACAGCCTGGTTAACCAGGCCCTGATCCACCGGGAGACCTGATTATGGATTGGGCCGCGGGGGCGTTGACCCCCGGAATATCCTCCAGGTATACCCCACATTGACCCAGGTCTGTAACCACTGGTCACATACTCATACTTAATACATATTATCAGTAGTAGTAGAAGATTTAAAACAAGCGCCAAACCCGCATGGGTCAAAGGGTATTAATTAATACAATATATTCTGACTACGTATGGCTGTATTTAGTATTAGTGTATCAGCTTGTGTATGTTGTGTGTACCTGAGTGTATGTGTGTACCTGAGTGTATGCTGTGTGTACCTGAGTGTATGTTGTGTGTACCTGAGTGTATGTTGTGTGTACCTGAGTGTATGCTGTGTGTACCTGAGTGTATGCTGTGTGTACCTGAGTGTATGCTGTGTGTACCTGAGTGTATGCTGTGTGTACCTGAGTGTATGCTGTGTGTACCTGAGTGTATGTTGTGTGTACCTGAGTGTATGTTGTGTGTACCTGAGTGTATGTTGTGTGTACCTGAATATGTTGTGTGTACCTGAATATGTTGTGTGTACCTGTGAGTGTACAATATATTATTGCACACAGAACTGAAGATGTTAGGTGCCAAAGCTCTATAATTTATCATGGCACTCTTATACTCCTGGAGTATTATTGTTCCTCCCTTCCTAAAACTGTTGACCACCTCCTGCAGGAGGCGCTGGTGAGGAGGAAGCAGCCGGAGCCTTGGAACACCACTATAGGAATGCATCAACGAGGCCAAACCATGCTGAACCGCTACGCCACACCCACGGTCAGTCTGGTGCCCACCTTATCCTACTATCTTTAATACAAGACTCACGAAATCGTAATGACACGACTGCAAACAACTACACACTGACAGACAAGCCAGTCTCCGGGAGTTAAAAAACTCGAAACTCAAAGGTATATCAAAGGTAAAGTCAATGTATGACACACAGTAGGTTAGCATCAGGCTTAAAAAAAATACATAGACTCATTTTATTAGTTAGGTGTCTGGAGGTCAGAAGAGTTGAAGGCAGAGTTAAGTATTAATTTTAGGAAGGGTTGGGTTAATATAAGGGAGAAGCCTGGAAGCAACCAGATAATAATATGTCTGTATTTGAACATTTCTTTCTATTTATAAAATACACATGAAAAATGAATTATAACAATAATCAGTTTTTAAGGGATAAACTCGGAAGGGCTATACAGCTCTACAGGGCGGGGTGTGTGACAGTAGCAGTGTGCTAGGGCAGAAGAGAGTACAAGAGTAAAATCTACGTCATCTCCCACCCTAATCTTGCCACCCTCAACACCATTGTTAACGAGGAGCTGCTCAAAATATCGACTTGGATGACAGCCAATAAACTTACACTTAACACTGGCAAAACCTACTATATTATGTTTGGTAGCAGAGCAGGTGTTGCGCAACTTAACATTAAGATCGACAACACTCTAATTGCCAGACATAATGAGGGCAAATTCCTTGGCCTATACCTCGACAACAACCTAAATTTCAGCACCCATATCCAACACATAACAAAAAAAGTATCCAAAACGGTGGGGATCCTCTCCAAGATACGATACTACGCACCGCAAACTGCCCTTCTCACACTATACCATTCACTTATATATCCATACCTCACCTATGCTATCTGTGCTTGGGGTTCAACTGCAGCAACACACCTAAAGCCAATAATAACCCAACAAAAAGCCGCAGTAAGAATAATCACTAAATCCCATCCCTGGCAACCCATCTCCCCCCACTCTTCATAGATCTAAACTTACTCCCTGTTCAGAACATCAACACTTACTACTGTGCAATCTATATCTACAGGACCTTAAATTCCAATATTAACCTTGACCTAAAACGCTTTCTTGATAGTTTTGACAGGATCCACAGGCATAACACCAGACACAAACATCTCTATGACATTCCCTGTGTTCGACTAAACCTTTACAAAAAATCAATGTATTTCAAAGGACCTAAAATCTGGAACACCCTATCTGAAAACTCTAGAACTGCAGACACATTCATCACTTTCAAAACTACAGTTAGAAAACATCTTATCTCCCTGATCTACCCCGACAACTAACTACATGATAACTACTTGGTGGTTCACACTTACACTCACCCACTGACTATAAACCCAGAAATACTAATCTTAATCTTAAAATAATAAATCCTAACTAGTCATAAGTTTGCCTATGATACTCCAATATAGACACTTTGTATTGTGCCAAAACAAAAGCATTCACATTGCTAAACTCACAAATTATGATGTAGTCACTTAGCCTTAATACCATAATCTGTAAGGATTTAATGTTAAGAATTAATCTAAGTCTGCTGGAAATGCCTAGCCATGCTAGGTGTCCTAGTGGCCCCCTCTGTAATTAGTATTTTATAACATGTAAACCACACAATACCCAAAACCTGTAAACCCCACATTGTAACCATTATAGAGAATAAACTTGAATTGAATAGCTGGGTGCAGCAAGTTACTTTCTGCTGAAAATTGAGAGAGAGAGAGAGAGAGAGAGAGAGAGAGAGAGAGAGAGAGAGAGAGAGAGAGAGAGAGAGAGAGAGAGAGAGAGAGTGTGTGTGTGTGTGTGTGTCTGCGTCAAAGATGAACTTTCAGCAAGGCCTCTCTCTCTCTCTCTCTCTCTATATATATATATATATATATATATATATATATATATATATATATATATATATATATATATATACATAAAACTTTATAAAACTGGGTTGCTTAAATGTGCGTGGATGTAGTGCGGATGACAAGAAACAGATGATTGCTGATGTTATGAATGAAAAGAAGTTGGATGTCCTGGCCCTAAGCGAAACAAAGCTGAAGGGGGTAGGAGAGTTTCAGTGGGGGGAAATAAATGGGATTAAATCTGGAGTATCTGAGAGAGTTAGAGCAAAGGAAGGGGTAGCAGTAATGTTAAATGATCAGTTATGGAAGGAGAAAAGAGAATATGAATGTGTAAATTCAAGAATTATGTGGATTAAAGTAAGGTTGGATGCGAGAAGTGGGTCATAATAAGCGTGTATGCACCTGGAGAAGAGAGGAATGCAGAGGAGAGAGAGAGATTTTGGGAGATGTTTAAGTGAATGTATAGGAGCCTTTGAACCAAGTGAGAGAGTAATTGTGGTAGGGGACTTGAATGCTAAAGTAGGAGAAACTTTTAGAGAGGGTGTGGTAGGTAAGTTTGGGGTGCCAGGTGTAAATGATAATGGGAGCCCTTTGATTGAACTGTGTATAGAAAGGGGTTTAGTTATAGGTAATACATATTTTAAGAAAAAGAGGATAAATAAGTATACACGATATGATGTAGGGCGAAATGACAGTAGTTTGTTGGATTATGTATGGTAGATAAAAGACTGTTGAGTAGACTTCAGGATGTACATGTTTATAGAGGGGCCACAGATATATCAGATCACTTTCTAGTTGTAGCTACACTGAGAGTAAAAGGTAGATGGGATAAGGAGAATAGAAGCATCAGGGAAAGAGAGAGGTGAAGGTTTATAAACTAAAAGAGGAGGCAGTTAGGGTAAGATATAAACAGCTATTGGAGGATAGATGGGCTAATGAGAGCATAGGCAAATGGGGTCGAAGAGGTATGGGGTAGGTTTAAAATGTAGTGTTAGAGTGTTCAGCAGAAGTTTGTGGTTACAGGAAAGTGGGTGCAGGAGGGAAGAGGAGCGATTGGTGGAATGATGATGTAAAGAGAGTAGTAAGGGAGAAAAAGTTAGCATATGAGAAGTTTTTACAAAGTAGAAGTGATGCAAGGAGGAAGAGTATATGGAGAAAAAGAGAGAAGTTAAGAGAGTGGTGAAGCAATGTAAAAAGAGAGCAAATGAGAGAGTGGGTGAGATGTTATCAACAAATTTCGTTGAAAATAGAAAAAGTTTTGGATGAGATTAACAAGTTAAGAAAGCCTAGAGAACAAATGGATTTGTCAGTTAAAAATAGGGGAAAGGGGGTTTTAAAAGGAGAGTTAGAGGTATTGGGAAGATGGAAGGGAAAATTTTGAGGGAAATTTTTAAATGTTTTATGAAGTAGGGAAGCTTTTATTTTGTGTATAGGGGAAGGAGGAATAAAAATTTTTAGAGTGAGGGAAAAGCCAGTTGTGATTGGGGGAAGTTCGTGAGGCAGTAGGTAAAATGAAGGGGGGGAAAGGGAGCCGGGATTGTGGGATAAAGATAGAAAGTTTTAAAAACAGGGGGGATATAGTTTTGGATGGTTGGTGCAATTAATTAATAAATGTATGGGAAAAGGGTAAAGGACCTAGGGATTGGCAGAGGCAGCATATTCCCTTTTTATAAAAGGCAAGGGGGTAAAAGAGAGGCAAAATTATGGGGGGGAAATTGTTGAGTGTACCCGGTAAAAATTTGGTGAGTTTAATTGAAAGAATTAAGAGTAAGACGGAGAATAGGGTAGCAAGAACAAAAGGGGGCTTTTTGGAAAGGTAGGGGGGGGTGTGGACCAGGTGTTTACAGTGAAACATAAAGTGAACAGTATTTAGATAAGGCTAAAGGGGTTTCTTTGTGGCATTTATGGATTTGGAAAAGGCGATGACAGGGTGGATAGGGGGGAAATGTGGCAGAGTTGCAAGTGTATGGTGTAGGAGGTAGGTTACTGAAAGCAGTGAAGAGTTTTTACGAGGATAGTGAGGCTCAAGTTAGAGTATGTAGGAAAGAAGGAAATTTTTTCCAGTAAAAGTAGGCCTTAGAAAAGGATGTGTGATGTCACCGTGGTTGTTTAATATATTTATAGATGGGGTTGTAAGAGAAGTAAATGCGAGGGTCTTGGCAAGAGGCGGGGAGTTAAAAGATAAAGAATCACACACAAAGTGGGAGTTGTCACAGCTGCTCTTTGTTTGATGACACTGTGCTTTGGGAGATTCTGAAGAGAAGTTGCAGAGATTGGTGGATGAATTTGTAGGGTGTGAAAAAGAAGAAAATTAAAGGTGAATACAGGAAAGAGTAAGGTTATGAGGAAAAACAAAAAGATTAGGTGTGAAAGATTGAATTCAGATTGGGGGGAGAGAGTATGGGAGGTGAACGTATTCAGATTTTTTGGGAGTGGACGTGTCAGCGGATGGGTTTGAAAGATGAGGTGAATCATAGAATTGATGAGGGAAAAAGAGTGATGGTGCACTTAGGAGTCTGTGGAGACAAAGAACTTTGTCCTTGGAGGGCAAAGAGGGGAATGTATGAGAGTATAGTTTTACCAACGCTCTTATATGGGTGTGAAGCGTGGGTGATGAATGTTGCAGCGAGGAGAAGGCTGGAGGCAGTGGAGATGTATGTCTGAGGGCAATGTGTGGTGTGAATATAATGCAGAGAATTCGTATTTTTGGAAGTTAGGAGGAGGTGCGGGATTACCAAAACTGTTGTCCAGAGGGCTGAGGAAGGGTTGTTGAGGTGGTTCGGACATGTAGGAGAAATGGAGCGAAACAGAATGACTTCAAGAGTGTATCAGTCTGTAGTGGAAGGAAGGCGGGGTAGGGGTCGGCCTAGGAAGGGTTGGAGGAGGGGGTAAAGGAGGTTTTGTGGGGCGAGGGGCTTGGACTTCCAGCAGGCTTTGCGTGAGCGTGTTTGATAGGAGTGAATGGAGACAAATGGTTTTTAATACTTGAACGTGCTGTTGGAGTGTGAGCAAAGTAACATTTAGAAGGGATTCGGGGAAAACCCCGGCAGGCCGGACTTGAGTCCTGGAGATGGAAGTACAGTGCCTGCACTCTGAAGGAGGGGTGTTAATGTTGCAGTTTAAAAACTGTAGTGTAAAGCACCCTTCTGGCAAGACAGTGATGGAGTGAATGATGGTGAAAGTTTTTCTTTTTCGGGCCACCCTGCCTTGGTGGGAATCGGCCGGTGTGATAATAAAAAAAAAAAAAAAAAATATACATACATACATATACACATATACAAGAAAAGACATTATCTCTGAATTCTGGACTGTGTATTTCGCAGTGTAAGACGTGTATGAAGTATTTTTTTAATTTCTACAATTCCGCATTTAATACGTAAAGTTAATCTCTACCCATGAAGATCTCAGGAGTTAGTGTAGGTGCAACCTGCTTGGCTGAAGTAGGTGCAACCTGCTTGGCTGAAGTAGGTGCAACCTGCTTGGCTGAAGTAGGTGCAACCTGCTTGGCTGAAGTAGGTGCAACCTGCTTGGCTGAAGTAGGTGCAACCTGCTTGGCTGAAGTAGGTGCAACCTGCTTGGCTGAAGTAGGTGCAACCTGCTTGGCTGAAGTAGGTGCAACCTGCTTGGCTGAAGTAGGTGCAACCTGCTTGGCTGAAGTAGGTGCAACCTGCTTGGCTGAAGAAGCTGCAACCTGCTTGGCTGAAGTAGGTGCAAACCCGCTTGCTGAAGTAGGTGCAACCTGCTTGGCTGAAGAAGGTGCAACCTGCTTGGCTGAAGAAGCTGCAACCTGCTTGGCTGAAGTAGGTGCAACCTGCTTGGCTGAAGTAGGTGCAACCTGCTTGGCTGAAGTAGGTGCAACCTGCTTGGCTGAAGTAGGTGCAACCTGCTTGGCTGAAGAAAGGGGCAACCTGCTTGGCTGGGAAAAAGCTGCAACCTGCTTGGCTGAAGTAGGTGCAACCTGCTTGGCTTTAAGTAGGTGCAACCTGCTTGGCTGAAGTAGGTGCAACCTGCTTGGCTGAAGTAGGTGCAACCTGCTTTGGGTGAAGTAGGTGCAACCTGCTTGGCTGAAGTAGGTGCAACCGCTTGGCTGAAGTAGGTGCAACCTGCTTGGCTGAAGTAGGTGCAACCTGCTTGGCTGAAGTAGAGTGCACCTGCTTGGCTGAAGTAGGTGCAACCTGCTTGGGTGAAGTAGGTGCAACCTGCTTGGCTGAAGTAGGTGCAACCTGCTTGGCTGAAGTAGGTGCAACCGCTTGGGTGAAGAAGGTTTCAACCTGCTTGGCTGAAAAAGCGCAACCTGCTTGCTGAAGTAGGTGCAACCCGCTTGGCTGAAGTAGGTGCAACCTGCTTGGGTGAAGTAGGTGCAACCTGCTTGGCGAAGTAGGTGCAACCTGCTTGGCTGAAGTAGGTGCAAACCTGCTTGGCTGAAGTAGGTGCAACCTGCTTGGCTGAAGTAGGTGCAACTGCTGGCTGAAGTAGGTGCAACCTGCTTGGCGAAGAAGGTGCAACCTGCTTGGGTGAAGGGAAACTGCAACCTGCTTGGGTGAAGTAGGTGCAACCTGCTTGGCTGAAGTAGGGCAACCTGCTTGGCTGAAGTAGGTGCAACCTGCTTGGCTGAAGTAGGTGCAACCTGCTTGGCTGAAGTAGGTGCAACTGCTTGGCTGAAGTAGGTGCAACCTGCTTGGCTGAAGTAGGTGCAACTGCTTGGCTGAAGTGGTGCAACCTGCTTGGCTGAAGAAGCTGCAACCTGCTTGGCTGGAGTAGGTGCAACCTGCTTGGCTAAGTAGTGGGAACCTGCTAGGCTGAAGAAGCTTGCAACCTGCTTGGCTGAATAGGTGCAACCTGCTTGGCTGAAGTAGGTGGGAACCTGCTAGGCTGAAGAAGCGCAACCTGCTTTGGTGAAGTAGGGTGCAACCTGCTTTGGCTGAGTAGGTGCAACCTGTTGGCTGAAGTAGGTGCAACCTGCTTGGCTGAAGTAGGTGCAACCTTTGGCTGAAGTAGGTGGGAACTGCTTGGCTGAAGAAGGTGCAACCTGCTTGGGCTGAAAAGCTGCAAACCTGCTTGGCTTAAGTAGGTGGGAACGCTTGGCTGAAGTAGGTGCACCGTTGGCTGAAGAAGGGGCAAACCCGCTTGGCTGAAAAAGCTGCACCGCTTGGCTGAAGTAGGTGCAACCGTTGGCTGAAGTAGGTGCAACCTGCTTGGCCCGAAGTAGGTGGCAACTGCTGGGTGAAGTAGGTGAAACCCGCTTGGCTGGAGTAGGTGCAACCCGCTTGGTGAAGTGGGTTTCAACCTCTTTGGGTGAAGTAGGTGCAACTGCTTGGGCTGAAGTAGGTGCAACCTGCTTGGCTGAAGTAGGGTGCAATGCTTGGCTGAATAGGTGCAACGCTGGCTTTAAGTAGGTGCAACGCTTGCTGAGTAGGTGCAACCTGCTTGGTTGAAAGTAGGTGAACCTGCTTGGCTGAAGTAGGTGCAACTGCTGGCTGAAGAGGTGCAACCCGCTGGGTAAGTGGTGCAACCTGCTTGGTGAAATAGGGGCAACCGCTTGGGTGAAGTAGGTGCAACTGCTTGGCTGAAGTAGGTGCAACCTGCTTGGCGAAGTAGTTAACCGCTTGCTGAAGTTTGGTGCAACCCGCTTGGCTGAGTAGGTGCAACCCGCTTGGTTGAAGTAAAGGGCAACCTGCTGGCTGAAGTAGGTTGGGAACCTGCTTGGGCGAAATAGGTGCAACCTGTTGGTTGAGTAGGTGCAACTGCTTGGGTGAAGTGTGCACCGCTTGGCTGAAATAGGTGCAACCTGCTGGCTGAAGTAGGTGCAACCTGCTTGGCTGAAGTAGGTGAACTGCTTGGCTGAAGTAGGGGGGCAACCTGCTTGGGGTGAAAGTAGGGGCAACTGCTTGGCTGAAGTAGGTGCAACCTGCTTGGCCCGAAGTTGGGCAAACCTGCTGGCTGAAGTAGGTGCAACCTGCTTGGGTTTAAATAGTGCAACCTGCTTTGGGCTGAAGTAGGTGCAACCCGTTGGGTTAATGGTGCAACTGCTTGGTTTAAGTAGGTGCAACCTGCTTGGCTGAAGTAGGTCAACCTGCTTGGCTGAAGTAGGTGCAACCTGCTTGGCTGAAGTAGTTGCAACCGTGGCTGAATAGGTTTCACCGCTTGGCTGAAGTAGGTGCAACTGCTTGGCTGAAGTAGGTGCAACTGCTTGGTGAAGTAGGTGGGAACTGCTTGGCTGAAGTAGGTGCAACCTGCTTGGCTGAAGTAGGTGCACCCGCTTGGCTGAAGAAGGTGCAACCTGCTTGGTGAAGTAGGTGCAACTGCTGGCTGAAGTAGGTGCAACCGCTGGCTGAAGGAGGTGGCAACCTGCTTGGCAAAGAAGGTGCAACTGCTTGGCTGAAGAAGGGCAACCTGCTTGGGTGAAGAAGCTGCAACCTGCTGGGTGAAGTAGGGTGCAACCTGCTTGGTGAAGAAACTGCAAACCTCTTGGCTGAAGTAGGTGCAACCTGCTTGGCTGAAGAAGGCTGCAACCTGCTGGCTGAAGTAGGGCAACTGCTTGGCTGAAGTAGGTGCAACCTGCTTGGGGTGAAGTAGGTGCAACTGCTTGCTGAAGTAGGTGCAACCTGCTTGGCTGAAGAAGGTGCAACCGCTTGGTGAAGTGGTGGCAACCTGCTTGGCTGAAGTAGGTTCAATCTCTTGGCTAAGTAGGTGCAACCTGTTGGGTGAAGTAGGTGCAACCTGCTTGGCTGAAGTAGGTGCAACCTCTGGTTGAAGTAGGTGCAAACCCGCTTTCTGAAGTGGTGCACCTCTTGGCTGAAGTAGGTGAACCTGCTTGGCTGAAGAAGGTGCAACCCGCTTTGGCTAAGTAGGTGCAACCTCTTTGGGGAGTAGGTGCAACCTGCTTTGGCTGAAGAAAGGGCAACCTGCTTGGCGAAAAAGGGGGCAACCTGCTTGGCTGAAAGCTCAACTGCTTGGCTAAGTAGGTGCAACCTGCTTGGCTGAAAAGCTGCAACCTGCTTGGCTGAAGTAGTTTCTAAACCCGCTTGGCTGAAGAAGCGCAACCCTGCTTGGCTGAAGTGGTTTCAACCTGCTTGGCTGAAGTAGGTGCAACCTGCTTGGCTGAAGTAGGTGCAACCTGCTTGGCTGAAGTAGGTGCAACCTGCTTGGCTGAAGAAGCTGCAACCTGCTTGGCTGAAGTAGGTGCAACCTGCTTGGCTGAAGTAGGTGCAACCTGCTTGGCTGAAGTAGGTGCAACCTGCTTGGCTGAAGTAGGTGCACCTGCTTGCTGAAGTAGGTGCAACCTGCTTGGGGTGAAGAAGCTGCAAAATGCTTGGCTGAAGTAGGTGCAACCTGCTTGGCTGAAGTAGGTGCAACCTGCTTGGCTGAAGTAGGTGCAACCTGCTTGGCTGAAGTAGGTGCAACCTGCTTGGCTGAAGTAGGTGCAACCTGCTTGGCTGAAGTAGGTGCAACCTGCTTGGCTGAAGTAGGTGCAACCTGCTTGGTCACAAAGCTGGTGCAACCTGCTTGGCTGAAGTAGGTGCAACCTGCTTGGCTGAAGTAGGTGCAACCTGCTTGGCTGAAGAAGGTGCAACCTGCTTGGTCACAAAGCTGGTGCAACCTGCTTGGCTGAAGTAGGTGCAACCTGCTTGGCTGAAGTAGTGCAAACCTGCTTGGTCACAAACGGTGCAACTGCTTGGTACAAAAATGGTGCAAACCCGCTTGGCCTGAAGTAGGTGCAACCTGCTTGGGACAAAGCTGGTTTCAAAACCCGCTTGGCTGAAGTAGGTGCAACCTGCTTGGCTGAAGTAGGTGCAACCTGCTTGGTCACTAAGCTGCTATAAACACAAGTGTTGAAACCTGGGAAATTCTGATAGTTTGTGTTGTTTTATCAACAGGACCTTTACCTGGGCCAGACCTGGCACACCACCTGCTACCCGCTACTCACCGTCCTAGCTGCTGCTGGCTACAAGCAGGTATTGTGTGCGTGCTCTTACCTAGTAGTTCTCAACAAAGCATTCTTGGAAAGTTGAGCTTCCTAGCTCCTTCGATCGACCGATAGATTTAATTTTAAACGCTAAGAGTCCTGCTGTACACGCTCTTAACTCAGGGTGTGGAGTCTGCCTCGACACAACCTTCTGTGATATCTGGCCAGACTTCCTCACATGCTTAAAAATAAAGTTTCCTTATTCATTTGTCTTATTTGAAAGCTCAGGTTTCTTCAAGTCTCTACTTTTCAAATAACTTATCCACCTTCTTGAAATCCCTCACCGTATTTAATAATTCACTGTTTATGTTTACAAGAGTTACTGGTGAGGAGTTTGTCCCATCTCATTAGATTATATTGGTTCAGCTTTATATATATGTTGCAGATCTTCAGAGTTCACTCCACTCATCACCTGCTCTACCTGAAGAAATACTTATCACAAACAATTTTTTTAACATTGCTTCCACAAGTTAAGAATGTATTCTCTTGTCCTTCCTCCTGCTACCTTTAAGAGATTATCTTCAAGTCTTTTAGAGTACTTAATGTATACCTGTTATCTCGCCTATTCCTCTTTCCCTTTTCTCTTCTCCTCTTCCAGGGATCATTTTTAAGTTTTCCCTTTGTCATTCTTTACAGTTGAATTTCACAGCTATGTAATTCACTTTGTTGAAGCTCTGCTTGCATGTGCCTCTAAGGTCCATTTTATTTTTTATAGATAAATCTGCTGATATTTGACATGGCTGGCGGAGGATTTGAATTACTTCAAGACTTTATGACAGTCAATATGGAACTTGGGAATCCCTTCAGAGTACAGGTACAGTAGTGAGTACTTCATTCTTACTTCTCAGAGTACTTGTACAGTAATGTGTTCTACTGATACGGAACCATGAAAAACACCGTATTTAAAGTAGTAAGTAAATTAAAATTTGCTCGAATCTCTGACAGAGACACACACAGACCTCCCTAAGCAGGGCACATGCCAGTAAATTGGAAAAAGACAAATATAGTCCCCATATATAACAAGGGCAAGAGCCGAGAGGCACAGAATTAAGATAAGATAAGATTTCGTTCGGATTTTTAACCCCGGAGGGTTAGCCACCCAGGATAACCCAAGAAAGTCAGTGCGTCATCGAGGACTAACTTATTTCCATTGGGGTCCTTAATCTTGTCCCCCAGGATGCGACCCACACCAGTCGACTAACACCCAGGTACCTATTTGCTGCTAGGTGAACAGGACAATAGGTGTAAGGAAACGTGTCGGAATTTCCACCCGCCGGGAATCGAACCCGGGCCTTCCGTGTGTGGAGCGGGAGTTTTAGCCACCAGACCACCGGGCCACCAATTAGAGGCCAATGTGTCTGATATTGTGTACTATCTAAAGCATTTGAAAAAAAAAACTGAGGAAAAGGATATTGGAGCATTTGGGAGAAGAAAAACTGTTTACAGACAACCAGGAAAGATTATGGGATGGAAAAACCCTGGTCTTACGAATTTGCTGGAGTTTACGACAGAATCGGAGGCCGTTTTCTTAGACTACAACGACGAACATGATACACTACTACACCAGAGATTTCTTCCATTATTTTTACATAAATGATTCTCAAAAGTTTTTCAATTAAATAATGTAGTTTACACACTGTTCAGGGAACAATGTAGTTTACACACTGCTCAGGGAACAATGTAGTTTACACACTCAGGACAGTAGTTTCACATGTTAGGAACAATGTAGTTTACACACTGCTCAGGGAACAATGTAGTTTACACACTGTTCAGGGAACAATGTAGTTTACACACTGCTCAGGGAACAATGGAGTTTACACACTGCTCAGGGAACAATGTAGTTTACACACTATTCAGGGAACAATGGAGTTTACACACTGTTCAGGGAACAATGTAGTTTACACACTGTTCAGGGAACAATGTAGTTTACACACTGCTCAGGGAACAATGTAGTTTACACACTGTTCAGGGAACAATGTAGTTTACACACTGTTCAGGTAACAATGTACGAGCCACAGCCCGGCTGATCAGGAACCGACTTTAGGTGCTTGTCCAGTGCCAGCTTGAAGACTGCCAGGGGTCTGTTGGTAATCCCCCTTATGTATGCTGGGAGGCAGTTGAACAGTCTCGGGCCTCTGACACTTATTGTATGGTCTCTTAACGTGCTAGTGACACCCCTGCTTTTCAGTGGGGGGATGTTGCATCGTCTGCTGCTAGTTTTAGCACTGGGTTATTCTGGGTTGCACTGGGTTGCTCTGGGTTGCACTGGGTTACACTGGGTTGCTCTGGGTTGCTCTGGGTTGCTCTGGGTTGCACTGGGTTACACTGGGTTGCTCTGGGTTGCTGTCCTACCATTAGAGAACAGTGGATGGAACCATCTCCATACCTGGCGCTGAGTGAGCCGCACCGCTTGATGTTCCATGTGAATATAATCATTCTAACAACATTTTTAACATGTTGTGTATTCATATTATCCTGCGCTACCCTCCACCATCAGTATTGGGTGCACAATAAACTAGCTACTAGCGTCCACAAGATGGTTATGGGGTACACAAACTAGCCATTACCGTCCACAGGATTTAAGTTAGTAAGTTTATTCAGGTATACACAAATACGGTTACATAGAATTATCATACATAGCAGCATATGTGTAGAGAACCTGGGATAACCCAAAAAAGTCAGACAGAGAGACTTATTTCCATTGGGGTCCTTTTACCTTATTATTATAATATAAAGGTTATAAAATGTTCTTATTATTCTACAATGAAGATAACATCTTATTATTATACTAAAAAGACTATCAACTACACGAGGGTCATTACTAGCAATAAGGTAAAATTTACACGTATGTTAGCTAAAAGAATAGAAAATTATTCCCCTCCCTTTCTGTAGCTACATTCATCAGACACCTTTTGGCACTCTTCTTGAACTGGTTCATGCTATGACTGGCTTTGACATGTGCGGGCAGTCTGTTCCATTCCTTTATTACTGTACAATAAAAGGTGTTTGACGCCTGGCCACTGACTGTGGCTACTACAAAGTTGTGCTCTCTCCCCCTAGTACTATGATTGCTTTGGTTCCCAACCTTGACAAAATTGACAGCAAGATATTCTGGACATTGTTTGTGAGCAATTTTATAAACATGACTTAGCTTCAGTTGTTTTACTCTGTCTTCAACATTCAGCATATCCAACTGCTGTAATTCATCCTGGCCTACATGTTCTCTTGGTCCCAGCCCCAGGATGAATCTTACGATTTTGTTCTGGGTGATTTGCAGTCTATCTTTCAGTTTTTTTGTCAAGGCAGAGTACCATGAAGAGCAATCGTAATCTATATGGCATTGTATAAGGGCTAGACATAGGGTCCTGCGAGCCTCAGTAGGTAGACACTGTGCTTGTCTATACAGGAACTTCAGTCTGGCATTCGCTTTCTTTACTACACTGTTCCCTATCAATTCTCCTGACATGCATGGGTCAACGGGGATTCCCAGATATTTTACTGAAGAAACCAAAGTGATGGGCTCCCCATTACACTGAACATTAAAATTATTTACCCTTCTCAGTTTATGTTTCGTGCCAAAGAGAATGGCTTCAGTTTTCCCGAGGTGTAATGATAGTTTGTTGTCTACTAACCATTTGCTGCAGGACTCCAGCTATATCTTGTGGATCTTTACCTGACACTAACAGGGCACTGTCATCTGCATACAGTAGGAGTTTGCACTTGACACTGATAGGCATGTCATTGACATAACATAAGAATAATAAGGGACCCAGAATACTACCTTGGGGAACTCCGCATGTTATAGGCAGGGGTTCTGATTCCGTTTTGTTGATTTTGACTATTTGTCTCCTGTTGCTAAGGTAGGACTTAAACCAGTCTACAGAACCTATACCGATAGCTTGAAGTTTTTTACATAATATATTGTGGTTGACAGTATCGAAGGCCTTTTGCAGATCCTATGAGGTTCCCCTTTGACATTTCAGTTCTCAGGTAATCCATCAGATTAATTAGGGAGGTGTCGGTTGAGTAGGATCTTCTAAAGCCCGATTGATAGCTATGAAGAATGTTGTTGTCATTAAGGTACTTAACTACTTGAGAATACACCGCCCTCTCTAGAATTTTAGATGTTATACTGAGTATACTAACAGGCCTATAGTTGCTGACATCAGACCTACTATTTTTCTTGAAGATAGGAGTTAACTCTGGCCTCCTTGAACCCCTCTGGTACGGTATTAGTGGTGATTGATAGATTTATTATGTGAGCAATAGGGACTGACAGTTCAGAAGCACCATCTTTTAGGAACTTAGACGGGATGTTATCAGGGCCTGTGCTCTTAGCTGGGTTTAACCTGCTTAGTTTTTTTTGTATAAAGTCATGAGATACACTTACTAGTTGACAACTGTTTGGGGTTACCCCTTTATTGATATAGTATGTTTGAAACTTATCAGACACTGTGTTAAAGGTATTTGATGCAGCTGGTAGTTTACTTACTAGTGTTGATGCAACAGATGTGTAGTAGGAATTAAAACAATTTGCCACCTTAGATGTTTCGTGGCATACCTCATTATCGATAGTGAGTACTATGTTAGACCTATCTACTGGCTTATGGCTATACCCCAACTGTTTTAGTTGTTGCCAGAGCTTTCTGGGGTTATGCTTATACTCTTCAATTTTTGAGCAGTAGTGCTTTGCCTTTGCTCCTTTTATAAGTCTCTGTACTCTGTTCCTCACCCTTTGGAATTCATTTAGTGCTGCAATATCCTGTCTGTTTGCTTTAAATCTTTTTAGCAGCTGGTCTCTGAATTTCATATTATCTAATATCTCAGTATTCATCCAGGGTTCAGTTCTTCGTTTAATCCTAACCTCTTTAACTGGTACAATATTATCAAGGATGGTAGTGAACATTGTTTTGAATTTTTCCAAGGCATCGTTTACGTCCGTGCAACTTGTTATCTCTCTCAACAATAAAAGCCAATGTAAATACTATAATGATCCACAGCTACGCAATCTAACACATGCAGCTAGGAGGATTGGTAAAGCATACCGTGAATGTAGAACCCCAGACCTTCTCAGAACGTTCCAAGCTGCACTAACAAATGCAAGGAATAGAAAGCAAGAACTTAGGCAACAGGAATGGGAACAGTTTGTTAGTGGATTAAATAGGTCCACCCCTTTAAGTTTGGCTTGGAAAGGTATAAATAAAATGACCAGGAAAAAGACTGGTAATGTTGCTCATCCCTTTCCTCTTGAAAAAGCAAATGACCTCATAAATGACTGGTCCAAAACATCCAGGCATGAAAACCTTCCATCTCATATTAGAAAAAATTTAGAGAGTACTTCTGAAGAAATGTTGAAACTGATTAATTTTATGAGCCAAAATATTGATGAGAGTGATTGCCTCTTTACCGAGTATGAATTAGATAATGCATTAACTAAAGGTCGATCAACTGCTCCTGGAGAGGATGGTATAACCTATGATATTCTCAGAACTCTAAGGCACGTGCCTGATAACCCTTTGTTGGCACTGTATAATCTCAAGTTACATTGAGGGCGTTCTTCCTACTTCCTGGACTAATAGTCTCATTGTGCCTATCCCTAAGCCCCAACAGCCTGATACATTTAGGCCGATCTCCTTAACTAGTTGTCTTTGTAAAACTTTTGAAAGAATGATACTTAACAGACTGTACTACAGAATCAGACACCAACTTTTCCCTACCTCTATGGGTTCATGAAAGGTAAAAGTGTGCAGAACTGTATTTCCACCTTTCTCACTGCACACACCTCTACTAGTTTTACCACTTTCCTTGATCTAAAATCTGCATTTGATATTGCGAACAGAACCATTATACTACATGAACTAGCCAAAATGAATATTGGTGGTAGCTTACTCTGCTGGATAATAGGATACCTGTCAAATAGAGTATCCTCTGTCCTTTACCAAGGCTTCAGAAGTGATTCTAAAGAAATGTCTTTAGGTACACCGCAGGGAGGAGTTCTTAGTCCCATGCTATTTAATATTCTGATTAATGCTCTCCTAAATGCTCTACCTGCCTCACCTAAACATATAGCTATAAGCTATGCTGATGATATCATGATCCATACAAGTTACAACAGGGCATAAGAAGATGAGTACCACTCTTAATGAAGTTCAAGCAATTTGTAACTGACTAGGCCTCATAATATCCTCCTCTAAAACAGATACATTAACAAGCAAACGACATCCCCCACCCATCTATTTGCAGGGTGAAAACATTAGCTACGTTAAAACTTACAGATATCTTGGTGTAGATGTACCCTTTAACAAATCCACTATACCACAACTAAACAAGAAATGCAAAGATAGGCTAAATGCTCTCAAAGCTGTTGCTGGCTACAACCCCAACTATGGTGCTAATGTGAGAATCGTAAGAATGATGTACATAGTGTATGAGTGTGTGTGTGTGTGTGTGTGTGTATGAGTGTGTGTGCGTGTATGAGTTTGTGTGTGTGTGTGTGTGTGTGTGTGTGTGTGTGTGTGTGTGTGTGTGTATGAATTTGTATGTGTGTGTGTGTGTGAGAGAGAGAGAGAGACTCAGCAATCAACATTTGCACCAATAACTCACTACAGTTGTGACCGGGTGTGGAAGTGTGAATTGCTCATTACTCTAAAATTTGTTCATGATTGCAGCCATGTATAAACGTAAGTAACCATTCTTACAGTATTCATTACCTTTGTAACTTGTGAGTTCATTACCTTTGTAACTTGTGAGTTCATTACCTTGTACCTAGTTCAGCCATCAAAACTTTGGAGCCCGGTCCCTGGACCCATTGTGTACCTCTGTAATCTGTAAATACCTTTGTAACTTGTCATGATTGTGACTAGACCTACCTGGAGTTCATTACCTTTGTAAATTGTGAGTTCATTACCTTTGTAAATTGTGAATTCATTACCTCTGTAACTTGCTCAGCTATCAAAACTTTGAGGCCCAGTCCCTGGACCCATTATGTACCTCTGTAATCTTTTGACTACCGCCCACAGGATGGGTATGGGGTGCATAATAAACATATTAAACTAACTAACTAACATAGCCTATGTTAGGTCCTTAATTCATTATGCTGCTCCCATGTTGATATTAGCTAGAGAAAGTTCTCTCCGACCCTTGGAGTTAATGCAAAATGAAGCTCTCAGGATTATTCTTGGCTGTCCCAGATCTACAAAAGTTCTTAACATGAGGAAGGAGCTTGGTATTTCTAGTATCAGTGATAGGATTATTGAGATTAACACTGTACTCGGTATTAGAATGTTGAGAAACGAACCAGACACTGTCACAATGAACCTTACCAAGTGTCTAGAGGTAAATACACACAGATCTAAATGAATTGCTATGGATCCCATCACACATTGGATTACTCCTTCATGATAAAGTTGATATGTTAGCCAAGAAGAGTACCCAGAAGGAGAATGTAGAATATAACTTTGGTATAACTGTGTCTAGCATTAGGAATAATATTAGGAGAGAAGTAAATAATGAAGATGATTGTTATAGGAATGCAGTTAGAAGCCTGAGTAGATCTATAACCCACTATGATAACATGAACGTAGATAAGTATGTTTATGGAGCAACTTGCAATGTGAACAGACTGACTGATGTAGTGGCCAGGCTTAGGCTTGGTTACAAGTACTTCTGGCAGTTTGGGAGACACACAGATGATGATCAAACTAAATGTAAATTATGTGATCAGGCATATGGTCACTCTCTTGAACACTATGTGCTTAACTGTCCACTTATTGAAGAATACAGAGACAGACAGTAAAATAACCTATGTGACATGTCAAGATATCTTATTAATGAAAATAAGATACCAGATATACTAAGCAAATTTCCTAAATTTGCTTGTAACAGATAAGTGAACTATAGATATGTAGATATAAATCCATATGTATTCCTGTTAACCCTTTAGGGCCTAGTTCCTGGGCCTTTTGTGTATCCATATGCTCTTGCGCTACCGTCCACAGGATGGATATGGGGTGCACAATAAACTAGCCACTTCGGTGGCAAAATCTAATCTGCCCAGTCACAATTGTGTAGCCTATTTACCAGTGTTTCTTTACTGTAGTTTCTAGTTGACCTCATTTTTATTGTCCTGTGTAGGCCTATCCTATCCCTAGTAATTTTCCTGGTGCAGTAAATGATGAAATGATCACTAAGACCTGTGGTAATGACGCCTGACTGACTAATGTTCTCAGAGCGGTTACAAAGTATGTGGTCAATTAGGGTGGCTGAGAACTGTGTGATCCGGGTTGGTGTATTAATTAGTTGAGTGTAACTATTTAATCCTAGAATTTGCTTATACCTTTTGCATAGCCCGTTATTTTGCTGCTGAAAACATATATTGAAGTCGCCCAGTATTATTGTCTCGCAATTGTTTTCAAGTCCGGACAATACTCTGGAAAAGTCTTCTAAGAACTGGTCCTGGGTAGGAGGGCGGTAACTAGTTCCTACTAAGATGGGTTTGCTCTTGGGAAGCAGCACTTCAAACCATAGAATCTCCAGTTTATGTTATTTAAATCAGGTCTTGGGTTGTAAGCTAAGTCATTTCTAATGTAGGCACATACTCCACCACCCTTTCTGTTCCTATCTAAGCGTTTTATATTGTAACCATCTATTTTGACCTCGTCGTCAGTCACCGTATCATCCAACCAAGATTCAGAGATGGTTATAACTGCCGCCCTAATTTTGTTAGCTAGAATCCTAATCTCTGCCAATTTAGGAAGAAGTGATCTTGCGTTGACATGAATAAAGTGAAGGCCTGTTTTCATAAAACAATCATAATCATCAATATATGGCAATGGGTCATTTGTATTAAAATCAGGTAAATCAATGTCATCACTGCTAAAGGGTAACTGTGCCAAAGTGCATTTGTTACACACAAAATGAATTCTGGCACCGTTGCTATAATTGTACATAGATCCATCATGCACCCACCCCTTACATATTTTACATAAGGTGCCTTTTCTGTTTTTCATGCGTACTTTAGTACAGTGTATGCACCTGTTTGGTAGTGTTTGAGATAATAATGTAAAGTAAAAGGACACAAGTGCAACTAATGTGACATTTATTGTGGCAACGTTTCGCTCTCCAGGAGCTTTATCAAGCCATTACAAACAATACATGGACACAGAGGGTATATAAAGGCTCAGAGTGAGGTGAATACTAGTGAGGTACCATTTCGATGTTCACTAGTGGTAGTAGTAGTAGTAGTAGTAGTAGTAGTGGTAGTGACAAAAGTAATACAATATGGTAGAGCAATTAATTCGTACATGAGTAAAAGGATATAAAAGCTATTACTTGGGTAATGGCTGTATTGTCTCACATTGACCTATGTATGCATTACATATGGAGTTAAGGTTATCATTCCTAGCTACTAGACCGTCATTATCGCCGTCATTTATCTGTCTGTTTTGCCTCTGCACAATAGTTTGAGGTCCTGGATTAATTTGGATATCACCACTTAAGAGCACTACAATAAGAGCTGTGTGCCACTGTTTTTTTTTTGGGTATGCGGTGTTGCCATACCTTGCGGCGATAGTGACATTTACTTTTCTGGTAGGATGGCATATTGGATACTGGATATTGGATACTTGGATATTGGATACTCAATAAACTAGCCACAGGATGGTTATGGTGTACAAAAAATAGGCACTAGCGTCCACAGGATGGATATGGGGTTAGACGAACTAGCCACTAAGTATGAACAATTAACTAGCCGCACCAGCGGCACATATCTAACACTGTTATAATGGATAATGTTGGCTGCAGATGATCCTGTACCAGGACACGTCACTGGTCAACGAGAAGGTTATAAGTGAGGAAGCCAAGTCTCTGGGATACACTCACCTGGCCATCACTGCTGCACACTTCCTCCTCCTTCATAACTCTCTGGGTGTTGCTCTGCAGTAACCCACACCGCCCACAACCCACCACAACCCCCAAAACCCACCCAACCCCCAACCCCACCACACCGCCCAAAAACCCACCCAACGCCCAAACCCCCCCCCGCCCCAAAACCCCCCACAACGCCCAAACCCCACCAACCGCCCAAAAACCCACCACACCGCCCAAACCCCACCAAAACCCCCCAAAAACCCACCCCACCCCCACAACCCCACAACGCCCAACCCCCCCACCCCGCCCACAACCACCACAACGCCCAAAAACCCCCCACCACAACGCCCACAACCCCCACACGCCACAACCACCACAACCCCCAAACCCACCACAACCCACAACCCAACAACGCCAAAAAAAAAAAAAAACCACCACACGCCCACAACCCACCACAACGCCCACAACCACCACAGCCCAACCCATCACGCCCACAACCCACCACAACGCACAACCACCACACCGCCTAAACCCACCAAACACCGCCCAAAAACCACCAAAAACGCCACAACCACCACCGCCCAAACCCAACAACGCCAAACCCACCACACGCCCAACCACCACACCGCCACAACCAGCAACGCCCAAACCCACCACAACCCCCACAACCCACCACACGCCCACAACCCACACACGCCCACAACCCACCACAACGCCACAACCCACCACAACGCACCACAACCACCACAAGGGCCACAACCCACCACACGCCACAACCACCACACCGCCCACAACCAAACCACACCGCCCAACCACACACGCCACAACCCACCACAACGCCCCACAACCCACCACACCGCCAAAAACCCCACACCCGCCCACAACCCACCACCGCCCACAACCCACCACACCCCCCACAACCCACCCCCCAAAACCCCCCACAACCCCACAACGCCCAAAACCCCACCCACACCGCCCACAACCCACCAAAACGCCCACAACCCACCACAACGCCCAAAACAACCCAAAACCAAACACCCCACAACCCACCACAACGCCCAAAACCCCACCACACCGCCCACAACCCCCCACCCCCGCCCAAAAACCCACCACAAACGCCCACAACCCACCACAACGCCCACAACCCACCACACGCCCACAACCCACCACACGCCACAACCCCCAAACCACCCGCCCACAACCCACCACACCGCCCCACAACCCACCACCCGCCCACAACCCACCCCCCGCCCACCTCACAACTAAACATCTCGTTGCTTATGAATTTTATTAACTTAAGTCAATATATTTCACAGAAAAAAAAACATTTATTTAAAGAAACCTTTTTTATAAATAAATAATTTTTTATAATTGTATTTTTCTTTACCTTTTAACAACAATTATGATGAACCAAGTGGCGAGTGATGTATATATTCTGAGATATATTCTGAGATATATTCTGAGATATATTCTGAGATAAACACTGTATTTATACTTGAAATACATTTATCACTTGATTATATTCACCTGGGAGCACTAAACCCAAATGAGACCTACATAAATGGGTATATATTCCTTTACTCCTTCAAAGTTTGGGAATTTCACAGTGGGACTGGCACTGACCAGTACTGTTATTACAGGGTTTGTTAATCACAGTGGGACTGGCATGGGCATGTTTATTCAGTGGGTTTTTTTTCACAGTGGGGACTGGCATGCCAGTTTGTTATTACAGTGGTTTTTCAATCCAGTGGGGCGGGACTGACCAGTGTTGTTATTACAGTGGTATGTTCAATCACAGTGGGACTGGCACTGACCAGTGTTGTTATTACAGTGGTATGTTCAATCACAGTGGGACTGGCACTGACCAGTGTTGTTATTACAGTGGTATGTTCAATCACAGTGGGACTGGCACTGACCAGTGTTGTTATTACAGTGGTATGTTCCATTATTCACCAGTGCGACTCGCACTGACCACTGTTGTTATTACGTGGTTCATGTTCATCACAGTGCGACTTGCATTCGACCAGTTGTTGTTATTCAGTGGATATGTCAATCACAGTGGGAACTGCACTGACCATGTTGTTTTACAGTGGTAGGGTTCAATCACAGTGGGACATGGCACTGACAGTGTTGTTATGACTGTGGATGTCCTCAATCACAGTGGGAATGGCCTGCCAGTGTTGTTACAGTGGTGTTCGATCACAGTGGGACTGGCACTGCCAGTGTTCGATTACAGTGGTTCATGGTTCATCACAGTGGGACTGGCAACTGCCAGTGTTGTTATTACAGGGGTTCATGTTGGCAATCACAGGGGAATGGCTACTGACAGGGTTGTTATTACAGTGGTATGTTCATCACATGGGGATGGCACGGACCTGTGTGTTATTACAGTGTATGTCATCCAGTGGGACTGGCAGGACGTGTTAGGATTACGTGGTATGTTCAATCACAGTGGGACTGGCACGACAGTGTTGTTATGTACAGTGGTATGTTCAATCACAGTGGGAATGGCATGACCAGTGTTATTACATGTGGAAGTTCAATCACAGTGGGACTCGGCACTGACAGTGTTGATTGACAGTGGTGCAGGGTTCACAGTGGGACTGGCACTGACCAGGTGTGTTATTACATGTGGGTAGTGTCAATCACATGTGGGGACTGGCACTGACAGGTTGTATTACAGTGGTATGTTCAATCGTGGGACTGGCACTGACCTAGGTTGTTATACAGTGGTATGTTCATTCAGTGGGACTGGCACTGGTCAGTGTGGATTACAGTGGTATGTTCAATCACAGTGGGACTGGCACTGACCAGTGTTGTTATTACAGTGGTAGGTTCAATCACAGTGGCTGGCACTGACCGGTTGTTATGACTGTGGTAGTTCAATCTCAGGGGTCTGGCACTGACCAGTGTTGTATTACAGTGGTTAGATGTCAATCACGTGGGACTGGCACTGACCAGTGTGTTATTACAGTGGTGGGGGTTCACTCACAGGGTTGGTACTGGCACTGGCAGTGCTGTTATACAGTGGTAGGTTCAATCCAGGTGTGATGGTACTGACCAGTGCTGTTTTACAGTGGTGGGGTCCTCAGTGTGATTCATATACAAAACTCCTCTCCGGATACTATTTCATATTTTCAGTTCTCTCGAGCTTTGCGCCAGCTTATATGTCAGAATTCTCTGGAGTGGTTCAGTCTTTTATGTTCTCTGATAAATATATTTAGGAGCAACGAGGGTTAATGATTAGAGAGGGTGAGCTAGGGGTTCAGGATGGCTGGCGAGGGTTCAAGATGGCTGGCGAGGGGTTCAAGATGGCTGGCGAGGGGTTCAAGATGGCTGGCGAGGGGTTCAAGATGGCTGGCGAGGGGTTCAAGATGGCTGGCGAGGGGTTTCAAAGATGCTGGCGAGGGGTTCAAGATGGCTGGCGAGGGGTTCAAGATGGCTGGCGAGGGGTTCAAGATGGCTGGCGAGGGGTTCAAGATGGCTGGCGAGGGGTTCAAGATGGCTGGCGAGGGGTTCAGAGATGGCTGGCGAGGGGTTCAAGATGGCTGGCGAGGGGTTCAAGATGGCTGGCGAGGGCGTTCAAGATGGCTGGCGAGGGGTCATAGATGGCTGGCGAGGGTCTCAGATGGCTGGCGAGGGTTCAAATGGCTGGCGAGGGGTTCAAGATGGCTGGCGAGGGGTTCAAGATGGCTGGCGAGGGGTTCAAGATGGCTGTGTTGGTTAGGAATCTTAGAACCTTATTTAGGCACAGGTACACATAACTATGGTTACGCAAATTTAGGTGAATTATAATAATTATACTTGGAGAAGATTTCGGGGATCAACCCCCCCACGGCCTGGTCTGTGACCAGGCTGTTACTGCTGGTCGCACGCGGACGACGTACGAACCACAGCCCGGCTGGTCAGGTACTGACTTTAGGTGCCTTTCAAGCACGTTTTGGAAGACAGCCTGGGGTCTATTAGTAATCACACCCCTCCCCCCTATGTCTTCTGGGAGGCAGTTGAACAGTCTTGGGCCACTGACACTTACTATCTCCAAGCGTACCCGTGGTGCCTCTTCTTTTCAGTGGACGTTGCATCGCCTGCAGTCTTTTGCAGAAGCGTCGCTAGAGTTAGTGTCACCCGGGGCGGAATCTCTGGTGTCACACCCATGAAATTCAAGGCCGGGGGGTGATGGGGGGGTGAACTCCAGTTACGTCACTACTGCATGACCAGTTACGTCGCTACTGCATGACCAGTTACGTCACTACTGCATGACCAGTTACGTCACTACTGCATGACCAGTTACGTCACTACTACAATACAGTTACGTCAATATGCATGACCAGTTACGTCACTACGATGACATTACGTCACTACTGCATGACCAGAACGTCACTACTGATGACCATTCGTCACATGCATGACCAGTTACGTCACTACTGCATGACCATAACTAATGATAAATAATATAATCGTAGTAATATTGAGGAACATAAACTAATACCCACTTGAGTACACAACACATCCTCACAATCATCTATTGTCACATTGCAAAAACAAAACAAAAACTTTGAAAATAAAGAAAAATCATAGCAAACAGAGATTACTATTCCTATTTGAGACCTTGGTACAGGTAACATCTCAGTGAATCTTGATCTTACATTACCTTCCTGGCCTCATCCTGCAAAATCATCTATCACATCACAAAATCATGATTTTCCTATATAGTGCCTATTTCGTACTTTAATAATATAATTAGGCTATATTAGAAACGAAGGATTTTTCTCTATGTTGGAGTGCAGCACTGTTTTGTCATTAGTGTCTCCTATTAGAATCTGTGTGTCACCCCGAAATGGTCGTTCCACTTGGGCCCCCCCCTCCTTACGACGCCCCTGGTTTTGCTTTCGTTGGGAGTGATTTTCGTGTACAAATTTCCGACTAGTCCTTCTAGATAACCTAGTAAGTTATCTAGGCTAACTCTAGAAAGTCAAAGTGACTTATATGTATGTTTGAAGAGTGACTTACAATGCTACTTTTACTAGTGTTTATGTCTGACTACTTCAGAAGCTAGACAGTACCAGGAAAACTGGACCGTAATACCATCTTGTAGGAGGAAGTTCTGGTTACGATGGTGGTATCTAGGTAGTAGTGTTGTCGAGTGCTTCTACCCACCACCAGCAATATTACCATCACTAGGATATTTATCCATTCCACCACCACCAATAACATTACAACCAATAAAATCACTACCATCAATTACATTACCCATTCCACCACCAGCAGCACCACACTCTTGGCACATATTCTAGTAATTTCCTCATTTTAGTGTAAAATGGTGGGTGTTGTAGGTTGTATCCTAGACAAGGGTCAAGGAACCCTAATGGAAATAAGCCACACTGCTTGGCTTTCTTGGGTTATCCTGGATTAATATTGTATAAGTAGTGACAACGAGGTTAGTGACACTGTACAGTGGTAACGAGATTACAGTGACACTGTATAGTGGTAACGAGGTTACAGTGACACATTGTACAAGAAGTGATAACGCAGTTACAGTGACATTGTACAAGCAGTGATACTGACGTTACAGTAACATTTGTAATCCCAGACAGGTGGTTCCTGTTCACTGTTTGCACTTGCTATGTGTTTTTACACCAGTGTGTGCAGTGTACACCTGTTGTGGTTACACTTGTGTGCAGTGTACACCTGTCGTGGTTACACTTGTGTGCAGTGTACACCCGTTGTAATTGAACCTAATGTGTGTATGCTGTGTAATACCTCAATCTACCCATGCCAATGTATATTGAAAATGTATATTTTAAACCCAATATTTAGACAAATTGCGAGGAAAATCTCGTTTACATTTCATGTCTCATTTAGTATAAAAAAAGGCCCAAAATGGCAAAGCATTTTAGTACCAGTGTTACATTGCAGTGGAGCAGACAGGAGTCTACGTGGAAGCTGCTGTACCTGTGGGCGACGGTACTGACGGTGCTGCAGGTGGTACATCACTGCTGGTGGTGGTGGAAGGAAGATGTACACTCTAGCCAGCCTCCTGCTGGTGACCTCACTCTTATCCGGCCATCACCATCCTCCTGCAGTGAGTGTCCTACCATCACTATTGATACCCCCCTCTCCTGTCAGTAGTGCTTGCACAATCCATTTCCATCTTTCCCTCCCTCCCTAGGGTTTCTCTACAGCTGCAACACCTAGTTTCACCTTCACAACAGTTTACTACAAAAACATAAGGACATGTGTCCTTAATAAAGCTAGCTTCTGCGGGCGAAACATCTCAGTAAAAACATATTCATGTTGCAAATGTGTCTTAGTCATTAACTTTTCTATATTATAAATTATTTAAAGTCAATTAGTTTGTTACTCTTGTTGCGCACCCAGTAAACTTTGTTGCGTCACACGACGGTGGCTAATACTCTTGTTGCGTCACACCAGACGGTGGCTAATACTCTTGTTGCGTCACACCTGACGGTGGCTAATACTCTTGTTGCGTCACACCAGACGGTGGTCTAATCCTTTGTCAGAACACTTTCCGTCACTCAAACTCTACTCTAATAGCCACTTAAAATATCAGGTCATTATATTGTGGAAAGTGATGTACAATATGAGGGAATACACTTAATTACACTAATAATGAAAGTTTGAGGGAATAGTCAGGGTTATGGAGAGGAAAATAATATGTATAAATGGGGGAGGGGGTTATTACAATGATTTGTTACACACACAAATAACCCGCACATAAAAGAGAAGCTTACGACGACGTGTATCGTTCCAGTCACGGTATTGTGCCTTTTTTTGTTATTTATTACACAGTTGTGAGACTTGAAAATACAAACCAGACTGACAAATATGAAAACAGATAGTGCACTTTGCCAGTTTCCTTGAGAGAACATCAGCCTCACTGCCTCTCCTACAGCCTCGCCTCTAATAATGTTGGTAGAATTTAGTAGAATTTCCATACAAAGAGACCAGTCCCATCGTTCTCCCTCTCGCCATTCTGTTTTCGTAGCAGCTCTGTTGCTCCTCCCAAGCTAATCACTTGTATTGGTACGTACATTAGAGTTTCAGATCAATATAAGTTTCCTTAGGGGCAGGTATACCAAAACCCAGGTCAACACTTCTTAACAGACGAGGAAACAGAGCCAACAGTGACATCATAACGTCTTCATAAAGGGGAGAATAAAACCAACAGATAACGAGACAAGAATACCGAGTTGCTCTCTGTACAAATTATAAAGCTTAAACACTCAAGATTCCATCTGAAGAGGATGATGAGGCTGGAGTAACATGGCGAGTGATGTGATGCTTCACCTGACTTAATACTTGATAATGTTTAAGAACAAGAAGGCATAATACTGTGGCTGGAACAATACACAGATAACCAGTACATAGGAGAAAGAAGCTCATGACGCTACTTTCTCTTGTGTACAGGTTGTGTAATATTTACAACTCAGAAAATAACCATCACTTTTGTAATGTATCTTGCTATATTACCCGTCAGTGATCACAACACTAACTTGTGATGTGTTGTGAGGGCAGGCGAGTGTGTGCGTCACGCACTGCGTCATCCGCTGATCTGGCACGACAAGCGTTTAATAAGTCACCTGCGAGACACTACAGAGGTGGCACCGCGGGCACTTGGGCATGACCTTGATCCTCACCACCCGCCCTGGGCACACATACCTTCATACAACGTCACAGAAGAAAACATCAGGAATATTCTTCAGAGACAGGTGTTTGTATGAGCGTGATGTAACTAGGTAATGTATATTTCTCATGATTAGTGCATGCAGGATCGAGGCTGCAACACTTGTGATGAATGACCCAAACGAGTTTAACGCTTTACTATACGAGATGGTAAGTAATATTTTTTAATTTCTCCCTTTCAATGTTCCAAAATATTTGTGTACTCATCCATGAAGCAATGTAGCGAATTTGACGTGTAAATATAGATACAGTAAGATATTTGTTTAACATATATCGGGATCTACATTCTTAAAAACATGAAATTAGGAGAAGGCAGAAGTATCATGTGGGAGTTCGAACACGTGGATTGGGTAAAGTAATACTCACGTAGGCTGGTAGTACGTATAATTACAGATAATGTGGGGAGCGCCCTTACAGCCGTAACCTATCTCTCTTGCTCACTCTCGTCAACTGACTGGCCGCCCACAGTACCCATATGTGAGGGGGTCTTTGAATACTGCTAGGTCAGCACAATATGAATAGACAGTGACTCAGGCAGAGACGGTTGGTAGTGAGTCAACTACGGTACACTGGTTACTGGTAACTGGTTACTACTACTGAGCTCGGCGACGCTAACGTATGTCGTCCCGACATACAACTAATACAAACTAGAGATGGCAGGTGTACGGCTTGGGCTGATTGGCGTTCACTTCCACAGTCTGGCTTACTGACTGGCTTAATTGCAAAATCCGGGTCAACCCCTCAGAGATTGAAGCAATTAGCACACGAACTAAGCCAGGAAGCTTGAAACGGCTGCAACAGGCTTGCAGGTTGGAGGTTGTGAGGGGAGTAGCTGGTGGGTGAGACGGTTCACCTTTGACCCTGCCGGCTACTCACAAACAGTCTTCTAACGTCTTGAATTACCCGTAAAAACTAAATCCACGCTCCACACCGCTGGCACCATTTATCATGTGGGAGTTCGAACACGTGGATTGGGTAAAGTAATACTCACGTAGGCTGGTAGTACGTATAATTACAGATAATGTGGGGAGCGCCCTTACAGCCGTAACCTATCTCTCTTGCTCACTCTCGTCAACTGACTGGCCGCCCACAGTACCCATATGTGAGGGGGTCTTTGAATACTGCTAGGTCAGCACAATATGAATAGACAGTGACTCAGGCAGAGACGGTTGGTAGTGAGTCAACTACGGTACACTGGTTACTGGTAACTGGTTACTACTACTGAGAGAAGCGTCTTCCAGGACGCGGATAAAACTATGGAGGTGGTGGTTGAATGTTCTGCCAGTGAGCTACAAGTCCATCACCCCCACAACATTGATGTTCCTCTACACTTAGAAGTAAATAAGTACCCGGCAGTATGTCGAATGTTGTGGGTGGTAGCTTGGAGAAGGAAAAATCTTGGTGTAAATAAGCCACTCTGCTTGGCTTTGATTATCCAGAGTTATTAACCATCCGAGGTTAATTAGTGCAGCAGTATCCACCAGCGTCCACTACACACATCTACAGGACCCTACAGCAGTATCCACCACACGTCTACAGGACCCTACAATAGTGTCTACCAGCGTCCACCACACGTCTACAGGACCCTACAATAGTGTCTACCAGCGTCCACCACACATCTACAGGACCCTACAATAGTGTCTACCAGCTTCCACCACACATCTACAGGACCCTACAATAGTGTCTACCAGTGTCCACCACACATCTACAGGACCCTACAATAGTGTCTACCAGCGTCCACCACACATCTACAGGACCCTACAATAGTGTCTACCAGCGTCCACCACACGTCTACAGGACCCTACAGTAGTATCCACCAGCGTCCACCACACGTCTACAGGACCCTACAGTAGTATCCACCAGCGTCCACCACACGTCTACAGGACCCTACAGTAGTATCCACCAGCGTCCACCACACGTCTACAGGACCCTACAGTAGTATCCACCAGCGTCCACCACACGTCTACAGGACCCTACAGTAGTATCCACCAGCATCCACCATACTTTACAGGGCCTTAGTGCAGATCCTAATCTAACTTCCTCTAAGGCTATATTTAAAACCCCTCTGACATGATAGCCCCCATGGGCTATTAAGCACTACACAGCTTCACACTCATGTTGCAAATGTAAAAACTACTCAGGATATCCGTGGAAAAGGGACTTCACATCCCATTAACCTCTCCTAGGTACACCAACTTTACATTAGACGCCTGACATCAAGTTAAGCCTGGGACCCCCACAACACACTCATCAACAGCTGCCCCGTCCCGGTCTTGCATGTAAATATTTGGTGTATAAAAAATCCATTAACAATTTACAGACAACACAAGCTTGTTTGGATTCTGATTCAGATTATATGTTTTTTTTTTTTTTACCTTAACGGCCGTCGCCCACCACGGTTGGGTGACCCAGGTAAAGGAAATACAGTCACCATCATTCATTCACTCGCTGGTTTTCCAGCGATGTACATAGTGTATGATATACGTATTGCATTCTTTTTAAGAAAGTATAATTATAGAAATGGTCAGTACAATTTCATTAAAACGTAAGTACGTTTTAATTTTATACATGATTAGTATATGGCTATAATTGTTGCCTGTAGTATGCACGATAATATACACAGAATTGTATGCCTCTCAGTGCTCATAGTTTGTTTCAATATCTGATTTAGAGATTAATATAGTCTTGACTGGTGGTTAGAATAGATGTCTTAATGACCCTCATGTAGTATAGGCTTTCAAAATATTAACCAACCTAATTGTAACTTATACGCTTGTAATATGGTGTTGTGTTGTGTTGTGCAGGAGGGTGGAGTGTTCGTGGAGGTTGGTGCTCAGGATGGAGTGTGGCTGAGCAACACTTGGTGGCTGGAGGCAGCTCGGGGGTGGAGGGGGCTGTTAGTGGAGGCTGATCCACTTAACTATCATCACCTACGTAACTCACCCAGAACCTCACCCACACTACCTGTCTGTGTCACCACCGGCCTAACACCCACACAGGTAAGCCTTCACCCACACTCCCCCAGAACTTCTCCTACACTCAGGTCCTCGCCCACACTACCAGTGTGGGAGATTATTATAACCATGGAGCGCTAAACCCGTAGGATGATACAGCTCATTTGGGGGGGGGGGAATGGAAGGTATTCAGGCTCGATTCAGGGAACCGGAGCACAGATCCAATTCCCTAGATCAAGAGCCCCTCACCAGCATCAAGGAACCTCCCTTGCGGTGAGCCCAGTGTGGGACAGTATACAAGGCAACACCAAACTTACCTTCGGGGGATGGATACCTGAGTTACGCATAATGATTCCCAATCATTTTATATAAGCATGAATCAGTTGTAGCTGGGAAGATACAATTGTTAATGGCCCAGGTCATTCTTGAAATAATATTAAAGCCATTTATTTTCTCAGTTTATGAATAAGCTTCTTTGAAACATATGCAATATGAAGATAAAATTAAAAAAAAAGAGCTTTTATTGGCACAGCTTACAGCTGTGAATAGCTTTAGCAAGTCCAGCTTACCTGTAACATTATTAGCTTAGCTGTGCTCCGTGGCAAAAGCTCTCACTTCACACGGTGAGGGTCCGGGTTCGATTCCCGGCGAAGAGGTGGAAACATCGGACGTGTTTCCTTACAACGGTTATCTATGTTCACCCATCAGTAAAATAGGTACCTGGGTGTTAGTCGACTGGTGTGGGTGGCATCCTGGGTGTTAGTCGACTGGTGTGGGTCGCATCCTGGGACAAAATTAACCTAATTTGCGGGAAATGCTCTAGCATAACAAGGGACTTTCTATATAGTAGTATGTCACTGATGTCAGCTATGACCTGTATACCTTGTACATGTACTTGTAGTAAATAAAGATATTATTTATTAGCTTACCTATAACTTCACTATTAGCTTGGTTGTAATATTTGTAATATTTGAATGTTTATACGAATCATGTTAATGTCATGTTACAAGGTTATTAATATAATGGTAGTAACTGGTTGTCTCATCTACTGTGTACAGGAGAAGTTTGTACGGACACGATCCCCAAGTAAAGTGACCGAGGAAGTCTATCGTAACCAGCTGGGACACTCCAAACTACTCAAGTACGCTACTACTACAGTACGTTCACTCTACCTTACCTTGATGTGGCTGCTGGGGGTCGAGTCGTACGTAGCGTGGTATATGGAAGAAGTACTGGTGTACTGGCTCAAAGTATTTTGCGTTTTGTGAATTCATGGGTAAGAACATGTAAATGTGATTTTTCATAGTTGAAGATGATATTAATGGTGTGCTAATCTCGTTCAGGAAGTGTTGTTTGGTGAGACGTGGACCACCACATGCTACCCTCTCTTCTCCGTGCTCACTGCCAGTAGGTACAGGCAGGTGAGTCATGATGGCTTACTAAACAATACTTGTATCTTCTCACTCTCCAGCCACACGGCACAGTACATACTGTATACACCCAGAGGTGGATTTCTCTCGTCGTATATATCCTGACAGTTTATTTTCATCCCTATTTTAGGGGTTAAAGTATTCCTGTCTGGTGGTGAAAAGGTTACATGTAGCCTTAATGACCCTAGTGTAGTGGACAGGCTTTAAACCCCCATTAACCAACCATCCCCGGCCACACATCATTCCTGTAATAAGCTATCTTACTTTACTAGATATTAGCACTGTATACGTTATGCTAGAACTGGTTACGTTGAGTTCAACTAACCCATTAAACCAATTCTAACAAGATATATAACCGTGCATGATGATCCATGGTACCTACAGGTGAGTACCACACAAATTAGCTAGGAAAAGTAGCATAGATTAAACTTTAGTTAAGTTTGTGAGGTGCAGACATGACCTTAGTCGTCTCAACATTCCATATCAAATGAACATTGTATAAATACTGAGAGGAGTGTATCTCATTGTATATACTGAGCTGTGTATCTTTCAGAATATATATATACACCGAGAAGTGTATATATGCAATTTGTTTTAATCATCTGGTTTTAGTTAACAGTGAGCTTTATTAAACTGTATAGTGGTGAGCAGTTCACTACTGTATCACTACTGTGGAAGGCCTGAGTCAGATGAGCAAAAAGCTCCAGCTGCGGGTCATCATATAACAAGACCCGTGTCAGGAAACACTTGTCCTGTTTCTGATGAATCTTACCTAATTCAGTATTCTCATTATTATTACACACGTAGGGAAGAGTTATATCTGTGAAGGTCATATAGTACCTGATGTCTGACAATCAGGTTTGTTCCGAGGAAGGGAGAATAGCTACAATTCCTTGGATGAAGAGCCTTTCAGCTACATGAATTTCCGCGTCCTTGAAGGGAGTAACTAAGGTCACTGACTTCCTCAGGTTGACCTACTCATCCTGGACGTTTATGGTGGAGGTATGGAGATGACCCTAAACTTCATCACTCGCAATAATCAACTTAAAAACAAGTTCCACGTGCAGGTAACTTAGTTCTATTATCCTAAATAACTTAGTGTTCCTCTAGTAGTCTATTAACGATGGCTTATTTTTAAGCTTTTTAACTTGGTGATAGTATTTGTATTGTTTGTGCTAGTAATTACATTTATGGGGGAGCTCTAAACCTGACCCATACTTACCTTGTATGGGCCAGTAGGCCTGCTGCAGTGGTCCTATTCTTATGTTCTTATCAAGGAACCTTCCTTGAGGGGTGTTTGCGTTAGTAATTCTTATTTTTGCTAGTTTTTTTTCTTTGACCTTAGTTTTTTACCTTGATTATTACAGGCAAGATTGCTGTGTGACCTACCAGGTCAAAACATTCTTCAACTCTCTCACTTTGTCTTCCTGTTCAGTTATTATAGGCGGTAAACTGCATTTATATACTAGGCTTCATTTGCTTTCCATCAAACGACCAAATAGACCAGTTTTAGAGTTACACTTGGTACTGGTCTATTAATTTTATGAAAAGACACCAGTACACATTTTGTTGCCAAGTTTTCACACAATGGTCTATCACGGACTTGTTTTACGAGAACCCTAATTTAGTTATAAAGGATGTGGATCAGTCCGTATCGTACATTAATGATTTGTCAATAAGTACTAAGTAAAAAACCTGTGTACACTAGTGGCTCTATCTTTCAGGATGATTTCGACAAGCCCAATAACTGAGATTCTTCCAAAGGAGTGGGGAGTCAGTCAGCGGTACATCTTTAGTTCACAGTTTATAGGACTAATACGTAGTTAATTTTGTTTCTACATATGATCCTGTACAAGAAGAACGCAACCGAATTATTCACGCCATGAAAGAGTGCATAGGTATTCAGCGGAGGGCACAATCCATTCCTAATCAGATCCTCACACATCCAATGGAACTGTTAATTGTAGGACTTTCTCACAAACACTTGAAATTTAGCTTCAATGCTATTGTGATTTTTCCCAACTTTTAATTTGTTTATTTCTTAGTTCTAAACAGAATTTGTTGAACTATATCAGTTTATTAAACTGCTCAATGATTTTCTTATTGAGCGGAGATACTCGTTACAATATTTTCTTTCATGTATTTACTGGGCACCATCACCTCATTCTTCTTACGATAACCATATACAATAATGAAAACATTTTGCTTCATATTAGAGTTTCCACATTACTTAATCCATACAAGAACTTTTATGTATCGCACTGGATATACCTATACGAAGTTGCCACTGACTACATCCAGACAGCTATGGAAATTAAATGAAAACTGTCGCAATACCTGGTGTGTTGTAAGGCTCGCTCATGTGTTGATCAGTCAAGAATACTGGTTGAGTTACTGTCTTGCTCCCAGCGCCGTCATCTTGCCTCCTAGAAAAAACAGAAACAGGATGTCTTATCTAGCTATGTACTGCTTGCTTATGCAATGCTTCTGGATTCTTGCGATGCATATCTGGTCACCTCACACTACACTACATTGACTGTATCTGCTTGTATTTTGATTAACTGCTTGGTTGATTCATGTTCTGATGTTTTGGATAAAATGACAGTCGACAAGTATGAAGACAAAGAGAGCTGAAAAATAAGCTTTGATTTGGGACGACTTGATAAAGCTGTACAGATGGAAATACCCTATTAAAAGTTTGTTCTTCAACCCGTCTTTGTCTACACCTCAGTGCTATGTTTCTGATGTTTGACGTTACTGTCACAGCATCAGTAATGCTGTTTTACACAATATAAACACAACACACTATTTTGCATAATAGACAGCAGGTTGGTTAACTGGGTTTAAAAACCTATCGGCTACGCAAGCCATTAGGGCTCTATGTAACGTGTTCACAATCCCTAAAATACGGACTGAAGAAAACTTTGAGTGTACTATACAAAGACACTCCTCTGTGTTAGAAAAAAAATAGAATAAAAACAGTCCTACGAGTTGCATTATATTCATGAGGGAGCGCTAAACACGCAAGAGGTTCTACAGTCTGGAGGAACGAGATGCAGTCAGGTTTGATCCAGGGAAGGAGAGGTAGTACCAATTCCGTGGATGAAGAGCCCTTCAATATCATCAAGGAGAGAACTGTATGTCTAGCATGGGAGTAGTGAGACACCGGCTGTCACACCAGCCTAACTTACTTTACCAGGAAAGTTACTTCGGGAGCAACAGGATATATACACCGAGATGTGTATGTTTCTCAGTGTAAATATACTGAGAGTATATATACAGAGAGTAAACGGGTGACAGGTAGTCTTAATTATTGACTCGTGTAGTTGACAGGATTGAAACATCATTACCCCACAAACCAAAGGTTTTATTTAGGACTGGTACACTAAAATGTTCTTTAGCTATTCGACATTACTGTGAATTAAATCTATGACATACTAACCTCAAATACTAATGACTGAATATCGTAGGGATTTATTTTAATAAAAAAGAAGCGCTAAACCCACAAGGGAGGTATTTATTAAAGGTTAATGCGTTAGGCTCACAGCTTATCGACTGTATATTAACCTGTATATCTCCAGTCAGGCCCCTCAAAGGAGGGGCTCTTGATCTAGGGAATTGGATCTGTGCTTCCAACCCCCCCCCCAAGGCGCTGTATAATCCTACGGATTTAGCGCTTCGCCATGATTATAATCTCCAGTCAGAAACCTAATCCAGGGGGGAGGGTAATTATTTTGACTACTGGCATACATCTGGAGTTTGGCCAGTTTAAATAAGCTACGCGAGCCACACATTTTGGGTGAAAAAAAACATAAAAGTTTAGCAAAAGCTCAAAATTCACGTCTTCCATTAGTATATAGGAAAGATTAAGAGACATTAGTGACATCAGCTAAAAATTAAGTTAAACAAACGCAAATCATTGATCAGATATTAAATAAGCGTATGTTTATATGGGAGAAGTTGATACAAGAGCCATTACTTACGCTGGTCAGGTGCAAAACTTGTCCAAAGTTGTCAAAAGTAAACAAAGAAACCAAGAAAAGAAAGAAAAATATAGAGACCTCTTTGGGGTACTCCAGGCGAGCCCCTGAAGGAATAAAAGTTGAAACACAGGTGGCGCTGGTATGCACTCACTCATACATTAACAAGGAACGGGGGACTCAGAGAAACGTATCTGTCCTGAAATCAGGTTAAATTATCTAAAATGTTATATTAAGTACGTCAAGCGTTGTAGGATGTTGCAGCTATGACTCAAATGCCAGCTGCTCGTACGAACATTCTCAAATCAAAACGAGTTCGTTTTTAAACTGCAGGCTATAAATTTTCTCAAATTGTTTAACAAAGTGGGGGGGTCGTTAGAATGCCTTGGAGGGCGGATGTATCTATGAAAGATGAGGTGAACCACAAAACTTATAAGAAAAAAGTAGGCGGTGCATTGAGACATCTAAGGAGAATACCTGGAGTATGGAGAAAGAATTTTATACATAAAGACAAAAAAAGGAATGTGAAATTGTACCAATAGCGCTATATGAATTTTAAATGCTGCATCGGGGAGAAAGTGGAGATGTGTCTGAGGGCCCTATGTGGTGCGAATCTTATGCAGAGAATTTATCACTTGGAGCTTAGATGTGTGGGGTTACCCAAAATATTATTCACAAGGATGAGTAGGGGTTGTTGACGTGCCTTGGATATTTAGAAAGGAAGGAATTAGGAGTATAAATCTGGGGTGGAGGGATAGGAGTCGTCCCAGAAAAAGTTGGAGGGAGGAAGGTAAAGGTTTTGAGTGCTATGGGCTTGGACATCCAGCATGCTTGTGTCTGCATGTTACAAAAAGTGGAGGAAAATAATTTTCAGGGGTTGGCAGATTGTTGCAGTGCGAGCAGGTAATATTTATGAAGGTATTTAGAGAAACCAGTTAGCTGGACTTGAATGCTGAAGGGAAGAAGCAAGGTGTCTTCACTCTTGGAAGGGTGTGAATGTTGCAGTTCAAAGGATAAGATAAGATTTTGTTGGGATTTTTAACCTCGGAGGGCTAGCCACCTAGAATAACTCTAAAAAGGCAGTGCGTCATCAAGGACTATCTGTCTTATTTCCATTGGGTCCTCAATCTTGTCCCCCAGGATGCGACTCATACCAATTGATTAACACCCAGGTACCTACTTACTTGCTAGGTGAACGTGACAATAGGTGTAAGGAAATACGCCCAGTGTTTTCACCCCTGCCGGGGATGGAACCACGGACACTGTGTGCAAGGCAAGAGCGTTGCCTACCAGGCCACAGGACTGTGACATCAACACGCTTCTGCTAAGACTGATTGAATGAATGACGATGAAAATGTTTCTTCTTTTTCGGGTCACTTTGCCTCGATGGGAGGGATGTTAAAAAATGTATTTATAGACAGCGTTTCATTTATTTATTTAAGTTTATGTCCTAAATTCGTTTTCTCTATATGCAGTTTCTACATTTTCTGTGACGTGTCGAGGTGGACTACACCTCAGACCAATGGTCCAAGTCGGACCGAAACGTCGTCGTAAGCTTCTCTCTTTTATGTGCGGGTTATTTGTGTATCGTTCCAGTCACGGTATTGTGCATTTTTTGTTATTTATTTACATAAGTTAGTAAGTTTATTCAGGTATACACAAATACAGTTACATATAATTATCATACATAGCAGCATATGTGTAGAGAACCTGGGATAACCCAAAAAAGTCAGACAGAGTGACTTATTTCTATTGGGGTCCTTTTACCTTATTATTATAATATAAAGATTATAATATTTTCTTATTACTCTATAATGAAGATAACATCTTATTATCATACTAAAAAGACTATCTACTACACGAGGGTCATTAAGACTATCAACAATACGAGGGTCATTTATTTATTTATTTATTTATTTATTTATTTCCAATTTGTGCACACATACAGAGGTACAAAAAAAATACAGATAAGAGCAGTATGCCAAAGCCACTTATACTATGCATAGCATTACGGGCTGGCTTAAAATTAACTTAAGATTAACTAAGCAATGATTATTATTATTATTATAATCAAAAAGAAGCGCTAAGCCACAAGGACTATACAGCGCTGCTACTAAGCAATGATGAAATCAGTGATAAAACATTAATGTAAACAGATAACTATAAAGCACAAGTGAGTATTACAAAGACAGGTCATATGGTTGCATTCAGTTAGGTAGTGATTCTGTTAGGTAGTGTATTTAAAAAATAATAAAGTTAGATTGGGTTTTAGGTTTAACATTTATGTGATATAATTGTGAGAAACATTTAAGATATACAATTTATAATGTTCAGTTATTCAGTATTTATTTGGTTTTGGGTGAGTAAGTAATCTTTGAGAAGAGACTTGAATTTATAAACAGGTAGTGTTTTTTTATATTTACAGGTAATGAATTCCAGATTTTAGGGCCTTTTATGTGCATTGAGTTTTTGCATAGTGTGAGATGGACACGAGGAACATCAAAGAGTGATCTGTGCCTTGTGTTATGGTCATGTGTTCTGTTGAGGTTGGCAAGGAGATGTTTGAGGGGAGGGTTAATATCAGAGTTAAGTGTTCTATGTATGTAATAGGTGCAGTAATAAGTATGGATGTTTTGTATGGTGAGTAGGTTTAGTGTATTGAATATTGGTGGAGTGTGCTGCCTGTAATGAGAATTTGTTATCATTCTAACTGCAGCCTTTTGTTGGGTAATTAGTGGTCTGAGATGGTTAATTGTTGTTGAGCCCCATGCACAAATTCCATAGGTGAGATAGGGGTAAATAAGAGAGTGATATAGGGCCAGGAGGGCTGACTGTGGAACATAGTACCGTATCTTCGATAGTATGCCTACAGTCTTGGAAATTTTCTTAGAAATTTGATGTATATGTGTATGAAATTTGAGTCTATTACTAGGAATAAGGTAAAATTTACACGTATGTTAGCTAAAAAATAGAAAATCATTCCCCTCCCTTTCTGTAGCTACATTCATCAGACACCTTTTGGCACTCTTCTTGAACTGGTTCATGCTATGACTGGCTTTGACATGTGCGGGTAGTCTATTCCATTCCTTTATTGCTGTACAATAAAAGGTGTTTGAGGCCTGGCCACTGACTGTGGCTACTACACAGTTGTGCTCTCTCCCCCTAGTACATATAATATCCTAACTAAAACATTAACTACTGTTAGGTGATTCTTTGTTTATTATAGTGAAAAATCTACTACATCTTATGATGTGATATGTAATTTTTATAGAGTGGACCGGTAAGTAAGCTGAGGAAGTCTCATCCAAATAACCAAAATCTCCTCTGAGCTGGTCATGTGACTGTTTATGTAAGACCCACGTAAGGAGGACTTTCTGCTGACAAATAAAACACTACCACCACCACCAGAGGTGATGGACGAGTACCGGATGCCCTGTGGCCTGGTGGCTAAAACTCTTGCTTCACACGGCGAGGATCTGGGTTCGATTCTCAGCGAGGGTAGAAACATTGGGCGTGTTTCTTTACACCGGTTGTCTATGTTCCCCATCAGTAAAATGGGTACCTGGGTGCTAGTCGACTGGTGTGGGTCGCATCCTGGGACACTGACCTAAGGAGGCCTGGTCACAGACCGGGCCGCGGGGGCGTTGACCCCCGGAACTCTCTCCAGATAAACTCCAGATAAACCCCGGGAACACTGAGGCACCTTGAGAACATACAGGATGGAGTTGATGGAGTCAGTATTTGCTGACACAGTTCGAAGCCACATTGAATGATGTTTGATTGACGAATCTCAGTACAGTTTTACAAAGGGGCGTTCTTGCTTTACGGATTGATTAACCTTCTTCATCTAAGGTATTCGAGGCAGCAGATAAAGAATGAGATATTGTGTGTATGGATTTCAGTAAAGCCTTTGATAAAGTTCCACGCAGGAGACCGATAAGAAAGCAGTGGCACATAGAATAAAAAGAGAAATTATTTCCTGGGCCGAGGCATCGCTGACCGATAGGCAACAGTTTGCATTAATGGGGAGAAATTTGAATGGGAACCTGCTACGAGTGGTGTGCCACAAGGGTCAGTGTTAGGGCACTTGTAGTTCACAATCTATAATATATATATATATATAATATATTATATATATATATATATATATATATATATATATATATATATATATATATTTATATATATATTTTTATATAATTTTTATATATATATAAAACATAATATATATAATATAATATATATTTTTATATATATATATATATATATATATATATTATATATATATATATATATAAATATATATATATATATATATATAGTGAAGAGGTGACCAGCGGGGCCAGGAGCTATGAATCGACCCCTGTAACCACAATTAGGTGAGGACATACACACATACATACTTGCATACATTCAGGTTATAATACATTTTAAATGATACTTTGAGAATGAGGATAACATGTATGACATAACGCAGCTTAAATCAGGAACACGTCATCCACCTCCCCAGAGGATGGCCTCGTGCCCAGGATATTGAAAGACTTTTCTGTCTGGATCACGACACTGAGTCTGGAAAATATAGCTGATGGCTTTGGGATCCTTAGTTTCTCTGACAAGTTTGTTACCTAACTCTTTCAGAAACTTGAGTGCACACCTGTTCCATAATTCAAGGGTCTCCGTTCCTATTGGAACAAAGTTATATCATGGTGTCAAGCCCTTGTATATGCGGATCTTCTGGGTCTCCCTGAAACGTGGCAATTAATGCAAAAACTTAAATGCTTTCTTGTTACCAGTCACCTAATATGTACCTCACATAATGACAGTCAGTGAAGGTTGAGGCTAGTGTATCCTTGTCTGGTGTAGTGCTCCACCATGGAGGCTAGTGTATCCTTGTCTGGTGTAGTGCTCCACCATGGAGGCTAGTGTATCCTTGTCTGGTGTAGTGCTCCACCATGGAGGCTAGTGTATCCTTGTCTGGTGTAGTGCTCCACCATGGAGGCTAGTGTATCCTTGTCTGGTGTAGTGCTCCACCATGGAGGCTAGTGTACCCTTGTCTACTGTAGTGCTCCGCCATGGAGGCTAGTGTATCCTTGTCTGCTGTAGTGCTCCACCATGGAGACTAGTATATCCTTGTCTGCTGTA